CGTAGTGTACCGTCCATATCTGGTTGGTCATTTTGACCGCTTGTCCCTCGCCGGCCGCTCCCGAAATTCGTGGCAAGAATGGCAGACGATCAGGTCACACATAAGTGCTGTTGAATACCAACCTGGGCGCACCGCTGCTCCTCCCCATTACTCCGCGGTCAAATACTGAGACTTAGTTCCAGTCGTTTAACATTATCGTCCCGCGACGACAGAATTGTAGCAGAACGCCAAGGTCCACAGGTACGAGGATTACGGACCTCCAATCTCCTGGGGAACCAAGTGGTCGTCTCGTCACTCGGAAGATACATGCAGCCGAGGCACTGGGCGCGAGTATCTTCAGGAGAGGTTCCAGGCACGGAGAACAGCAGGACTCCATCCTACCTTATCGATCCTCGCCTGCACCCGCTTTGCCGTTGTTCTGACCCTCCCCGTCAAAACCCGACCAGCCGTTGTTGCTGTCGTCGGTGCTGATGCTGTCGTTCTCGAACTACAGACCGAATGAGTATATGAAGCGTTTGAGGCAGCCATGCGCGGCTCACCTCGCGACTGAAAGCGATGCCGTGGTCGGTGTTGGAGTCCGTCAAGCCGCAAGCGTTATCCCTGGCGTCGTAGCACGTGCCGCGCGCGACGTCGACGCGCTTCACGGCGGCCGCGAGGGCGAGGGCGCCGAACAGCGTAACGAACACCACGGAGCGGGTGGCGGCGAACATTCCCGAGGGTCGAGGAGAATGTGCGAGCGGAGTACACGAAAACGGCGACGAGGGCGAGAGCGAAAGCGGATGGCGAGAGGAGGTTTCGAGAGCACGAGAGCAGAGAGCTCGAAGACGTTGAACGATCCGGGTCTGGTGAGCGGGGTCTGTCGAGAGAGGTATTCATACATCCCTAGGGCGACTCTGATGCGTGGACGTAAGGCCAGTCGTCCGTGCGCTGCGCGTGGAGACGTCTCGCCATCGGTGTGTTCGGCAGCAGCCTCGGATGGAAATGTCTCCGGGCGCGCGTGCGTGTAGCGGTCTCCGGGCGCGCACGCGTCACATACGTTCGCGCGACTGCGAAGCGACACTGCGCTCCCCGAAACTAATCGCTCCGGAGGCACAGCAGCGCGGGTCCGAATGTGGGGGCACTTCGCCGCTCGAGCGTCATGGTTTTGGTGAACGACGGAAGCTGGGCGTCGTGATTATGAAGCTGTGGGGTTCTTCGTTGCGCGACTGGGTTGGCGTCTGTTACGAGTAAATGCTCCGTGTTAGCCACGACGGAAAACATGACAAACCGCGTCTTGAAACCCGGTGCCACCTCGAAACCCGTACATGACCTCAGGAACAAAGCACGGTCCAAGGACTGGTAGGACCTCAGGCGCTGTACCGGGATCCCCTTCCATGGTTGCTGCTCAGAACACGACCATGGGAGGGCCGTCTGCCTTGGGCACATTCAGCAGCCTGGTTGGTCTAACTGCAGGAGCACCCAACTCACCCATCAGTGCATGCTCGGAAGCATCCCAGGGAAGCTGCTTCTGAGTCATGCGTACCGTCTCGGGATTTGATTTCCAAGGCTTGATGCTGGGCGGCGGTTTCAGAACACGCCCAAGAACGGCAGGGGGCGCTCACTTGGATTGTTCGCCGCCGTGCTACCCACGTTTGTCAAGCCCGGAACTTGAGCCTGACGGCCACGGGGACTTATGTACAACGCCGGAGACCCATCATAGTGCCGAGAATTTGGCACACGTCACCTTGAAAATACGTCACACCTATGAGAGCATAAATAATATTGGTTAGCATGTGCACTAAGAACGCACCGCTGTGCGCAACACAGGAAACAGATGAGACCTATAAATCCACGTAGACGTGAGATGTGAGAGTGGGTATGGGATACAGCGCACTGGGTCAGATTGTCCGCGGCTACGGAGAGTTGTGAGGGAGTTGGTTGCATGCTGGGCTGACCAATTCACAGGACTCTACGGCCCAGGATGGTTCGTGATCGTGCTGGTTGGAGAGGGTTGCGTGAAGTGCATTAAAGTGACATGATCGGGATGTCCGAGAGGGGATGAGAATCTAGGCGCTGTAGCACTGAGGATATCCTTAATATTGGAAAGGGCAGCGACGGAATTACAGACTCACGTATGGGATGGGAAGAAGTCGTGCCCATGGTTCTAGATGCGACCGCGGTTGTTGACGTGTCTCCATCGGGCGGGCGGCCCGGATCAGTCAAAAATTGACCAATGACATCACTGGCGTTGAATGCGACTCACCAGACTGCATGTACAACACATTTTTTGTACAACAGTAGTTGAACAGTCGAGCAGTCAATAACGAGACAAGTAGCATCTCGGAGGAGCACCTGATGGCCCTAGTACGAGCCGCGGCCGCGGCCGGATGCTGTGGGCTGATTATGTAAGCGCCATCAACCGCGAGCTCGCGGTCGTGTGGCACTGGCAGGACCTTCTCCGTCGCCTCGTCGTTCTTGGGCCTTAGCCTCTGTCCCGCATACGCCACGCTCCCTTCTCATGAAATTATGGTGCGGCTGAATGCCGAATAGGCTCTGTCTGGATCTCGATGGCTCTCCGTTAGCAAGCTTCCCTTCGACGGCGTGGATTATGATGCGCACACTGGCAGTAGGCTACCGCCAAGGTAGGGCTCACTTCTTTTTTTTCTACGTTTGCACCTCTATCTCTATCAGTCCACCCCGCGCTGTACTTTGCTTTCGCTCTGCTATTCCCTTAAAATCATGGCTGACGCGTTCCACTTCTACCCAGGACTTCCTTTTTTTTTTTTTTTTGGATTTTCCTCCGCAATGCACCACCTACCCCACACTCTCCCGCACCCATCCTTGGCGTCGCGTGAGGCTTGTCAGTGAGGGATAGCTAGGGACGATCGAACTCGCTCATGGCGTCTCTGCTGGGCCAGGCTCTATCTCTTCACTTCGCCAGTAGCCAGTCTGCGCTGGTGACGGGCATTTGGAGGGCACCGCGACATACATTGTCGATCCTAGGTTGGTAGGCTTCCCGTTGTTCTCGCGTTCCGATGCTCGCTGAAAGGCCATTCCTACTGCTCCTCCAAGGAGCTGCACCCGGGTCAGTGCCTCCTGTGCCCGCCCTGGCTGCGACTGCGCGTCGAGCGCATCGAACGTCGCTGTCGGCGCAGTACACTGGAGGGTATGTGACGTCGTTTCCGAGTCCGCGCGATGTGTAGGGTACTGACTACGTGCCAACAGCATAACCTCTGGGCCGGCGCTGCGTCCGTGTACTTGATGTAGAGGCGACGACGGACCAAGATCGCGAGGTTCCGGGAAAGCGCCGAACCTTGTCCTGGCACCGTCGTCCGCCCCGTTCACCAACGCCGATCACAGCGGGCTCGAGGCTCGAGGGTTTGGCGTCGGTACATGAATACATACGCCTTGGGTACTTGTTCATAACTTACCAAGCAATTCGGCGCCAGATCGGAGATTTTGTGCAAAGATGACAGCGTAGCTAGAGCCAGATGATGCCTGTCTACGGGAGTCTGCGATAGATATTTCCAGGTCGGGAAGGTATTTGTTGAAGAGCGGGATCAATCGGGCCGGGACTCATAGGAAGTTCGGCGGGAACGTGGATGTAACGTGGCCCAGGTGTCGCGCTGCTTTCCCCTCGCTATCTGATGGCATATCCCACCACGCTTCCCCTCTCTCCTTCGCGGCACACACAGCAACTCAGAATGTCCTCTCCATCTGTATATCTCCATCTACCCCACAGTCCTCGATGAGATCTCGACCGGTACCAACCGAAGTCGCTGAGAGGGTTCTCGACGACCTCGGCGTCCAGGAAGATGTCCGTACGCTCTCCACTTGCGCTCGTGTCTGCCACTCCTGGGTTCCGAGGGCAACCCTCCATCTCTGGCGCAAAGTCACAATTGAAGGCAATGACGGCCTCGATTCCGTTCGTACAACACTCGGGCACTCTCCTCAGTTGAGTCGGTTTATACACGCTGTCCGGCTCGAGGCCGAACGCCCCGACGACTTTCCCCACACGGCGCTCGCAGTTCTTTTCCCCTTCATCGGATCCCGCATCACGAGCTTAGAGATGTACTTAGTACCACCATCCGGGGGCATCCATTTCCCAAGTGCTGTGTTCTCTCGTCTCCAGCACTATACTGCACTCAAAACACTCATGGTTTACTACCAAATCTTTCCGACCCATCATCACGTCCGTCGGATTTTCCGCGCACTGCCTGCCCTCGATACACTTGAGCTATCCGAGTTCCACGACTTCGGCCGTATCTCAGTGCACGATTGGACTTCCGTCCCTTCAGATAAACAGGCCCGCTTGAAGAATTTTGTGGTAAGATAAGCCTATCCAGACATCTGAGTGCGAGCTACTAACTTGATGTGGTATGGTTGTGTTATGAAGATAAGGAGAGAGTTCTCAGAATCGTTGTCGCACGGTGACAAGATTTTCATTGTAACTACGTCTAAGTGGTTGCCTGTGACTCCAGGTACTTTTGCGGTTCCTGAGAGCCGAGCTTTCAGCTGAATGTATTCTTTACAGCCGTCCGCCTCACGGGATTTTCAAACATCAGTTGTATTTCCCTGGAGTTAACCGCGTATGGGTTCACGTCTTCACTCCGACACAGGCATCTTCAGGAAGAGCTAGGGTTCAAGTCTCTAATCAATGGTGGAGACCTTCCGAGATCCCTGTGTTCTCTGCATATCATTCTAGACAGCGATTTCGCATGCTTATTTCACTTCGACATCGACGAGGAAGATATTGTGAATACTTTTCTTAACTTCTCACGGCTTGGGAAAGATCACACGAAATACTCGAACTGGGAGGGTATCACTTTCATCATCGAAAACTCGACCATGAACTTCCGCGATCGGTTCCGAATCTGGTTGCAGCGCCTATTGTCTTCTCTTTACGAACAAAACCTTCTCCATATAGTCTTTGACAATGATGGTGCGCCATATTTTGCAAATATGATCCTTTTCCCTGTCTCTGATGTTGCTCTCTATTTGCAGCAACCACTGTCGCACCAGCATCATATGGTCATCCTGATCGCGCTGATTGCCTTGCCATCTCTCCAGATGGAAAGTGGACAGCCAGCAAATCAGTATCGCCTCTAGATATCGATATTCGCTATGGAATATCGACGATGGTCTGGGACGCTGGAACCGGAGGTCCTCCCGTGCTTGAGAAGTGGCATGATGTACATGATGATTTTCCCCACGGACCAGAGGATCATCAAAGCTCACTGGTATTCTCCCCCTCTGGCACCCTTCTGATCTTTCCCCTCGAAAAACATCTCCACATCTATGATTTACCCCACGCCGAAGAATTGCCAATCGGCTACAGCCGACCGCCGCGAGAGACGGCGGTGGTGGATATTGATGACGTCATCCTCGCCTCGGCTTGGTCTCCCGATGGCGCATACATCCTTACTTTGATGCGTAGTGGAGACGTTTTCATGGTTGACCCGGAGAACACGAAACGCATCCATTTCAACCGCCCTTCCCCCATGACTGAAGACAGGTCTGTTCCATACGCCAGGCTATCGGTGCACATTTCCAACGGCCGCCGCTATGCTCTGGTCGACGTCCTTCGTAACATGGCTAGTGAATACGTCGAGGTTTGGGATCTGAGCTCTGCAACATACCAGCCGCGGTTTGGTGGGAACGTCCAAGGCCTCCCGATACGCGACACCATGATGATTTTCCAAGCCGTTCTGCGGCATGAGGAAGGTTGCGGCTCGCCCACTGTCCTCGCCGTAACCACCACCGGCGCACTCCTGGTCGACTCCGGGCCGGAGGATGAACTCGCGGGGGCTCCGCTCGAGGCATACACGCGGGACCTTCTAGCAGGGTTCAAGACGATAGCCCTATCCGAGGACGGGGAGCGCGCCTTGTGCGTCGCGGACGCCGAGCCGTCTGCGACCACCTGGTCGTGCTGCGTCGTGGAGACACGGACCGGAGGTTTTCTTTCAGATATCGTCGAAGGCGACTTCCCGGTGCGGATCTTCTTGGAGAACGGCACCCACCGAGACGTGGGCCAAGAGGACGCAAAATACCGTCGATCGTGGTTCTGGAACACGCACAACGGGTGCCTCTACCGTCTCCTGCCGACGCTGGACACCAAACACGTGAGCACGGTGGTGGTGTCGCGCGATGGGTCGAGGGTGGTATGGGCGGATTGGGGTGGTGGAGTGCACTTTGGTCGGAACGAAGGCGACGTGGTTCCTGCTGAATCAGACTGATGGCGGCATGCATGTATAGCGGGGGCTGGATAAGTAACGCATCGCGCTGATCTCAGAAGTGACCTGCGTGCCTAGAGAACGAAGGAGACGAAAGCTGTCCAAGAGCGAGCACGGTTCGTATTTGCAGTCGAGCCCCGTCGCCGCGGGCAAGCGCGGAGTCGGTCCGGGAGCTCGCCGGTAGCCGGCGCGTCGGACGAGCCCGCCATCGGGACGCTCCCCGCCACTCTCATCTGCTCTCCGTCGTCAATCGATGTTTATGCCTCATTCCGCCCATGATCCTCCCTCTGCTCGAAAGCTTACCGTGACTCCGAGGCCGTGACGGCTCCAATTCAACGTCAGCAAGCATCACTTCGATGATTGTCACGCCACCGAGCTTGGGGCGTTCTGCACATCGGTCCTCAAGCTCAAGCTCTCGCGCGGCTTCTGGGTCTGAGTCCTGCCCTAGATATGGGCCATATCTGGTGTGTAGTGCTGCTGCTGGGTTTAGGGTGCTCAAGTAAGTCCCCACCGCCTTTTACTTTCGCATCATTCAGTCCCCCAACACTCTTCCAGCACGATTCTTGCGAAAGTACGTCGCGTTCATACTGTCTGCGTCTACTTTTCCCTCCCCTTCCATCTCCCTCTACCTGCACCGTGGCCATCCTTCTCGCTTGCACCCCGATATGTGCTGGGGATTGTGTCTGACCTGCTCTCCATAGCGTCTCTAGTCCGGCCAGCCGCGCGAACCTCTTGACCGAGGTATCTCGTGAAGAAAGCTCAGGCAAGGGCGCACAACAGACGAGTTTCCCGTGAGATCACCACCAATATCCCCCCATTCCATCCCTCCGCTTCCTTTCCTTGGGTCCATGGCTGTTTTGTTCAGGTTAGCAGACACCTCGTGCTTATCGCTCCTCGACACTGATGATCAACATAGAGAGCCTACGCATATCTGACGCGCGATTCCTGCAACGGCTGAACTCTTGCGGGGCTGCGAATCAGATCTCGTAACGTCCGTACCGGTCATATCCGTCGCGCTCGATACGGCGACCGCACTGTACGGAGTCAAGGTTACCCATCGTATGTGCCTCATCTCATATGCTGGCTGTAGACGACTCCGGCGCATGCATCAACTACCGGTTACATGCGCTTGTGCGCGCGCCGCCCCAGGTGTTGCCATTTTGGTGTCGATACCAATATCTATGCATGTACCTACCTATTACATACCCTTCACTTGTGTGATCATGCTTACAACGCGTGGTAGTCATCTGTTCAGTGCCTCGTTCTTTGCGCCCTTGCCTGCACCATACCACAGAGACCTCTGATGTTTCCAGCCAGCAAGAGCATGTCGGGTTACCTCTTCGCAAATGCGTGCATAGCACTGAATGCGCTGCAGCGAATACTGTCAAGTATCTGGTAGTTATATTTCGTATTTCGTGATTATAGTTCGTAGTCCATGTATGTATGGGCCTAGCAAACGATATGAACATAACCTGTCAGTCTAAACCAGACGCACTCAGAAACACCGCGACGAGCAGTCACCTAGTACACGAACGGGACGAGGCGATACGGAACGCGCGCAGCATATCCCGACCACTGCTCGCCAAATCTCTCCGACAACATCCTGTCTTCCTCTCCCACCCTCTGCAGCACGAGCATCGCGAACTGCAGCACCCAGATCGCCACGCACGTCCCCGTCCCTCTGCCCACTGTCATTTGCGCCCACTTCGAGACGACGAGGTACGACGCCGGATCGAAGACGTACGCCAGCGTCCCGGCGAGCATGAGCAGCCCACCGGCGTAGCCCGGGTGCCGGACGACGGAGTATGGACCGCCGGTGATGAGCTCGTGATCGTCCTGCACGCCGACCTTCCACGTAAAGTGTTTCCCGAGCGCGCGTTGGCCCCATATGCGGATCTGTCCCCCGAGTGTGGTGCAGACCAGGCCGAGGACCGAAGTGGAGGAAGGGCGGAGGGAAGATGGCGCAGAACCTGTGCCTAGGAGAGCGATGATGGCGCCAGAGACCGGGTTTGGGGGAGCGAGGTAAGCAGCGAGGAGGGCCGCCTCTGCTAGGGCCAGCCCGCAGACGATGTACTGTGACGTGAATGAGCGACAGGTAGGATCGTGGAGGTCGCGCGCAGAGACGAACCTTGTACATTGTGATGAGGGGAACCTGGGCATCCATGGTTCTGGTGAGAAAGTCCATTCGAGCGACGTCGACGGACGACGCGCGCCCTGGTGGTGCGTTGGTGCGTGGATGGGTCATTGAACCGTAGAAAGATATGGCCGAGGAGATCAGGAGAGGGATCTTGAGCACGGGGATGCTGATGACTAGAGGCTGAGTGATCAACATGCTCAACATGAGGGGGGAGGAGGTCACAGTGGACGGCCGAGGTGGAGGGGCTCACGAACGACGGGCTCATTGCTCTTGAGGATCGTCTCATATGGCCGGAATCCTTAATCGCTTTCACCATGCATCTCGAAGGGCATGGGCAGAGGCTTGCCAATGCTGGCTGATCAGAGTGATTGGGAGTCGGCATGTAAGGACGTCAAGCGTGCAAGATGATAACGCACATCTGTTTGCCTTTCGGAACCATTGAGGGAAGTGGCAACGAAGAAACCGCCGAGGAAAACAGTCGAACGCGCGCGGGTAATGGGCGCTAGTCGGGCAAGGCTGGGCCGGCCGCCGGACCAAGCGCGCGGTCGTCGACGACGGCTCCGCGACGCTCTCCGCTGCCTTCAGCCTCTTTCTCATCGGAGTCATCGTCAATTCCTGCCTTGACTGCACTCCCGTAAATGTCGCGCTCTCTCCTCCCCCTCCCGAAAGTCCACAACTGGAGCTCGGCGATAGCAAGTCTCCGAACATCCTTTCGACCGTGCTCTCGGAATCCCTCGCCCCTCCCTCTTCTCCGACTCCATTTTGTCAAGCTATGCACCTACTTGAGGCCATCCGTGGGCAGAAATGTGTAGATGGTACCGCATCTTCCGAAGTATGTCACACCCTCTGCGTTTCGTTCTGCGTCTACGATTTTCTTCGTTCCTCCCCAATGTACCCCGGCCTACCTGCCCCATGTTCCGACGCAATAATATGCGCTTCAACCGCACTTTTCCCCTCATCTGCTCCTCCTGGCGCGTCTTTTCCCGAGCCGGAGGTGTCCCAGTTGCTCCTACCGTCCTCTCTCGCACCCTCCCCTGCCGTCATGTGAAACCCATATGCGAGGTATCTCCAACAGCTTCCAGCGTGGGGACCCCGCCAGTCCTTTTTCAGCCTGCCCTTGAGTCCGCGTCGCCGCGTCGCCACCAGCTTGTCAGAACATCCCCGTGTTCGCAACCTTCTGCGCAAGTCCGGGCATTCTCGGGTTCTGCTATGTGGTCGTCTCACTTATCAAGTCGTCTATCGCGCGTCATGTCCAGGCTGGTGAACTCCCCGTCCTTCCACTCCTATTTTCACGATGAGGCACGACGTATGTCGTACGATCATTCGCGCACTGCGCCTGATCTCGTACACCAGCCACTCGCGGCCCCCGTCCTCCGCGACGTCCTCACCACTCCTAGATTCATCCATAGCCGCAATGATCATGCCTCCCGCTCACCTGTCCCTCACGGGATATCAGTTTCCCAGACTCGAGTGATCCGGGGGGCCGTGCCGAGTCTCCTTGACTCAAAATCCCACCCACCCCCAACTATTAGTTAAACTACAGGGTGCTTTCCTTACAGGGAAGTATTCGACGCCTCTACTAAGTATGGCATATATCCAGTCTCCCCCCGTATGTTTTCCCCGCCCGGCCCCGTGATGTCCCGAGTCCCGACCCCTCCGCCATCAGAGCCCCGCCCCTCCTACGTCATTTCCCGCGCCGGCGCCGCGCGCTCTGCCGACTGCCGCATCACTGCCCCGGCATGCCTGGACACCGGCGCCCCATGCCCCACCACCCGTGCTCGTCGTCCCCAACAGCGAGCTCGCTGTCCCTACACCCTGCCTCCCCCTCCCCTCCGTTTCCCTCCGTTCTTTTTGCAATCTACTTGTATTTCAAATGCGCACCTAATGACACACAATGCAATAGCTACACTTGCCTGAGTGTGCCTGCACTGAGCCCATATACCCCCCAAAATGCGTGCAATATAGGAACAGATACAAGCATTCAATTGATCGGCCAAGTTCTTCAACATATATTTGTAGATGAGAGCTGCTCTAGTATAAAATCGCAGGTGGATAGCTAGAGGGGTGCAGGTATGATGTCATATGTTATTTCAGAATGACATACTTCACAGTGACATGGTATATACATGTGTCGTCTTATATACACCCAGGATCGTACCTAGAGATCATTGAGAGCGCATTGAAAGAAGAAGCAAGTGAATAGATGATGTTTTGGTGAAGATGTGATATGTGTTCAGAAGGGGGTATTGCATTGAAAATGCGGCCTTCATATGTTCTTGTGCAGACCTCTGATCACTTTACATCTTGTTGCATTACGTTCATATGTATGTGGAGAGCTCAGATCGTCAGTTTGGTGCTTATCGGTGAAGGATTGAACACAGGCCATGGTATGTCATTATTCTATGACATAGAGTATAGCGATATGACATGTGCTCCGATTATTGTTATGAAAAGCGGAATAAGACGGGGTGTTCTTCTGCTCAACGATGCAGAATGAATCTCGAGAAACGATCGAGTAGTCGCTGAGATATGTCAGATGGGTCTAGAACGGCAGGTTGCACAAAGAACGCCCTTGAACCACCTACAGCACTTTGCACACTCTAAGCTCACCTGACATATCTCAGCGACTACTCGATCGTTTCTCGAGATTCATTCTGCATCGTTGAGCAGAAGAACACCCCGTCTTATTCCGCTTTTCATAACAATAATCGGAGCACATGTCATATCGCTATACTCTATGTCATAGAATAATGACATACCATGGCCTGTGTTCAATCCTTCACCGATAAGCACCAAACTGACGATCTGAGCTCTCCACATACATATGAACGTAATGCAACAAGATGTAAAGTGATCAGAGGTCTGCACAAGAACATATGAAGGCCGCATTTTCAATGCAATACCCCCTTCTGAACACATATCACATCTTCACCAAAACATCATCTATTCACTTGCTTCTTCTTTCAATGCGCTCTCAATGATCTCTAGGTACGATCCTGGGTGTATATAAGACGACACATGTATATACCATGTCACTGTGAAGTATGTCATTCTGAAATAACATATGACATCATACCTGCACCCCTCTAGCTATCCACCTGCGATTTTATACTAGAGCAGCTCTCATCTACAAATATATGTTGAAGAACTTGGCCGATCAATTGAATGCTTGTATCTGTTCCTATATTGCACGCATTTTGGGGGGTATATGGGCTCAGTGCAGGCACACTCAGGCAAGTGTAGCTATTGCATTGTGTGTCATTAGGTGCGCATTTGAAATACAAGTAGATTGCAAAAAGAACGGAGGGAAACGGAGGGGAGGGGGAGGCAGGGTGTAGGGACAGCGAGCTCGCTGTTGGGGACGACGAGCACGGGTGGTGGGGCATGGGGCGCCGGTGTCCAGGCATGCCGGGGCAGTGATGCGGCAGTCGGCAGAGCGCGCGGCGCCGGCGCGGGAAATGACGTAGGAGGGGCGGGGCTCTGATGGCGGAGGGGTCGGGACTCGGGACATCACGGGGCCGGGCGGGGAAAACATACGGGGGGAGACTGGATATATGCCATACTTAGTAGAGGCGTCGAATACTTCCCTGTAAGGAAAGCACCCTGTAGTTTAACTAATAGTTGGGGGTGGGTGGGATTTTGAGTCAAGGAGACTCGGCACGGCCCCCCGGATCACTCGAGTCTGGGAAACTGATATCCCGTGAGGGACAGGTGCTCCCGCTGCGGCTACGCACGCTTCGGCGGCTGGCCTCCACGAGGTTGAGGTCGCCCATTCCGCCATGCCCCATCATCAACCCGTATCTGCCCTTCATGGCGCTCCCCGCGCCCGCCCTCTGCGGGCCCTCTCCTCAACCTAAGAGTCTATGACATCGCCCTCAACCATGCCACCGTGACGCGTCCGCTGACTCTTACCCACAGAAACTGCAACCCGCGTCAGCCCGCACGGCTGAAGCCACGACTCTGTCCGATCCCGCCCAGAGCGATTTCCGGGCGGCTTCACTATCACGGTCAGCCCTCCTGCTCACCCCCACACGTACCGCCCAATCGCATCGGCATGCGTGCGTAGACACGCCCCTTTCTCTCGTGGCGACCTCGTGACTCCTGCCGGAAGTCGCTCGATGCGTTTCTCCGCACTGGGCGGCACCAGGCGACTTACGCTCCGGACGTCCTCGTTGCTGATTGGACGAGCCCTACACCGATCGCTCTGCCCGCGCCGACCGCATCTGGGTTGGCCTTGGGAGACATCCGCCGAGCAGCAGGTACCAATGGACGAATACAAGCATCTCCGGCGCCCCCACGGGTGCCCGTACTGAAGCACCCGAGGCGTTGCAGTCCCCGAAGTACACATGACGTCGTCTCCGCCCAGTGCCGTGCGCGACTAACGTCTTCTGCACCGACAGCAGGGAACGCCAACGATGCTCCGCTGTCGCGCGCGGCGGTATGACGAGCTTCTCTCTCTACACTCCGGAGGCTTCAAGCTCAACTCTGGCGTCATTGGCCCTACTCACCACTCGAGGACCTGTATTCTCGTCCGTAGGTGCGATTACATGGACTTTCAGGTTCGGTCGTGAGACTGACAAATGCTCTCGTGATAGCCAAAGCCCATCGAGATCTGGCCGACTCCGAGACTGCTTTTGCACCCCACCGCATGCCGTAGCTCCTGCTTCGCGATGGCTCGCGTTTTCGTGTGCTCGTGTCATACCGGCCACCACGCTCTCTCGCTCCACATTGCCGCGTGCCTGACTGTCCTGATAGACGTTCATCGTACCCTCGGGAGCCCCGTCGCCGCCGTGGCTACCGCGCGGCCTCCTCGAGCTTGCCAACAGTGAACGCTGGGAGGTTCTGCCAAGGGCGCCAACGATGCCGCGGTGGAAAGAGGTCATCCGGATCCGGAGGACGTGGTTGTGCCGGCGGTGTCGGGTAGATGTAACGCAACCCGGACTCCGCATATATCTCCTTCTCCTCTTTACTCCGTCTGCGCACGTTCCATAACAGAGCGAAAGCGGCCAAACAGAGGCACTCGAGAAAGCGGGCTGACAACCGCGTCGGTGCGAGGCGTCGCCGGCAGCGGGTGCGAGCGCCAATAGATCGGGAGCTCGCGGCGCCCTTCCTCGTTGTCGATCGATGCCTCCTTACCGGACACACCACGCGACTCGCAAGAACCCAATTGGTTGATCTCAGCAACAACGCGCCAGCAAGCGTCCCGCGGGAAAGCCGCATCAAGGGCAGCGCAGGCCGCCGGACACTGCTACGCCTCAGATACCGCTGCACATATGGGAAGTGCCCGCTCAAGCCCCCATCACCCCCTCGCCTTCGGATGTCTGCCTGATCGGTAGTGCGAACGTGTGGATTGGCCGACGATCAGAGACCCAACTCGCGTTCGCAGTCGGATGGGGCTGGTGGCGGGACACGAATGGGGGAAGAGGTCCGCACGAGATGAGACACATGTAACGTCTAGATTCAGATGAGTGTTACGGATGTACATATGGGTGACCGTACTGTACGAGTGAAGTACAGTGTGCGCAGAGTCAGGTCGGAGAGACGGAAAGGGAAGGAAGGAGCCGAGGGCGAGTGCAGAATGGGAGAACCCGAAACATCCCAGGAGCGCGAAGACAGAAGACGCGAGCGAAAAAAAGAACGCGCGTCGCCTCAACGTGGCGACAACTTAACCGCCGCAAGCGGTACAAGGCTCACCGATAGGACTACTTCCGACCCGGGTTCACCTGGAGCTCGTAGCCGTAGTCGTGCTTGTTGTCGCAGACGCTCTCGCCGTCATCCGCGCCGCGCCACGTGAGGTCCGCGTCGAACACCCCTTGCGAAGGTCCGCTCGCGCTGACGGTCCCGACGTTGCGGAACGCGACCGCGCGCGACGGCGCCATGCTGGGCACGGTTGGGAGGGTGTCCATGCGCGTGCCGTCGCTCGCTTCGAACAGGTCGAGGATGAAGCGGCAGGTCAAGACCACCGTCGTGCTGCGCCAGGAGGTAATGAGCGGAGAAGACGGAGCGGAAATGGCGGGAAGACGTACGTGCTGATTATGCCGAGGAGGTTGAGCAAAAGCTGGAAAGACGGAATCAGCTTTGAGCTTTGGTAGACGTGTAAAGCGCATGAAGCGCAGTGTCACCTCGACGTGGTTGACCAAAATAAGATTCAAGAGGTTGACAAAGCAAAGTGCACTGGAAGCATAAATGTGAGCGACGAGGACAAACGCGGAAGGGAAGTGTGGCTCACCCGAAGTATGCAAGACCTACAATGTAGTGGATGCGTCAATGTACAGACTCGGTGACCCGAAACAAGGTACTTGCCGTTTTGGAAAAGAGCCGTTGTAATGGAAAACCTCTTCGGTCCGCCTTTACGCGGTCCTGCATGTTTCCATGTCAAAACCAGAACCATAAAGTCGCTGATGACCCCGCAGGAACGCCCGAAGATGATCGCTGTTTGGTACCAAGTCAAGTGACGTATACTGAGAGATAAAGCGACAACGAACCACTGTAAAAGGAGGCGATTAGCCCGAGCTCGATCCACAACACAGGTCGCACGCTTACTTTCGGAGTGGTAGGAATTGCGAGAAATCTACGTCGCAGACGGTGCGGAGGTTGTTGGGTCCTGGGTTGTATCCGGCCCTGTTCCTAATCGCGGCGTACTGGGCGAGACCCAGGGTTGAGTTCGACACAGCGAAGGGAAAGAAAGAATGGGAGTGCTCACAATGGAGGGGACGGCGTTCATACACCCTAGCACTAAAACTATGATAGCAATGTATTTGCGCTGGCACAACGCGTACGCTCGCAGCGACGAGAACGCTACGGGGTACTGTGGTTAGTCACTGGCAGACTTAGCTTTCGACTGAAGAACGCACACGCGGCACCCATGATGATGATGGCACCCATTAAATCAAACGCCACGGTGATCCCGGCACACCTGCGGGGCGGTAGCGCAGATTAGTGCGTGCACTGCAAAGGAGAGGAGGCGCGAACAGTCGCAGTTGCGTACTTCTGCCAGGCCAAGGGCGTCAGATTGATCTAGCGTCTATCGGGGCTCGGGCAGGTTCTCACTGGTGATGATTTTCCAGGCCAAGGGAAGAAATTGACGAAAATGAGCATGTTGGAGGTCAATGATGCGTAGCGGATGGCGATATATATCCCGCCTGCAGTCGTCATCTTCTTCCTCCAAACGTACTCAACCTCGCGACCAATCGAGATCATGTGGTCGTAAGTTATGAGGCCTGGGGCCGAGGGAAGGCGTCAGACAATTTAGATTCGTACTGCGGGTGTGCCACCTACCGAGGGCTCCTCCGATGACCGCCCACTTGTTCTGAAGACTGGTTCGCGTACGTCAGCAGGCTAGATCACGTTACAATCAACGGCTGCGTACGTCGGTTGACTGCCCATGGCCGTGCTCAAAGTTGAAGGGAGCGAGTATCTACCAGAGTGTGAGCATATGCCAGCCGAAGGAACACGAGGGCAGGACTCACCAGTTCACAACGCTAGTCGGGGGGAAGACTGCGTGAAGAATCGGTCTCGCCTGCTGCCAATATATAAGTGGAGACTGGGAGGACCGAAAGAAGTTCGATCCCGGGAGTGTGCTAACGCGGCGGAAGAATTGGCCCCTGGCCTTCCGCAAGCAGACGTATGCCGTCGTACTGGGGATGCCGGAGCAATCGGCCACGCCACGCCACCGGAAAGGCACAGCGGAGAGGGCGGGGGATGCTGGAGATTCGAGCCAGGACATTACCAGCCACGTCGCGGACCATGAATGATTGGATAGGATCGGCTGCGTGCAGCTAGACGGCTCTCGTCAAAGAGGGAAAGCGGAAACAAACATGTCGAGAAGCGGCCGGAGGCCGACCAGAACGCCCCCTGCGGGCGCATGTCCCTGGGCAGGCGGTGCAGCAGCGATCGAGTACTATTTCGATGACTTGAACTTCGCCGGGCTACGCCACGCACCGAGAGGAAGGGGGCGGAAGGAGAGCGGAAGCAACGGAAACGAGGGAGAGCGGAAGACGTCTCCAGGGCCAGCGCTAGTGTGGGGATCCCATATTACGAGTGTACTTACTTAATTGACTGCCGCGCACGCGTGACCTGAAGGCCCATCCTCAGCGCTCCGCCTGAAAATTAAGAAATGTACTTTTTGAATACTCTAGAACCGTTCGCCAATTTCTCTGAGGGGTCGTGTGCGTTGATTGTCAGAATTTAGAAATCTGTCCATGAAGGCGTGACAGTGTAGGACCAGCGCTCAAGCGCTCACTAGCGCGTTTCAGCTGAGCGCCGTGACATGGGCCGTGACGGTGCGCACGCGATTCAATATTGTCCAATCGAATTCCATAATTATCACTCTTGGGGTGTTCGGACGGGCCCTGACAAACGGGAATTGCGCTCCAGTACTCCACCGATAATCATGCGATTTTATGGTTAGCTAGGATGTCTTCTCACGCATCCATGTGTGAAGTTTCGCGTCCTTCCAACGCAAGCTGTGTCCGATCCCGAGGATGCACTTATGTCTTTGGGAGAAGTGACAACTTAGTAGGGGAGAAGTCCCACCCTTAATGGGTCTTGGCTGAAGCACCTCTCCCCGCGCCCCGCTTGGAATTTTGGGAATGTCATTCTTGCGCACTTTCAAAGCGGTTTGTAAAATCTCCGCGAGGATGCGCCTTCGTGGCCGTCAGCAGTACAGATTGAGTTCTGAAGGCGTGACAGTCATCTAGCGCTCGATTTGGCTCGGCAAAGGCTCTCTTATGATCGGTCCTAATGTCGGCTACTGAATCATTGACAGCTGGGCACCGTGTCAGCGCCTGTGACAAGTGCGCCCTCAAAATCAGAGGGAGTGACAGCTTGAACGAGTCTGTCACTGTCAGAAATGCCGGTCGGAGGGGGATGAAGACGCATTGAACAGTCTCATTTTTGCGGCCAGTGTTGCGCTCTAGAGATGATCAGGTTGGCTATGTCTGAAATTGGCGTCTTTTGGCGTCGCTCAAGTCACGAGCTCACTGTTGTGGATCGGCGCTAGAGAGCAACTTTTGGTCGGCTCGCTTATATAATCGGTCCTATCCACCATCGTGCCCACTGGAGGAGCCCAAGCACATTGCCTCCCCGATCGCGCCCTACAACCCCGAGGTCCGACATGAGCATCAACTTTCCAACTTTTAGTCCGGCGTAGTACGACGAGCCACCAGATTCCAAAGTGCTTCACCGAGCACGATTCGATGACGTCGCGCGGCTTCCATCTCAGGAGGCGGCGGTAGGGCACCTTCCGTCTTTGCCCTCGAGCAGGTCAATTTTCCTCATCTCTGCCATTCTCGCCCATGTCTCATCTCTCGTAGCGACCCCTTGAACCTCCTTCTCCCCAACCCCCTCGCCGGCATGATACACAAACTGTACGAGGTCTGGATCACCTGCGACGGCAAACCCCTCCCCGAGTACTCTGTACGCCCTCAGGGATCTGACGGGCGACTCGCGACGTGCTACATCCCCAGCGAGAGCGGAAAAGTGAGCACCGTCCTCGCCCAATCGTTGCACACGAAGCGTTCTCACACGCCCTGCAGAACTTCGCAATCCACTGGCACGATCGCGCGGCCACCGACGACCTCAGCCTCCTCTTCGACATCGACGGCCAGCGGCTCTCTGTCGGCAAGTTGTGTCGTGCGGGGAGGTGGGGGCGCAAGGCGGGGATAGTGACGGCTGCTGGCGCGCGCGCGTTCATGTTCTCGGAGCTGATGACCACCGGTGCGTTTTGCATGTGGCTATATGCGTCCCCAACTCGAGCCTATGGTGCCCACCGACCCCAGACGACGATGCCGGCGCAGGGCCCATCCACCGAGACCTGGGCTCCATCAGAGTCAACCTCACCCGCGTGCGTTCCAACGCGAGCCAGGTCGACTTCCTCTCGGAGCAGTTTGCTGGAGTGGGGCCTGTCCACGAGCGAAGCAAGATGTCCGGGACGCACGGCGTAGGGTGAGTGAACCCCGCGCAGATGTCTGCTCACATACTGAAGCCGACCCTAGACTTGGTCACGTCCACTCGCCCCGCACGGTCGCGAAGCGCAAACACGTCAAGGCACCCAAGCCGGTTGATCCCTCTGAAGGCTGCATCGCGGTCTTCGTGTTCAACTACAGGCCATATGGTGCGTCCGCGTTCATCTCTTGCGCGATCAAAGAACGGAGGCGAGACGAGTGCGGGTGTAGGTGTATTCGGATAATCGTGGTTCGAGCCGGACTACAGGCTGGCTATATGCACACGTCCCCGTCCTTTTATTACCATTTCTTCGGATTTAGTCCACGTATAACACCGCTCACGCGTCTTCCTCGATCCCAGCTGTGCTGCAAGCACAAGGAATCGTACCCCTGATGACGCATTTCCCTTCAAGACCTCTGTCGGTGGAGGATGACACGCCTGTCCCTGACCTCGTCGAGGTGAAGAAGCGCAGCTGCTCGCCTGACCTTCGCACTGTTATAAAGCGTTTTCAAGAAAAGGATGAATACAGCACTTCGTCTGATGAGCAGGACCTGATCTTGTCGCCTGCAAAAGCAAAAGCGTCTGAGTCGGATGACGAACTTGAAGCGCTGCAGGCAAGCCTTCGCTCACTCAGAGCCCCGATCAAATCTGACCGTGGTTCAGCGTGAGCTCAGCGACATGCAAGAGAAGTTGGCGAAGGCGATCTTAAAGAGAGAAAGCAAGTCGTTGAGCCCGAAGAAGGAGAGGGCGTCGGTCAGCCCGAAGATCGAATGGGTATAGAGAAAGACCGCAGCAACGTCTCGCGCAGACCCTGGACAACCTGTAAACTTACACAAGCGTCGCCGCACGTCGCGCGACTCCCTTTCATGCACCAGTAAATGAGTGCAAACAGAGGAGCTGCAAGCACGCACCTCGAGGGCGCAACACAGTGAACGTGTCGAAAGGTAGGGTGAAATCCGCGCCAGGCCCGCTTCTGTTCGCTTGCGGACCTCGAGGTCCGCGCGCCACGTCTCCTCTACAGGCGTTAACCACGGGTCCTCCGGAACGTCGCCGCCGCACCCGCGCACGCGTCCATGAGCGGTCACGGTGGAGGCACGGCGGCGTGCGTCGGGGCCACGCGCCGAACGCGAGGCAGAGCGCGCGCGAGGGGAGCGCGAGCACGCGTGCACGACTCTGAACCTGATCGCCTTGTAGGTACCGAAGTGCTGGATGTTGAGGGCGGGCATGGTGTCGCGGCGCAGCTTCAGCCCCGCGATTCCTGGGCGACGCAGGACTATGTACTGACAGAAGATTGAGAACTCGTGCACTGGACTCCGCAGAGTCTAGATTCGGGAGAGGAATGCACCGCGACATGACGTCAGCGTGTGCAGGAAGAATTTACGATAACAGAGCTTCTCCGCCGCGCGCACCCATCGCGATCAGCCCGCGAGCACCCCGTATCGACGCTCCAGCATTCCAGGCCAGACGCGACGCCCACGGACCCATCGCGGTGCAGTCCACGCCCGACCGAGGCCGGCACTGTGCGCACCCGATCCACGTCCTCTACACATTCTCTCCTTCTATACATTTCGTCCATTCCATATTCGTTCCCTGCGCACATGTACCTTTACTTTCGCTCCTGTCTCCTACGTTTTCGGCTCAGACATTCATTCTCTGTCTCGACCCCGGATATTTTTCGTGTCTGGACTTCGACTGTACATTGATCTGTCTACATTAGTACTCGCCCTGTGCGTCGCATGTACTTAGGCTCACGCTTCTTGTTGTTGATCCACAGTTCAATTTCACGCTCCGTTCGCGCGCGCTGTGTGCTCACCTCGTCTCGCCTTCGCCTTCGCCTTCGACTTCGACTTCGCCCACGCCCACGCTCACGCTTTCGCCCACGACCTCGACCTTCCCTTCGCCTTCGTCAGCGCCGCGCGTGCGCGCGATCTCGTCTATTCCCTCTGCGTCTATTCCCTCATCATCCTCCTCGCGCTCACGCGATCCCCCGATCCGTCCTCTCTTCGCGTTCGCTCCTCCTGCGGCGCGTCGTAGCTGTTCTCTTCATTCCCTCCTCGACTTCCCGCGTCTCACGCTTGCTCGAGCTCGCTCACTCGCCCTCACCACTTTTGACTCTTCCCGGAGTTGACTGCACATCACCGGACACACCACGCGACTCGCAAGAACCCAATTGGATGATCTCAGCAACAACGCGCCAGCAAGCATCCCGCGGGAAAGCCGCATCAAGGGCAACCCTGCGCCGCCGGACACTGCTACGCCTCAGATACCGCTGCACATATGGGAAGTGCCCGCTCAAGCCCCCATCACCCCCCTCGCCTTCGGATATCAGTGCGAATGTGTGTATTTGCCGACGATCAGAGACCCAGGTCGTCGGATGGGGCCGGTGGCGGGACACGAATGGGGGAAGCGGTCCGCACGAGAAGTGTCATTGTGACGTCTAAATTCAGATGAGTGTTACGGATGTATATATGGGTGATCGTACTGTACGAGTGAAGTACAGTGTGCGCGGAGTCAGATCGGAGAGATGGAGAGGGAAAGAAGGAGCTGAGGGCGAGTGCGGAATGGGAGAAACCGAGACATCCCAGGAGCGCAAAGACAGAAGACACGAGCAAAAGAAAAGAACGCGCGTCGCCTCAATGCGGCGACAAACCGCCGCACGCGGCACAAGGTTTACGAGGGTGCGCGCGTCCGATCTACGACGTTCCAGATGGGACTACTTCCGACCCGGGTTCACCTGGAGCTCGTAGCCGTAGTCGTGCTTGTTGTCGCAGACGCTCTCGCCGTCGTCTACGGCGCGCCACGTGAGGTCCGCGTCGAACACCCCTTGCGAAGGTCCGCTCGCGCTGGCGGTCCCGACGTTGCGGAACGCGACGGCGCGCGACGGCGCCATGCTGGGCACGGTTGGGAGGGTGTCCATGCGCGTGCCGTCGCTCGCTTCGAACAAGTCGAGGATGAAGCGGCAGGTCAAGACCACCGTCGTGCTGCGCCAGGAGGTAATGAGCGGAGAAGACGGAGCGGAAATGGCGGGAAGACGTACGCGCTGATTATGCCGAGGAGGTTGAGCAACAGCTGTAAAGGCGGAATCAGCTTTGGAGTTTGTCAGAGGTATCAAGCGCATTAGGCGTTACCTCGACGTGGTTGACCAAAACAAGATTCAAGAGGTTGACAAAGCAAAGTGCACTGGAAGCATAAATGTGAGCGACGAGAACAAACGCGGAAGGGAAGCATCGCTCACCCGAAGTATGCAAGACCTACAATGTAGTGGATGCGTCAATGTACAGACTCGGTGACCCGAAACAAGGTATTTACCGTTTTGGAAAAGAGCCGTTGTAATGGAAAACCTCTTCGGTCCGCCTTTACGCGGTCCTGCATGTTTCCATGTCAAAACCAGAACCATAAAGTCGCTGATGACCCCGCAGGAACGCCCGAAGATGATCGCTGTTTGGTACCAAGTCAAGTGACGTATACTGAGAGATAAAGCGACAACGAACCACTGTAAAAGGAGGCGATTAGCCCGAGATCGATCCATAATACGACCCGAGGCCGTGCGCTTACTTTCGGAGCGGTAGGAATTGCGAGAAATCTACGTCGCAGACGGTGCGGAGGTTGTTGGGTCCTGGGTTGTAGCCGGCCCTGTTCCTAATCGCGGCGTACTGGGCGAGACCCAGGGTTGAGTTCGACACAGCGAAGGGGAAGAAAGGACGGCAATGCTCACGATCGAGGGGACGGCGTTCATACACCCTAGCACTAAAACTACGATAGCGATGTATTTGCGTTGGCACAACGCGTACGCTCGCAGCGACGAGAAAGCTATGTCATACTGTGATCAGTCGTTGGCAGCACTCAGCTTTCGACTGAAGAACTCACATGCGGCGCCCATGATGATGATAGCACCCATTAAATCAAACGCCACTGTGATCCCGGCACACCTGCGGGGCGGTAGCGCAGATTAGTGCGTGCACTGCAAAGGAGAGGAGGCGCGAACAGTCGCAGTTGCGTACTTCTGCCAGGTCAAGGGCGTCAGATTGATCTAGCGTCTATCGGGGCTCGGGAAGGTTCTCACTGGTGATGATTTTCCAGGCCAAGGGAAGAAATTGACGAACATGAGCATGTTGGAGGTCAACGATGCGTAGCGGATGGCGATATATATTCCGCCTGCAGTCGTCATCTTCTTCCTCCAGACGTACTCAACCTCGCGGCCAATCGAGATCATGTGGTCGTAAGTTATGAGGCCTGGGGCCGAGGGAAGGCGTCAGACAATTCAAATTCGTACTGCGGGTGTGCCACCTACCGAGGGCCCCTCCGATGACCGCCCACTTGTTCTGAAGACTGGTTCGCGTACGTCAGCAGGCCAGATCACGTTACAATCAACGGCTGCGTACGTCGGTTGACTGCCCATGGCCGTGCTCAAAGTTGAAGGGAGCGAGTATCTACCAGAGTGTGAGCATATGTACGGCCTAGGAAGGTGGGGGGAAAGGACTCACCAGTTCGTCACGCTGGTCGGGGCAAGGTCGAGGGACGAGTTAACGCGTGCGGAATCGGTCTCGGATGCTGCCAATATATACGCGGTGACTGGGAGGACCGAAACGAGTGCGATCCCGGAACACTCTAGAACCGTTTACCAATTTCTCTGTGAGGATGCATCTTCGTGTGCGTTGAGTACTTGTCGGAGATCTGTCTATGAAGGCGTGACAGTGTAGGTTGCGTTTCACCTGAGCGCCGTGACCTCAGCCGTGACGGCGCGCACGATTTTGCAAATTGTCCGATCGAATTCCACGCGACTATATATCACTCCCGGAGTGTTCGGACACACGCAAACTGCGCTCCAGTACCTCAACCGATAATCTTAAAATTTTGTATTTAGCTAGGATAGCTTCTCATACACCCATGTTTGAAGTTGTTCGTCCTCCCAACGCAAGCGCTCTGTGTCCGATCTCGAGGATGCCCTCACTGTCTCACTGGGAGCTGGCAGTCCTACCTTTGGTCGTTTGATGGGTCTCGGCTGAAGCACCTATCCCAGCGCTCCGCTTGGAATTTTGGGAATGTCATTATTATTGCACACTTTAAAAGTGGTTTCTAACTTCTCCGAGAGGATGCGCCTTCGTGGGCGTCGACAGCACAGAATTGAGTGCTAAAGACGTGACAGTAATCATCCGGCGCTTGCGTGTTACTTCTCAGCGCTCTACTCGATTTGGCTCGGCAAATGCTGACGTCGGCTATTGAAGTACTGACAACTGGGCGCCGTGCCAGTGCCTGGGAGACGTGTGGAGGATTGTCCGAACACCAGGGTCAGTTCACTCTTTCAACGACTATACTTACACTCTGTTTGCCCCAAATTTGTGTGCAGAAGTAATGAGAGAAACTATCAAAATGGGCCTATCAAATTTGAAGATGATCGGTAGAGGGAGCCGGTCGGCGCTTACCCATCCGAGCACCCCAGGAGTGACAGTAGGGATCAACGCACTCTACTAGTACACGCTGCTTTCCGTGCGCCCTCAAAATCACTAGAGGGAGTAACAGCTTCGACGAGTCTGTCAGAAATGGCGGTTGGAGGGGGACGCGGACCCGTTGGACGCTGTTGGACGGTCCTATTGTTTTTGCGGCTGGTGTTGCGCTCATACGATCCACTAACGCGAGGGCCGGTCAGACCGCTCCCGATCACTGTCGCGTAGCTTCGGCTATCTTCGGAGTCTGGAAAATGAGTCTGGAGAGGGGGTCCGACCTGGTCCGACCCCAGCCATAGCCGAGCGCGGTTAAACAGTCGGAGTTCAGATCCCATCTCGTCCAGAGTGATCGAGCGGAAATCCGAGCGACCTGGTGTTACGGATAGGCGTCCAGTAGCTAGATAATCTAGAGCATTCCATGTTGGCTAGTCTGACTCCTGAGGTTGGCGTCTTTTGGTGTTGCTCAGGTCACGAGCTGTTGGATCTTGGCGCTAGAAACGCAACCTCTGGCGACTCGCTTATATAATCGGTCCTATCCACCATCATCCGTGCATCCGCCGGTCCCCGGTGCCCATTGGAGTTCAAACGTTCAAGCGCGACATTTCAGCATCTCACATTCGAACCCTCCCCGATCGCGTCCTACCCGAAGTTCGACATGAGCATCAACTTTGGCGTGCTTCGCCCAGTACAACTCGATGACGTCACACGACTTCCATCTCAGGAGGCGGCGGGGCTTCCGTCTTTGCCCTCAGTGTCGAGCAGCTCAAATTTCCCCGTCTCTGCCATGCCTCATCTCTCGTAGCGACCCCTTCCTCCTTCTCCCCAACCCCCTCGCCGGCATGATACACAAACTGTATGAGGTCTGGATCACCTGCGACGGCAAACCCCTCCCCGAGTACTCTGTGCTCCCTCAGGGTCCCGACGGGCGACTCGCGACGTGCTACATCCCCAGCGAGAGCGGAAAAGTGAGCACCGTCCTTGCTCAATCGTTGCACACAAAGCGCTCTGACACGCCCTGCAGAACTTCGCGATCCACTGGCACGATCGCGCGGCCACCGACGACCTCAGCGGCTCTCTGTCGGCAAGTTGTGTCGCGCGGGGAGGTGGGGGCGCAAGGCGGGGATAGTGACAGCGGCTGGCGCACGCGCGTTCATGTTCTCGGAGCTGATGACCACCGGTGCGTTTTGCATGTGGCTATATGCGTCCCCAACTCGAGCCTTTGCTGCCCAGACGACGATGCTGGCGCAGGGCCCGTCCACCGAGACCTGGGCTCTATCAGAGTCAACGTCACCCGTGTGCGTTCCAACGCGAGCCAGGTCGACTTCCTCTCGGAGCAGTTCGCCGGAGTGGGACCTGTTCACGAGCGAAGCAAGATGTCCGGGACGCACGGCGTAGGGTGAGTGAACCCCGCGCAGATGTCTGCTCACATACTGAAGCCTGACGAACTTGAAGCGCTGCAGGTAAGCTTTCGCTCACTCAGAGTCCCGATCAAATCTGACCGTGGTTCAGCGTGAGCTTAAGGACATGCAAGAGAAGTTGGCGAAGGCGATCTTGAAGAGAGAAAGCAAGTCGTTGAGCCCAAAGAAGGAGAGGGCGTCGGTCAGCCCGAAGATCGAATGGGCATAGAGAAAGATCGCGCAACATCCCGTGCAAACTCTGAACTTTATCTTGGGCTCTCTTTGTTGTATGTACCACCATTCGCGCTGTTGTACACCACCGCAGCATCCACCGACTCGTCTCGCCCAAACGTCATGTCTCACCCGCCGCCTACCACCGCGCCAGCCTCTCCCTCGCCCCCTCCCACTCCGCCTCCACGACCTCCGCCGCCCGCGCGCTCCTCCGCACGACCCCGCACGGGAAGCTCACTGGCCTCGAGTTGAACCCGTCCGTGAACGCCCATGGGTCCGGCAGCCCCCGCGCGCCGGGCGCGGGCACGACGTCGAACGCCCACAGCACCCGCGACACCGCGACGAAGAGCGACGCGCGCGCGAGGTGCACGCCCACGCAGACGCGGCGGCCGAAGCCGAACGGGAGGTCGAACTCGCGCAGGCGCGGGTCCGCGCTGGACTCGAGGAAGCGTTCGGGTCGGAAGGCGTCCGGGGCGGGGAACAGCGCGGGGTCGCGCATGATGCCGCTGCGCGTCGCCGTCAGCCCGAGTGGGGAGGAGTCGGAGGAAAGACGGACGCGAGGTTCGCGAAGACGGTGGCGCCTTTGGGGATGTGCATCCCGTGGTACTCGTCGTCTGTGGTCACGGCGTGGGGCGAGCCCCCGAGCACGGCGATCGGCCGCCAGCGCAGGGTCTCGCTAATGAGCGCGTTCACGTACGGGAGCTTTTCGCGGTCGTCGAAGGTGGGCAGGCGGTCGCGGCCGACGACGCTGTCGAGCTCTGCTTGAGCTTTGCGCATGGCCTCGGGGTAGTGCAGCATCGCCACTTTACGCAAGTACGATCAGCAACTTTCAGAAGAAACAGGGCTATAGAAACTCACGGAAGAAGATGCACAGCGTCCCAGAAGTCTGCGTGATATGTTAGGCGGTCGTTCGCTCAATGACATGTGCAGTCTCTCACCGTCTCGATTCCGGCGCCGAACGGGGAAGCCACGGTGTATGCGATCTCGACGTCCGTCAGCCCGTTCTTCTCTTGATTTGCCACCGTTTGAGATGTGAGGCAGTCCGGGATCGTGCCTTCGCTCATTCGCTTCTTGACGTCGTTCAGCAAATGCGTCAGGAGGGCAATGTCCCGCTGGCGTTGCGCTTCGGGTTCACGCCGGAACCACTGGAGCGACCTCTGACCCATATACTGTGAGAGTGGTGCAGCGGTTGAAGAGGTTTAAAACGCACAGGAAGCTTGAGAAGCCACGGCCAGGTCTCGACGAGATACTTGCCCGGGATGCTAGACCGATGACGTCATGTGCAAGAATCGCGGGTCAGTCGAAGGAACCACTTACTTGACGCTGCAAAGAAACATATTCAAAGCCGGAAACATACGCAAGTCTGGCCAGTACACACCTTTGCAAATCTGTCGACAACTCTGTCATCAGCGCGCACCAGACTCGGGGTTGTAGATCACCACCCACATGCCATCGCGTTCAGGTTCTCCTTGACTATCCACCCGTCGGCGCTATCGACCCTTCGTCCGTATGTCACAGAGGTCGCCACGCTTGCTGCGAACCTACACCTCCGTGAGCTCCCGTTTTTCGAAGCGACTCGTACAGCAACGCACCTCGTCAGATGCTTCTCGTACTCCGCCGGGTTCGTCAGCAGCTCATGCACAAGCACCGCCGACTCCAGCGTCTGGATCTCGTGGTACGTCTCCGCTCGGCGCGAGTGAAAGCCGGAGTGCAGGACCTTGCGCCACTTGCGCCAGCTGTCCCCGTAGGGGAGCATGAGCCCGCGCTTGTTGTCCGAGAGAATCTCCCCACTGCAGACACTGGTGTCAGTGGAAGCGACACGCGGGGGCGATGACAAGGGGCTCACGCGACGACGAAGCGAGGGCGGCTCGAGTAGATGTCGGACCTCTTATCGAGGAGGTCCCATGCTGCCTGCGCTGTCCCAAGAACTGGGTCGCCGTTAGCATCGTAGCGCGACTAGGGGCTGCTTTCGTCAACGCTCACTGATCACGGGAGTGCTTCCGAGGTGGATGGACACCACGGGTCCTGTCGGGTGTCGTAAGCGCGATAGGAGGAGGGGCGGAGGAACGCACCGTATTCCCGGTTCCACTCGGCGAACTTCCACCACGGCTTGATCGCGGGCACTTGGTGCTTGTTCCCTATCCACGGGAGCCCGCGCGGTCCGGGTGGCATCCCGCGTCTCCGGACATGCTGTCTGACGACAGCGAAAGCTAGAAGTGTCAGTAGCAGAGGAATTCCAAGGCGGGATATCTCCAAGATCGGCAGAAAAACAGTACTGTAGAGATCGATCATGATGAGGAATGAGCGAGTGCAGAGGATAAGAGGAAGAGCCGCAGACGGAGCCGTATATATAGGGTGGGATGTTGGCTTTCGAGTATTCATGAACAGGCTTCCTGAAGCAGGCCCATGAGAACATGTGACCGGGGAGAACCACTTCGGCGCTCCCTCGTGACTGCAGAGTTCGCCAGGGGTGGGCGTCTCCTCTTGACTAAGCAATTTCATAGAGCCAGAAGATGTTGGCATTCCCACTACCTAGTCGTACATATACGTGCACTCCATATCTCCATCCGGAGCTCCAGAATGAGAGCCAGCGGTGCCGGGATGTAGGGAAAGAAACTCACTTTCAAGCTTTCACCATCTCAGCCTCTGCCTGACGCAGGCGTAGGTCCTCTGCGAAGGTCTCCTTCACCCTCGCGAGATACTTCTCGTCTGTTAGTAGACGTACTCCCGTCGCGGCGAGCACCTTTGAGATGTTTAGGCACGCTTGATGCGCCTCTTTGCTACCAGCGGCTTCGGTGAACTCGGGTGTGTGGTTGCTGCCCTTCGTCGGGATAGCTACGATACGAATAAGCACACATGTGCGCACTTCGTATGAGAGCGACTTACCGAATGACGGGTGCAGAGACGGCAGCGCTGGCTCGAGCGGTAAGTACTACGCGGTATCGGATGACAGCGCACTGACCGTAGGTAATGTTTCCCTGCATTTTGTGTCAGCTGGAGGAAGTGAGGCTCGATATGGGCGACGCACAAAGTCCGTGGAGGCTTGAGCAATGCCGTAGATGTAGTCGACGGGACCAAACTTCTTCGTGAAAACGTCGGCGAACTCCTCCCCTGCGTCAGATGTCAGCTTTGGCTACGAAACTAGGTAACGAAGGCACATACCTAACGCAGTATTTTGCCTAAGATCATATGTCGTGTTTCCCATCTGGATATCGACTTTACAGCCAGTGGCGAGACCTGCCGCTCTGATATATCCACTTGTCAGCTGCATGGTCGAACACATGAGCTCGACGTACGTACTCAAAGCACGCGGTAACGCGCTTCACCGCAACGTGGACTTCGGCCCGCGTCGGCGCCCGCACATACCAGCTAGTGAGTCCAGCGCTCAGATTCCAGTAGACAGAGAACGGGGAGGGCACTGACGTCATCTTCGCATAATCTGGAATGACTGACGATCGAGAGGAAACGTCAGGCTGAGCAAAGAACAGGTCAAAGGAGTTCACGCACTGTTCGGCGCCCAATCGCGTCCTTCGAACATACCGTGAACACGATGCGTCGGCTTGAGCTGTTGCCGAAGTACGGAGATACTGTTGTATGCCAGCACGGCCGCGTCGACCGCGTTCTGGCCTTCCCAGGGCGAGAGTGCCGCGTGAGCGCTGTTGAGAAGCTGGCGTTAGATACGGCGTCATCTACTCGCAGATAAGTAGGTTTACGTGTGTCCGTGAAACTCGACAACGATCCGTTGAAGCGCAAGACAACTGCTCAGGCTCGCAGAGTAGGGAGGGCCTGGGGCAGGGTGGCACCTGTGCTCTGGAGGTTAGTAGATGAAGAGCACAGGCTGAAGACGTGGCATACATCAAGCAGGCATCCATGCCTTCATAAGCGCCTTTCTCGAGGAGGATCGCTTTTCCAGATCCACCCTCTTCCGCTGAAATAGACAGCTTGTTCGCGCGCAGGTAACGCGAAATATGACCTCGAGAACTCACCTGGAGTGCCGAGCAGGACGATGCTGCCAGAGATATCGAACTTTTCCATCGTCGCCTTCGCTGCGCACGCAACCGCAACGCCGGAGATTGCGATCAAGTTGTGCCCGCAGGCGTGTCCGATGCCGGGGAGAGCGTCCATTTCCGAGTTCACACCCAAGGTCGGACCGCCGTTCCCGCGCGTGAACTTGGCGACCCACGCGGTCTCGAGGAGGTGGTGATGGGTGACCTCGAAGCCTTGCTTCTCCATAAATGCAGTCAACACGTCGTGCGCATGACTGCGACAGAAGTGTGTTTAATGCATAGGAGCGAGGAAGTATGCGAGAGCTTGCTCACCGTTCCTCAAACCGCAGCTCTGGATGATCTGCAGAACGATTAGCGTGAGAGGGTTGAGGAGACTAACATCATACCATGAATGTCTTGATTGAGATCGAAGAGATCACCATCCAGTGCGGTAATTGTCGCATCGATGTGCTCAAAGAACTCGGGGCGATGAACAACGCCGTTTACGAGCTCGTCAGTGCGATTAGCGTCCGAGACAGTGTCTCCGGGCTGCCAGGTGCTCTTGGGTGCGCCTTGAGCCATGATAACGACAGTAGGAGAGAAGGTTCAGAGCGCTACGTAACTTAGTAATTCATCTAATCAGTTAAGGGCCGGTCATCACGCGCCGTGAAGACGCCATCCCCCCAGGGGCCAAGGTGTTGGCACACAGTGATCCCGAACTTCGCACCGGACCTGACGCATAGTTCCCTTCCCAGTGCACTTAACTTCCGCCGTCTTGAACCGTCTGAAATAGATCCGCGTGTGCTCGCGGTGACATTCGCATATCGACTGCACAAGACGCGAAGCGGCGAGCTAGGCTCAAGAGCACCTTGCTGGGGGGCGGGCGACCGACACGTGAAGGCAAGTGAATCTCAAGTATTATGACAAAGTATGTCCTGAGTACGTACTGGCTCGCTGAAGCTTCAGACGTGTGTTTGGTCTAAATACCATAAGTCGTGTGAGGGTCGCGGGAGCATAGTGGGGCTCCTGCGAATCCTTGCAATCGGGGGACCTTCCTGGACGGGAAATATTGTGATAGCATACTGTGCTGGAGGTCGATCTTGGACCGCGAATTCTACGCCGATGGCCGTCGGCCTCTTCTCTGTTTACGCTTGACCTCTGTCGAGGGTGGAGGCGTTGTTAGGACCTCAGGCTCGGGGGTTGCGACCGCGTCGACGTGAGGATCAGGTCGGAGCGCCTAGTCGTGGTCTTGTGGAATGGCGCGAAGGGAATGAGCGAGAGACAGACACAGCATGGCAGTAAAAGAGAGAGGAGAAGGGAACGAGACGGGCAGGAAGAGAGAAACTCTCGCGAGGCGACGCCATTAACCCAATGGTAGGGTTTCTTTCTCGGACTGGTCAATTGGAAATCGATGGCGCTTACATAATCCCCGCACCAGTCACGTTCTAACTTCTTCGCCACCTCCTCTCTCGCGAGACTTACTTACCGGGCGTTGACAGATGTTTGCCGTTCGTCTCTCTGGGTTTGCCGTTCATAACTCTGTCCTTCTCCGGCCCAGATTAACGTGCTTTCCCGGCAGCATGGCTTGACCGATCGCTCCGCGGCGGCTGCCCCAGGCGGCCCAGGACGATGCCATACGTCTGCTTGCAGACAGTTAGGGGCCGATTCACCCTCAGGATTAGCACGCTCGCGGGATCGCACTCGTTTTGGTCCTCCCAGTTTCCACGTATATATTGGCAGCATCCGAGACCGATTCCACACGCGTTCGTCCCTCGACCTTGCCCCGACCAGCGTGACGAACTGGTCAGTCCTTTCCCCCCACCTTCCGAGGCCGTACATATGCTCACACCCTGGTAGATACGCGCTCTCCTCAACTCCAGTCACAGTTATGGGAAGTCAACCGACGTACGCGGCCGTTCATTGTACCGCGAGCTAGCGTGCTGACGTACGCGAACCAGTCTTCAGAACAAATGGGCGGTCGTCGGAGGGGCCCTCGGTAGGTGGCACACCCGCAGTACGAATCTGAATTGTCTGACGCATTACCTCGGTCCCAGGCCTCATGACCTATGACCACATGCTCTCGATTGGTCGCGAGGTTGAGTACGTCTGGAGGAAGAAGATGACAACTGCAGGCGGGATATATATCGCCATCCGTTACGCTTCAATGACCTCCAACTTGCTCATGTTCGTCAATTTCTTCCCTTGGCCGGGAAAATCATCACCAGTGAGAGCATTTCAGAGCCCCGATGCTAGACGCCTCTGACGGCCTTGACCTGACAGAAGTGCGCACCCGGCTGCGCCTCAGCTCTTTGCAGTGCACACACTAATCTGCGCTACCGCGCCGCAGGTGTGCAGGGATCACAGTGGCGTTTGATTTAATGGGTGCCATCATCATCATGGGTGCCGCGTGTGCGTTCTTCAGTCGAAAGCTAAGTCTGCCAATGACTAACCACAGTACTCCGTAGCGTTCTCATCGCTGCGAGCGTACGCGTTGTGCCAACGCAAATACATCGCTATCATAGTTTTGGTGCTAGGGTGTATGAACGCCGTCCCCTCGATTGTGAGTATTGCCATCCTTTCTTCCCCTTCACTGTGTCGAACTCAACCCTGGGCCTCGCTCAGTACGCAGCGATTAGGAACAGGGCCGGATACAACCCAGGACCCAATAACCTCCGCACCGTCTGCGACGTAGATTTCTCGCAATTTCTACCACTCCGAAAGTCAGCGCGCGACCTGTATCGTGAATCGAGCTCCAGCTAATCACCTCCTTTTACAGTGGTCCGTTATCGTGTTATCTCTCGATGGACGTCTCTTGACTTGGTTTGGCACTTAACAGCGATCATCTTCGGGCGTTCCTGCGGGGTCATCGGCGACTTTATTGTTCTGGTTTTGACGTGGAGACATGCAGGACCGCGCAAGGGCGGACCGAAGAGGTTTTCTATTACAACGGCTCTTTTCCAAAACGGTAAGTACCTTGTTTCGGGTCACCGAGTCTGTACATTGACGCATCCACTACATTGTAGGTCTTGCATACTTCGGGTGAGCGATGCTTCCCTTCCGCGTTTGTTCTCGTCGCTCACATTTATGCTTCCAGTGCACTTTGCTTTGTCAACCTCTTGAATCTTGTTTTGGTCAACCACGTCGAGGTAACGCCTAATGCGCTTGATACCTCTAACATACTCCAAAGCTGATTCCGCCTTTCCAGCTGTTGCTCAACCTCCTGGGTATCATCAGCACGTGCGTCTTCCCGCCATTCCACTCCGCCCTCTCCGCTCACAACCTCCCGACGCAGCACGACGGTGGTCTTCACCTGCCGCTTCATCCTCGACCTGTTCGAAGCGAGCGACGGCACGCGCATGGACACGGTCCCGACCTTGCCCAGTATGGCGCCGTCGCGCGCGGTCGGGCTCCGAAACGTCGGGGCTGTCAGCACGACTGGACGTTCGCAAGGGGTGTTCGACGCGGACCTCACGTTGCGCGGCGCGGACGACTGCGAGAGCGTCTGCGACAACAAGCCCGACTTCGACGCCTACGAGCTCCAGATGAACCCGGGTCGGAAGTAGTCGCACCCGGGAGAACACGCGCGCCCCCTTATTCCGGGTCGCGAACCTTGTGATAGTTGTCGCCACATCTCGGAGGCGGCGGGCGTTCGCTTTGCTTAAATCTTCTGTCCTCGCGGCTCCTCGGTTGTTTTGGTTCCTCTCGCCCTCTCCTTCTCTCCCTTTTTGTCTCTCCGGTCTGACTCCGCGTGCACTGTACTTCACTCGTATAGCCCATATATCCGTAGCACAGTAGGGGACGATCCCCGTGTTCACCTAAACCCAGACCTTGCACCTGTCACTTATCGTGCCACCGGCTCTATCGGACTGCGAACGCGACATAACCTTGGGTCCGAAGACGAGGGTGGATGGGGGCTTGACCCGGCACTTCCCTTTTGCGCCGCGCCAGGGGCCGAGTCCGGCGGCTTGCGCTGCCCTCGGTGCGGCTTCCCTGCGGGACGCCTTGCTGCTGAGATCCGGACAGGTCCTTGCGAGCCGCGTGGTAAAGAGGAAGAGGGCGTCGATCGACAACGAGAAAGCCTCGCCCGATCCGACCGCCAGCGGCTGTCAGCCCGCTTTCTTGGGCGCCAAGTTCTTTTGGCTGGATTCGCGCTGTCGGGGATCCACATGCAGAGAGAGAGTCGAGGCGAGAAGGAAATACACGCGGAGTCCGGACGGCGTTACATCTGCCCAACACCGCCCACACAACAGCGTCCTCCGACTCCGGACGACATCTCTCAACCGCGGTATCGATCGCGTTCACTCAGAGGGCGGGCATGCCGGGCGTCGCAAAATGCAGAGACGGGCCAATGACGGGGACGGAATGGGCGGCCTCAACCTCGGGGAGGCCAGATGCTGTATGGAACGCAGCCGCAACGGGACGGGTGCATTGGGAGTAGTGAGAACGTCGCGGAGGACGGTGGGAGCGCGAGTGAGAGATCAGGCACCGAGAGGTGACTGCGCGAATGATCTCACGACATGTGATGTCTGATAGGCATCCGATCTGTGCGGGTCCCTCGTCTTGAGACTACGAGGAGAGCAGGAAGGACGGAGAGCTCACCAACCTGGACATGACGCGCGATAATGAGTGAGACGAACACGTAGTAGAACCCGAGATTGCTCTGACTTGCGCAGAAAGTTGCGAACACTGGGATTTTCGCACAAGCCGGTGGCGCCACGGCGACGCGGACTCAGGCGGACGACAAAGAGAGAGCAAGCTGGCTGAAAGATGTATTCACGCTGGACGCTGCATTGTTGGAGGCTGGAACTTCTGTTCAACATCCTCCCTTGTAGATTTCACATGACGCAGATGAGGAGAGGAGCGCGTTTGAAGCGCATATAATCGCGTCAGGAAGACCTCTTCGAAAGCGGAGCAGGTAGACGGGGGAGGGAGGCATAAAAATCGTAGACGCAGAACTAAACAGGAAGGATGTGACGTACTTCGGCAAAGGTGCGTCCGTCTGCACCTCCGTGCCCACAAACAGCTTCAAGTAGGCGCAGGGCTTCAAAGAATGGAGCTGGAGAACCCGGACGAGGAATACTGAGCGGAGGGGTGAGGGATTCCAAAATCTCAGTCAAAAGGATGCGAGCAGATGCGCTCAGCCTGTCGTCGAGCTCTCGCTGAACAGTGGTGGGATTTTCGGGCGGGGCAGGAGAGAGTGCGGCATCTTGCAAGGGGATGCAGTCAAGATAGGGATTCAGAGAAGCGCACGTGTCCATGACGACACGCCGCAGGTGCCACGAGCCGAGATACCCAACGTCTATGCGGATGCGCGGGTGCCTGGCGTTCGGATTCAAGCGTCATCCCAGAGCCCTTGGAACGTATTGCAACGCCAAACCGTGTTGACATAGCCTCCCCGAGCCGGGAGGATCAATCCGAGGCTGTTGCGAACAGTTAGGATAGGTTCAAGGAGCGGAGCCCAGCAAATTGCTCACTTGCTTATCTCTATCCGTGGGATACTCGAGCGTGATGACATTTCTGTACCGCACAGAATTCGATGCCCTCGAACTTCTTGGGCGACAAGGAGGCCCGAGAAAGCTGAAGATGTGACACAGCGGAAGTATGGCATATAGTGGGCGCCGCCGCCGGGCCGCCCGCCTAAGGAAGCGCTCACTCACCCATTAAGTTGGGTATTCTCTAGCGATGTTCAAGTATTAGACGAACAAGGACATAATCACTTACTCGCTGTTATTGTACACTAGCCCACCTAGGACAAGCATCGTGGGGCTATAAACCGAACGTTGTGGTTCCACACTTGTTCCACACCGTGTCAGTTTGAGCCACCAAATGCGTCCGACTCGACGCGGTTCGGGAAACACATCCCTGTGGTCTAGGCCGCGGCCGCTCTGTACTGCCGCACCCCGCCACCGCCTACACGATCTGGGGACGAGACCACATTCCTGCAGCTGATCGATGTTCCGACTCCCGAGCGGCGAGTCGAAGCCGCTCGACGTGATATGTAAGCGAGTGAAACCTCGGGAAAGTCAGAACGTGTGACACCGCGCCCCACTTGGCGATCTGATGTTTGAAGGGACATTGTCCGGATTTCGACCGCACACTTAGCTTGGCCCCGCGTGATCTAGCCAGACTCTCTATGGACTGAGCCGGTCAACGTTGTGTCAAACAAATAAGCTTGAGCACTCACGGTTCGAACACGCCGCCGTGGACCAGAGGCACATCGCCAGGGACAGCAGTACTTGCCAGGAGGCAGGGAAAAAATGCGGTATGCGGTGAGACGAACCACACTCGGCACAGCCGGTACTTAAGCAGAGCCACACGCGATCGCCGGTTGCGGCGGTGCGCAAAAACTGCCCCACCCGCCGTTTCACATCGCCGTGGTGCCTCGTCGTGTGGGACCCTGGCCGTGTGGCTCACCGCGGCATTGTCTCGTTCCCGACCTTCAGAGGGTCTCTGAACACGCCCGCTAAACTTTGCGCGTGCCCAATACTCTGTCTCGATGTTTGATATGTGCTCCTTGAGTGTTCAGGAAGTCTGGGGGGATGTGGAGATGTTGCGGGGGGCGGGGTGTAGGATAATTGTAACGGCGGACTCGATCGTGATGCGAACTTTGCCGTGCTCAGAGCTCGGGAGACGGTACGCTCGTGACCATCCGATCGGTCAACACTCACAGGCCAATGGGGATGGGCGGAGTTTGAAAGTCGGGATGTTTCGAAGACCACGCGGAGTCCGAACGGACCGGCTGATACCGAGCCCGTCCCCCCGGCGACTGGAACCGAGACTAGCGCAACCGACGCTTTTCCTCGAGCTGCACTGCAACCGACCACGTGTGCGGGGAGCTGCAGCCTGGAGGACAATCAGCCATAGGCGGCCTGGAGGCTGGGATGTTCGGCCCCTCAACAAATTGAACAGCGCGGTCTGCCGCACGTCCAGCAAGCCTTCCTAACTCTCATCTGGGCAGAACGATAGCATATTGCATTGTAACCACTAATCAGAAGCAGAACATATCCAGCGCGAGACCGAGTACTACCCGGCGGTGTAGGACGGGCGAACTAGGCCAAGCGTGATACTACATGAGGCGTACGAGTACTGTACGACGGGAAATGTCTGCGGATGCTGGGAATGCGAAGGCGAAGCGGGACACGATGCGGGTTGCGGGGTCATGTTACTAGGCATGGTATAAGCTTGGCGTGAGTCACGGTTGGAAGGAACGTGTGGGTGGGCCCGACACTTGCACCGGGCGCGCGTGCGAGATGTCCAGGACCAGGGAACCCGGGGCGACCACCGGGACGGCAGTCTAGAACGCGCAGGCGGCGACCCCGACAGCGGCGAGGGCAGCGAGGACGTTGACACCATGCGCGCTGGCGGCGTTAGGCTTCGCGGTCCCCGAGCTCGAGGGCGAAGTCGAGGACGGAGTAGTCGAGCCGCTCGCGGAGTGCGAGGTACCCGAGGTGGCGGGTGATGTCCCCGACGTGACGGGTGAAGTACCCGACGTGACGGGTGAAGTCCCCGACGTGGTGGGTGAGGTCCCCGACGAGGTCGCAGGGGAGGTCAGGGTGACGCCCTGTGCGCAAGGCCGGAATCAGGATTGGAAGAAGCTGAAGAAGTGAAAAAGAGACGTACGACGGCGAGGCAAATTGCGCTGGCGCTGGCCTCGGCGGTCTGGATGTCATCTCCAGAGCATGCGGACTCGATGCAGGAGGTGACAGAGGAGACGTAGGACGAGCTTTTGCAGAGACAGGCGTTGTCAGTAATGTCGCAGCTGCCGAGGTCGGCGTCCGTGAAGCACGAGACGGAGCAGTCTACAGCGGGCGTTAGGTGGAGACAGCAGAAGTGAGCGAGGAAGTACACACCAGGGAGGCTCTGACGACCAGTGAGGGGCGAGCGCATGGACACGGCGGACGCAGCGGCGACGAAAGCGAGGACAGCGAAGGAACGCATGGTGAGTGCAAGGGTGTGTGAGGGAGGGGGGAGGGTGTGCGAGGACAAAGGGCTAGGGAAATCAGGCAGAGGAAGGCGAAGGAAGTAACTCGAGGAGCTGCTGAAGAGAGTGGGCGAGGCACGGGTCCTTATAACCAGGGGTGGGGCGGGGAGATCGGCGAGAGCTGGGAGCGAACCGAGGTGTCGCTGATGCCAATCATTACCCCGCCGCACACGATCAGGGAGGAGCCGAAAGCGGTGGAGACCAGTTGGAGACCAGGGTCCAGGAGAGCGTTCCAGAGCCGTCGTCAACGACCGCGCGCCTCAAGCGCGCCTGGTCAGTCCCCGCCCGATTAGCGCCCAGTGGCCGCGCTCCTTGGCGCTTTTTTTGATACCACTTCCCTCCATGCTCCCGAAAGGCAAACAGATGTGCGTTATCATCTTGCACGCTTGACGTCCTTACATGCCGACTCCCAATCACTCTGATCAGCCAGCATCGGCAAGCCTCTGCCCATGCCCTTCGAGATGCATGGTGAAAGCGATGAAGCCGGGCTTCTGGCCATGAGGCGATCCTCAAGAGCAACGAGCCCGTCGCTCGTGAACGCGTGAACCCCTCCACCACGGCCGCTCACCGGTACCTCAACCCCCTCTTATTTTAAGCATGTTAATCACTCGGCCCCCAGTCATCAGCACCCTCTTGCTCAAGATCCCTCTCTTGATCTCCCCGGCCATATCTTTCTACGGTTCAATGACTCATCCACGCACCAACGCACCACCAGGGCGCGCGTCGTCCGTCGACATCACCTTACCAGAACCATCGATGCCCAGGTTCCCTTCATCACAACCTACAAGGTTCATCTCTGCGCGCGACCTCCGCGCTCCTACCTGTCGCTCATTCTCGTCACAGTACATCGTCTGTGGGCTGGCCCTAGCAGAGGCGGGCCTCCTCGCCGCTCACTTCGTTCCCCCGAACCCGGTCTCTGGCCCCATCATCGCTCTCTTAGACACAGGTGCTGCGCCATCTTCCCTCCGCTCCTCCTCCGCCTCCGCCCTCGGCCTGGTCTGCGGGACAGATCCGCGTATGGTGCCAAAACACGCTCGGGAAGCACTTCACGTGGAAGGTCGGCGTGCAGGACGACCACGAACTCATCACTAGCGGTCCATACCGTCGTCCGGCACCCGGGCTACGCCGGCGGGCTGCTCATGCTCGCCGGGACGCTGGCGTACGTCTTCGATTGTGGGAGAGATTTGGCGAGCAGCCTGTGGACGGCATACGCCGCGCGCATCCCGTGTCGTGTCGTCCCTTTCGTGTACTAGGCGACAGCTCGTCGCGGTGCGTTTTTGGCTGTGTCTAGTTTGAACTGGCATGGTATGTTCATACCGTGTGCTAGGCCCATACATACATGGACTACGAAGTATAACTACCAGATACTTTGCAGTACTCGCTGCAACGCACGGAGCCCATCAGCGCTATGCACGCATTTTCGAAGAGGAAATCCGGCACCATCATGAGATGAGACGCGGGCGATGGGCAACCTTAACTCCGTACAGTGCGGTTGTCGTATCGAGAGCTACGAATATGGCATATACGGACGTTGCGAGTTCTGATTCACTGCTCGCAAGGGTTCGGCCGTTGCACGACTCGCGCATCGGACATGCGTAGGCTCTTTATGTTGATTATGAGCGTCGAGGAGCGATAGGAACGGGGTGTCTACTAGCCCGAACAAAACACCAATGAACGCAAGGAAAGGAAGCGGAGGGTTGGAATGGGAGGATGTCGGTCAAGACCTGTCCGGACTGGAGACGCTATGGGGAGCAGGTCAGACACAATCTCCAGCACATATCGGGGTGAAAGTGAGAGGGATGGCCGCGGTGCGGGTAGAGGGTGATGCAAGGGAAGGGAAAAGGACATTCGTGAACGCAGACAGATCTACAGTATGAACGCGACGTACTTCCGCAAGAATAGTGCTGGAAGAGTGGGGGGGACTGGAAGACGCGAAAGTAAAAGGAGGTGGGGACTTACTTCAGCAACCTAACCCCGGCAGCAGCACTACGCAGGAGAAATGGCCCATATCTAGGGCAGGACTCAGACCCAGAAGCCGCGCGAGAGCTTGAGCTTGAGGACCGATGTGCAGAATGCCCCAAGCTCGGTGGCGCGACAATCATCGAAGTGATGCTTGCTGACGTTGAATTGGAGCCGTCACGGCCTCGGAGTCACGGTAAGCTTTCGAGCAGAGGGAGGATCATGGGCGGAATGAGGCATAAACATCGATTGACGACGGAGAGCAGACGAGAGTGGCGGGGAGCGTCCCGAAGGAGGGCTCGTCCGACGCGCCGGCTACCGGCGAGCTCCCGGACCGACTCCGCGCTCGCTCGCGGCGGCGGCCTTCCACACGGCGCGAGCTCGACTGCATATACGAACCGTGCTCGCTCTTGGACAGCTTTCATCTCCTTCGTCGTCTAGGCACTCACGGTCACTTCTCAAATGAGCGCGACAGTGCGTTACTTGTCCAGCCCCCGCTATAGTACATACATCATGCCGCCATCAGTCTCATTCAGCACGAATCACGTCGCCTTCGTTCCGACCAAAGTGCACTCCACCACCCTGATCCGCCCATACCACCCTCGACCCATCGCGCGACACCACCACCTTCCTCACGTGTTTGGTGTCTAGCGTCGGCAGGAGACGGTAGAGGCACCCGTTGTGCGTGTCCCAGAACCACGATCGACGGTATTTCGCCCCCCTGTGGCCCACGTCTCGGTGGGTGCCGTTCTCCCAGAAGATCCCCACCGGGAAGTCGCCTTCGACGATATCTGAAAGAAAACCTCCGGTCCGTGTCTCCACGACGCAGCACGACCAGGTGGTCGCAGACGGCTCGGCGTCCGCGACGCACAAGGCGCGCTCCCCGTCCTCGGATAGGGCTATCGTCTTGAACCCTGCTAGAAGGTCCCGCGTGTATGTCGTGAGCGGATCACCCGCGGGTTCATCCTCCGCCCCGGAGTCGACCAGGAGCGAGCCGGTGTAGGTCACGGCGAGGACGGCGGGTGTGCCGCAACCTTCGTCATGCCGCAGAACGGCTTGGGAAATCATAATGTCGGGTCTAGGGATGCCTTGGACGTTCCCACCAAACCGCGGATGGTATGTTGCAGAGCTCAGATCCCAAACCTCGACGTATTCCTGCGCGGCACGAAAGACCTTGACCAGAGCATAGAGGCGGCCGTTGGAAATGCGCATCGATAGCCTGGCATGTAGAATAGGTCTGAGGTTTTCCATGCGGGAAGGGCGTTTGAAATGGAGGTTTTTCGTGTTCTCCGGGTCAACCATGAAAACGTCTCCGCCACACGTCAAAGTGAGGATGTATGCGCCATCCGGAGACCAAGCAGAGGCTAGGATGTCGTCATCCATTTCCACCACTGACCTCTCTCGCGCCGGTCGGTTGTAGCCGATTTCCAATTCGTTCGTGTGGGTTCAATCGCAAATATGGAGACATTCTTTGACGGAAAATATCAGAAGGGTGCCAGAGGGGGAGAATACTGGTGAGCTTGTATAATCATCTAATGTGCTATCATGCCACTGTTCGAGCACGGGAGGACCTCCAGTTCCAGTGCCCCAGACCATTGTCGATCTTCCGAGGCGAAGCGAGCCTATACTTGATAGTGATTTGCTGGCTGCCCAGTCTCCATCTGGAGAGACGGTGAGATAATAAGCGCTGCCAGGATGGCCGTAGAGCACAGGCGATTTCCCTGGTGCATCCGTTGCGATAGCCTATCAGCAGCTACGGATGCATCTGGACGGATCTGGCGATCCGTGATGCGCGCCCGTGGAGACGCGCCTCGGTGGGCGGCAAGGACGCGTGGCGCGCATCGACGCGTGTCTGTGATGCACGCCACGCGTCCCTCCCTTCACCGTCCTTGCTCTCCTCCACCACCCTCGCTACCCCCAGCCTCCCCGCTCAGCCCAGGCAGACGATAGCGACCATACGGTCGACTGTCGTCTGCTATTGGACCCCGTGTCACCAGGTGACACCGACCTTCCCTTCTCCGACCTCCCTCGACCTCGACCTCCTCCCTCGACCTCGATCCCACCCTATACCGACCCTCCCAACCGCACTCAAAACAAACAAACCGCACGAGGACGTCCATACGGACGTCCACAGTATGGAGATTGGAATAGGGGGCCGCGGCGATGTACCGCGGCGCTCGTTGGTGAGTCCTCCGCTCGGTCCCTCTGCACTCCCGGATCCCACCCATGCCCCCTGCTACGACAGACCGAGGACGTCCACCCTGACGTCCTCCTCTCCGAGCCGCTCTCCTCCGCCCGCATCGCCCACCTGCGCCATCCGCCTGTGCATCGCCCTCCTCCTCGCCCTGCGCCACCCATGCCTGCCGCCTCCTTCGCGCCGCCCTCCTCTGATCACCCGCCTCCTCCGCATCACCCACCTCCTCCCACCCACCGCGCTCTTCCACACCGCGCTCCTCCGCGCACCTCCTCCGCCCGCGCAGCCTCCTCCACGTCTCCCGGCCCACATCGCCTCCTTTGCCCGCGTCGCCTCCTTCCCGCGTCACCTCCCGCTCGCGTCGCCGGCTCGTCGCTCTGCGCCTCCTCCCCCTTCGCATCGCGCACCACCGCCCGCATCGCGCACCACCTTCTCCGCCTTGTCCCGGCCCTCCCGGTCCCCCCGCGAGCCCTTCGCGTGCTCTCCTCCGCCTTCGCGTCGCCCTCCTCCGCCTTCGCGTTCCCTCACCTCCGCCACGCTCGCCTTTGCGTCGCCCTCCTCCGCGTCTCCCGCGGTCACGTCGCCCACCTCCTCCGCCTTGTCCCGACCCTCCGCCTCATTCTCTACGTCGCCCTCCACCTCCTCCCAGTCCCTCCGCCTCCTCCTGGCCCTCCGATTCACGGCGCCCTCCACCTCGTCTTCCTTATGCTGCCCTGCTCCACATCACCCGCTACTTACTAGCCCACCTATGTAGTAGTTTAATAATAAATATATTTTGATTCCTAATCATAAGATGCGGTGTGAAACAAAGAGGGAGGCGAGCTCACCGTCGGAGACAGCGAGCTCAGGTGGCAGGGTCCCGAGGCGCCGGTGTCCGGACATCTCGGACAGCGTCGCACTCGTGCGGCCGGAGCGCGCTCGGGGAAGGCGGTGTCGAGCGCAACCGGGCCGGCCGGCACCAGATGCATCCGCACCTGCCGATAGGCTATCACAATGGATGCACCTGGTGAATCACCACTGTAGGGCCGTATGATCCTGGTGTAATGGTTGCTGCAAATAGAAAGCAATGTCAGAGTCTAGAGAAAGGAACAAGGATCATATGTGCAAAATATGGCGCACCATCGTTCTCAAAGACTATATGGAGAAGTTTCTGTTTGTAAAGAGAAGACAATAGGCGCTGCATCCACATTCGGAAATGATCACGGAGGTTCATGGTCGAGTTTTTGATGATGAAAGTGATGCCCTTCCCGTTCGGGTATTTCGCGTGATCTTGCACAAGCCGTGAAAGGGCAAGAGAAGTATCCACAACGTGTTTCTTGTCGATGTCGAAGTGAAATAAGTATGCGAAATTGCTGTGAAGAATGATCCGCAGAGAACGCAGGGATTTTGGAAGGTCTCCACCCTTGAACCCTAGCTGTTCCTGAATCTCCGTGGCTTTGAGCGAACTGTTGAATCCTTCAGCGGTTAACTCCAGGGAAAGACAGCTGATGTTCGAAAATCCTGTGAGGCGGGAGGCTGTGAAGAATGCATTTAGCTGAGAGCTCCCTTGTCTCTCAGGAACCGCAAAAGTACCTGGAGTAGTCAACCACGTGGACGTAGTTGTGATGGTATCGTTCCACAAAACTTCTGAGAACCTTGTCATTATCTTCATAACACATCAAGTCAGCTCGCACTCAGACGTCTGGATAGGATTATCTCACCACAAATTTCTTCAAGCGGGGCTGTTCATCAGGGACGGAATTCCAATCATGGAAGGTACGGTTGAGGTTGTGCCACTCGGATAGCTCGAGTGTATCGAGGGCAGGCAGTGCGCGAAAAATCCGACGGACGTGATGATGGGTGGGAAAGATTTGGTAGTTAACCGTGAGTGTCTTGAGTGCGGTGTAGTGCTGGAGACGAGAGAACACAGCGCTCGGGAAATGGATGCCGTCACCGTGTTCTGAGTACATTTCTAGACTCGTGATGCGGGATCCGATGAAGGGGAAAAGAACTGCGAGCGCCGTGTGGGGAAAGTCGCCGCGGCGATCGGCCTCGAGCCGGATGGCGTGTATGAACCGACTCAACTGAGAAGAGTGCTCAAGTGCTGTACGAACGGAATCGAGGCCGTCCTTGCCATTGATTGTGACTTTGCGCCAAAGGTTGAAGGTTGCCCTCGGAACCCAGGAGCGGCAGACACGAGCGCAGGTGGAGAGCGTACGGACGTCTTCCTGGACGCCGAGGTCGTCGAGAACCCTCTCAGCGACTTCGGTTGGTACCGGCCGAGATCTCATCGAGGACGGTGGGGGTCGATGGGGATATACAGATGGAGAGGACATTCTGAGTTGCTGCGTGTGCGGCGAAAGAGAAAGGAGAAAGGCGTGATGGGATGTGCCATCGGATAGCGGAGGCAAAGCAGCGCGATACCTGGGTCACGCTACGTCCACGTTCCCACCGAACCTAAGAGTCTCGGCCCGATTGATCCCGCTCTTCAACAAATACCTCCGACCTCAAAATCTCTATCGCGGACTCCAGCAGAAAGGCATCTGGTTCTAGCTACGTTGTGATCTTTGCAAAACGTCTCTCAAATTGCTCGGTAAGTTATGAGCAAGTACCCCAAGGCGGATATGTATATATTGTCTTCCTCGTCGAACGCCCTCAAGGGCAAAGCACTATGGTAGGCGTATGATACCCCCGTGGGGCGAACGATGCGGGGACAGCACCTGCTGGTATCGACGCCCCACCCTCGAGCCTCGAGCCTGCTGTGATTGGAGAACGGGGCGGAAGACGGTGCCAGGACGAGATCCGGCGTCTTCTGGAACCTCGCGATCCAGGTCCGTCGCCGGCCCTGGCACGTCAGGTGCACGGAAGCAGCGCGTGCCCGGAGTTCTTGCTGTCGGCACGTCGTCAGTGCCACACCCAGCGCGCGGAGTCGGGAATGACGTCATACACCCTACGGCGTACTGCGCCGACAGCGACGTTCGATGCGCTCGACCCGCAGTCGCGGCCAGGACGGGCTCAGGAGGCACTGGCCCGGGTGCAGCTCCGGGGAGCGGTGTCCGGCGGCTTGCGTTGCTGGACGTACACCCCCAGGCGGCGCGCCGCCGGAAACAACGTGTAAGAATGCGGGCGGGGAATTCCTCGCACGAAACGTGGATTCAAGCTGTCGGGCCGCAACGCAGTTTCCAGGGAGGGGATGGCTGGAAGTCAGATGTTCGACAGGTGGTAAACAGCTGGTTGATACGTGGATTCCGCCTGACAGATTTGCCCCCGATAAAGGTACCCGACACCGCGCAGGCCCTTTGTTTTGAGAGTCACAATGAATAAAATAGTGACCAGTGTGACATATGTTTGTCAGCCACCGTGTCGGTTGCATTCGGCATCACGCGGGAGCTACGAAACTGGTCCGCGCACTAGCAATTACTCGAAGAACAAATGCATTAGACCTCTATTGAAGACAGCAGTAAAGGAACGACTACAGGAGGGGGTTCTATACTAAGATCACCCAGGTCGTCGAGCCGCTCAGTGGCATTGTTGTCAGTGGGCTGAGGATGATGGATGCCAGAAGCAGGTCACGAAGCCGCTCAGACCTCGCACAACTGCGGTGTCCTTGACAGCAAAAGGGGAGTAGACATGTGTAATTGCACAGTGGACATTACATACCGGGGTGGTGCCGACGTAACCCGATAACTCTCGGCACTGACATGTCCTCCGGTCGATAATGGGGACTTCAAGCTGCTGTCCTTCTTCTTTGGTAGCCTGTTCATGTGACGTTCTATCAGGTAAGGCACACGAGCAAAATTTGGGCTTACATGTCTGTGAAGCAGCCCTTAGGAGGAAGCAGCTGTGGTGCAAGATCGGAGGTGGCGGTAGAAACAGCGAGGAGGGATTGAAGACGAACAAGAGCCGCGCAGCGCGCTGCTGGCAGCTGCGGCCCAAAGGTCTGTGCGTGGGAACAACCTTCCACAGATGGGGTTCGACCGTCTCATGCCGTCAAACTCGCCGTTGGCGTTTCCTAAGTCCTCATTTACCGGCTTCCTGATTGTGGGAAAATATATGAGTGTGAACGAATTTTGTGCACACCTCGTGCGGCGCGTTATTGCTCATATAGGAGGACAATATCGAGGACTCTCATGCAGAATGAACTACGGTGAGATTCTCTGTGTCACTGTACTCGAGTGTGACACACTGGACCCAGGTTTGGCTGGGCGCCTAGCTGTTCCAAGGATCTCGGCGGCCAGCGGCACTCGTCGATTCAGTCATGTGTACGTAATTGTACTGGAAAACGGGCTGACGAGCAGCATGAAAACAGAGGGCATGATGGCCTCTGGCAGCAAGCAGAGCGACAGGTGGATTTCTGCTTGATGAAATGTGGAATCAACGTTGCGGCCCCACCCGTGGAATCCAGCGGTAGCCACGTAGAATCCACCTGTCTTTCCACCGGAATTCTGGCGGGCGGGGCGCCAGCAAGAAATCGGCGGCGCGCCGTCTGGGGGTGTAGTTGGGTCCTTGAGAGTCGCACGGCGTGTCCGGTGAAGAAGAATAGGCATCGATCGACAACGAGGAAGGGCGCCGTTCCCCATCCGTTGGCGCTCGCACCGGTCGCCGGCGACGCCTCGCACGGATGCGGTTGTCAACCCGCTTTCTTGAGTGCCTTCGTTTGGCTGCCTTCGCCCTGTCGTGGACCGTGCACAGACGGAGTAAAAGTCAGAAAGAGATATATGCGGAGTGGCGTCACATCTACCCGACACCGCGTGCATAGCCGCATCCTCCGAATCCGGAAGGCGGCATCGATGGCGCCCTTGGCTGAACCTCAAGCTGGAGAAGACCTCGCGGTAACCGCGGCGGCGACGGGGATCCCGATGGTACGACGAACGTCTATCAGGATCAGGGACGCGGCAGTGTGGAGCGAGAGAGCATGGCGGCCGGTATGACGCGAGCACACGAGAAAGCGAGCTGTCGAAAAGCAGGAGGCAGCGGGGACGCGAAAACAGTCCCGCAGCCGGCCAGACGCCGATGAGCTTTGGCTGTCGCGAGCGTATTTGTCAGCCTTATGCCCGCACTTGAAAGTCCATGTAATCGCACCTGTGGACGAGGATACGGGTCCTCGAGCGGTGAGGAGGGCCAACCGAGTTGAGCTCGACGCCTCCAGGGTGTAGATATAGAGAGAAAAAGTTGAGCATCGTTGGCGTTCCCTGCTGTCGGTGCACAGAAGACGTTAGTCCCGCACGGCAGGCGAAGACGTTAACATGTGTACTTCAGGGACTGCAACGTCTCGGATGATTGATGCGCACTCGATATCCACTGACGGGGGATTGTACGAGCACCCGTGGGGGCGCCGGTGATGTTTATATTCGTCCATTGGTAGCTGCAACTCGACGGATGTCTCCCAAGGCCAGCCCAGATGCGGCCAGCGCCGGCAGAGTGATCGGTGTTGGGCGCGTCCAACCAGCAACGAGAACCACCACATCCGGGGAGTAAGTCTCTTGCTGCTGCCCAGCGCGGAGAAACACATCCAGCTTTTTCCGGCAGGGGTCACGAGGTCGCCATGATAGAAAGGAGCGTGTCCACGCACGCATGCCGATGCGATTGGGCAGTGCGTGTAGGTGTGGGCAGGAAGGCGGATCGTGAAAGGGAAGCTGCCCAGAGATCGCTCTGGGCGGGATCGGACAGAGTAATGGCGTCCGTCGTGCTGGCTGACGCGGGTTACGGTTTCTGTGGGTAAGAGTCAGCGGATGCGTCACGGTGGCATAGCTGAGGGCGATATCGTAGACTCTTAGGAGGATGCTAGCCTGCGGAGGGCGGGCGCGGGGAGCGCCACGAAGGGCAGATATGGGTCGATGATAGGGCATGGCGGAATGGGCGACCTCAACCTCGTGGAGGCCAGCCGCTGTAGCGCAACCGCAGCGGGAGGCATGGAAATCGCGGCTATGGGTGAATCTGGGAGTAGTGAGGACGTCGCGGAGGACGAGGCTGGTGCCCTGCACGAGATAAAGCACCGTGGAGCGCGCGAATGATCGCACGGCATATGCGGTGCCTCATCGTGAGTATAGGGGAGTGGAAGGATGGGGAGTTCACCAGCCTGAACATGACGCGCGATAGACGACTTGAGAAGTGAGACGACCAAATAGCAGAACCCGAGAATGCTCCGACCCGCGCAGAAAGTTGCGACCACCGGGATGTTCTGACAAGCCGGTGGCGACGCGGCGACGGTGACTCAAGTGAACGATGAGGAGAGGGAAAGCTGATGAAAGGATTGGCGGCGTCCCCACGCTGGAAGCTGTTCGAGATACCTCGCATGCCATGGGTTTCACATGACGGCAGGGGAGGGTGCGAGAGAGGGTGGTGGGAGCAACTGCGACCCCTCGGGCTCGGGGAAAGACATGCCGGAAGGATAAGAGGAGAAAAGTGCGCTTGAAGCGCATATAATTGCATCAAGAAGATCGCTTTGAACATGGAGCAGGTAGACATGGGAAGGGACGCAGAAAATTGTAGACAACGAGACGGAGAGGAGGTAACGAACCTTGGCAAAAGTGGCTCCGTCTACACATCCCTTCCCAATAATAGCTTCAAGTAAGCGTAGGGCTTCACAAAATGTAGTTGGGGAACTGGGACGAAGAGGGCGGGCGTACTGGGCGGAGGGGGCGAGCGATTCCGAGAGCGCGGTCCAAGGGATGCTCACAGACACACTGTCACCGAGTTTCAGATGAACAGCTGTAGGGTTTCGGGCGGGGAAGGAGGGAGCGCAACATCTATGGGGGTGTGCTCAAGCCTCAAGGCAGGAATTGACGATGAGGGAGAGGCCGAAAGAGCGTCGCGGAGCCGTTGTCAACAGCCGCGCGCTTGGCCCGGCGGCAGGCAAAACTTACTAGCGCCCAATGACCAGCCGTGCCGCGCCCGACTGTTTTCCTCCGTCTTGCCATCTCCTCATTCACCAACCACCTTCAAAAGGACGGCATCAATGGCACTGCGGCTCAGAAGCAGTGACGCGATCCAGGTGCGCTTCCTCTCTCCTGCCCAAAGCCACTCCTCGACTGGAATTGCCTCAGAGAAGCGGGCCTGCGCGTGCTCGTGGTGACATTCGCGCTTGCGATGAAGCACGTTAGGGAGCTCGGCACATGATCGACCGCGCGCCGCGCACTGGCTGCTTCCTGTCCTCTCCCCAAGTGCGTCTCAATCTCGCGGCGACCGAAGCTTGCGGGAGAGAAAATTCGTACATGTCACTAGCTCGTCGAAATCGTGCAGGATATCGCACGAATCCAGGCGCATAAGTCGGGTGAATGTCACGAGAGCATGGTGCATTCGTTCAATCCTTCTCTGCTGGCATCCGTTCGAGCACGGTCCGTTCAAATACCACCGGCCCACCATACGCAGTCCACCCGAACACCGATCCGTCCGACGTGGCCCAGCACCACGCGCGCGTCAAGTGCGTGTGCATGCTCGAGGGCGCGCATTGCTTTGCGAGCGCGGCGGACGACGGGAGCCTCCACGTCGTGCGCGTGCATGTTGCGCAGAGCGGGACGCTGCCCAAGTATAGCAAGTTGCAGGTCGTGCGCGAGCATCGGACGGACACGCCAGGAGAGTATATCACGAGCATGGTGCACTACTCTACTGGTGAGTGTGCTGGGGTAGTCGTTTGGGGAGACGCAAACTGACTGTTTGCTACAGAAACGGCGTCCAACCTGATATATGCAACGACGCACTCCATCATCACTATCCTCGACCTCCGCACGATGCGCCCCCTGCAGCGGATGGAGAACGCGCGGCACCACGGGCCCATCACCTGTATCTGCCTTGACCGCAAGCGGACGTGGGTCATTGCTGGAACCTCCACCGGCGTCCTCTCCCTCTGGGACATCCGCTTCGGGATCCTCGTCAAGAGCTGGCGCGTCGGCGTCGCGCTCGAGGGCCGCTTCGGGCGCGTGCACCAGTGCGTCGTCCACCCCACCAAGGGCAAAGGAAAATGGGTCGTCGTCGCGGTCGAGACGCCCAAGGCGGCGTCGGACATCGCCTCCCACACGCTCCTCGAGGTCTGGGACGTCGAGAAGTCGGCGCTCGTCGAAGCCTTCTCGACGCGCGCAGTCGTCAACCCGTCTGACGCTGCGGAAGAGCCGCGCGAGGTTGCCGTCGGGGAGGCGGAGGTCAGCCCCGCTGCGGCGATCGCTGCGCTCGTGCGTGCGCGGCAGGAGGGCGGCGCTGCGGACGCGGCGATGTTCGCCGAGGCGGCGATGCCGCCGTTCCCGGATGTGCGCGCCGTCGTGACCGGATCCGAGTTCGGGGGGCACACGGTCGTGCACCGGTCGCACGTCGCAGACGTCGAGAGCAAGTCGGGTCGCTCGTCGGGACGCGGGTTCGTCATCACTGGGTCCGAGGACTGCAAACTCCGCTACTGGGACCTCGGGCGGCCGGAGAAGTCCGTGATCCTCAGCGGCGTAGATGCGGAGGGTGAGAAGCCGACCTATAGGTATGTAAGAACGATGGCGAAGTTGCTGCTCAGCTGAGAGACTTGCTTGCAGCTCGATCCGTGCGCCTGGAGGCACCGCGTCTTCGCACATCGAGACGTGGGTCACCGCGCAGGCTGGAAGCCAACACAGCCGTCCACCACAACGGCTGTCGCTCATCAACCACAACCAGCAGAATCTGCTCAAGGGCCACCAGGACACGATTACCGCGCTCGCGTGCATCGACTCGCCGTTCCGCGGCGGCCTGGTCAGTGGTGATCGCGCAGGGGTAATCAAGGTGTGGAGGGTGGAGGCGTTCGAGCAGTCGTGAGCGACGTTCCTTGCTTGTACGCGTGTAGCTATAGATTTCTCGTTGCTTTCTTTCTGTGCTGTGCTAGGGCTGGATAGACAATAATAGGATTGGGTATTCTCCAAAAGTCGCTCGCGCACGTTAGATTGACGGTCCGAACACGGCCTCCACGTCGATGAGTGATTCGTAAATAAGATATTCCGCGCATCAGCGACGTGAAGTACACTGTCATGTGGTCGTCATGTAATGCGGTATCATGTAGGATCCGTTTTCAAGGTGACCCAGCGCACTTTCAAGCCGGATACAGATTCCTTGGAGCAACCGATTATGTCACTAGCTCCCCATTCCGGGCCCGGCGCAGAAGCTCGGCATCGCGAGCAACTTCTTCATCATCCCAAGTGTCCTCATCCTCGTCGTTCCTTCCAAGGTCGGTTTCTCCGGGGATGTCGTAATCCTCACCCACGTCGTTCTCCCACGAGGACTCTGTCTCGTCCTCGCTGCGCAACACCGTGAGTTCATTAGAATGGATGACGTCTCCACCACCTACTAACCTCTCCAAAGCCCGCACGTAAACATCCCAGTCAATTCCAGGGACGTATGCTATCCTGTTCAACGCCGCCTGCGGGACCAGGTCGCTGAGGAGATCTCTGAATCGCCCCATCGTACTGTCCCGCACTAACGCGACTTCCGTCTGGACCAACACGTGATTGGGGAGCCGATGCACGACGGCCTTTTGCGGGCCGCCTTCGCCCTCCCCGCCGAGCTGAAGGACCATGCGGGGGTGGAAGAGCATCGGCCACTCTGCCCTCGCCGCTGACGTCCAATCCAGGTCGAACGCATCTGAGTCGTCGAGGATGCGGACTGAGGCGAGCACGGGTGCGGCGCTGTCCGTGGGGGATACTACAAGGGGCCGGAGCCCGGTCTGCCACGAGAGAGTGGGGTAGTCCGAGAACACTTTGGGGAGGACCGTCCATATGTCCAGCCACTTGAGCGACGGGGAGCGTATGGGATGCTGGGCGATGGCGGCAGGTTTGAGGGCGGGGAGGACAAGATGTTCAAGAAGAGGACAATACGAATCCAAGCCTCAAGGTGCTGGTGACACGGTCCTGCTGATCCGGCGTGAAGCAGGCATCTCCTGTGTCGGGGATGAACTGGAGGAAAAGGAGACCGGCGCCAAATCGTTCGACTATCTCCATCGGATCCATGGGATTGGCGCCGATTCCGACGGTGAGCTGTTGGAGGCTCGGTAGTGTCCAGTACTTGGCGATAAAACGCGGGAGGAAGGACATGGTACCACAATCCACACGAAGATCGAGGAGCGAAGGGAGAATGAGAGTATGAAAGTCATGATGCGGTTCAATAATACCGTCATCTCGTAGGTGAGAGTTGATCACTACAGAGATGAGTGCCGCGTTCCATCTCCACGCCACTAGTACACGGAGGCAAGGTGTGTGTTGCAGGACCACGTGCAACGCATGCACACTTGCTGAGTTGGAGAGGTCGGCATGGATGTCCAGGTGCGTCAACTGTGATCCAACTACAGACAGCAGTACGTTTCCGGTGGAACTGGGGGAAACGAACCAAGTTGGGTTGAGCACATTGTCCGTCAATGCGACCGAATGCTGAAATGCGTCGGCAAAGTCAAAGGCAGGATGAGAGCGGTGCGTGATCGAGGTAAGATTGGGACATCGGGAGAGGATAGTAGCGAGCGCGGCTCGGCATTCATCGACGGCTTCGAGCAAGACGATGCACGTGTCCATGCGGAGGCTATTGACCATGAGGTGCAAGTCGGAACTTGGTGGTTGTTCGAAAGACATGGTTCTTGCAAGAGGTAAAAACTGACCCATACGTCGGATGACAACGTCCTTGTAGAGCACCTTTGACGCGGCCCACCATGTAGATCTGCAGATAAGAGGAAGCGAAATTTTCGTCCGAAAGGCGCGTAGCCATGTGCTGTCGCTTGACTGAGAGACGGAGGGATTCATCTCGTGCCATGGCCTTCGAGAAACCTCAGAGAATATCTTGACCTGAAGCTCTGGTGGGATGTTGTCAATGGCTCTCGACGGTGTGTAGCGCGGTGATAGCTGCAACAAGATCGAGACTCAGCGACGTCATGAAATCGGAGTGATGCCAATAACAAGCATACTCCAAGAGACTCTAGAAGCGTAGCAACGGTGGACTGCAAGCACAGCAAATTCTGTGTGAGCAACATGTGAATGAGGGGCTCTTCGTTGACACAAAAGCGACTTGAACCTGGCGTAAATCCGAGTTTTCTCGCATCAGACGTGCGTTTTCTCCGGCCACACTTGTGTCATTGTCGGTGGACATGCCGTTGCACACCACTGCAGCGTCACCCATATCGAGCGTGTTCGTTGGCACGAAGTTGTGATATTGGGCAGGGGAGGGCGCTTGAGCGTTCAAATTTGGCGCGACGAGCATCACATGGATTGATTAGGTAAGTACCTCCGGGTTTCGCTGAGTCAGGCCGCCAGCGAATTCTGTACCGCTCCTCAAGCTTCAAGGCCTCACCAGCCTCGCCACGATGTGAAAGTAAGCGTCTCGTCACTTCATATCAGCTGTCAATCCGAACACCAGAAGTGTTTTAGACTGCGTCGTCTGTACGGCGCATTCTTGCCGTCTCGTTAATTGACGCTCCAATATCTTCTCTTCTGCTTGCCACTCCGACACACTTCTAGCAGTATACAAGAGACATCATTAATGGTTTTGAACCAGGGCACGGATAATGGTATGCACGTCTTCTGGCGTCTCACCGTTGGTTAAAAGGCTCGTCAAGTCGCAGAGACCTCACTCAGTGGCAGCCAGCTACTTCAGTCTCCTCTCCAGCCTCTCCAGCCTCCTCCAGCATCTCCTTCACGCCGCCATGAAGTCTTCCTTCGTCGCCCTTGTTCTTTCTGCCCTTGCTTTCTCCGTTCATGCCCTTCCCTCTTCCCCGTACTCCGACAGTGCTCCCCCGTCTTCCGAGTACTCCACCAGCGTAATCCCCTCGTCCGAGCCCTCTTCCGAGCCCTACTCCAGCAGTGCGATTCCTTCTTACCCGTACTCTGGCAGCGAGCTCCCCTCCTCCGAGTACCCCTTGAGTACTTCTTTGCCGTACTCCTCGTACTCCTCGTACTCTAGCATTCCTCCCTCCTCTTCCGCGCATTCCAGCAGCGCGCATACCTCGGCTAAGCCGCATTCCAGCAGTGTCCACCACACTTCCGCTCATCCGAGCAGTGTCCATCGCACTTCCGCCCACCCGACCAGCGTGCACCACACCAGCAGTGCTCGACCTCACGTGCGTTCATCACCCTCTCTCCGATCGCTTCAGGCTTCAGTTGACATGACCCTCTCCAGCCCACTGCTCCCGCGCACCCCGAGTGCTGCGACAGCACTGTGCCGCTCTACCGCGCCTACAGCAAGGCCGCCACCGACCACTTCTACACGGCGTCCAAATCGGAGCACGACCACGCCGTCGCCTCGCTCGGGTACGCCAACGAGGGAACGGCCGCTCAAGTCTTCCACGCCAAGGTCGCCGGCGCGGTTCCGCTCTACCGGCTCTACAGCTCGAAGGGCACGGACCACTTTTACACCACGAGCGCGTCGGAGCGCAGCAACGCGTTGTCGAAGCTCGGGTTCGCGAGCGAGGGCGTCGCGGCGTACGTGTATCCGACCGCGAAGTGCGGGAGCGTGCCTCTGTACCGGATGTACTCGAAGTCGGCGGCGGACCACTTCTACACGACGAACTTGAACGAGAAGAACAAGGCGGTGGCGTCGCTGGGGTACACGTACGAGGGAGTGGCGGGGTACGTGAACCCGGTGAAGGGCAAGGGGTGCTAGGCACGCCGCACGCTATGGTGAGTGGTCACGACACGGATTTCAACCCACGATCAAGGCTTGTTAACTTGCATATTTCAGATTCTATCGTGCGTCGCCAGCGATGCATAATACCCGTCAAGTCCAAACGGACACATTGACATCGAAGCCGTTTCGGTTTCGTGCTCATCGTCTCGTCATTCGTGCTCCGGCTTTGCCTCGTCGTCCGTATATTCATCCCCGTAATCCACATCACCCTGGGAGTTGTCCCCCTCATCCCGCGCCCCGTGCTTTCCCTCTTCGACTTCGACTCCCTCTTCTTCTTCGTCGTTGTAGCACTCTTTGATGCTATCTTCTCATCGACGATATCCTCGTCGCCATCCTTTATGGGTCCTCGTGATATGCTTTGCAGGCTCCATCGGGTTCTCCTCTTCTGTGGACACTTTCTTAAAGCCGATTGTGCTAGGAGATCGACGTACCCAATCGCATCGTCGTATTTTCTCCACTCGTGGTCGTGGCTTGTTTTCGCCGGTAACTCCGCGGTCAAGTATCTTGTGCTCAGTTTTCAACTCCCCACCCCGCTTCACGTCTATCGATTGGCCCGAGCATGCGTGTTGGGAGTGGTGGGCGCGCTGAGTGCGGCCGTGGCCTCCTTCTGTGTCGTGGCCACGACGACCGAACAGTTGCCGCAGCAACTCCGGCTTCCAACGGACGGTGGGGGCGCAGACTCAGGCTCAAGCGCTCAAGCACGCCGGCCGCCGCGGCCCGAACCGCTAGCGCGGCCGAGTCCAACGACTCTCATCGCTGACCGCTCTCTTTCCCTCTCTCCTTCATACATCCCCATGCCCCATCCTCAAACAATCGATGGTGTTTAAACTTCAACAATTCTCAGACCAGAACTTGGCTGCAGCGTGTCAGCGAGCCTCCGTCCTCGGACTCGCGGGAGACGCGTCACTGGTTGACCCACATACCGCCCCGTTCGATAGCTTCGAGGTCAAGCCAGACGCGCTCAAAGTCGCGACCACGGTCGAGCTGGAGAAGCTGGGCGTCGTGCCTCAAACCACGCCCGAGTCAGACCCCGAGCAGCTGCGCGCAGCTGCGCGCAGAGCCGGACCAAGAACGAAGAATCCCGCCGCACCACTACTCCGCGCCCAATTGTTAAGACTTCATTCTAGTCGTGTGACATCATCGTCCCGCGACGACTGAATCATAGCAGGACGTCATGGTACATCCCGAGGTTCATAGGTACGAGGGCCACAGACTGCCAGTCTCCTGAGGAGTCAAATGGTCGTCCTCGTCACTCGGTGCAGGGCCGACGCAGCCGGGACACTAGGCGCGAGTATTTCCAAGAGACGTTCCAAGCGTTGGGAACAGCGGGACGATATCGTACCTTGTCGATCCTCGCCTGCACCCGCTTGCCATCGTTCTAACTCGTCATATCGGATCCTGAGCAGCCGTTGTTGGTGTCGTCGGCGTTGTTGCTGTTGCTGGGGAACTACGGATCGAACGAGTATACGAAGCGTTTGAGGCATCCCGTGCGCGGCTCACCTCGCGACTGAGAGCGATGCCGTGGTCGGTTTTCGAGCCCGCTGAACCTCAGGGGTTCTCCCTGACGTCGTAACGCGTGTCGCGTGTGACGTTGACGCGCTTCACGGCGGCCGCGAGGGAGAGGGCGTTGAACAGCGCAACGAAGACCACGGAGAGAGGGGCGACGAACATTGTCGAAGACGGGGGCTAGGTCTAGGAGAGCGTGCGAGTGGGGCACCCTCGTCGCTCTACGAGTTGACAATTGTCCCAGCTTAGTGCATTGAAAATCCGACTTTGTCTAGTATGCGAGAAGAGGAAGGCCATCGGGACGGTACACTTAAGCATGACGTATGAGGGATAAGTAGCTGTACTGATAGTTACAAGTAGGGAGAGATATACAATAGTGGAGCCGGGTGAATATCGTTAGCATAATGACCGAGCCGTTACAGATGTCCCATCAGGCAAACTTTTCATCCCGTTCGTTGGGCCTGTCGTTGTCTCGGATGACCTGCATGAATACGCTCTCGAGGCTCGCCTCCTCCACGGCGTATTCACCCACGCCAGCGTCCGCGAGTAGGCCAAAAAGCACGGCGAGCGAGGGCACGCCCTCGTCGGCGTTCCCGACGGGAACCTCGAAGCGCGTCGCGACGTCATCGCAGAGGCGCGCACCAGGGATGCGTGCCATCACCTCTTGCGCGCGCACGACGTCTTCGCGCGTGCGGCCAGGGAAGTGAACCAGGTATCGCGCGTATCGAGCCATGAGTGCATCGGTTGAGTCGACAGCTGTCCAGCAGCAATGAGGACGGGAGTGTGAAACAGGAGATGTGGGTAGAAACTCACCGAGCAAGCGCTGCGAGATGATGCCGACGTCGCTCGCGAGAGTAGAGGCTTCCTCCATGGAGTCTGGGAGCAGGCTCGTCAGAAGGACTCCACAGGTGGAATGAGAGACGCACGGGTGGTGATCACGAACGCCTTTCCGGGCGCGACGTGCTTGAGCGTGCTCCACATGTCACGCTTCATCTTCGCATCTACCCCGGTCGAGAACTCGTCGACGAGCACGACCGATGGGTTTCCTGTGCAGTGGTCAATTCCTTGTTCAAGTAGACGTGTGTCAGATGGATGCCCACCGATGAGCGCAATCGCCAGCGCGAGCTTCCGCTGGTTCCCGCCCGAGAGCTTGTTCGCCAGACGGTCAGCGTACACATGCAGGTCCATGACGCGCATCACCGCGTCGACGTTCTCGTCGACCTGCGCGCCGCGCCGCAGACCCTTGAGCCGCGCGTACACGCGCAGGTGTTGGCGGACGGTAAGCTGCGCGTCGATGGCCGAGAACTGCGGACAGACACCCAGCGAGAAGCGGGCGGCCTTGGTGTTCGCCACGACGGAGTGCCCGTTCACAAAGATTTCGCCCCAGTCGGGCGTCATGTCTCCCCCTAAGAGTAAGCATGTCAGCGCGGCGAACGCGCGCCCACGATGAGAAGACTCACGGATCATGTTGAATGTCGTCGTCTTCCCCGCGCCGTTCGGACCGAGGAGGGCGAAGACGGTGTCCTTGGAGACGTCGAAGCTGACGCCTTCAACGGCTTTGAAAGCGCCGAAGGACTTGGACACATTGCACACTCGGAGAGCGATGTCGTTGCCATCCGTGTCGGACGCGGATGCAAGACGGACATTCTCCGTGGACGTCGGCGAGTTCCGACGTGCGCGGAGCCCCTTGGTCCGGAGGCGGATGAGGGTGCTGCGGACGAGGGAGAAGGAGTCCGCGTAGACGAGTATGCCGAAGTAGATGAACGATTGAAGAACGAGGTAGAGGATAGGCCCGCCGTAGTGCATGATGTTGCCGTAGAGGGAGGGTCCGGTGACCACTTCACCGACGCAAAGTATGGAGAAGAGATTGGTGGCGACGAAAGAGGAGCGAATCTGTGATGGGACGTGAGCAGGGAGCAAGCATCTTGAATCGCACACAGACTTACGAGGCTCGGAAGGGGAGAGACGAGGCCCACCGTGAAGTCTGGGATAATAATCAGCTCCGAGTCAGACATGAAGGAAAGTGATACTCACGAATCACGGCGTACAACGACTGTGTCTCTACGGCGTCCCCGTACGTCTGGGCTAAGACGTAGGCCATTGTGTAGAGCTGTGGAACAACGTTAAGTCAAGACCATACTGATGAGTTGAAAGTCACCTACCAAGAACAGAATAACATGCCAGACAGCAATCGCTGCCCATGCACCGAGAGGTGACTTGAAGTACAGGGTAAATAAGTACGCATATAGGATGCTCGCGATCCCGTACAGCATCATCACGAGCCACTTTATCCACGGCGCAAGTCAGCCCCCGACCGTACTATAGTCACACTGGAATCGCACTCACCAAGTAGCCCAAGCCGTGGAAGAAGAACGCATACTTTCCTGCCCACACGACCACGAGCAACGTCGCCGCAAACGTCGTCGTCATCGCGTCGAAGATCAGATGCCCGAGCCAGAGCCCCGCCGGGTTCGACAGCCCGTTCGAGAAATGCATCGCCTGCACCTCCGAGTGGCGCTCGCGCGCGACGTACAGCGCGAAGAACCCGGGGAACACGGCCATCGCCGCGCTGAACACCGCGGCCCACACAATGGGGGTCAGGTCGCCCAAGCCCTTCGATGCGAAGCTGCCAATGGTTGGGGTGATCAGCAGAGGAGTGGCGTAGCCCGTACCGGCCCCGGTGCTGTTGAGCGCGTGATTGAGGAGGAGGTTCGAGGCAGCGTTCAAGAACGTGGCACTCGAGAGGGCTTCGTGGGCGCTCCAAGCAATGAGCGCGGCACCAGTGTCGAGGTCGATGCTGAGACCGGGGCTCCAAATGTTGGTGAAGTTGCGGCTGATGTACTCAACGAAGGAGGCGTTGGAGGTGAAGGGGATCGAGGTGTTGGTGAGCACGCCGGAAACGTTGAGCGGTGCGAGAGCGTCTGGAGGGAAGAGCGAAGGACCCGGATTTTCTCCAAACAGGTATTCGAGCGGCGAAGTAGTGAGATATAGCGAGTTTCCGCTGAAGTCGCGACTGACGACGTCGCACGTGTTACCGCCAGTTTCAAGGAACTTGAGCGGGATCACGGACGGGATGATGACGAAGGTAAGGGCAAGGAGAGGTGCGAGCCAGGAGCGACGGAGGATCAACAGCCGCTTGTAGCAGATCGTGAGAGCTTGACCGAAGACGGAACGCTGCACACCGGTCGTCAGCTCGACTTTCTCGTGGGTTCGACGTTCGGCGCTGCCACCAGTCTCCGCGATGTTGTCCTTAGAAGTGTTCTCGGGATCCTCGTTCTTGTCCTCGGCGTCCATCAGCTCCAAGAAGATGTCTTCGATGGACGCGGCCGACACCGAATAGGAAGAGATCTGCATGCGCGTCTTCTCCTTGTCGACGTCCTCCAGCACGTGCTTGACGACGTGGAGGTCCGTAGTTTTGAGGTGGAAAACACGCTCCCGAGGCCCCGTCGTGGTCGCATAGGCCGCCGGCGCCGTGCGCTGCACGAACTGCAGAACATCGGACTCCGGGATCCCGGTCTTGGCAGTCTCCGCGTCGAAAGTGACGCGCAGCTTGTAGCCTTCGCCGCGAGTCGATTTGAGCGAGATTGAGGTGCCGTGTGCGACGAGCTTTCCGGGGGTAGCCAGCACGGCGATGTCGTCGGCGAGCAAATCTGCCTCGTCCAGAAACTATGAAGGCCGTGTCAGAACCTGCGCACGCACTCGCGATCTGCCTGGGCGACTTACGTGCGTCGTGAAGACAATCGTTCTCGACTCCTTCACTGCGGCAAGTGTCTTCCAGATCGCGCGCCGCGAAATCGGATCGACCCCGGACGTCGCTTCGTCGACCAAGACAACTGGAAGGAGGGCCAGTCAGCACGCATGAGCTCGCACGGGCGCGGGAAAACGTACTCGACGATCCTCCCACCAACCCGATGGCGAGCTGGAGCTTCCGCTTCTGTCCGCCGCTGAGCTTGCCCGATGGGTAATGAATTTTCTCCGCCAGATCGCAGTCGCGGAGGAGACCCTCGAGGTCCGCGTCCGACTCGCGCGTCGCGCCCGCGTTGCCTGCGGTCTTGATCTCGCGCCACAGTTGGAGGGTCTGCAGACACGAAAGCTCATCAAAGAGCACGTTCTTCTGCGGCACGATACCAACGCTCCCGCGCGCGGGCTCGCGCACGCCGTCCCCGTAGAGAACCGTCCCGCGCGTGCGCCCGGTGAGGCCCGCGAGGACGGCCATGAGCGTCGACTTGCCCGCGCTGGAATAGAAACATCGCGCATCAGCTCCCGACCTCCACCCGCGCATGGGTGATACGCACCCGTTGGGCCCGAGCAGCGCGAAGATGCCGTGCTCCGGGATGTCGAGCGTGAGGTCCTGCACGGCCATGACGAGCCCGGACTTGCGCCTGAACACGGACGACTGGAACGACTTCTCGAGGCCACGGATGGAGATCGCGGTGCCGGAGGGTGTGCGTGCGGCTTCTCGTCCTTTGCGCGGCGACCGCATAACGGCGCACGCGACCCGAACGGGTTCCAGGGGTCGAATCGCCACCGCTCAATGAGAGCGCCGGCAATGGGCCAGAAGAATATCGAGATCTAGTCACTGGTCAGCAGGTGAGTGCGAAGGAGGGAGAAGGGAGAGCGCACGATTACGGCAATCAACATCGGGAGGATTGTAGGAGGTGGAAACTCGTGCTGTGGCTGCGTCGTGAGGGAAGCTGGCAGGAGAAGGGTCTCAAAGTCCGTGATTGTGGTAAACGTCCAGCCGAAGAAGAAGGTCGGGAAGAAGAATGTGAGGATGCCGGCGTTGGTGGAGTCCATGTTCGGCCAAAACATAGTGATCGTGATTGGCACAAGACAGCAGAGCGTCGCAAGGATCGCAGCGAGTGAAGGAGACTTCCCGAAGGGCGCCATAATGAACATCGAAAACGAGGCGGTCGCGAGGCCGGTAAGAACGCAGAGGGCGAAGATGAAACCATAGCTGGTGAGAATGAACAGCTTGACCTTCCAGATGATGGAGAGGATGATCCATGCCGGGAGATAGGCGAGCGACAGGCTGAAATGCCATGACCTAGAAACCAGTCGGTTTACGGATTGACGAGCGGAGGGAAATGGCTCACAAGACGCGGGCAGTGTCCGACAATCCCATCGCCTTCATATGACTAGTCAGGCCCACCGTACGCTCGGCTGTGGCAGCTCCTGGAATATGGTACGCAATCCCGATGATACAGATGTAGCTAGGCCGCGCCGTCAGTGACACGTCAGACGATACAGATGGTGCGAATACGTACAATGGAAACTGTAAAAGATAGCCGACCATCCCGAGGAAGTCTGGTGCGATGTACGTTAGCGGGGCTGTGGTGAGAGTGCGCTTGTCACATACTCAGTCGAGAATCGCTGGCGTCGCCCCCAAAATCCCAAACAAATGGCCACTCGAGTGGGGTGGGAGGCTTCGTGCCCGTTTGGACCTCGATAATCGCCTGCAAGAACGTCAGCGTAACAATCAAGTTGACGAGAGCGTACTCACACTGTCGACAGCCCACTGCACAGGCAGTACTCTGACTTCGTAGTCGCTGTTGTGCCCCTTGACGTCGATGAAGCCGGTGGAGTCGTCGACCCGGATCGTGTAGTTGATGGTCTGGTTGTTGCCGCGCGCGGGGAGCTGTTCGAAGGTGACGGCTGCGAAGCACCCAGACTTTCCGTTTGGGTTCTCGATACACCGGCCTGCGATCTCTTCTGTGGTGACCTTGTGGAATGCGGCAAGCTGTTTGCTGGAGAAACCAGCGGTCATGCGGGCGACGACGTCATCTGCAGTGAAACCTGCGGTAGTAGAGTTGGTGTCGTCGGACCAGAGCAAGATCCGTCGGGCATCAAAGGCGTCGGCGAGGGCGCGGATAGGGACCATAGACCCGAGGCCGCCCTGAAGAACGGAGGGATCAGCGTGAGAGTGCACAGAGAGTCAAAGGAAATACGTACGATATCGGGCTTTGAAATGAAGCTTGGTGCGTATGCGAGAAGGATCCCAATCCCAATAGGGCCTATGAGGCAGCGGAAAAGAGAAAGCTGGTGCGGAGATCAGCAGGTACACGCGTGATCAAATGATGGGAGACACTCACGAAAGGATGCTTGAAGAGAATGATCCAGTTCTTGACGCAGAGCGCCCAGAACTGGCTCACGAACTGGGACGAGCCCGGCATAGTCGCGAGGGCGAGGGTATCCCACTGGAGTGCGGGTCGTGACTCGTGAACGGTGAGGGTTCGTGGTCGTGGTCGAAGAGGAAGATGCAGCCGAGGGCGGATGGGGAAGGAATATGTTGTTGCGCCTCTGCCAAGTCACTGCACCATCATTGCTCTCGCCTTCTGGGCGTGAGAGACGGGCAACGAGCCCGACGAACCGCATCGTGGCGGTGCGCCCAGACCTCTGTGCTGGAGCCTGGTTGGTAGGAAGAGCGGATGATGATGGGGAGAACCCAGGAGAGCGCCACGGTTTCAGCGCCAGCGACGCGTGGCACGTGCTTACCCGCCATCACCTTGTCGCATCCTTGTTCTCCGCTCAGCCCTCGGCCTCTGCACCCAGCTTGGCGTCTTCAAAGTTCACCCGCCCTAGCTGGTGCTATGAGCTCACGAGGCAGTGCCAGACTCCCTGCCTATCGGAAAACTGCACGAGCTGAATGCTAGGTACATGATACTCTCGAGCTTCAAGACACCGCCTCCTCCACCTCTCCTTCTCTTGGCGTTGCCCTCTAGTACCCTAGTAGTTGATTCGCGAGATTCCGGCTGTACGAAGAGTGACCATGCGGGGAGCGCAGCACCGCCTCACCCGCACACTGTGAGTGAACGTCTCAATCTATGTGTCTCCCCTGGTATGCGCCTCCAGCACTCCATGCCCACAGCCCCCGGGTCTAGTCGCTGTGGCTTGTGTCGAGGGCCTCCGCCTTCGTGTGCTTATGGGAGGAGGAAGAATTCGTCCCGGATGTGCAGTTTCTGTATCGGATGAAAGAGAGTTGGCGACATATTTGGTAGCGGAATGACAGGACTCGACGTCTAATGTCAGAGGTGCTGAGAAGTGTTCAACAGCTTCCAGGCGGATCACATCTTCGACGGGTAGTCTTGGTACTCAAAAACGGTTCCGTCAGATACAGGTATAAGACGGAGTATTCGGACGAGGACTACGATCCGAATGATTTATGATACCGTATGAGAATCTCGAGGATCCATAAAGGATGGCGACGAGGATATCGTCGATGAGAAGATAGCATCAAAGAGTGCTACAACGACGAAGAAGAAGAGGGAGTCGAAGTCGAAGAGGGAAAGCACGGGGCGCGGGATGAGGGGGACAACTCCCAGGGTGATGTGGATTACGGGGATGAATATACGGACGACGAGGCAAAGCCGGAGCACGAATGACGAGACGATGAGCACGAAACCGAAACGGCTTCGATGTCAATGTGTCCGTTTGGACTTGACGGGTATTATGCATCGCTGGCGACGCACGATAGAATCTGAAATATGCAAGTTAACAAGCCTTGATCGTGGGTTGAAATCCGTGTCGTGACCACTCACCATAGCGTGCGGCGTGCCTAGCACCCCTTGCCCTTCACCGGGTTCACGTACCCCGCCACTCCCTCGTACGTGTACCCCAGCGACGCCACCGCCTTGTTCTTCTCGTTCAAGTTCGTCGTGTAGAAGTGGTCCGCCGCCGACTTCGAGTACATCCGGTACAGAGGCACGCTCCCGCACTTCGCGGTCGGATACACGTACGCCGCGACGCCCTCGCTCGCGAACCCGAGCTTCGACAACGCGTTGCTGCGCTCCGACGCGCTCGTGGTGTAAAAGTGGTCCGTGCCCTTCGAGCTGTAGAGCCGGTAGAGCGGAACCGCGCCGGCGACCTTGGCGTGGAAGACTTGAGCGGCCGTTCCCTCGTTGGCGTACCCGAGCGAGGCGACGGCGTGGTCGTGCTCCGATTTGGACGCCGTGTAGAAGTGGTCGGTGGCGGCCTTGCTGTAGGCGCGGTAGAGCGGCACAGTGCTGTCGCAGCACTCGGGGTGCGCGGGAGCAGTGGGCTGGAGAGGGTCATGTCAACTGAAGCCTGAAGCGATCGGAGAGAGGGTGATGAACGCACGTGAGGTCGAGCACTGCTGGTGTGGTGCACGCTGGTCGGGTGGGCGGAAGTGCGATGGACACTGCTCGGATGAGCGGAAGTGTGGTGGACACTGCTGGAATGCGGCTTAGCCGAGGTATGCGCGCTGCTGGAATGCGCGGAAGAGGAGGGAGGAATGCTAGAGTACGAGGAGTACGAGGAGTACGGCAAAGAAGTACTCAAGGGGTACTCGGAGGAGGGGAGCTCGCTGCCAGAGTACGGGTAAGAAGGAATCGCACTGCTGGAGTAGGGCTCGGAAGAGGGCTCGGACGAGGGGATTACGCTGGTGGAGTACTCGGAAGACGGGGGAGCACTGTCGGAGTACGGGGAAGAGGGAAGGGCATGAACGGAGAAAGCAAGGGCAGAAAGAACAAGGGCGACGAAGGAAGACTTCATGGCGGCGTGAAGGAGATGCTGGAGGAGGCTGGAGAGGCTGGAGAGGAGACTGAAGTAGCTGGCTGCCACTGAGTGAGGTCTCTGCGACTTGACGAGCCTTTTAACCAACGGTGAGACGCCAGAAGACGTGCATACCATTATCCGTGCCCTGGTTCAAAACCATTAATGATGTCTCTTGTATACTGCTAGAAGTGTGTCGGAGTGGCAAGCAGAAGAGAAGATATTGGAGCGTCAATTAACGAGACGGCAAGAATGCGCCGTACAGACGACGCAGTCTAAAACACTTCTGGTGTTCGGATTGACAGCTGATATGAAGTGACGAGACGCTTACTTTCACATCGTGGCGAGGCTGGTGAGGCCTTGAAGCTTGAGGAGCGGTACAGAATTCGCTGACGGCCTGACTCAGCGAAACCCGGAGGTACTTACCTAATCAATCCATGTGATGCTCGTCGCGCCAAATTTGAACGCTCAAGCGCCCTCCCCTGCCCAATATCACAACTTCGTGCCAACGAACACGCTCGATATGGGTGACGCTGCAGTGGTGTGCAACGGCATGTCCACCGACAATGACACAAGTGTGGCCGGAGAAAACGCACGTCTGATGCGAGAAAACTCGGATTTACGCCAGGTTCAAGTCGCTTTTGTGTCAACGAAGAGCCCCTCATTCACATGTTGCTCACACAGAATTTGCTGTGCTTGCAGTCCACCGTTGCTACGCTTCTAGAGTCTCTTGGAGTATGCTTGTTATTGGCATCACTCCGATTTCATGACGTCGCTGAGTCTCGATCTTGTTGCAGCTATCACCGCGCTACACACCGTCGAGAGCCATTGACAACATCCCACCAGAGCTTCAGGTCAAGATATTCTCTGAGGTTTCTCGAAGGCCATGGCACGAGATGAATCCCTCCGTCTCTCAGTCAAGCGACAGCACATGGCTACGCGCCTTTCGGACGAAAATTTCGCTTCCTCTTATCTGCAGATCTACATGGTGGGCCGCGTCAAAGGTGCTCTACAAGGACGTTGTCATCCGACGTATGGGTCAGTTTTTACCTCTTGCAAGAACCATGTCTTTCGAACAACCACCAAGTTCCGACTTGCACCTCATGGTCAATAGCCTCCGCATGGACACGTGCATCGTCTTGCTCGAAGCCGTCGATGAATGCCGAGCCGCGCTCGCTACTATCCTCTCCCGATGTCCCAATCTTACCTCGATCACGCACCGCTCTCATCCTGCCTTTGACTTTGCCGACGCATTTCAGCATTCGGTCGCATTGACGGACAATGTGCTCAACCCAACTTGGTTCGTTTCCCCCAGTTCCACCGGAAACGTACTGCTGTCTGTAGTTGGATCACAGTTGACGCACCTGGACATCCATGCCGACCTCTCCAACTCAGCAAGTGTGCATGCGTTGCACGTGGTCCTGCAACACACACCTTGCCTCCGTGTACTAGTGGCGTGGAGATGGAACGCGGCACTCATCTCTGTAGTGATCAACTCTCACCTACGAGATGACGGTATTATTGAACCGCATCATGACTTTCATACTCTCATTCTCCCTTCGCTCCTCGATCTTCGTGTGGATTGTGGTACCATGTCCTTCCTCCCGCGTTTTATCGCCAAGTACTGGACACTACCGAGCCTCCAACAGCTCACCGTCGGAATCGGCGCCAATCCCATGGATCCGATGGAGATAGTCGAACGATTTGGCGCCGGTCTCCTTTTCCTCCAGTTCATCCCCGACACAGGAGATGCCTGCTTCACGCCGGATCAGCAGGACCGTGTCACCAGCACCTTGAGGCTTGGATTCGTATTGTCCTCTTCTTGAACATCTTGTCCTCCCCGCCCTCAAACCTGCCGCCATCGCCCAGCATCCCATACGCTCCCCGTCGCTCAAGTGGCTGGACATATGGACGGTCCTCCCCAAAGTGTTCTCGGACTACCCCACTCTCTCGTGGCAGACCGGGCTCCGGCCCCTTGTAGTATCCCCCACGGACAGCGCCGCACCCGTGCTCGCCTCAGTCCGCATCCTCGACGACTCAGATGCGTTCGACCTGGATTGGACGTCAGCGGCGAGGGCAGAGTGGCCGATGCTCTTCCACCCCCGCATGGTCCTTCAGCTCGGCGGGGAGGGCGAAGGCGGCCCGCAAAAGGCCGTCGTGCATCGGCTCCCCAATCACGTGTTGGTCCAGACGGAAGTCGCGTTAGTGCGGGACAGTACGATGGGGCGATTCAGAGATCTCCTCAGCGACCTGGTCCCGCAGGCGGCGTTGAACAGGATAGCATACGTCCCTGGAATTGACTGGGATGTTTACGTGCGGGCTTTGGAGAGGTTAGTAGGTGGTGGAGACGTCATCCATTCTAATGAACTCACGGTGTTGCGCAGCGAGGACGAGACAGAGTCCTCGTGGGAGAACGACGTGGGTGAGGATTACGACATCCCCGGAGAAACCGACCTTGGAAGGAACGACGAGGATGAGGACACTTGGGATGATGAAGAAGTTGCTCGCGATGCCGAGCTTCTGCGCCGGGCCCGGAATGGGGAGCTAGTGACATAATCGGTTGCTCCAAGGAATCTGTATCCGGCTTGAAAGTGCGCTGGGTCACCTTGAAAACGGATCCTACATGATACCGCATTACATGACGACCACATGACAGTGTACTTCACGTCGCTGATGCGCGGAATATCTTATTTACGAATCACTCATCGACGTGGAGGCCGTGTTCGGACCGTCAATCTAACGTGCGCGAGCGACTTTTGGAGAATACCCAATCCTATTATTGTCTATCCAGCCCTAGCACAGCACAGAAAGAAAGCAACGAGAAATCTATAGCTACACGCGTACAAGCAAGGAACGTCGCTCACGACTGCTCGAACGCCTCCACCCTCCACACCTTGATTACCCCTGCGCGATCACCACTGACCAGGCCGCCGCGGAACGGCGAGTCGATGCACGCGAGCGCGGTAATCGTGTCCTGGTGGCCCTTGAGCAGATTCTGCTGGTTGTGGTTGATGAGCGACAGCCGTTGTGGTGGACGGCTGTGTTGGCTTCCAGCCTGCGCGGTGACCCACGTCTCGATGTGCGAAGACGCGGTGCCTCCAGGCGCACGGATCGAGCTGCAAGCAAGTCTCTCAGCTGAGCAGCAACTTCGCCATCGTTCTTACATACCTATAGGTCGGCTTCTCACCCTCCGCATCTACGCCGCTGAGGATCACGGACTTCTCCGGCCGCCCGAGGTCCCAGTAGCGGAGTTTGCAGTCCTCGGACCCAGTGATGACGAACCCGCGTCCCGACGAGCGACCCGACTTGCTCTCGACGTCTGCGACGTGCGACCGGTGCACGACCGTGTGCCCCCCGAACTCGGATCCGGTCACGACGGCGCGCACATCCGGGAACGGCGGCATCGCCGCCTCGGCGAACATCGCCGCGTCCGCAGCGCCGCCCTCCTGCCGCGCACGCACGAGCGCAGCGATCGCCGCAGCGGGGCTGACCTCCGCCTCCCCGACGGCAACCTCACGCGGCTCTTCCGCAGCGTCGGACGGGTTGACGACCGCGCGCGTCGAGAAGGCTTCGACGAGCGCCGACTTCTCGACGTCCCAGACCTCGAGGAGCGTGTGGGAGGCGATGTCCGACGCCGCCTTGGGCGTCTCGACCGCGACGACGACCCACTTTCCTTTGCCCTTGGTCGGGTGGACGACGCACTGGTGCACGCGCCCGAAGCGGCCCTTGAGCGCGACGCCGACGCGCCAGCTCTTGACGAGGATCCCGAAGCGGATGTCCCAGAGGGAGAGCACGCCGGTGGAGGTTCCAACAATGACCCACGTCCGCTTGCGGTCAAGGCAGATACAGGTGATGGGCCCGTGGTGCCGCGCGTTCTCCATCCGCTGCAGGGGGCGCATCGTGCGGAGATCGAGGATAGTGATGACGGAGTGCGTCGTTGCATATATCAGGTTGGACGCCGTTTCTGTAGCGAACAGTCAGTTTGCGTCTCCCCAAACGACTACCCCAGCCCACTCACCAGTAGAGTAGTGCACCATGCTCGTGATGTACTCTCCCGGCGTGTCCGTCCGATGCTCGCGCACGACCTGCAGCTTGCTATACTTGGGCAGCGTCCCGCTCTGCGCAACATGCACGCGCACGACGTGGAGGCTCCCGTCGTCCGCCGCGCTCGCAAAGCAATGCGCGCCCTCGAGCATGCACACGCATTTGACGCGCGCGTGGTGCTGGTTGTACGTGTGCCGCGGCTTGCTCGTCACGTTGCGCTCCAGCCGCGCCGTGTCCCACACCTTCACCGTCTTGTCGTCCGACGCGGACACGAAGAACATGTGGTCCGGCGCGACCGCGATCCCCGTCACCGCATCCGCGTGCGAGTTGAAGTGCGCGACGAGCGACACTTCCAGCCTGCGCGCGGTGCTGTCCCGCGGGAGGAAGCTGTGCCGCGCTGCGTTCCGTCGTCGCACGGGCCCCTCGTGCACGCGCGGGCCAAAGTCGTTCTGCAGGTCGCGGTTGTTGTCAAGGTAGAGGTGTTCGAGGAGGTTGCTGATGCCGGGCTCCTGCCCGTCGTAGCTGGAAATCGGGGCGATTGACGGCAACCGCGGCCGATCCTGCCCGCCGCGCACAGTACCCGCGACGGACACCGGTGAGGACCGCCCCGACGGTGACTGCGAGCCCTCGGAGAGCATCTGCGCATGCGCCTCCAGCACCCCGATCGCGCTTGCTTTAGAGGACCCGACCGCCGGCGCCGCCTTCTGTCCGTCCCCGCCAATGGGGAACCGGTGCATCGCGCGGAAGGCGGAGGAATTGGCGGTGGACACCGTTGACTCCGCCGGACTGCTCGGTCGTTCCACGGCCTGCGGCAGCTCTTCAGGAACCGTCGGTACCATTGCGGTCGTGTCGATGGATAGGGGGTGTGGTAGCGGGCTGCGCGGTTCCCGCGATCCTGGGACAGCGAGGCTGGTCGCAAACCCATTGATGATCGCCAGTCGCCGCCTAAGGTCCTCGAAGGGGGCACCGCTCGAGGCAGGGCCGTGGTCGATGCTGAGCGTGCGGTGCGTGCGAGGGGTCCCTGGAGAGCGCAGGCCGAGCTCGGCGTTGAGACGCGAGGACACGCGCGTGGACCGGCCGTCTGACTCGGGCGTCCGCAGGAACACTGTTTGCGGCACGACGCCCAGCTTCTGCAGCTCGATCGTGCTCGTGACTTTGAGCGCATCTGACTCGACCTCGACGCTGACCCGGGAGGCGAAGCTACCGAACAGGAAAGGCGGTATGTGGGTCAGCCGGTGCCGCGCAGCGACGTGTCAACCGATGAGCCGCGCACCTGGATATCGCACGCGCCAGCTTCAACGTGTAATCGCGCATCGACATGAGCTTGGCCTCTTCCGTGGACGTCATGCCCAGCTGCTGCAGCTTCGTGAGCTGCGCTTCGTCCCTGCGACGGGTCAGCGGACAGCGATCGAACGAGATGAATATCCACGCACTCTTCCGATCGCGCCCGCGCGGCCGCACTCCCAGCCTGGCGCACGCTGGCCATGCTCTCCCGAGGTGACTCCACCTTCGTCGTCCGAGCCGATCTCCAGAACTGCGTCTTGTCCGCCTTCATCGCCCACTGCACTGCGGCGTCGAATATTTGACGTGACAACTGGAAGCCCAGAGTAGGAATGTCAGATGGGCTGGCTATGAAACACGGATGAGCACACCGCACCGGACGCTTCATCGCTGTAAGGAGGTTCCTCTCGTCCACATCCCGCACATCCGAGCGCAGGAAATGCTTCAGGGATGGGTACAGGATGCACCACACGTCGCTCGGCGGAAGATGCTTCGCCGCCGACGCGATAAAGGCCGCAGCACCTGTAGAGCGAATATCAGCGGGCGTGCCTACTGTCACAGGAGACCCAAGTACCTTCCCGGATCCAGACATTCGGATGGTACAAGAAGCCGAGCGTGGCACTCATGAGTTCCCAGATGCGCATCTTCTGGAATAGCTGCAGCTCGCACAGGTTCGTGAGCGATGATAGCACCTTCGCCACCACCGTTTCCTCCACGTCTATCCAGGGTCCAAATACCACGTCAGCTCATGCCGAGTCGACCCAATCGGGCAACGTACCTGAGAGCGCCTGAATCATGAGGGGAAGGATGTACTCTTCCACGCTGGGGCCTCCGGTGCACGCGGCGACATCGATGATGCTGTCGAAAAACGTATAGCGCAGCATCCAATCCCGGTCGTTCAGATACGTGATCATGTGGCTGAGGAGCACGTCGTTCGTCCGCTGCCTGCCTAGGAAGATACACAATGACGAGATGTTGTGGAGGACGGCGCGCTTGACCACACTGGAATGGTCCACGAGGAGCGCTGCGAGATGCTCTTGGATGTTGTTCTGCAGGTCGTTCATGCTCGCATCATAGGACACCTGCAACCCTCGTCAGTGCGTGTCGCAGGATGGCAGACCGATACGGCGGACCTCGAAATGCGCTTCATCGTATTCCTGGGTGTCCGGGGACACCTTGTACGTCCCGTGCGCTTTGAGTGCCTGGCCCATCTCCAAGTACCGCACTGCCGTATCCGCGAGCGGCACGACGAGTTGCGCATACATGCACCGCACGAGCACGTCGGGATCTCGCACAAGGTGAGCGATCGCAGGGATGATGTACTCCGGGAATATCGCAGCATTGGACGGGGTGATGACGGTGACGAGCATGAGAACCTGCATGAGCGTGCGGAGCGCGGCTGCGCGCACGATCGCCGCGTCGTCGTGCAGCAGGTCGACAATGTAAGGAACCATCCGGTCGAGCTTGGCTTCGTCCGTGAGGTGCGAGGAAAGCGCGAGGAAAACGTCCAATGCGCGGACCTTCGAGCTTGGTAGGTAACAATTTCGGATGTTCGCGCAAATCAAGGCCAGGATTATCAGCGCAGGGCCGTCTGAGGAACAGATGAGCACGAAAAAGCAGAAACGGGAGTCATGGCATACCTTCAGCCGCTGCCCGCTTCCCGGCAGACCAGGCGCTGTGGAGCTTGCTTTCGCGGTTGGGGATATTCAGCTCGATCGGGAGGATGTCGTGTAACGGTCTCGAGGCGACGAACTGAGGGGTGTAGTCAACCTTGACGTCCATCACCGTCTCCTCTACCGCTTCGTTGACAATGTACGGCTCGACACTTTCGTAGTCGGCCCATATCCGCTCCATCCGGTGGTCAGAATCGCTAGGGAATGGATCACTTGGGGAGTCGCTGTTCAGAGGATTATTGGAAGAGACCCCTGCATTGGAAGCTTTGTGTGCAGAAACGATGACCGGCGGGATTCCGGTGGTCGGAGTGGCGGTAGAGAAGAGGAAGGGGATATTGACCTCGTTGACGGAGGAAACGTAGTTGTGGAGGAAGGAGTAGAAGCACTCGGGGAAGACAGTGCCTCGTGAGGTGTGCAGGAGCGTGTCGAAGGTAGGTCTTGACGAAGGGTCAATGGATATCATTTGCAGGATGAGATTCTGGGCCGCGGCTCAGGGGAGGGGGCGCATACAGTCGCGAAAAACGCACCTGGACACCATCATCCTCAACCCCAGCCAGCTGCGGCTCAACCTTCAGCTCCCCCTCTCGGTACTTGAAGAGCTCGCTCAGCGTGAAGAGCGGCTTGCCCTCCAAGAACAGCTCCGCTAGCACGCAGCCCGCGCTGAAGCAGTCCATCGCCTCCGTGACCTTCCCGTCCCGCTTCCCCTCACCGTCCTCCTGCGCGAGTTTCGACTTCTTCGCGCTGATCTCCGGGTTCTCGCTGGCGGTGTAGAAACGTTCGGGGGCGATGTAGCATGAGCGGCGCCCAGACGTGTCGAAGTAGAACGCGAAGTCGGAAGGGTCGTCGAGGGGGAGGTACGTCGGCTTGTAGGACGCGAAGTCGGAGACGTAGACCCAGTTCCACGAAGTGACGAGGATGTTTTCGGACTTGATGTCCCCGTGCGAGACCTTGCGGTTGCGCGCGTCGCGGAGGCCGTTCAGGATCTGGAAGGCGATCCATTTCTTCTCCACCATGCTCAAGAAGGGACGGGTACTGCATGTAGGCTCGCATGGAAAGTTGCGTAAACGTAACGACGGATAGAGCGCACCTAATCCTGTCGTAAAGGTTGCTCGCCACCCATTGTCTGACCACATATCCCGCCTTGTCAGTCTCCACAAAGGATTGGTATCCGTAGACGTTCGGAATGTCGACCAGAGCCTCCCGTTCAACTAAACAGCCCATTATCAGGGTGTGTATGCGCACATGAGAGATCAAGAACGCACTCTTCAGCCTGCGGTGGTATTTCCGCAAGCTCATCCCTGGGTCAGGCTTGATGAATATCTTGACGACAAGGTAGCCATTCTTGTGTCGACACTTCACAGTCTTCAGAAAGCGTGCAACACCCAAGCTACATGAGCCTGTGGGTAGTTATACACAGACTCTGGATGATTTGTGCATACCTTCCCTCGTAGACTACGTCTCCACCCAGTTCAGCCACAAATAAGTCGAGGGCGCCGCTGGTGCGCGTGAGTGATTGTGCGTTCCCCATGTTGTTATTTTTGTCAATTAGATTGCAACATGAGACGTGCCAGTATGATGGGGTGAAGGTGCAAAGGTAGGAAGAGGTGATACGGAAGAAAAGAGGAGCAACCCAAATCGCGGATGTCGCGCTGAGGATCTCAGTGCGCGCTCTGGCGCTACAATCCACCACGCGCTCGTCGAACACCAGGACCCCATACACCCCAAATCATGACGTCATAAATTCGCACTCTTGCCTATTCCGGAAACCATGGCAAGTCCTGGACCTCTGTTGTTCACAACATAGCAAGCCAGACAATTTCCGTCATAAATTCATAGCGCAAACTAATCTCACGTAAAGAAACTTCCCGGTATGTAATGCCGAAGCAACACACTTTCGGTTGTGCGAACAGCGCAACAACGCTGCAAGTTCGTAGCCAGAGGGTCGAGGATATGTAAGCATGAGTGCCCACCGAGAAAACCGGAAGTACAAATTACATTGACGGCACCGTGTATAGTAGATGCACTGAGTGAAATAGCTACATCATAAACCTGAGCAATAAGATATTGTGCGCGAGACTAGAAAGCTAGGTGAACGCAAGCTGCATACGTACATAGGAGCGGGGGATTCTATCAACAGATGTCCCATGAGGAAAGCCAGTGAGACCGAGATATCGGCGGGGATAAAGATATCAGCAAATGTGTAGCGACGTGAGCAGTGAGACAATCAGAGGTGGATATGTACGGGCGTATGCGATGCGATGCGATGATAGGGATGATGCAGCTATGACTCAGGTGGCGGACTGGCAGGAAATCGTACACGGCCGTAAACGGGGAACAAAATAGACCATAGCGGGTGGGAGCGTTACACGCCGGCGTGCGGGTACTCGGTATTCGGGACCGGCGTAAGGGGTATCGCCGGTTGTTGGGCCTGATTGCCCACTTGAGTGGGCATGCGGGGCCACCGGATAGTCAACATGCCCTCGACGAGTATGCTGGTGACATGAAGGGCCTGCAGGGAAGACAATCAGCACCTTTTCGAGACAAGGTCACAGTGGCGCATGCATGAACTCACCGTTACGCCAGGGGGTATCTGGATCTCGCGGCGGAACTTGCCATGTTTGAGCTCGCGCACAGGGTATAGGGCGGCGAGCGCCGCATCGTCTGCCGCGGCCGACTCAGTGCGGTTGGCATGCGGCTCCGAGGTGCATGCGGGGGCGCTGCGTCTGAAACAAGTTGTGATGGGAGGGCGCTGGTATGGAGAGACGGCCCAAGTCGCTCTCCTTCGATGATGAGGCGGCCGTTCTCGATCCGAACGGAGAGCTGGTCCACTTTCATCCCGGGGACTTCGAGCAAGGCAGTCACATATGGAGACGTGTGATCGTCACACAGATCCATTCTGAGGGGCACCGGGTCTTCAGCATCGGTAACAGTGAGTATATGCGCATCGATGCTCACCTTGGAACAAAAACGCCCGCCCTGCGCTGCTGGATTTGCTGCTTCATAAGCTGAACGTACCGGCGCGCGAAGACGCGGTCCATATCGCGGTATCTGGGGTCATCCTCATCCCGGGGCTTCGACATGGAAGAGCGAGGACGAGGAGTGGTTTCGTAGAGGGCGTTGGAGGGATGGAGGGTGGTAGTGTTGTATTGCGGGGACATGAGTAAGGGCGTAGAAAAAGAAAACTGAGTGGGGGTGTCGGGGCGCGGTCGTTCGGCCAGAGGCTTTATACACCCAATCACGAGAGCTATAAATCGGGCAGAGATCTAGAGCGCCCGCTCCCGCGTCGCTGAGAAGGTCGGAGCTTCCGTGTCACACCGCGTTACTGCATGGAGCGCACCAGTCGCTTTGGGTTCCGTACGCTTCCGTACCTCTCCATGACTCGGGCCTCCCGTCCCCCGACACTCTGCCTCCTTGCGGAGGGCGCACCGCGGCACACGACTCTACTCTGCCCCACGCGGCCGCCGCACATCGGGTCAACGAAGGCGCAACGGGGTTACCCCGCCCCGTCAGTCGATGAGCAAGCAGCTCGCAGGAACACTGCGACGGGGATGAGCAACACCCGCGCGGGGAGACCGTGGGCGGTGCGATCGACTGGCGCTCCGCGGTCAAGCTGTGCACGCTCCCGGGACGCCCAGGCCGGGCCGCCTCGAAAACGCCAGGCCTGTCGCGAACCGATGCGCGCCGAGCTATGACGCACCCCGCCCCGCAAATCTCATGCAACTCCAAGCATTGGCTTGACTGGACTGCGTCTGCTGCGCACGGCGGGGGACGCAGCGCGTACGTGGTAGAGTGGCATTACGTGGCCGCTCTGTGTCTGACTGGCAGGCCGAATAATCCCGGAACGGATTGGTAAGCTCGACTTTCATATTCGATAGGGTGCATTTGCTGCAGAGTGTTGCGTAAGTAGGCCATGTTCGGTCATTGTGTGGACGATGAGACGAGGTATGCGGTTTTCGGGGCCGCAATCCCCACGCCCGGATATCCCGCGTACAAATCCAGTGCGAACTCGCACGAATTTGAACGTCAGCACCGGCAGTCACCCACCCGGGCCATTCGAATGCCGCACCATACGTACCGCAGCACGCCTTCACGGATCTTCGTGCCCTAGTGTTCACGAGTCTTCCGAATGGCATTTCCTGTGTGACACGTCAGCACTTGCGAACTTCGAGTCTCCGAACGGATGACTTGTGCACCATGGCGAGTTCTCGGCACAAGTCTTCGCCTGATGACTCGAGCGGCCATTCAACTGTCGAGACAGGATCAGCGCAGTGCTGATCATGAGTTACAAGTAAGGCACGTCATCGTATGAGTTCTCCGGAACGCTCATTTGCATGCAACCTATCCGTCATATTAGCGCTCACCACAAACAGTGCCCTCCGATTGGCATGGGATCGCTTTCGACCTCAGAACCACATAAGAGGATATAAAGAGTTGCCAATAGGTCCGACCAATACATGGATGAGCTCGGGATTGAAGGTTTCCGACAGGCAGTGTACTGTATCATTTAACATTCACAAGAACCCGAGGGACAATGCATGATGACTCGTCGCTGCCTCTCTGTTAGCGTTCTGAACGCGTTGCTGAGATTCAGACATGCTCACAACATAGAAATTTTGCATCCAGGAGACCATCCTGTCCGTGACCCTGCGGCACGCATGGCCCACAGCGAGGCGCTGCGGGGACAGGAGGCGTCTGACTCGACCGCAAAGTTTGCACGATCCATTCCGAATGCAGCAAGGGAGTAGGTACACGCACACTCGAGTCAACTCGACGAGCTGCGTTGACGAATGAGAACGGCGAGTGAAGAAAGATAACGAACGAAGTTGAGGCATACGTGTAAGAGACAAGCGCCCATGTCCACAGCCCACGTATATCCACCGCATACATTCGCCACCTTGTCCCAAACATCCGGCTACCTCTCCGACAAGCCATTCGCTGCTTCCACGCCCACCTAGACATGGCCGTGAGGTCTTCCGAGGTGCGATGAGTCAGAGCCGGACATGGCATCGGGAACAGAGGGCTCTCCGAATAGCACGCGTCGGAGTTCTGCGCGGGCTTGTGGCGGGATGAGTGACACATCGCCGACTGCATGGCTGTCAGAACGTACCTGCTATGCCCGAGTATCCGTCCATCTCCGCTAAGCAAGAGTCCTACTGCGACGAGATCCCGTTCTTCGCGAGCTGGCGCGCGTTGACGGCGACGAAGTGGTACGCCACCACGGTGACCATCGCGAGCATCCCCAGTGTGTTGGCGAGGTTGTAAAGTGTGGTGCTGCTGATCATGTTTCTCCTGCACGAGTGTGGGTACGAACACACACGGAACGTATGCAGAAAATAAGGAGCAGTCAGCCAAGAAAAGCGGAACGCACGGAGCGCGTACAGACCTGATGTCACGGTCGCAGGGGGAGAAGAGTGTTTGCTTGTATTTGGAGCCTCGCCGGGTCGGGATGCAGGCGGCGCTCACGAGCGCCGACCTCACCCGACCCGCGGCTGCTGCTTGTTGACTTTCCGACTACCTCCTCCTCCCTCCACCCCCACTCAGTCCTCGTTCAAGCCAAAAGTCTGCGACGATGAGGCCCTCCCTTGTTCGCCTTTCTGAAATGCCTGGCCGTGAGTACTCGCTTTGTGACGCGCTGTGTAGGCTTCTGACGCGGCGATGTTTGCAGCCAAGGTGTATGTGAGTATGCGTTCCTTGCGGGCGCGCAGCAGCCTAGTATCCGAACATACGTGGCGCATACAATTTGCTCAATGGAGACATGTGAAAACGGGTGCTGATTGTGGTCCGCTTTAGAACATCTGGTGGGGTGGCAAGGGCACGCAGCAGCAGAAGGGTATCGTCCAGTACGGTGCGTGTCACAACTTCCTCTTTCAAGACTACCGTCTGAACGGTGCTTCGTTCTCTTCTCGACCTCCCAAATGCAACTGCTGCACAATCATCCACTGTCATGCCGTGCACGTGCTTTTCAGGCCTTTCCCCCTTCCGCCAGCGCGCCATGAAGGGCGCGATCAAGAACTACGCTTTCAACGGCTACCGCCGTCTGTCCGGCGAGTTCATCTATATCGCCCTTCCGTTTGCTGTCGGTGCGTATGTTGTTTCCGAGTTCCTCCGCACCTCTACAAATTTATCCGTGGTTCTCGCATCTCCGTTTCGGGCGCGTCTAACCGTGATATGTCACAGGTTTCGGCATCTACAAGTGGGGCAACGCCCAAGCGGATTATGCGCTAAGCAAAGCGTCGCACCAGCACGGCGGAGGCCACTAAAACTTCCGGACCGGTTGTACCTGTCACTCGAAGCTTTTCGACCTCCACATAGACAGTAGAACCATAATCCACGTTCTTTCCACCGCCGACCCCTTGGGCCCGAATGTCCGCGCTCGTCGACTTGTGCGCTCGATCTGTTTGCTCCGAAACCTCCCTCCCTCGGAACGCTATGCTGTTGGACGGAAGCGGTTCGTCGACGCGACATCGCCCGAGCCGCAACCCGGCGCCCAGAACCGCAACGTTCTGCGTCGCCACGGCGGTAGCAAGGCGTGAATGGGGAGACATGGGTCCACGATGCAGGAGCTATGCGGTTTGCGGTGCGCGCCTCGTTGTATGTGCGTGTCCCCTCCCCTGCGTGAGGCCCGCAGGGTGACTCGATATCCGCTCGCCTCGTGTCCGTGGTGTGGGTTTCTGCGTAGCGGGTGCGCGGATTTGCCTTCTTACCACGTTGTGTTTGCTGTTCTCGATCCTGCGAAGCAGTTTTAGCTCATGCAGCAGGTGGTGGCAGGTGCGCCGTCACGCTCTCCCCTGGTCAACGGAGCTCATCCGCTGCACCATCCACCTTCCATTCGTGCCAATGGTGCCTTCGCGCAGCACTCATCGATCATCCTGCGGTTGATTTCAACATGCTTTCGACGTCCCAGTGACTCCTCTCCTTCCCCTCAACTGTGTTACTCATGGAACTGACTGGTGCCAGTGGCAGATGGCCGGTCCTCATGGCTCCACGTGGGCGGGCGCCAATCGGAATCTGCCCACAAGGCACGGGCGCTCCGAGCACGCGAGCCCGAGTCATCCTCCGGCTCTCGACTCGAAAAGTCTGTCCAGTCCGGTGCAGGCTGGGCGGCGGCCTCGCATCGCGCTCCATATCTCGCCACTGGGATGAGTCAACGCCTCGCCCAGGGGTATATATTTGTGTTCGCGAGGGGAAGGCGCCCTCAACACTAGCCACTGCATCCCCGCTCCCCCTAACCAGGTCCATACCCAAGTACACCGTTCCTGCCGAAATCCGTACAACCATGGGCGCGCGAACGAACCGCAGCAGCAAGCTCGTGAACGTGCTCGAGAAGCGCCTGGGAAGGACTTTATCAGACCAGGAGGCCTTCCAGCTCGCCACCTACGCCCGCACCATCCGCATGTACCGAGGGAAGGAGCAGCGCATTTACAAGCCTCGGTGAGTAGGTCCCTGTCCCCCCCCACGTTCTCGTGGGCTGACTTGCCCTCGTGAGCGCAGCATGGAACTCTGCGACGACGGCCAGAGCGAGCGCCTCACGGCCCTGTTCGAGGTCCCGGGCCTTCACTCGCGCGAGCTTAGGATCGACGTCGTCGACGGCCGGCTCATCGTCAGCGGCGAGCGCCGCCCGCGCGCGGTCGGAGAGCTTCTTCAGCAAGGCGAGGAAGCTGGTGGTGAGCTCGCGGTGGCGCGCCGCCAGGACGTCGTCCGTGGCGGCTCGCCGTCGCAGGTCCGCGAGCTCAAGTACGGGTTCTTCCGCCGCGCCATTGCGCTGCCCGAGGGCTGTATGGTGCGTTGTAACTGTATTATGCTGCGTGGCGTGGCTGACGGAGGCCGCGTCTACTTTCAGGCCAAAGATTTGGACGCCACGATGGAAAACGGGATGCTGGCGGTGTCTTGGCCGCGCTTCCCCATGGCGCGCCTTTTTGTCGAGAGCACCAACGACCAAAAGCACAATCACGGCGACGCCCGCGGCACCGAGGATACCGAGGACTTCACGGAGGAGGAGGAGGAGGAGGAGAGAAAGACGGCGTCAGTTTAGTAGCGATGGTTGTGTCCCCGTTCCCGCTCGAGCGATTTGTACCCCCCACTCGCCCAATATCGTACTATCCTATTGCGTCATTTATTCGACTGCCCGTGCGTGCGCGCGTGCTGCTGGCTGCCTAACCACCCATTCGCCGCCGCGCGAGCTAGCCATGGCCTCGAGGCGCGGTTCTCGTTCCCGGACCCATCGGAGAGCCCAGGCGCGCGCCCTGCGCGCCCTCGCGGCAGCGTCGGAATCAAAGCCCAAGGCAAACGTTTCCAACAACTGTTTATCGCACGCCATCGTTATCTACGCGCGATTAGATTGGCGCATACACACTGGGTGTGCTCTTCCTCCTCAGCAGTGTCTGCTTCCCCCACCTCCCGCTCCCGCGCTCGTCCGCCCCTCGTCGCACCTCCATCGCCACCAGGACACCCCTACGAAGAAGGGAAACTACAGGAACAAGACCGAGGCCGCGTCCACCCACCCGCTCATCGTACGTGGCGCAGAGCCCGCCTCCCGCCTCGCCCTCCCGCTCCCGCTCCCGCTCCCGCTCCATGCGCTCCTTGTCGTCCAGCCTGATGAACTTGCCGCCCCACTTCTTTGCGCACGCATCAGAGTCATCGACAAGCTCAAGGCGGAGTATGACGAGTGGTTGAAGAGTGCGTACGCCCTCCGCCTGGGATCGAGTCTGCGAGCGTCGCTGACGGACTTGGACATGCAGACTAGCCCCGCGATGTTGGAGACTTTGACCGCCGTGCTCAAGGGATCTCAGCGACTGAGCACGTCCCGGGCTACCGTCGACGAGCATCATGGAGGTCGCGAAGCAGAACTCGTCATTGACAAGGTGAGTGCACGCTTCATGTCGGGCGTTGGAGGCCTCGAGACTCGGTCAGACAAAAGAGGAGCATGCGACGTGGCAGTGTTGGCCAGTGAGCGTCCACTGGGATGGAGAAAGGCCATTTGGTCTCTTGTCACCAGTAGGCGGAGGAAGCAGGCCGCGACCGACCGAGGACTTGACACAGCACCGGAATACGGGCGAGTGCTGAAAATACGTCTTTCAGGTCGACAGAGAGCTATGAGATCCGGAGCGTCCGCCAGAGAAGTCATGATTGCGGGAGATCCTGGACTTTGAGCACCCAGAAGGTACGCCCGAGTATTTGCATACATGCGCGTGCTGAATGACGAATGCGTCCTTCGGGTGCGAAGGTCTTCTGGCACTCGTCAGCCCAGATCCTCGGGGAAGCTGTTGAGCAGAATCATGACTGCCACTTGTGCCTCGCACCCCCGATGGAAGATAGGTTCTTTTACGAAATGAGCATCGAGGACCGGCCAGTCATGAGCTCCAACTACCCCACGCTCGAACGGAACGCCGACTTGGCAATCAAGCAGATGCAGAAGCTTGAGCGGCTTGTGGTGCCCAAGCTCTTTGAGTTCTTCGGGTGCAACAAGTACAAAAGTTGTTTCATCGAGTCGAAGATCCCCAGTGGCACGTCGACGACCGTCTATCAGTGCGGACCTATGATGGACTTGTGCGTTTGGCCGCACCACATGGGCAAAATCAAATGTTTGTGATCCCGAAGGTATGCATATTGCTCCTGTTCCCCGTTTGCAGCTCACTTTTCGAGAAGGCTCTACCTCTTACTTCCCCGGAGACGCATATCCACAAGTAGACTACAACATGCTCTTGGAGCTCACGCGCTCAGAAATTAGAATCCTCCAAGCGCGGTCATGAAGTAAGTGAGCTTACTCCGACCCTTTCGTTTGCTCCCGTGACTCATGCGCATACAGTCATCTCGCCGAGTATATTCTCTCGAAGTTATGGGAACAGTCAGATCGCTGGCAGAACTACAAAGACGACATGCTCTCACTCAACGTCGAGAAGGAGGCGTGGGTCCCGAAGCCCACGAACTGCCCCGGCCACTGTCTCATCGTCGACTCCCGCAATCGTAGTTACAAGGAGCTGCCCATCCGCATGGTCGAGACCAGGTTCCAGGAATGAGGCGTCGGGTGCCCTCACTGGCCTCACGTCGGTGCGGGGATTCACCCAGGACGACAAACGTATTCTGCTTGCCCTCCCAGGTAAGATTGTTGGCCGTAAACGCATCGACGAATACGGACTGATGCACGGATTAAGGAGGAAGTAGATCGCGAGTACGTTAGACTTTATGAAACACATCTATGGCCTTTGTTGCTTGGAGTGCCGGCTCGAAATGTGCGACCGTCCCGAGAACCTCCTCGGCAAGCTTGAGACGTAGGACGAGGCTGAGGCGTCAGTACCTAACTCGGTTTCTTCCCTTTCGGCCCCTCCTTGGACGAGTGGGAGCATCGTGGCGGCACTCTGTGGGGTGGGCGGGTCCGCGCTTCGCCGTCCACTAGGGTCCATCGCCATCGCGAACTGTGCTGGGGGGATGAGCGCAGGTGGCTACGGCTTTACCATCTCAACATAGAACCTGGCGCTCTAAATGTGCATGGAACTGCGTGGTATGGATCGACACTCGCTTTCCGCTCCTCCATACCCCCTGTTATACCCATCTCGCTGCTCGTAAGTCTTATGCCCCATCATTGAGCAGCAGCTTCAACAACATCTGTTGGACGCTCAAGTGGAGAGACCGCCTATGGGCCCCGATGAGTAGAGAAGCAGGAGACGCGCGTGCATTGTCCGTTGTACTATGTTGTGAGGCACTACAGCACAGACAAATGCCCGGCTCTGCAAAGAAAGCGCGTCAGCGGAGACCCGACACACGACATCGCAAGAACTCACAAAAACGGAAACACGAACCGCTGCAGCGGCGACACCGGCAGCACCGGCTCCGCCACCACGCCCGACTCGAAATGCCACTGCACGTATGGCGGCCCCGCGACGCTCATGAACGCCGCCACCCACACGTACCCGACCACCCGCCACGCGCGCCGCGTCCGCGTACGCGGCCCACCGCCCAACGCGGCCCCGAACACGCGCGTGCACACGTCCTCGACGGCGATCGCGACCGCGTTCGCGGCGAAGAAGGGGAGCGAGCGCCCAAAGTGGTGCACGCCGAGCATGAGATCGCCGCACGAGTGGAGGGGGGCAGAGACGGCGAAGGCGGTGTGGAGCTGGACTTGGGAGGAGAGGAAGGTCCCGCGCGGGATGCCGAGGACGCGGATCGCGCGCGCGCCCCATGCATGAAAGTGCTGTTGGCAGAGGGTTAGGAAGCGCGCGCGATATGGGGAGAAGACGGAGCAGGGGACGAACGCGACGGAGGTTCTGGTGCCAAGTGCGACTGGTCGGTGGACCCGGTATCAGCGATTGGGAGTCATCGAAGAGCGAGAGGCGCGACATCTCACCCCCACAGACGGCGCAGGGTGTACGCGTCCTTCCAGCTCCCGAAGGTGTCCGGCCAGTCTTGCGGCTCGCTCAGATAGAGGGCGACAGCGAGGATCGATGCGATGTTGTAGAACATTTTGAGGATCGCGTAGGTCATGACCAGCCACACGAATGTTGTTCCGGAGCGGAGCACGTAGCCCGCGAGGCCGGGAGGGGGAGGATCATCGTAGAAATGGCGGTATGGGTAGACGAAGGACTCGGTGAGGTCGACGAGGAAAGCGCTGGAGAGGAGCTGCAGCACGCGTCTACGGAAAAAAAGGGCCTTGCTTGTTGTCGCGGGCGGAACGTTGGGTACCTACATATAAACGTGCGTAAGGCCGTGATGTATGTGGGGGCAGGCAACAACAGACCTGAGCGTTCCAGCCGATGAGTCGGTTGTTGCGAACGAGGCAGAGAGCGTTCCAGAACCTCGCCAAGAACGACCTTTCGGATAGTGCAGGCTCTGGAGTGCGGAGGTGGCGGAGCTCTGTAATGGGGTCGGTGAAACAGAGGAAGAGAATGGTGTTGAAAAGTGTGTTTCCAAGGACGGCGCTGCCGACAGCGTAATTGTCGACCGCTTTTCCGGTGTCGGTAGACACCAAAGTGTAGACAACCCAAGCAATAAGGCTGAACGATGCAACCAATTTAGCCAACCAGGGAGCTCTGAGTGTGATGACGACACCCAGCGCCATCTCCGGTAGAACGAGATGGAGAAGCGGTGAAAACGGGCGGCGGCCGTTGTCGGGATCCATGTCAAGTCTCAACAGATAACGCGCGTTTGACCTAGGAAAGAGGTCATGTTCAACTGGCAGAGTGGAAGTAGAGTGGCACGTACTTGGCTATTCCAAGACCGCGCAGGTCTGAGCGAAGGTCACGGGGCAAATCCTGGGGGACGGTTGGACGCGGAGGGGTTTATTACAGAACCTGGTGAGCCATACGTATCAAGTCGAACGACTCTCAACACAAGATTATTTGCATGCATCGACGAACTCGTACGACGCCGGCATCAAGCACGTCCATGTAGAGTGATGAGCGTTGGGAATTGCAAACGCCTGACGGTGAGCGGGCGCCGAAGCCCCGGATATCAGAGATCAAACGCGTAACGACCTGCCCTAAACTTACTCATCTAGACTTTCCCCGTTCGAACCGGATGACAGAGCTCGGTACGTATGTACCTACATGCGTACACCTCTCTTCCCTCCCGTACTTTGTCACGTTTGCTCTTACGGGAAGGCGGTGGCAATGATGCGGAATACAATGATTGCGTTCCCCCGCATTCGTTGGATGAGAGGATAAGAGAGTGTGTGATGCAACTCCTGTTCGTCGTCGGCCCCTACACGCGCGAGGATGCGATGAAGTTCATGGACATGAGAGGTGCGTACAGTACTGCATATCACGCATACTCGGTACAGAATCTGACGCGGACTCCGTATGTCGCGCGGCTCTGTTTGAAAGCCCCGCTATGTATTATCTGTCGGAGTTCCCGTCAACATTGGCACTGACGAATGGAGACGTACGGGTACGTACCTCAACCCAGGAGCTGGACGGTCACTTCAACGAGTATCGTCCGCCGGGATCGCGTCGCCCTCGTGCGATGAAAATTCACTCCTCCGTACTCATCCGTCCATGGCAACCGACCATCGATCCATCGTCCGTGACAACGGCGCGCCAAACGAGTTCACCGTCGAGGGTCGGGATTCGGTGCAGTCGCCGGTCCGCGTGCTCCGGAACCACGTTTGAATGCGTCCGACGGCCGTCTTGGCGACGTGCAGGACCTCTTCGCACTCCCGGAAGAAGACACGGAGACTCATGGGAAATCGGAGTGGAACGGCTCGGACAGCGGCTCCCCGGTAGCCGTGTCTACCACTGAGCACAAACACGTGGAGGGCAATAGTCTGCCCCCAAAGTCGACGGCACACAAGGCGCGGGAGTCGTCTGCGGATAGAGCTTGAGTGTTGAAACGTTGAGCGCTGCATCAACGTCGATGACTTCAAGAGGATGCGATAATCTTATCTACAGTGAGAGGTTAGATAAGATGGCGATGACGCATGCCGATCTTATCTGAGCCTGTCTTGATTCCAACCGCCACTGCCCCTCCTGACAGCAAGCAGTATGTTGCGATGCTAGTGAACAAACGCTGACATATTGCCCGCATACAAGTAAGTTACTGCCACTATATGCGCTAAGAGATCACTGACGAGTTTGAATATCAGTCCCGCATCATCACCATAATCCGACGATATCTCTCGGTGTTTCGAGCACGAACTCGCACGACATCCACCGCGGCACTTCCTCTTTGCGACATGAACGTCCTCGTCTATACCGGCTCGGATCTATCTTCGACTTCCCACCAGCACATCCTTTCCTTCATCCGCTCCATCTTGGCCCCGAACTACGCCGTGCAAGCCGTCAACTCGACGTCCCTCGCCTCGCACCCATGGTCTAAAGGATGCGCAATGCTCGTTATGCCTCCTTTCCTGTCTCAGGGCCAAACCGGAACGCCAGAATCACCTTTCAACACCGCTGCGGCTCAGGCGGTCCAGAAGTACGTCGCCGCTGGCGGGCGCTTCTTATCGCTGGGGAACGTCGCTCGCGCGAGCCCAGCTCAGAGTCGGGGGCTGCCGGACACGTCGTCGAACATCAAACTGTCCTTAGAAGATGAGGATAGCAGAATCGTCGTGACGATCGCTCCAAGCACTGGTGCTCCAGCTTTGGCCGACGTGCAAGTGGTCAACGGCTACGTCGTGGAGGGATTGCCGACAGCAGGCTCGATCGATCTGACTGCGATACCAGACCTGGGGAAGGTCGGCGTCGAAGTCATCGCGCGATATCCATCTGGCACGACTGTCGCTGGCGCAAACATCCCACTCGGCCAGGGAGTGGTAGGCGTGTGGACTCTGTGTGTCCCACAAGAGTACGCCGCGCAGCCCGGAATCATCGCACTCCTCCGCTCGACCATCGACGCCCTTGGTTTGCAGCTCTCCATGTCAAACGCAGTCGCACGGCCCACCCCTCAAGTTCTCTGCTCGGCACCTTGGCGTCCTGGCGTCGTCGAGCATGCTCTCCGTTTGATTGGTGTCCCGGCTTTACGCACGAGCTCGCGGACAAGAATGACACCTTTCTCTTCCACTCGCAGGAACAGGCGACGGCTGTCTTTGAGCAGCAGCTTGTTGCAGCAGATACCACGAGCGACGACCCTACGACATGGAATCCGAAGCACGTCGTCGTCTACCCGGGCGCAACTCTCCCTGCCACCGAACTCACGCCGCGCTTCAATATCACTGCATACTACGAAGCTCTCGCGGACGCCCGGAAAGGACAAGCATGCCCGGACACCTATGAAGACGATACCTGGGGAGTGGGTGAAGCGCTGTTGTATGGCGAGGTTGTGACCAGCACACAGACGATGCTCGACAAGTACGCCTCCGTCTCTGTACACCTGGTTGTGTCGATGACGTTATTCCAGAAACACCCATCTGCTCACTTCCCTCCCGACGCCGCTTGTCTCGCTGGCCTCAATGCAATTGACCGGTCGAGGCCGCGGTGCGAACGTGTGGCTCTCCCCTCCAGGATGCCTCCAATTCTCCCTTCTCCTGCGCGCACCTCTGTCAGCGCTTCCGGGCTCGCGCCTAGTCTTCGTGCAATACCTCGCAGCGCTCGTTCTCGCGGACGCGTGCCGCGATCCCGCGGTTCTCGGAACGTCAGCCGGGGACGCTGTGCGCATCAAGTGGCCGAACGATATTTACGCAATCACCCAGGAGGGCGAGAGGAAGAAGATCGGCGGCATCCTGGTCAACACCAGCTTCGGCCAAGGCAAGGTCGAGATCGTCGTCGGTGCGCGCTGTCCCGGCTCCTCGTCCGCTCTCCGTAGACTGACGTCGCTTCCACCCGCAGGCTGTGGCCTCAACGTGCTCAACCCGCCGCTGATCCCCTCACTCGCGCAGCTCGCGCGCAGCAGCGCCGCCCCACCGACGATGGAGCGCACCTTCGCGGCGATCATGGCGCGCTTCGAGCGGAAGTGGTCCGAGTTCCTCGCCGCGCGTGGGTCCTTCGAACCGTTCATGGACGAGTACCTGGAGCGCTGGCTCCACTCGTGCGTGCCCCCGTTCCGTCCTCCGCTGCCCGGTCTCTGACCCGGCCGCGACACAGGGACGAGCTCGTGACGCTGACCACGGTGTCGCCGCCGCGCAAGGTGCGCATCGTGGGGATAACGCCGGAGCACGGGCTGCTGCGCACGATGGCGGAGCCGGACGCGTTCTCGTCTCCTCGAGGTGGAGGCGGACCGGAGTTCTTTGACCTTCAGCCGGACGGGAACAGCTTCGACCTCTTGGCAGGACTCATCAAGACGAAGGGGGCGTGAGCGGGCATGCAGTTTGAGAAAACGAGGGTCAGGGAACGGCGCATGACGATGGAAGCTCCCTCTAGTCGGTCAGCTCGGTGATGTACGATTGTCGATTTCGGATGCATGCTCCGCTTACTACCAGAAAGCACCCGGCATGGCGTCTGGTCGGTGCCTGGTATCTGGCAGTCAATTTTGACAAAAGGGGGGCGGGGCACTGTGTGGGGGGTTTGCTCCCCAAGTGTCACACTTGGGGGGGCACTTTCTCGATGGGTCCGAACTCAGGACAGTCTGTGGCTGTGTCCCCGGCTTCTGGCCGTGTCCTGCAGGTTCTTCGTCGCCGGCCACGAGACGACGAGCACAGCGACGACGTGGTGCCTCTTCGCGCTCATGCAGGCACCGGGCGTCCAGACCAGGCTTCGTGATGAGCTCCTGGCGGTGCCCACCGACATGCCGACGATGGAGGAGCTGAACGAGCTCCCTTACCTGGACGCTGTCGTGCGCGAGACACTGCGGCTCTACGCGCCCGTGCCGAACATCATGCGCCAGGCGAGCAAAGACGACGTCGAAGAAGCTCTGGGGCGAGGATGCTGCAGAGTTCAAGTGCGTGCCAGATGTCGTCCTCGTGTCGAGATACTGACCATATCGACATCCAGCCCGGAGCGGTGGCTCGGCGAGGGGCTTCCCGACGCAATCGGCCCCGTCCCCGGAGTGTGGGGCCACATACTGACTTTCCTTGGCGGCCCCAGGGCCTGCATTGGATATCTTTTCACTCTCGTCGAGTGCGTCTTCCGTTCTAACCCTCCCTGCTTGATACGCAAACGCTGATGCCCAATTGGGTTCGTAGGATGAAGGCGCTCATCTTCACGCTCGTGCGCCGCTTCGAATTCGAGCTCGCCGTGCCTGTCGAGGACGTGGAGAAGAAACAGGGTGCGGCCGTGCAGCGTCCGCGCCTCCGCAGCGACCCAGAGGCGGGTGGGCAGCTCCCCTTGCTCGTCAAGCAGCACCACGCGCTCTGAGGTCTCAGCTCTGAGCGGAACGACGGTGGAAGGACTCTGATTGTGGGTGGGAACAACTATATGGTTCATTGCTTTTGTATTCATCTATGTCAGAAGAAGTTCTTATCGAGGAAACGGTTTCCAACGCAGTGCACTCTTCAGTTGAGAAACGATGCTAATGAACTGAGAACAATGCCCATTGATTACAGCGACTACATAATACATGAATGACGCATGTTGGCTTCCCCGCCGCGCGAGCGACAGGTACTAGTCCCGAGGGCCACGGAGAGGCCTGCGCCAATACCTCGGGAAATATACTGCAACGGAGGTCGTAGGGACCTCCGTCGCCCGAAACATAGGTAGACATACGCATAGAGATAAGAGCGACAATAGAGATGGGGGGTAAGGAGAGAAACAAGGACGGGCCGAGCTGGGGTCGGCGCGCTCGAGTGTCCCGGAGCCTCGAAAACATTCCGTGAAGGTCACGGAGGGGCGTTCATCGGGTCGTGCGCGCCGCCTGACGATCGCCGTCCTTGTGCATAGGCGTGGACATGGGGAGGAGAGGGAGAGCGGTAACAGTCGAGAGAAAAGAAACATGGCTCGAAGCCTGAGGGCAGCACGCACGAGGTTCCTGGAGCCAAATCTTTCCGATGGACTTCGGAGCGGCATTCATCTGGAACGTGCGTGCCGCCTGGCGCGGGACCGTAGTATACTTTCGCCGCTGGATTGGACAGCGGGAAGAGATCGACCGCGCCCTTACTGAGCGTACTTGCACGTCTGGTCTCCAAGCCCCAGGTCGCTGCCCAACAGTGGAAGTCAGGTCTCGTTCAAAAGAGATGCGAGGCGACTGACTCACAATGTTGGGGGATTACCATTGATGGCATGGCTGCCGTGCGGAAATCAGCGACGTCAGCGGGAGGGAGTAATAAAGAGACGCACAGATCACATTGCGTGTCGCTCGCCTCGCGAGAGCCGTCGGTGACGACCGTGGAGGGAGGGTATGGTTCAGTGCGCCGCGCTCGGGCTCTTGGGGCTTCAACGTGGGTGTAGGTCTCCAACCCCGTGCAGTGCGGCTCGAAGCTGCTGCACGGTGTCTCTCACCTGCCCTTGTGGCGGTGAGGATGGCGAAGCGTGAGCGACGCCAGAGCCTCGGTGCCGGGCGAGGAGAGTGACATGGGAGTCGACCTGCATGTGCCACCGGTCCTAGTCACTGATGGTCAGCATGAGTGGCGGCACGTGTGGTTGAAGAAACAGCTCACATCGTCACCCGGAGACGAGCATGCTGCCGTCGCCGCTGCTGAGGCGGGCGAGGGGTTGGGGAGTGGTGTGCCGCATGGGCGGGAGTGTGCCGGGGGGGGGAAACATCGTCGAGGTGGCGGGGTGGTGCGGGTTCTGAGGGGAGAGAGCGCGGGGGAGGGGGGCTTTTATCCTCGCCTGGCGGACCGCATCGCGCCGAGCCCGCGCAGAGCACAAGGTCGCGCACTCGGCTCGCACATGGCCCCACGATACTGAGGTCCCGAGGATCGCCCTGGCCAATCGCTTCCTGCACTCCTCCGCGCCCAAGCAACATCAGGTGCTTCTCGGGTGGAAAGGTGGTCTCGGATCTCACACCAGTTCCTGGAAATTTGATTTTAATCAACAGAAGTCCTCAGCCGAGTTCCGACAGAAGGGCCCACTCACCGAGCGCGAGAAGAGTCGGAGAAAGATCACGGCGACCAGGGGGTAGGAGGGCACCGCAGGCCGTCGTGTGTTGCAGATCGGTTGCAGAGGTCAAGCGGGGGCCCAGGCATCGTTGAGAACGCACCCCGAATGATTTGGGGTGCTCGAGTCAGGCCCAGGCTGGACGGCGGAGTTCAGAAGGGTGGCCAAACAAGCGTTGTTTGGTGTGGGCGTCGACCTGGTTGAATTTGTGAGCTGATTTGGGTCACGGCGGAACTCGGGACTAGGAAGACTTTGAAGCAGCCAATGCAAGCTTGAAGAGTCCAAAATGGCACTGACCCCTTTGGCTGTATCCAGGAAGGATGCAGACTGGGTTGCAGAGCGAGGTGAAGGAGGACGACGTTGGCAGAGAACAGGGCAAAGCGCCCAGTGCTCAGCTTTCGGCGCTGGAATCTCTCGCGTGCAAGGGTTCGAATCCTCCTCTTGCCACTTTCATGTCTCGGATTTGCGCGCCCTTTTGATCACCTGCTCCTAAAAATCGTCCCGCTGTTTGCGGGCAGGAATTGGGAGCCGCGCGCCGCCATCATCGGCTCGTACTTCGACCCCACCGACCTCGATCTGGAACACGCACCGCAGTGCGAACGCCGAGCCCCGACCGCACGAACACTCGTCCGAACTCGGCTGAACGCCATCGCGGCTGGCCGGCGGTTGGACGTCGCCGTCGCGCCTCAGAATACCGAGTTGCTGCGCTGGCACCCTTTGAAGGGGATCTCGCACATCAGGAAAACCTTAACCAGCTAATTAGCTCTAGGTCATCTAAAATAGCGCTAATTAGCTTACTAGATGCGAATAGTTCATTAGTGCTAATTATTTTACCCCTGAACTAATTAGATCACTAGCCCCATTATCTACTGGGTAGATGGGTGATTAGAGCACCTAGCTCTGAAGTAGACGGCTGAATAGAGTGCCTAGCTGCAAGTTAGATAGACAGATAGAGCAACTGTAGGTTCGGTCACACAAGCGTATAGGAGAGTCAAACAAATTTATATTTATCATGCTACAACGTACAAAGTAGACTACAATCAACGACACGGGCACTACTTATGGAGGAATACAGCCTCTCCGCACGTGCCCAGTGCGGACGACATGGACGATACAAGGGCGAGGCAGGCGGCACCGGTGACGTGGGCGAGTCGAGAGCGAACCGGGCAAGCGGGCGAGGTGGACGATGTGGGTGATGCGGACGAGAGGCAGGTGATGTGGCAGCGAACGGGGTGATGTGTGGGAGATGCCCAAACCGGGCGCAATACGGTGAGGCGGGAGATGCGGGTTTGGACGTGGGTGACATAGGCGATGTGGGTGAATGGGCGTCGGTTTGGCCGCGAGCTTAAACAAGCGCGTGAGCGACTGCACGGTGAGATGAGATCGACGTGTGCGAGGGGGCTGCTTACCTGGACGAGTGTGGGGGTGATGGGGGCATTGGAGCTTGCACGCGTGTTCAGACGGCGCCTTCCTCCGTGTCGTGATCGGGCTTCATTGCACCGTCCTCAGGGCTGACGTTGTCCTTCGTGTACGTGCAGCGCATCTAGCGCATCTGCGCGTGAATGTCGCACTTGCCTGTGAGAGCGTGAGGCAGCGTCAGCGTCAGCGTGGGGCGCGCGATAGCGGAGACGGAGCTGTAGTACTCACAGATGGTTAGCCGAGCGGGGTAGGTGACGCTGGCGAGACGCCGCGAGATGCGGCGACGGCGTGGGTGAGGTGGCGATATGGGGAATTCCAATCTCAGTGGTGCGCGTGCGCGTGAGGAGGAGTCAGGAATTGTATGGCAGAGCGGATGCATGGGGCACTTACTGTTACGGTCAGGGCCACGCCCACGTTCACGAGATGCGCAGGAGATGGGCGAAGTGGCGACCATCCTCGGCTGCAGGAGGGCAATAAGCGGGGCAGTAGACGCGGGCGAGGTGAGCGAGACGGGTGACGTACGACACAAGAGCGAGGTAGGTGCAGTGGGCGACGTGGCAACGTGGATAACGTGGGTGCAACACCATTGACAAGGGTGAGGGCAAAACGAACGAGGGAGAGGACAAGACGGGCGAGAGCAAGATGGGCGAGGGCGGGACGGGTGAGAGAGAGGCGGGCGAGAGAGAGGTGGGCGAGGTGGGTGAGACAGGTGGGACGAGCGCATGCAAGATGGGCGAGATCTGGGGTGACGCGAGCGAGGTGGGCGACACAGGCGAGATGGACGAGGGCCCAGGGGGTTGAGACGGGCCAAGCGGACGAGACGGACAAGGCGGGCGAGGCGTGGGGCGCAGGCGAGACAAGTAAAGCTTGAAGTGGGCGACGCGGATGACGCGGATTGACATGGGTAAGGTGGCGGGGAGGGAGAGAGCAGAACGGGCGAGGGCGAGACGGGCGATTACGAGACGGGCGGAGTGTGCAAGGGCGAGACGGGCAAGGGGAGGCCAGAGGACGACAACGACGATGAGGACGACGACGACGACGACGAGAGCGCTGGCAGTGCCAAGCGCTGGAGTCCACGCAACGCGCGTCGTTTCCCACGCGGATGCCAGCACCTGCCAGCGCGTCTTTCCCTTCGTCCACTAGCACGCCGTCCTCCTCGTCCTTCCCGTCCTCCACATCCTCCCCATCTGTTCTTCCTGGCGCAACATCCTCGATGAGCAAGCCAACGCTCTCCTCAACTGCCGCTTCCTCGATGAGCTGTTGCGGGCCCCTAGGTTTTGGTGAGTCTCCCGTTGTGCTCTCCTGCGCTCCTCGCCTCCTCCTCCTCCTCCTCCCAGACTCCGGCCGCGCCACCGACCCCGTCCCCACGACGTCGGTTACGTCCCAACGGGTGTGCACGGGGTGCTCATCCCCCTAGAACGGCTGTGCAGCGCGCCACTACGCGCACGCCTCGCCCTCACCTCGCACGTGTCTGTGCCGCCCGCCATGTTTCCTCGCCCGCCTCTCCTGTCTCGCGCCCGCGTCAACATCCCCCATTTTCCCTGCCTGGGTCGTCAACATGTCGTCCACCCCACTCAGAGCTTCTCCCGTCAACGGCGCGACTTCGCAGGCACGGGCCGCTACTGTACGCCCGGAGGATTACCCGTGGACACTGGTGTCTGCGTACCGCATGGACGACCAGCGCGCGCCTGTGGTGCCCCAGGTAAGCTTCGCCAGTCGACCCGAATCTCGGATTCGCTGACCTGAGGTGCTCTATTCACTTGCTGGCCCACCTATGGAGTTGGAAAAGAAGCGGCGTACGCGCAAGGCGAGGCCCCGGTATCCCCAGGTGCCGCCTCCCACCACGCTGCCGTCCCGTTACCCACCCCGGATGTGCATGGTCATGCAAACGGCCTCGGCGAGCCCTTACGACCACGTCGCCCACATCATCCACCCATATCGCTCGCCCGCGTCTGCGTCGTTCCCGAGCCAACGTTCACATCGCTGACCTCGCCCACATCCTCGTCGTCCGCCTTACCCGCCTATGTTGCTTACTTCGCCTGCGTCACCCTCCTCTCCCACGTTCGCCCCACCTTCCTCGCCCGCATCAACATTGCCACGTCCGTGTTGCCCACATTGTCGGTCCACATCGATCACCCACGTCTGCGTTGTCCCCACGCCAATGTTAGCACCGCCGACCTCGCCCGCGTCACCGCGTCGCTGACCTCACCCACATCCACGTCGCCCGCATCGTCCATCCGTGTTGTCTGCTTCGCCTGCTCGTATCCGCGTCGTCCCCGTGCCAACGTCTGCGTCGCCTACACCCACGTCTGCGTCGCCTGCACCCACGACACACATCGTCCTTACCACTTTGCCTGCGTCCATATCATGTCCCCTGTCCACTCACCCGCATCCCCCGTGTCGCCCACATGGCCCATGTCGACGGTGGTTAACTCTGCTTACCAGTGTGGTTAGATGACATTAGTTCCCAATATATTTCATTCCCCACACTCTTCTGTATCATTGTGAACCATCAGTAAAGCAGTCGTCTTAGTGATGTTATCTCACCCATAACAATCCACCTCTTGCAATTCACCAAGTTCACCAGCTGTTTCGGGACTCCCTATGCATAGTGAGTAGTTAAACATTAGTTCAGATCTAGCACAAATAGATTTGATTTAGATCCACTAGCTGTGGCAGCAGAACAACTAGCTACATAGTTGTGATAAGTGAAAAATAGTGGTCAAATAGTATGACTAACTGTTCATAGTATGCTAGTGCGAATAGCTAAGTCGATAGTGCTAGTGCTAGTTAGCCTAGAGCTAATTAGCCCGTTAAGGTTTTCCTGATGCAGCTCTTGCGCAGCTTGACACCAAGTACCGCCAGGGACCATTATCAATGCCGGGCAGTGACTTGATACTCCCCGTGTTTCCCACCACGAACGTATGCTGACCGCCTATCTTTCGTAGCTTCTGCCGTCGGACTTCGCAAACAACTACCGCTCTCAAGCCCTTCGTGGAAAGCACCGTGTAATGCACCGGAACCTCCAGCCTCCACCTTCATGTATGGTGAGATGCACGGTCGGCGCAATGATATCGGCAATGACCATGGCACTGGCCCGCGGGGAGCAAGCTCACTGCTCAGAACACAAGAAGAACTGCGCGCGCAGTGTGCTGCGCCCTGATGGGGGCGCGTTACATACCCCCGGGCCCAGCGACATTTATTAGCAACGCTGCCACCACCAGTGCGTCTTCGCTACTCTCCCCCGTTGCTCATTCTAACTGCATCCCCCTGCACTGCAGATTGGCTCGACCACTGAGATGGGCTACCTAGACCCTCTCGTCTCTGGGTTCACCGCCGCAGGCGTCTTCGCGACTCTCACGCGCGTCGTCTTCGTCGTGCTCCTCGCTTTCTCCGGCTGGCTCAGCTGGCAGCTCTGGAGGTTCTTCCACCTCAGGCTCTTCAGCAACCTCCTCAAGCTGCCGTCGAAGCCGGGAACTCACTGGCTCATCGGTGATTTCGAATCGTGGGAGGGTCGCTCACCGATCCTTGCGATGGAGGAATGGAAGAGAGACTTGGGCACGCATACGATGCTCTGGCGAGACTTGGCTTGCGTACGTCCAACATCCAAATCCGTTCCTGTGGTAGCGCTGATATTACTGCGATCTGGCTTGCAGAGTCCCAACATGTGGACGGAAGACGTGCGGGCGATAACCCACGTCCTGACACACTCGGCTGAGTATCAGAAGCCGGAGCTCACCCGCCGCGCGCTCGCGGGATTGCTGGGGAATGGGGTGCTTGTTACCGAAGGTGAAGACGCTGTTGTTGTCGTGTTCCACCGTCTCCGTGAACTGACGCAGTAGTACGCGTTTCTCAGCCGACCAGCACAGGCAGCAGGTACGCAACTGCTGCATCTTACCGGCATCTACGCTCTCTTCCTGACTTCATCTCCAACAGAGACGCATCATGGTACGCCTCCATTTCTATCTCCGTTCACAACAGTGCCGGCCGCAACGCACCCCTCCCCAGAACCCTGCATTCGGCCCCGCACAGATCCGCGAGCTCACGATCGTGTTCCTCAACAAGTCGATCGAGCTTCGCGACGCGTGGGACATCCAGATCCCGGGGAACTCGTCGCTCCGCATCGACGTCCTCAAGTGGCTCAGCCGCGCGACGCTCGACATCATCGGCCTCGCCGGGTTCAACTACGAGTTCAACGCGATCAACCCGCGCGGGCCCCCGAACGAGCTCAGCGAGGCGTTCGGCCAGATTTTCGACCCCGCGAACAGGCCGAGCGCGCTCTCCGGGCTGCGCATCATGACGCCCTTCCTGAACGAGCTGCTGGTGAGCGTCGGTCTCCCGCGCAAAGGCTTGCCCCGGTGCTCATGTGGGTGGGGACAGCCCGACGCGGAGTCTCGCCGGCAGGCGAAGGCGCAAAGGGCCATGCGGCGGATCGGGATGCAACTCGTTCAGGAGAAGAAGGCGGCGATCGCTGCGGAGGGGACGATCAAGGATACGAAGCTCGAAGAGTCTGGCAGCGGAATCGACCTCCGCGGGCGCGACCTGCTCACGCTTCTGCTCAAGGCGAACATGGCGACGGACATCCCGGAGAACCAGAAGCTATCGGATGAAGATGTCTTGGCCCGTGAGTTCGTTTCAGAAGATAGACGAAACGGTGCTGATGCATTCTGATTGCAGAGGTCCCGACGTGAGCGGTATACGTTTCGCTTATCGAGATACACATACTGAGGTTTGTGTGGACTCCAGCTTCCTCGTCGCTGGGCACGAAACTACCAGCACGGCGACTACGTATTGCCTCTGGGCCCTCGCGCAGGATCTTGCCGTCCAGGATAAGCTACGCGAGGAGCTCCTCACTTTCGACACCGACACGCCCACGATGGACGACCTGAGCGCACTTCCATATCTCGACATGGTCCTTCGAGAGACCTTGCGTCTGCACGCGCCTGTACCGCTGACGTTCAGAGTAGCGACGAAGAACGACGTCTTGCCCTTCTCAGAGCCGATCATCGACAAGGATGGGGTCGCCCACGACAGTTTCCAGTGCGTCTTCTTTGAATCCATGCATATCAACATCGATTCTTTCATGTGGCGTGCTTAGAATCACCGAAGGCGACGGGGTCATCATCCCAATCCTCGCAATCAACCGCTCAGAGGCGCTCTGGGGACCTGACGCGAAGCAGTTCAAGTGAGTTTGCAGTCCTTCTTCCGCGCCGCACCGTTCGTGTGAGCTCACTCTGCCACAGGCCCGAGCGCTGGGAGAAGGTGCCAGAGGCGGTTGCCGCCGTGCCTGGTGTGTGGGCGCACCTCATGAGTTTTATCGGGGGCCCGCGCGCTTGCATCGGCTACCGCTTCTCCATCGTCGAGTGCGTTTCTCCCCCTCCCGCCGCCGCCGCAATGGGCGCTAACGCGTATCCTCGCAGGATGAAGGCGCTTCTGTTCGTGCTCCTCCGCGCCTTCGAATTTGAGCTCGCGGTGCCGGCCGCGGACGTAGAGAAGCAGTATACGATCGCGGTCGAGCGTCCCGTCGTGGCGAGCGAGAGGGAGAAGGGAGGGCAGATGCCGCTGCTGGTGAAGCGCTACCGTGCGCAGTCACCCTTCTAGACCGAACGCTCAAGAAGGGTTGTCCGTATAAAGTGTAGACATAGTGAATGTAACATCTGATGCCTGAGGCGTTTGCCTCTAAACATACAAACAGCAGTGGATCCCTTATCCGATGCGGTGCTGATGCCTTGATGGGAGAAATTTATTCAGCGAGTCGACCGATCCCTGGGGGCTACCGTTGCATGTCCAAGTATACATGTCAGCATTGGTTTGCATCGTGGTTCGGCTTGGCCACGGGATGGTCGGGAAATGCTTCACCGTCAGTCCGTTACCGTTACGCTTGTGTTCAAATTCGACGGCAGCGCGCCGTGCCGTTGACGCGCCAGCTCGGCTTACCTTGTGTATGCGGCCTCTCGTCCCCGAGGATGTGTTGAGGATATGTAGCCTAATAGTGAGCCTGATCCCCATGTTGTGCGGCACGCAGGGCATGATGAGCACTGGCCTTTGTATCCATGAAAGTCTACAGAAATACAGCTTCTAGTCCATCCGGAAGCATCCCCGCTCTCGCCACATGACGATTTACTGCTTCTTACCCGTCCTCGCCGTCTCGTAGTTCTGCCGGAACCACTGCACGGTCTCGTCCAACGCTAAAACATGCCCTCATTAGTCCAATCTGCACATCGCACAACACAGAGACAGGCCGCTCACCCTTCTCGAACGGCGTGAACTGGAACCCAGTTCCCTTGAGCAGCCCAAGGAGCTTCTTGTTCGATGCCGGCTTCCGGAACTGGCCGTCCGCCTTGGTCTCGTCGAACCGGTAGTCGCCCTTGAATCCCATCGCGCTCACGAGCGCGTCCGCCGCTTGCTTGATCGACACCTCCTCGTCTTCGCCGACGGACAGAATGAGGGGCTCGACCGATTCGTAGTTCCGGAGCTGCCAGACGAACAGCTTCGCGAGGTCGCGCGAGTAGATGAACTGCCGGAGCGGCTTGCCGGTGCCCCAGACGACGAATGGTGTGCCGTTCTCTGCGCGAGTGGACAGGCGCGAGTGGATGTGGAGGACATGCGCGAGCGCAGAGGTGGCGCGGATGACGTCGCGCGGGAGCGGGCACAACAGATAGGCAGTTGAGGAGAAAGAGCGATATCCGCGTTTGAGACGCGATAGTGACGATGGGTGGCGGAATCGCGTGTCCCAGGTTGATGTAGGAGGTAGGCGGCGAAAGGAAAGGCCGACATCGAGGAAATCGTAGAAAGGGGAGGGGCGGCGTTATTGAGGACCACAAATGCATGAAAGGCGGGCGAAAGACGTACTTTGGGCAAGGTAGCACCGATGCATCAGTGCGGGGAGCACATGCGCGCTCTCCAGGTCGCTTTAACGCCATCGCGAACCCTTCAGCATGCCACACGAAGCGCGTTAACGGCGCCAGGAACAGAACTCACAAGTTATCGTGCGGCCCGAACACGTTCGTTGGGATCGCGGACGTGAAGTTGTCGCCGTACTGGTCCTTGTATGCGCTGTAACGCCCGCCCGGTCAACTTCGTACAAGCGCCACGGGGGCGCGGGGGGGAGAACCGTGTGGAGGGAATGCGCGGATACGAAGTCAAGGAGATACGCACTGGTTCTGGACGTCGACGAGTCGCTTCGCGTGTGCGTAGCCGAAGTTGCTTTCGTGCGGGAGGCCCTGGTGGATCTTGGTCTCGTCGAGCGGGTACTCGACCTTGTCCGGGTAGACGCACGTCGACAGGCAGGAGATCACCTTCTTGCACTTGAACTCGTGCGCGGCGTGGAGGACGTTGTCGTTGATGAGGAGGTTGTCGCGCAGGAAGTCGAGCTGCGGTGGCGCGAGAAATGAGACGCGTGGATGGGAGCAGTAGATAAGGACGACGTACTTTCCGGGCCATGTTCGCGAAGAGACCGCCGACTGCGAGTCCAGAGTAAGTACAGATGCGCACGGATGTGAAGGAGGAGCTTACCAAGCGCAGCGAGGTGGATGACATGGGTCGGCTTGTACTTCTCGAACAGCTTCATCGTCTGCTCCTGGCTCCTGCGCACGCAAACACGCGTCGATTAGCAGATGCCGCGCATAAAAGACGATTCTGGACTCACTTGAGGTCCGCCTCCTTCGAGCCGATGAAGAACCACTCCTCGCCACTCTGCTTGCCAAACGTCGAGTTTTCGGGCTCGGTCTCAATCACATACTTGATGCCTTGACCGACGAGGCCAGTGCCGCCAGTGACAAGCACGCGAACAGACATTGCGCGGGTCGTGAGGGTCGTAGGCGTTATCGATGGTGGGGGAGAGAAGAAAGAGACTGAATGCAGAGACGACCGTGGCGCGCAAAGCACCATGTATCTACGGGCGCCTGCGCATCCCAGGGCCACCGGAAACGCGGGCCGGAGTCACACAGAACATCCCGCAACGGTCTACTAGCTCCAGGGCCACTGCAGATAACTCATGATCGAAGCATTTGACAGACAACGCAGACAGCGCAGCTACACATGGATGCGCATAGAACCCCCGTATGTAGAACACGGCCCCGCACCCAACTTCCAGCTCCCAGAATGAGGTACTACCCTCCCCACCGGCGGGTGTACATGTTCCACCCCGTGAGGGTGGTGACAAAACGAAACGGTCTGTGTACCGATCCCGAAAGTCGCAAAGAGGCCTTTGACGAGGCTCGGGGAATTTGGACTGAAGGTTCACGATTGTCTGAAGTCTCTGCGTAGTGGCCGTACGGTTTCAAACCCCACAGCTTAAACGCTTCTGTTCACGCAGGTCAGGTTGCTTCAAATGACGATGTTGGTATGTGAGACGTAATAGAAGAATCACCAGACAATATTCGTTACAGATAGACAGTTGAGGAAATAGTATCCGCGGTTGAGACTAGTCTCCCCTAGGCAGCCCTTTTATCAAAAGTTGAGACGCGACGTGCACGGCGTGAGGGGCGTTGTCGCGCAGGAAGTTGAGTCGTCGTGACGCGACTCACAGATGGGAGCAATGAGCGAGTAAAATGCACTTTCTGTGTCATGTTTGCGAAAGAGTCCGCCCACTGCGAATTGTCCTGGGTTGAGGTACGTACCCGGACGTCTCGAGTCGTAACTGTCGATGTTGACGGCAACTTCCAAAAATGCTTTAGAATCTAGCGGGCAGAGCCGGGTGACGTACGCAATTGGTGTCTGATCCCGTACCCAGTACGCGTGATAAGCAGTTCTGTAATCGCCGCTCGTATCCGTGAGCTGCGTCGAATTACTATTACATGTGTCGGGGTTAATCGCAAACAGGAGTCGAGGTTGAAGCACTCGTGCCGTTGCCTCTAATGAGGAAACGGATGATCATATTCCGCCTCATTGCCACTACCGTGCAAGATAAAACACGGCAAACACAAGGGAAGGACATGTGAACACAAATAGGCACATACTAACTGAGCTCTGTCATCTGGTCCAACCCCATGAGATCCGCCGTTCCATTGCGTGGCGCCATGACTCCGCCTCGTTTTCCAAACCAGGCTGCATTCAACGGGGATCGCAGGGCGTTGCAGCATGCGTCGTGTGGGAGGCGCGAGAGGATTGTGGGCATAGTCTCCCTCCCAGAACAATTGCGGCGTTCATAGATGTCAGTGCGATATCCACACCGTTAAAAGCGCTCGGTGATACTGCACAGAGAGTTGGAAACGTTGAAGGAAGAGTCATGAGGAAGAGGACGTGACTTGCGTCAAAAAGACCTGACCAGTGAGTCAGTGACCACACCGTCTATCGATCAGAGAAAGCCCAAATGAGTGAGTTTAGGGCAGGTCGTTACGCGTTCAGCTGTTTCCGAAATGATTGCCCGACCAACTCCGATGATACGCGAGCTGCACGAACGCACACGAGAAAATCGAAAAAATAGAAAAAATCGTCCTCATCGTCTGCAGCGGTTTTGCGCCCTCCGCTCCATTCCTTTTGTCTCTGCTTCACATCTCATCATGCCTGGGTGCTAAGTCTCGCGAGATATCAAGCTTCAAGGCTGGTGCGATCTACTTGCGGTCGGTTCAAGGCTGGTCGCGGGTCGACGTGGCTGAAGTCCTGGGAGTGTCTATACGCTCTATCCGACGATGGGAGGACGACTACAAGACATTAGAGCAGCCGGATTCTCTGTGGTCGCCGCCCTCTGCTTCCACCCGCGGTCCTAGAGGATCTACAATATCTCCTCGCCCACCCTTCGATGTACCTCCACGAAGTCGTCAAGTGGTGCAAACCCACGGTATTCGCATCTCTTTCACAACTGCCCACCGTACCCTCGTCCATCTCGGGTTTTCGTACAAGAAACTGTGAAAGGAGGCAGCCCAACGCGACGAGATTACCCGGCATTGGTGGCACGCCCGGGACGAGTCAAGCAAGGACAACCGAACTGTTCAAAGGCGGTATGGGTGCGCTTTGAATGGGCAGCGTGCTGTGAAGAGGATCTCGGCTGACCAGGGCCGACGCTTCTCCGTCCTCCCCGCCCTCACATTGGACGGCATTCTCACCGTGTGGGTGGTGCAGGGTTCGGTGGATGGTGCGGAGTCCTACGATTGGGTTGTCGTGCGCGCGCGGTGAGACTTTCCCGAATTTCTCCGAATTTTTCGGAGCATTCGTGCCTGTTGCCGCTCGCGTAGCGTCGGAGTTAGTCGGGCAATCATTTCGGCAACAGCTGTAGGCTGGCAGTCCCGCGCGCGCACTCGCCGCGGCGTGCGCGCTGCGCCGCGTCCACCCTGACTGCATCGAGAACACGTACGCGCACGCGTGGTTCGCCCGCGCCTTGTGGGAGAGGCTCGTGGACTCCGACGCAGCGGACGGCCCTGGAATCCAGCCCGACGCCCGCTCGGAAGATTCAGGTTGCTCCAAGTGGGGATTTCTGAGGCGTTGTGTGCCCCGCAAGACCCCCACGGCGTTTTTGGAGGTTTTGAAAGAGAAGGAGGTGGAGGAGCGCCGGGCGGTTGAGGACAGGGTTCTGCGCGAGCTCGAAGCAGGCCGGGCGGAGTTGGCAGTGCGTTTGTCTGGCAAGGCCGTGCGTGGCGAGTTTCGTACCACCTCGGACCTTCGGGAGGCGTTAGACAGAGGCGTGTGGGCACGGGCACGGGGCGATCTCGACTGGAGGTCGCAGAGTCATCAACGAGGGAGGTTCGAATTCTAGTTCCACGTAGAATGATCAAAGTCGGTCTGTTTCGTGGTCTAGCACGTGTTGGGCGCGATATCTGGTCGTGTTGCGATGGTACAGTGGACCAGAATGAGAATGAAGATGAGCTCATGAGCCCAACAATGAGAAAGCCTAGTGGCAGGGGATCCAGTGCGAGCGCGGAAGCGACCTCTGCTCAAACTCCATTGACCGTCCTACAATCCGCGTACAGCTCCGGGAGCTCGGGTGAAATAGAGCGGGGGAAGGACTGTGTGTAATGCTCGTGACCCGGATCTTGAAGCTTGAAGAGAGAACGCTGGCGAGATGCGAGAGACGAGTGAGTGACCACCACGACACTGGTACACGATTTTGCCTTGCTCGTGCGTACCCTTTTCGCTGATATGTCTTTCAGCGGATGCTCAGCCAAATTTCGATGCGTTGTTGGAGCAGATACTGCAGCACTGCGTCCGGACGATCCAGTGACGCGCCGGCCACGCGTCTACGCGCGGGGCGCGTCGGTCCAAGCTGGCACCTACCGGCTGTGCCCCGCTCTCTCCACCCGCACCCACCCACCGACACATCCGCACAACCCCATCGCCGACGTGCATCCACGCAGCACCTCGCTGCCGACGCACCAGCACAATCAAGACTTTCCCCGACATGTGCCCCGACAAGAGTCGCGCGGCAGCATCGCTCGCCCGCGTGTTCGCCGCACAGAGTCAGTACATTCGGCCCCCCTAAATCTACACACACGCCCTCCTCTCCTCCTCGAACATATCGTCCGGCCTTCCTTGTCGCCCCCCTCACTTCGCTCCTTTGTCTCTTTCTGGACATTTCGTCTCCATCTCATCCCCGTCTCCTTCCCCGTCCCTGCCCCCTCCTCCGCAGTACCCAGTCATGCAATCGTGCATATGAGGGATCACAGAACAGGCAGTTGTCCGCTCTTTGCCCTCATTCGATGTCCGGGCCCACATAGAAGAGGTGTTACTACGCCCAGAGTCTATCCGGGACCGTCCCCGCCCACCCACGGTGACGCCCATCATCCGCGTGCCGTCCGTCATGCAACCCGCAGCCGGCGATCTGCTCGCGCCCGGTGACCTCGAAGAAGACCAGGAGCCAGGGTTTCTGCTCGTCGGGCAAGGCCGGTCACGGAAAGTCGACGTCCTGCGCCAGGTCAAGCCTGAGGCCGAGCGCAGAAAACACGACGTGCACGCCGAGCGTCGATCCGGTCACCCTCCCCTCTTGCTCCCAGTCGCAGGACCGCTGTTGAGTATCTTCGGCTTCTTGCGCGGCCGCTGCTCGAGCTCGGTCCCCCGGTCGTCGTTGTCTGCCTCCGCCGCGTTCGTGATCATGGCCGGGGAGAGGGGATCAAGCAGCTCATCCAACATCTTGACGGGCAGGGGCTCGTCGCCCAAGGAAGCGAGGGCTTCGTCTATGAGGCCGCCGAACAACGTGTAGAGCTCGTCAGTAACCATGGTCGAGACAGGAAGGCGCGGGGTCGCGTCACGAGATTCGTCCAGGTCTTCCCGCTGGAGATTCGTGTGCGCGTCGCGTAGATCAGCGTTGAACGCAACGATGGGTTCGAGGAGGAGAGGGCAGGATGTGTAAAGCGGGCCAAATAAGTGCAGTAACTTGAAGATCCTATCCGTGGGCTGGGTGATGAGGAGCATTCGCGTGACGGCTCCGCCCATGCCGTAGAAAAAGTATTCCCTCGAGCTCCGGTCGATGTTGTCGTGGATATTCTTGATGTCAAAGGTCATTTCCTGCAGTTCAATGTTCGACTGGTGAGGGATGCGGAAGTGGAGGAACCAGACATAGACCCAGTAGAGCGACTCGAGGTCGTGGAGAAAGTGTACGATGAACACGGGAAGTGTCCAGGGTTGTCGGAGTGCATCACAGTGAGATTGGCCGGGCGCGTCGTCAGCGGTGATGCCGCCTGCAGGAGTGTCGTTGGTGAGTATATCGGTGGAGGTGCTGAGAACATGAGGTGCTGAAGCGGCCTGATGTTTATTTGGGTCAGCCTGGGCGGCGATATGTCGCCTCCTCGGGGGCGAACGAAAGCCATCCTGATCACCGAATAACCACGTCTCGGCTTGGTATTCGACGGCCATGAAATCGGGAGTACCCTAGGAATCGATCAACAACACGTTCCAAGTGGGCGCTGTCCGGAAACTCACAACTTTGGGTTCAGAAGCTGGAATGTCCTCGTATGGCTTTGCGTACTCCAGGTCTGCCAACCTGCCAAATTTCGCAACCGGATCATAGAGACAGTTGCCAGCGCTGACGTCGCGATGGACGTAGCCGGCCTCGCGCATCAAGTCCAGGGCTAAAGTGGTTTTCGTCAGAAGAGCCGTTTCGGAAGCCAATTGAGAAACGCACCCTTCGCGCAACCGGCGACGCATCGGAGGAAGCTAGAGAAGTCCCTCAGCTCATACACGCTCTCACAGCGCCCTTCGAAAACCGTTCGGACGTGCTTGCGGTGGCGGCTTTTCAGCATACGTGGGAATGCGTTGCGCTCGGGCCGTGCGGGCTTCTGGCTAGCGATCACGTCTCGTCGGGCTATGGACGGTACATAGTAGATTTGGGTCCACTCCGTCTTCTCGTTTGGGCACATGGCAGTAATGTCCGACTCTCCGTCGCTTAGCTGGACGACGCTGTCGACGAGGATCTTGAGGAAATGCTGTTGGGCGCTGTCGTCCAGCTTCTGGAAGATCGCCCCCTGGATATCGTGCTCCAACCTAGCATCCTCGTACAGCCAGACATCCTTCAGCACCTTCTCGCCGTCGAGGAACTCCAAGAACTCGGGCACCCGTCCCTCGGGTGTGAGTTTTACCTCCTTTACTTTCCAGACCCGAGTCGCGCGGGACGAGACGTTGTATGCGCTTTCGTGCGAGATGGGATCGCCCTCCGTGAGGAACGCGCGGCCCTCGATCCAATAACGGAAGTCGCACTTGGCCCTGTCCGTGCCGTCGCCGGTCTTGGAAGGGATGCGTTGAACCGAGAGGTCATAGCCGAGGGCCTCTAGAGAGCCGTACATCACGAAAACCAGAAACCAGACGAGGTTCTGCGGCTCCTGTGCACGAAGGTCGGTCAGTCGCGGACGGCAGTCTCCGACAACGGGAAGCACCTTGTGGAAGTCGAAGCCGGTCGAGCACTGGACATGGGAGCGCGAAAAGCTGAAGAATTGGAGGTTGTTGCCCGAGATGGTGATGCCGTTGATATGGCGTCTACCGGGATCGCCGAACAGGACTTCGGTCGCTGCCTGGGCCAGCCTCTGCTCGTTCTGTGAGACAGTGAGCAACAGGTTGTGGTGCTATCGGAGACGAATCCACCCACGTCTTCCCTTCCGGTGGTAGAGTCGTATAGTCTGAACTCTCCGATCGTCGCCGTGTCTGTGATCTCGTCTGAGGCATACCGGCACTCGGCTCCATCGTTCGGTCTGCGCTTTTCTCCGAGGCGGTCGCCGGAAAGCTTCACATTCGAAGGAGCGTCTGTACAGGATGGGGGTTTGTCAACACGAGGGCGTAAAAGAATGCGGGGATTGTCGGGATGGAGCCGATAGCCCTCGACGACAGGGAAGGAACGCATGGACGGACGGGTGGGGGGTGAGTCGGGGTGCATCTTGCCTACGGCCTGGGCGATCGCCCTGCCGGCCGTCTCGAAGTGGGAGAATGTTATGGCCTCGTCATCGGAGTCGGGGAAGGCGTTGATGGCGACCCAACCGTCGTCGTCGAGAATGGCTTGCCCATCGTCACCCGGAGTGTTTTTGAGACAGGTAGTGACGTTGTCGACCATGTTTTCGGGCCAGTCCTTGCTGAGAACAGCATGGGTCGCGAGCCAATCGCCGGGGGAGCAACGGAAGAGTGCGCCAGCCATGTCGTAGATAACCTTCTGGCGTTACGGCTCTGAGGGGACGCTTTGCCTGGAGTTGCGTAAGGCTCTGCGTGGGCCCTGTTACCTGTAAAACCTGTGAGGGAAACGTGACTGGCAAGCAGATGAGGGACAACGGACCTGGGAGGGAGGTCGTTGGCTCTCGGTTCGCAGACAATCGAGTGCCTAACGAACGGGAGAGCTATCGTCGACATAACCCCTTTGCCATCTCACCCCTACACAACCCCTCCGCACGTGGATGACGAACACCATACGTCGACATGACCCAGGTGGGTGGCTCGGATTCGGATCCCTCGTACATGCCACACCTACTGTCGTACGGCCTGCACTCTCCTGTGTGGCCAGTTTCCAAACCGTTTCAGACCGTGGTCCCCCGGCTCTCGCGCCCAGCACTCACGCAATCCCCTTCTTCGCCAACACCTCCTCCACCACCTTCTCCACCAGCGCGCGCACCGGGCCCGCGGCCCCGTCCGCGTCCCCGCCGAGCGCCGCGCGCACGCTCTTCTCGACGAACTTGCCGAGCATGTCGACCTCGACGTTGACGTGCGCGCCGAGCGGCTTCCGCCCGAGCGTGATCTTGTCCTGGGTGTGCGTGATGAGCATGACCGCGAACGCGCGCGGGGCGTCGTCGACCGCGGTCAGCGTGAGCGACGCGCCGTCGAGCGCGACGTAGCCCTTCGGGACGAGGTACGGGAGCAGCGACGGCCGCGCCGCCGTCGCCGCCGGGAGCTCGAACCGCAGCCGGAGCGAGTCCCCGTCCGCGGTCTTCTCGACGAGCGTCGCGGTGGTGTCGACGTGCGCCTGGGCGGGGGAGGGGGCGGCTCAGCGAAGCAAGGAGGGAGGACGGGGGGCTCGGACGCACCTGCACGAAGTGGCCTCCGAACCGCACGTGTGCGCCCATCGCGCGCTCGAGGTTGACCTGGTCCCCGACCTTGCGCTCCCCTGCCACGCGCCGTCGTCGCAGAGAAGCGCACCCGCGGGGAACGTTTACGCACCCAGGTCCGTCCTGTCCAGCGTCTCGTTCGCGAGCCAGACCTTGAACCAGCCGCCGCGCGCGGCGGGCGCGCCATCGAACTCGACGACGGTCAGGCACGCGCCGTTGACCGCGATCGAGTCCCCGACGTGGCAGTCGCCGAGGATCGCGGCGGAGTCGCCGACGGTGAGCGCGCACCCGCCGGCGTCGTGCGCGATGTCGACGACGGTGCCGAGGTGCTCGATCTGCGGGCCGGGGGTGAGACGGGCAGACGAGCGTCGTGCGGGGAGGCGTACTAGGCCTGTGAACATGGCTTATGCGCTTGTGTTTGAGGAGTTCGGCCGCCCTGTTGGTATTGTAGGGGAGGAGAATGAGATGGAAGAGAGAATCAACCTGCGTGCGCGCCACAGGGGTAGGTGAGGGACACCGTGCAGCGGGGCCATTCCCTCCCGTCACAGTCGTCGGCGACGGATCCCACGAGCTGAGCGATACGCAATGTGATCTGTGCGTCTCTCTATCACTCCCTCTCGCTGACGTCGACGCTGATTTCCGCGCGGCAGCCATGCCTTCAACGGCAACCCCTCAACATTGTGAGTCACTCGCCTTGCATCGTCTTTGAACGAGACCTGACTTCGACTGTTGGGCAGCGAATCGGGGCTTGGAGACCAGACGTATGCAAATATGCTCAGTAAGGGTGCGGTCGATCACTTCCCGCTGTCCAATCCAGCGGCGAAAGTAGACTACGGTCCCGCGCCAGGCGGCACGCACGTTCCCGATGAATGCCGCTCCGCGAAGTCCATCGGAAAGATTTGGCTCCGGGAAACTTGTCGTGCGTGCTGCCTTCAGGCTTCGAGCCTTATTTCTTTTCTCTCGACTGTTACCGCTCTCCCTCTCCTCCCCATGTCCACGCCTATGCACAAGGACGGCGATCGTCAGGCGGCGCGCACGACCCGATGAACGCCCCTCCGTGACCTTCACGGAATGTTTTCGAGGCTCCGGGACACTCGAGCGCGCCGACCCCAGCTCGGCCCGTCCTTGTTTCTCTCCCTACCCCCCATTTCTATCGTCGTTCTTATCCCTATGCGTATGTCTACTTATGTTTCGGGCGACGGAGGTCCTAACGACCTCCGTTGCAAAATATTTCCCGAGGTATCGGCGCAGGCCTCTTCGTGGCCCTCGGGACTAGTACCTGTCGCTCGCGCGACGGGGAAGCCAACATGCGCCATTCATGTAAGTATTATGTAGTCTCTGTAACCAATGGGCATTGTTCTCAGTTCATTAGCATCGTGTCTCAACTGAAGAGTGCACTGCGTTGGAAACTGGTTCCCCGATAAGAACTTCTTCCGACATAGATGGATACAAAAGCAATGAATCATAGAGCTGTTCCCATCCGCAATCCGAGGGTCCTTCCACCGTCGTTCCACACAGACCTCACAGCGCGTGGTGCTGCTTGACGAGCAAGGGGAGCTGCCCACCCGCCTCTGGGTCGCTGCGGAGGCGCGGACGCTGCACAGCGGCACCCTGTTTCTTCTCCACGTCCTCGACAGGCACGGCGAGCTCGAATTCAAAGCGGCGCACGAGCGTGAAGATGAGCGCCTTCATCCTATCAGTCCACTTGGGCATCAGCCTGCACATCGAGCAGGGGGTTAGAACGGAAGACGTACTCGACGAGAGTGAAACGATATCCAATGCAGGCTCTGGGGCCGCCAAGGAAAGTCAGCATGTGGCCCCACACCCCGGGGACGGGGCCGACAGCGTCGGGAAGCCCCTCGCCGAGCCACCGGTTCGGGCTGGATGCCGAAGTGGTCAGTATCGTGACACGAGCAAAACACCCTACACGCACTTGAACTCCGCAGCGTCCTCGCCCCAGAGCTTCTTCGACCGGTTGAGCGCGATAATCGGAATCAGCACGATGTCGCCTGCGGAAATCCTGGCGGCCGAAGACGAGCGTGAGCCGCATCCGCAGCCTGTCCATCTCCAACTTACCGGATGCTGTCCTGCGTGACTCCGTGCCGGTCGACGAACGGCTCCGCGACAGGAATCACGTCGTCTTTGCTCGCCTGGCGCATGGTGTTCGGCACGGGCGCGTAGAGGCGCAGCGTCTCGCGCACGACGGCGTCCAGATACGGAAGCTCGTTCAGCTCCTCCATCGTCGGCATGTCGGTGGGCACCGCCAGGAGCTCCTCGCGCAGCCTGGTCTGGACACCTGGTGCCTGCGTGAGCGCGAAGAGGCACCACGTAGTCGCTGTGCTCGTCGTTTCGTGGCCGGCGACGAAGAACCTGCAGAAAACGGCGCCGTGCTCAGCAACCAAGGTACACATTGGGCGTGGATGAGGGAGCGCACGTGGGGATTTGCGCGAGAACGTCCTCGTCAGGCATCCGCTGGTGGTCGGGGATGTCCGTGGCCATGTTAGCCTTGAGGAGGAGCGTGAGGAGATCGCGCCCGCGCATGCTGCCCGACCTTTCGCTCGTCACCACGCCCTTCTCCTCCGCGATCTCCGCCTTCTTTTGCGCAATCAAGTCCATTCCGATCTGGCGCATCACCGCCTTCGCGCGCGCCACGCGCCGGCCTTGAATATTGGGCTGAAGCGCACAAGGTTCTCAGCTCGAGTCGAAGGGCGTGAAGCAGATGGACATACCACATAACGGAAGATCGGGAAGAACATGCGGAGCACGGCGATGACGCTGACGCTGGTCTTCGGGCTGAAGATGTGGATGAACGCCTCGTTGAGCTCGTTGGGCTTGCCATCCGGGTTGATCGAGTGGAAGTGGTAGTTGAAGCCCGCGAGGCCGATGATGTCCAGCGTCGCGCGGCTCAGCCAGCTCAGGGCGTCGATCCGCGCGGGGGACCCGTTCTTCTCGACTTCGCCCATCCAGGCATCGCGAAGCTACCCCGGTGCGGTCAGCGTGTAACGAACTGGGGCGGGGCGGAGGGGGGCGGAAAGTCACCTCGATGGACTTGTCGAGGAACGTCTCTGTGAAGTCGCGGATCTGCGCGGGACCGAAGGCAGGGTTCTGGGAATAAGAACATCAGTTGAGCGTCAATCTGGGTGCATCCGAAGACGTACCATCACCCGCCGCTGTCGCGCCCATTCACAATCAGCGACTGCGGACTTTCATAATGGGCGGGGATATGGCGTACCTGTTGTCTGTGCAGCTCGCCTGAACTCAGAACGACTATCAGACTCGCGCTCAACATCGAACGCCAAGCTAGAAACGTACCTTCTGCGCTGAGGAGGCCGTCGCTGAGCAGGTTGGAGAGAGCACGCCTTGCCACCTCCGGCTTGGGATAGTCGTTGGAGTGAGTAAGGATATGGTTGAGCGCGCGCAAGTCGAGGGTCCACAGACGAGGGATCTGCAGATGAGACGTTAGATGGAGTCACGCACAGTGGAGACTGTCAGTACGCACGTTCAAAAGTCCGTTATACATAAGGGTTTCTGAGCCGTACTCCTTGACCCAGGTCTCTTGCACGACGGATGCCTCGCTCTCGCCATGGATGCGCTTCATCTGGCCGTAGATCCAGCTCGTGCTTTTGGGTCCGGGCAGGTTGTTCAATTTGGACGTGTACTGGGACAACAGCATAGGACCGAAGGTGAAGACGAGTGCCCCGACGAGGGCAATCACGATGACGGCGAAAAGGTATAAGATCGACCGCACATCGAAGACGCTGCCCCACAAAAGGGCAAGGCCGTCGATCCACATTGTGACTAGAACTGTAAGTCATCAGTAGTGAGCACAAGCGTAACACTTGTTGAAGTTTAGGGTACTCACAACTATCTGTGCGTGATCCGAGAATCTAGAGTCGTGTCGAGTCAGCCTCTCCAAGGCGGATGGCAGGATAGACAGCGTGGCAGCTCACCTCTGGTGGGTTATATAGGGTGCTGATACTGCGCTCGGGAGATGCGCGGCTTTGGAGCGGCAACAGCGCTACGGCGCCAGAAGTCCGGGACACAGCCACAGACTGTCCGAGCTCAAGAGGCCTCGAGAAAGAGCCCCCATCAAACCCCCCGCAAGGTGCCCCCGCACACAGCAGAGGATTACCTCATCCTAACTGAGTCATCCGCGGCCCCCCTTTCAGCGCATCAAAGTTGACTGCCAGGCACCGACCAGATGCTTTCTGGCAGCACGCGGAGCAACCGTACATCACCGAGCTGACCGACTACAGGGAGCTTCCATCGCCATGCGCCATTCCCTGGCCTTCTTCTCAAACAACATACCCGGGCCGGCTCGGCTCACGCCCCCTTCGTCTTGATGAGTCCTGCCAAAAGGTCGAAGCTGTTCCCGTCCGGCTGAAGGTCAAAGAACTCCGGTCCGCCTCCACCTCGAAGAGACGAGAACGCGTCCGGCTCCGCCATCGTCCGCAGCAGCCCGTGCTCCGGCGTTATCCCCACGATGCGCACCTTGCGCGCCGGCGACACCGTGGTCAGCGTCACGAGCTCGTCCCTGTGTCGCGGCCAGGTCAGAGACGGGGCTGTGGACGGAACGGGGCACGCACGAGTGGAGCCAGCGCTCCAGGTACTCATCCATGAACGGCTCGAAGGACCCACGCGCGGCGAGGAACTCGGACCACTTGAGCTCGAAGCGCGCCATGATCGCCGCGAAGGTGCGCTCCATCGTCGGCGGGGCGGCGCTGCCCCGCGCGAGCTGCCCGAGTGAGAGGATCGGCGGCGGGTTGAGCACGTTGAGGCCACAGCCTGCGGGTGGAAGCGACGTCAGTCTACGGAGAGCGGACGAGGAGCCGGGAGAGCGCGCACCGACGACGATCTCGACCTTGCCTTGGCCGAAGCTGGTGTTGACCAGGATGCCGCCGATCTTCTTCCTCTCGCCATCCTGGGTGATTGCGTATATGTCGTTCGGCCACTTGATGCGCACAGCATCCCCGGTTGAAGTTCCGAGAACCGCGGGATCCCGGCACGCGTCCGCAAGAACGAGCGCCGCGAGGTACTGCACGAAGACGAGGCGCGAGCCCGGAAGCGCTAACAGAGGCGCGCGCAGGAGAAGGGAGAATTGGAGGCATCCTGGAGGGGAGAGCCACACGTTCGCACCGCGGCCTCGACCGGTCAATTGCATTGAGGCCAGCGAGACAAGCGGCGTCGGGAGGGAAGTGAGCAGATGGGTGTTTCTGAAATAATGTCATCATCACGACCAGGTGTACAGAGACAGAGGCGTACTTGTCGAGCATCGTCTGTGTGCTGGTCACAACCTCGCCATACAACAGCGCTTCCCCCACTCCCCAGGTATCGTCTTCATAGGTGTCCGGACATGCTTGTCCTTTCCGGGCGTCCGCGAGAGCTTCGTAGTATGCAGTGATATTGAAGCGCGGCGTGAGTTCGGTGGCAGGGAGGATTGCGCCGGGGTAGACGACGATGTGCTTCGGATTCCACGTCGTGGAGTCGTCGCTCACGGTATCTGCCGCAACCCGCTGCTGCTCAAAGACAGCCGTCGCCTGCTCCTGCGAGTGGAAGAGAAAGGTGTCGTTCTTGTCCGCGAGCTCGTGCGTAAGAGCCGAGACACCAATTGAACGGAGGGCATGCTCGACGACGCCAGGACGCCAAGGTGCTGAGCAGAGAACTTGAGGGGTGGGCCGTGCGACTGCGTTCGACATGGAGAGCTGCAAACCAAGGGCGTCGATGGTCGAGCGGAGGAGTGCGATGATTCCGGGCTGCGCGGCGTACTCTTGTGGAACGCACAGAGTCCACACGCCTACCACTCCCTGGCCGAGTGGGATGTTTGCGCCAGCGACCGTCGCGCCAGATGGATATCGCGCGAGGACTTCGACGCCGACCTTCCCCAGGTCTGGTATCGCAGTCAGATCGATCGAGCCTGCTGTCGGCAATCCCTCGACGACGTAGCTGTTGACCACTTGCACGTCGGCCGAAGCTGGAGCATCGGTGCTTGGAGCGATCGTCACGGCGATTCGGCGATCCTCGTCTTCCAGGGACAGTTTGCTGCTCGATGACGTGTCCGGCAGCCCCCGAGTCTGAGCTGGGCTCACGCGAGCGACATTCCCCAGCGACAGAAGACGCCCGCCAGCGACGACATACTTCTGGACCGCCTGAGCCGCAGCGGTGTTGAAAGGTGATTCTGGCGTTCCGGTTTGGCCCTGAGACAGTAAAGGAGGCATAACGAGCATTGCGCATCCTTTAGACCATGGGTGCGAGGCGAGGGACGTCGAGTTGACGGCTTGCACGGCGTAGTTCGGGGCCAAGATGGAGCGGATGGAGGAAAGGGTGTGCTGGTGGAAAGTCGAAGATACATCCGAACCGGTGTAGACGAGGACGTTCATGTCGCTAAGAGGGGGTGCCGCGGTGGAGGTCGTGCGGGTTCGTGCTCGAAACACCGAGGGATATCGTCGGAATATGATGATGATGATGCGGGACTGATATTCAAACTCGTCAGTGATCTCTTAGCGCATATAGTGACAAGAGCTTACTTTTATGCGGGTAATATTTCAGTGTTTTTTTCACTAGCATCACAACATACTGCTTGCTGTCAGGAGGGGTAGTGGCGGTTGGAATCAAGACAGATAAGATCGGCATGTATCATCGCCATCTTATCTAACCTCTCACTCTAGATAAGATTATCACATTATTCCAACCTCTTGAAATCATTAAATTGATTGATTTTTAACAATCTTTACAGATATGCCGTGGCACGTCAACCAGACTTCATTTTACTATCTTTTTTTTTTTTTTTTTTTTTTTTGGTGGAGCGAAACCGTCGAGCTCTGCTGCGCCCGAGTGGGGCAGCTAGTCTCGTAGTCGTAGCGAAACGACCGGTCAGCTGTTCTAGGATAATCAGAGGAAACGAGAAAACTCCGCTTCTCCTAGATATAAATAATGACACCGCGAGGAAATGCATTGCGCACGACCAGAGTGAACTAGTCAGTGTGGGACTCAGGAAGGACGTCTCCGTCCTTTTCTGATACCCACTAAAACCCCGCTATTTAGGACCCAGTCCGAGGGAAGGTCCTTTGTATGGGTGTCCAGTACTGGAGCCCATATTTTCGCCACTGCTGACGCCGAGAGGGCGTTCTTTACAGCTGTTGCCGAAATGATTGCCCCACCAACTCCGACGCTACGCGAGCGGCAACAGGCACGAATGCTCCGAAAAATTCGGAGAAATTCGGGAAAGTCCCGCCGCGCGCGCACGACCTGACGCGAGCCGACGCGAGCGACGCAGAAAATTCGGAAAATGATGGAAATTGGGGTCGGACAGCGAGAGTGTGCCAGCAACACATTGTACGCTACTGTTTTTGCCTCCTTCCTGCTCTAACACTGGCTCTACATACCTTTCCGCTACATGGACGACACAGAAGGCAACAGAGAGATGCGCAACGCACGGTTTGGTCGCACGTCATGACTTCCTGCCTGGTCATGGGTGGCGAGAGCCACGGCAGGAAGCACGTCTCGAGGAATACGCGCGACATCGTCTTGAGCACCACAAAGTACGTCACGATCCACAGCAGTGCAAGCGACACGTAGAGGACAACCTGCAGCACACTATTGACGATGATGGCGAGGATCATACAGCACTCGCCGTCGCCCCGCGCGCCGAGCACATTCCACACAACGACCACCATGATGCACCGCGTGAGACTGACCATGCTCAAACCCATGTGGTACCTTGAGAGCGCAAGCGCGAGATGCAACGCCATCGTGCACGTATGAAGCAGCGCGGGCAGGGACTGGGAGAGCTTTAGGGCCTGGTCGGCTGCCCGTGGGATGGGCTGGGTTCCCCGCCAAAATGATCCCACAGCACGATGGGCTGTGGGCTCACGATAGACGCCCCTCGAGCCCATCCCGTCGTGGGCTCGGACGCCTCCGGGCCGTGGGCAGATGGGCATCCTGATGGGCGCTTTTCCCGTCACGCCATCCCCCTGCTCCCCGTGCCCGCAATGCCCGTACTCACTGTCTCCCCCTCTCTGCTTACTGCTTGCTCCCTTCCCCTCCCTCTATTTTCTGTCTTTACACATACTTTCCCTCCAATAGTCACAACTCCACTCATTCACCATAGCTATTTCTATTATTCAAGCCACCTGATTACCATTTGCAGATATGCTTGATAACTCCCCTGGCACATTGCCTCCCCAATCCTCTGTTGGTTGCCCTCTGCCACTCTGCTGTGACCTTGAACTGTTTAAACAAACCTTATTGAAAAGAAATACAGTAGGCGAATGCAGGATGGTGAATGGAAGCCAGCTACGCTGTAACAGCCATTCTGTGGGATTTCGGGGTTATAGGACACAATCAGGATAGATTGGAGGGTGCTCAGGGTGGATGTGTCGCACTTGAACTCCTTTGGGCACTAGAGATACGCAGACACACAGTGGATGCACAGTAGATGGTGGTGCATAGAAGCAAACACATACTAGTGTGCGGTGCGGGCGGTAGCGAGCACAAATTCACAATACCTGCATGATTATCTAAGTAAGAGGCGGGGTTGTACCTCCAGTGCCGGGCTCTGATAGGGGGACAATTCACACTGGAAATAAAAATAAGGGTGGCCTTAAAGGGCATAGCTCACATGCTCTCACGCATCCAATGAGCTGTTGGGACAGGCGGAAGGAGTTCACACATGAGGGAGGTGGATTGCCATCGTACACGGAACTGCGCAAGCGCGCGGTGTCACCGTTCGTGATGGGGAGTGACACAAAGCGACGCCCAGTGACGCGGATGCCAGCGAAAGCCCGCTGGGCTCGGGATGGGTCGTCGGCCGTCTCGGCCCCAGGCGAGCCCATCCCACAGCCCATCCCACAGACAGCCGACCAGGCCCTTAACGGTGTTCACGTCGGGGCCGAAGCGTGAATTCACAGAAGCAACTACAATGTATACCTACAGGTAACCGCTATGCCTGTACCAGCCGCGAGCCTTCTCCGGGGTGACAGCAGCATAGCAGGCCTCAATAAGCTCGTTCTCCGGAAAGGCGTCGTCTCCACCCATGTGGTCCCATTGCCGATGAGCAGACACCCTTTGCACCGTTAATACGGCGAAATTCCAGCCAAAAGAACATGTTCCGCACTCACCGGCTGCTTCCACTGCCTCGCAAACTGCTTCACTCGTGTGTGCGGCAATTGTCGACAATGAGAACACTGTTTGGGCTCGAGAACGGGTTCATCTGGGGCAGCTATCAAAGAGACCGCTGAGACGGGATGAGGACCGAGACGAGTTGACCCGACATACCAGTTCTGTGACAACCCAATCGTAGGACTCCGCACCATCCACCGAACCCTGCACCACCCACACGGTGAGAATGCCGTCCAATGTGAGGGTGGGGAGGACGGAGAGGCGTCCGCCGTCGGCCCCGGTCAGCCGAGATCCTCTCCACAGCACACTGCCCATTCAAAGCACACCCATACCGCCTTTGAACAGCTCGGTTCTCCTTGCTTGACTCATCCTGGGCGTGCCACCAATGCCGGGTGATCTCGTCGCGTTGGGCTGCCTCCTTTCACAGTTTCTTGTACGAAAACTTGAGATGGACGAGGGTAGTACGGTGGGCAGTGGTGAGAGAGATGCGAATACCGTGGGTTTCAATGCACCACTTAACGACTTCGTCGAGGTACATCGAAGGGTGGGAGAGGAGATATCGTAGATCCTCTAGGACCGCGGGTGGAAGCAGAGGGCGGCGACCACAGAGAATCCGGCTGCTATAATGTCTTGTAGTCGTCCTCCCATCGTCGGATAGAGCGTATAGGACTTCAGCCACGTCAACCCGCGACCAGTCTTGAACCGACCGCAAGTAGATCGCACCAGCCTTGAAGCTTGATATCTCGCGAGACATAGCACCCAGGCATGATGAGATGTGAAGCAGAGACAAAAGGAATGGAGCGGACGGCGCAAAACCGCTGGAGACGATGAGGATGATTTTTTCGATTTTTTCGATTTTCTCGTGTGCGTTCGTGCAGCTCGCGTGTGATGCGAGCTCGCGTATCATCGGAGTTGGTCGGGCAATCATTTCGGAAACAGCTGTAGCGATGTAAGCGCCGCGGTTCTGCGGTCGAGGTTGAGTCTCGCGCTTATGCACGCTTTCCAACGTGCCGCTACCTCCTCCTTCGAGAACTCAGCCTTCTCATTCCGGATTACCCTTTCACACCGAAGTTTCCAGATGAGGTGCACTGCTTCTGAGGACAGGATTGTCCAGAGGTTTTTCTCGTCCGTTGATATTTTCGTTCCGCCTTCGTGTTGCAGCAGCGGGCTTGCGAACACGGATCCCCAGTTTATTTCTCTCGGGGTGAGGTTCGCATCATTCCATATTTCCTTCAACGAGTCCCAGACAACTTTTTGACCTATCGCTTCGCATCTGAAAAGGATATGGTCCATGGAGTCGATCATTAGGCAGTCCGGGTGGTCGCAGATTGCCCTTTCTTGGAGCTCCGCAGACATGGATCCCCGCAGCCAATGTGATCCCACCATGTATCCGTTGTGGATGGCCATCCATATGAAGCTTCTGCATTCCTTCGATATGTGTGGTGAGTAGATTCCACGCCATATTTCGCTGTCGACAGGCCGCATGTTCCCTGATTCTTGGATCCTGTCTGCAATCTCATCTAGGTTACTCCGCGTGGCCTGGCGGGGCTTCACTTTCGCTTTCTTTATGTGCCGTATCGCTTTGTAGGCACTGGCTTGGGTGAGTGAGGATAATTTTACTCCTGCGACGTTGAACTGACTCGGGCACATGACGCCGTTTGTTCCGCCTGAGGTTCCGTCCTCGTCTCTTTGATTTACCATGGCTTTTGCCTCTTGCCAGTCTGTATCGTCGTCTCCTTGTTCCAACAGGTGTAGTCGACAGTGTGTCTTTCTTTGCCTTAGTTGGTTAATGACGATTCTGAGAGAGGCGGTCCCGCGTTTCACGAGGTCGTATCCGCCGTCTTCCAACGAGGATTTCTGTTTGGACAGGCTGTTGAATATTTTTTGGGAGCTAAGTTTCAGTGTTATCTCGCATTCCGTAGGAACCTGATCTAGAGCCATCGCCAGAAGTCTGAGGGATAACTCGGAGGGGTCGTTATCTTGTACTACAGGTTCTGACACATGTATTGTGTTCGTAAAGTTGGGGCCTATGATCGCTACCGCGTTCATCTTTCTGGCTCCGTTATCGGCAACCAGGTGTGTAGCTTCTATCGTAATGTTTGTATGCGCCAGTGGCTCATTGTGTATTTTCACTTCGACTTTCGTTCGGGACGGTAGAGCGTTATCTGTGAAGATGCGCAACTGTTCCCTTGCAAGTCCTTGCGACGTCACTCTCCTGTCGAAGAGGATTGAGTTGTCGGGATTAGGTGTGTTTTCCATCATTTGGTCTTCATAATCTTCTGGAAGTTCTCCTCGTGGGTCCCATTTGGGCGGGAGAGTATCCAGAAAGGCAGACGCTCTTGTGATGCATCCCGCTGGGTTGGCACAGCCCGTTGCGTTGCGCAGAGCTTCGCACATCTCGCAGGCGCAGGTGGCCCTGCGGGGGTTGTGATTTGGAGCTCTCTCCATCGCAGCGAGCTGTTCGAAATCTCCCACTGTTACGAGTTTATGGTTGTGTATGATACACTTCGTCGCGAGTGCGACTTGAGCGGAGAGTACTCGTAGTTTGTGCGTATCTGCGTGAGGGTGTTCCCACATGGGGGTCGATCTTAGGGTTCGTCTGGATGGGGCTATGGCGTTGAGCTGGAGACCGTACTTGTGCGCGATTTTCATTAGCGCTTTAAGTTCTCGTGACAGGCCCTCTTTTCTCTGTATCGGTTTCCACTTCTGGGTGAAGGGGTCGCGTCGCTGTTCTTCTTCCTTGAGCTTGCACTCCGAGTTGGGGTTTATGGCAAGTAGGTGTTCAGCGAGGAAGGCCCAGAGCGGGCGAGTTTCGGACGAGTCTGCAAAGCTCTTCAGCCACATTATGTCGATTGCATCGTTCCGTGCTTCAATGTCGATGATGCCGAGTCCACCCTCGTCTTTGGGTAACATTGCATGATCTAGGCTTACCGGGCAGTGAACTCTGTCGTTCCACAGAAAGTTGCGGATAATGCGTATGAGTCGCTTTGTTACGTCTTTCGGCATCCGTTGAACGTCTGTTAGGTATTGCGTCATGCCTCCAGCCATCATTTGCAGGACGTGTTTCCGCCCCTCTAGCGTCGGATTAACCATGCGCCATCTTTGGAGGGATTCTTCGAGTTTTGCGAGTTTGGGGGACCAAATTGTACCTTGTTCAAGGCCGTTCCCAAAGAAACCTCCCAGGATACGTACTGGTTCGCCCTCGTCTGCTACGTGCACGTTTCGAGGGCAGTTGTTCCACGTTCCGTGTACTTGGTATGTCTCGATCACTGTCTTGCGGAACTCTTTTGTTCCTATTGGGATGATTTCTGTTTTGGAGATATTGAATTTCGCTTTCGCAGCTCTGCACCACGTATCTAGGATCACCTGCAGTATCGCGAAGTCATCTCCCTCTGCTAAGAAGGTTGTCGTATCATCCGCGAATAATCTCGCTTTCAGATTCGCATTTGTTCTTGGTATGTCGAACCCTTCCAGTTGTGAGTTACGGATCATTGCCGACAGTGGCTCAATCGCCAGGTCGAAGAGAAGGCATGACAGCGGATCACCTTGCCTGACACCCCGGTAGACATGGTATGGTTTGCTCTTACAGCCATTTATCATGACTGATGTTTGCGCATTTTTGTAGAGCTCCTTGATCATGGTAATGAAATTTTGGGGCAGGGCGAATTTATCGAGGACTCTCCAGAGGTAATCATGGGCGATTTTGTCATACGCTTTTTCCTTCATTTTACTATCACTAGGGAATGGCACGGGTCGGGTACGGGTAACCGGAGCGTACCCTTACCCGACCCGCGACGTACCCGTACCCTTGTCTGCGGGTACGGGTTTGGGCGTCTACCCTACCCTCTATCACGGGTACGGGTGACCCGCGGGTCCGGGCGAGGGTTTAGTACTATGAGAGACTTTGTCCAAGCAGCCCATCTCGTGTTAGTTCAATATATTGGGGTAGTATGCGCAAGAACCCGTACATTGACATGTGTGTTGCACACACGGGCGAACCTGCGGGGGAAAGGTGTACTTGGCGGCCGGTGACGATACTTGCTGGTCGAGCCACACGCACGCAGCAATGTAGTGGCGGCGACATCGGACTAGCATGGGGTGTGCGCGTCGATGCGTGTTGCGTGGGGGATTGTTAGCGAAAATGCGCAGGTGTGTCCGTGAGGTGGTTGTGCGAGTGCGTTGATGACTGAACGGTCGGAGCGTCGCGCAGACTGGCGGAGGCGCGCATCAGGAAAAAAGCAGGTTGCTCCAGAGCACTATGTGGGCTATGTAGCATCCGAAGTGCCATAGGAAACCCCCCCGTTTTGGGGTCTCCCATAGTCGCGCGCGGCGTCTACAAAGCGCTCCATAGTACCGCATAGCAGCATGCACCGTCTATGATGTTCGTCCAAAGCTTGTTCAAAGCAGCCCATTGCACTCAGCAAAGCGCACGAATGATTGATATAGCGGTCAAAAAACTGTATTAAGCCTTACAATAGAGTACATGCGACTACTAACATATAACAACAACGATGGGGAAAGCCGAACCCACCCGTATGGACGCTCTTTGCTCGTCCACCGCCTGGCTGACGTACCTCTGCTCTGCACCAGGCTCGAAGTCGCGGCTGCTCACGACCCGGCCAAATTGCCGGTTCTTGAAGAGCGCCTTCTTCGACCGGACGACTCACACCAAGTCGCCGTTCGCCATGACGAAGACGCGGTCAAACGCGGGGCGCGGGGCGACGAGTCCGTCCGCGCGCGCGCTCCATGATACATGTGATCGACGGGTAGCAGCGATCGACGCAGATGGCCATGCCCTCCTCTGTCGCCGTGCCGGGCCAGGGCTCGCTGGAGGGCGCGATGAACTCGGCGAGGCGGGGAGACTGTTGAAGGCGAGGAAGGTGGGCGCCCAACGGGCGAGGTGCGCGCAATGGCCCTCGTAGCCGCCCGGTTGACGTGGAGGGCGAGGAGTCCAGGGAGCTCCGTGTACCGGTCCTTGTTGTCTGTGAACGGGACCGCTGAAAGCGGGGACTCGTCGGCGGGCGCGGGGGAGAAGACGGCGCATTTATCGTCGAAGGCGAGCTCGACGTGCACAGACCAGCCCAAGTGGGTGAGGATGGGGGAGGAGAGGAGGTCAGAGAGGAGCTGAGCTGGGGGACGCACAAACGGAGACGTACTCACGGTCGAAGATGTTGCCACACTGGTCATCCGCGCCCTTCATGTAATCCACCCTGCCGTCCGTGACGTCGTAAGGTGGCGTGGCCAAGTGCTCTCCGCAGCAGCCTCGCGGCCGCAGACAGGGAAGATAGGCTCTTTAACCTGGGCGGCCGTCAAGTACCTTGACCACACGACTACAGAGAACACATACCTGCAGCCCTTCGTCACACAAACCCCCGCGCACCTGATCGCGGAGCAGGAGCCGGGGAGTTGGCGACGTAAACCCACGGGCTCGCTCGTGTCGGACCAATCTGTAGAGGTCCGTAAGCAGCATGAAAAGTGCGAAACCTGGCATACCCTCGTAGCTGATGGCAGAGCAGGGTTTTTCTTGAGTTGATTCACCTGGAAGACCTGAGTAAACAGGAGAATGAGGAAATGGGAGATGTGGGGGGAAGAGAAGACGGTGAAAGCATGCGCTGGCGCTGGCCGCGGCAGAAGCGCGCATTTGCGCACGGGCCAGGCGTGTGAATCTACAGGCGCCAGTGTCCATTCAGGCCGGGTGATGCGCCCTCGACGCCAAGGCCTCCACGGCGACGGCGGTGACTGCATTCTTCGCGGCGTCCTCTATGGTGAGCTCCGCGAGCGCCTCAGCGAGACAGCGCGAGCACTCGCATTTGAACCTCCAGCCGTGGGCGAGCTCGATGCCACGCGCGCGCGCGCGCGACGCCCGCGGACTCTTGATTCGACCGAGCGCTGGAGGTCGTCAACCCAATCGTGAGCTTGTCGCTGGCCTTGGTCGGGCGTGTGGCGACGAGCTTGAGGTCCGTCGAGCCGGGGGCGAAGATCTGGCAGCCGAACGGGTTGCCGGAATGTGTGAGCTGTATTGATGGATTGTAGAAAGAGAGACATGACACGAGAAGAGGGAAAAAGGGCGCACGTAAGACAAGACGAGGTACAGACCGGCACCGAGCTGGCGCGAGGTGGTCCCCGGCGTGCAGCGCGCAGGCGCGCTCTTGGTCCTCAGGGCACTCGGTTGGAGCAGGCTACGAGACAGGACAGTCAGTACACCCACACAAATTAATATGATAGCATTGGTACAAGGGCCATGTCGTGCAACTCCCTGCTGCCATCAGGGTTGTGAAGCTACTGATGCACTTACTGGACGTCTTGCATTCAAAGCTCCAAGGAAGTCTCCGATGGTACGTTCGACATCTTCTCATCGCTTCTGTTAGTGACACCGAAATCTCCTTGAAATATCACTGGACTTCGGAGCGCGCAGTGATCTCCAACTGCCAGAAACGAGTGTCATTCACTCCCAGCTGTCAGTGATATGCTAAGAGGTCTGTTGTGCACGTTATTGATATGTTTACATCTGGTTTGTGTTGGCTGTCATTAGACTCTGCTATGGTATGCTTTGATAGTACTATGGAGTGCTATGGTATGCTTTGATAGTACTATGGAGTGCTATGGAGTGCGCACCAACGACTTTGGCGCCTACCGAGCCTACATAGTCTGTAGGCTGTGCTCCGTAGCAAATCTTTTTTCCTGATGCGATCGCAGCCGGGTGGTTCGGTACGAGGCGCGCTGCGCGGCACGCGGATCAGCGTCGCGCACAGCGTGAGTGCATATCTAGACTCTACCAACGTCAATACTCGAAAACATACAGATCAGACACAGGATCTGAGGCAGGGACATGAGAAACACGGTGGAAGAGGCTCGAGAGAGTGTGTGTATGAGTGGATGAGGCCCGGCGCCCCAGACAGAGGGAACGGGGACGAAGAAAGTGGGTACAGGAGTAAAAAATGGACAAAAAATAGAGCAAAAGATGACCAAGATTTATGAGGAGGTCTACGGGGTGCAATCGCAAGCGGAAGCACCGCGGGTGGCCATCACCAGGTGCGCGCAGTGGAGACCGCGAGAATGCACGGAAGGCGCCGTGGTGTGTCTGTGTGCGTCGCGTCTTACCGAGTATGCTACCGCGGATGTCCTAGGGTACTCGCGGGCGAATCTTGATGTGTGCGCGAGGCGGAATGGTCGAGATGTAAGGGCCAGAGCGTGGGCGCTAGCGTGGTCTAGGCTGTTTGTAGAGCGGCTCGGACGCGTGCGTAGTATCACCGCTCAGCTGCAGGCTGTCAGTCCACCACCACCACCACCACCACCACCTCCGCATTTCAGCCTTCTGTGATACTCCTCGTGTTCCATCGCCCTCAATGCGCTGCTCACTTCTCTTCGCTGACCCGACACTCTCAGCCTCGCCGACGCGTCTTTCGTCCTAGTCCCGCCGGCGGCTCCGAGTCATCCGGACTCCGCCGCCTTCTCCACGTTGGGTTGACTCCCCGCTGCGCGAGCTCAATGGGCTCGCATCCCCCTTTGCGCGCCTCACGTGGTTCGCATCTCATCACTGACTCTGCGGGTACGGGTCAGGGTGCGGGTCAAGCACGGGTACACGGAGCTGTACCCTTACCCGACCCGCGTGGGTACGTACCCGTGACCCGCGCGGGTTACCCGTACCCGTGCTATTCCCTAACTATCACTAGGTTGAAGTGTTGCTCCATATCATCCCTCGCCGTTCTAGGGTCCTTAATTCAGGCTGTAGACTGAGCTTTTCGCGAGCGATCATGGTCAGGCAATCGCTGTGCGATCGCCGTCTGGGTCAGGTGGAAGTTCTCTCTCTATTGTCCCTATGTCTGTGGAGTTCTCTTCATGAGTCTCATCCATAAAGCAGGTAGTGTGACAGACGTTCCTGGACTCTACTATCCTCACTCTGGCTCCAACACTGAGTACTGACGAGTCTCGCATCCACGCTCTCCCAGTGGAGGTGCTCGAGGTGCCCGTGTACGGCGAGCCCGCGCCCGCTGCACCTTTTCCGCGCATGCACACACACTCCGCATCGACTGCCCGCACGCCGACCGCGACCTCGCCCGCGATCTCGCCCACACCTTTCTCGCTCTCTGCCGCCTCGCCCTCCGCGGCGCATGCCCGCTCCAACCCTGCGGCACCATATGCAGGTGCAGGGCGCAAGCTCGCGCGGGAGTGGGAGGGGGTGTGGCCGGACCTGGAGAGGATAGCGGGGGAGACCGCGTGCGCGCTGTATGTGCTCGTCGTCCCGTGCGCGGTCCGCCGCGCGCGCGTCGCCTTCGCGCGTCTGAGCCCACGCTAGTCTCCCCCACGCATCCCATAGCCCACGCCGGCGGGGGACGCACTGCTCGCGCGCGCGGTCCGGCGCGGCCGGGCGGATGGGGTGGGGGCATGCGGGGGCACTAGTGGTGGTGATCCCGTCGCAGCGGACGACGACGGCAGCGACTACGCCGCGATGTGCCTCCGCCCGTTCATGGCGGCGACGTGGAGGAGGGCGACGCAGAGGCAGTGAGTCGGGGGCGGGCGAAAAAGCTTAAGGAGGGCTGGGACGAGAAAAAGGGAACGCACGGGTAGGTGGGCAGTGCGGAGGGCCCGCGGATACGGGAGGCGGACGTGGGCGAGGCGGAGGACGCGGAGGAGGGCGAGGTGGGCGGAAGCGGGCGACACGGAGGGCTTGCGGGAGGATGCGAGGGACGGGAGGAGGCGGAAAGAGGTGGTGGGCGACGCAGTGGGCGACGTGGACGCAGTTATCGACAGGGCGGGGCGTAAATCCGAGTTTTCTCACATCAGACGTGTGTTTTCTCTGGCCACAGTTCTGTCGTTGTCGGTGGACATGCCGTTGCACGACACTGCAGCGTCATCCATATCGAGCGTGTTCGTTGGCACGAAGGGGTAGGGGCATTACATACATGGGTTGATTAGGTAAGCACCTCCGAGTTCACTCAGACCGCCAGCGAATTCTGTACCGCTCCTCAAGGTCTCACCAGTCTCGCCACGATGTGAAAGTAAGTGTCTCGTCACTTCATATCCGCTGTCAATCCGAACACCAGAAGTGTTTTAGACTGCGTCGTCTGTACGGCGCATTCTTGCCGTCTCGCTAATCGACGCTCCAATATCTTCTCTTCTGCTTGCCACTCCGACACACTTCTAGCAGTATACAAGAGACATCATTAATGGTTTCTAACCAGGACACGGATAATGGTAGGCACGTCTTCTGGCGTCTCACCGTTGGTTAAAAGGCTCGTCAAGTCGCAGAGACCTCACTCAGTGGCAGCCAGCTACTTCAGTCTCCTCTCCAGCCTCTCCAGTCTCCTCCAGCATCTTCTTCACTTCGCCATGAAGTCTTCCTTCGTCGCCCTTGTTCTTTCTGCCCTTACTTTCTCCGTTCATGCCCTTCCCTCTTCCCCGTACTCCGACAGTGCTCCCCCGTCTTCCGAGTACTCCACCAGCGCACTCCCCTCTTCCGAGCCCTACTCCAGCAGTGCGATTCCTTCTTACCCGTACTCTGGCAGCGATCTCCCCTCCTCCGAGTACCCCTTGAGTACTTCTTTGCCGTACTCCTCGTACTCCTCGTACTCTAGCATTCCTCTCTCCTCTTCCGCGCATTCCAGCAGCGCGCATCCCTCGGCTAAGCCGCATTCCAGCAGTGTCCACCACACTTCCGCTCATCCGAGCAGTGTCCATCACACTTCCGCCCACCCGACCAGCGTGCACCACACCAGCAGTGCTCGGCCTCACGTGCGTTCATCACCCTCTCTCCGATCGCTTCAGGCTTCAGCTGACATGGCCCTCTCCAGCCCACTGCTCCCGCGCACCCCGAGTGCTGCGACAGCACCGTGCCGCTCTACCGCGCCTACAGCCAGGCCGCCACCGACCACTTCTACACGGCGTCCAAATCGGAGCACGACCACGCCGTCGTCTCGCTCGGGTACGCCAACGAGGGAACGGCCGCTCAAGTCTTCCACGCCAAGGTCGCCGGCGCGGTCCCGCTCTACCGGCTCTACAGCTCGAAGGGCACGGACCACTTCTACACCACGAGCGCGTCGGAGCGCAGCAACGCGTTGTCGAAGCTCGGGTTCGCGAGCGAGGGCATCGTGGCGTACGTGTACCCGACGGCGAAGTGCGGGAGCGTGCCTCTGTACCGGATGTACTCGAAGTCGGCGGCGGACCACTTCTACACGACGAACTTGAAGGAGAAGAACAAGGCGGTGGCGTCGCTGGGGTATGCGTACGAGGGAGTGGCGGGGTACGTGAACCCGGTGAAGGGCAAGGGGTGCTAGGCACGCTATGGTGAGTGGTAACGACACGGATTTCAACCACGATCAAGGCTTGTTAACTTGCATATTTCAGATTCTATTGTGCACCGCCAGCGATGCATAATACCCGTCAAGTCCAAACGGACACATTGAGATCGAAGTGGTTTCGGTCTCGTGCTCATCGTCTCGTCATTCGCCGTGCTCCGACTTTGCCTCATCGTCCGCATATTCATCCCCGTAATCCACATCACCCTGGGAATTGTCCCCCTCATTCCGCGCTCCGTGCTTTTCCTCTTCGACTTCGACTCCCTCTTCTTCTCCGTCGTTGTCGCACTCTTTGATGCTATCTTCTCACCGATAATCACCTCGTCCTCGGCCGCCATCTCAGAGGAGTCCTCGTGATATGTTCTGCAGGCTCCAGCGGGTTCTCTCCTTCTGTGAACACTTTCTTGTAGCGCATTGTGCTTTCATATAGGAGATCGACACACCCAATCACATCGTCGTATTTTCTCCACCCGTGATCGTGGCTTGTTTTCTCTGGTACTCCGCGGTCGAGTATCTCGCGCTCCGTTTTCAACTCCCCACCCCGCTTCGCGTCTATCGATAGGCCCAAGCACGCGCGGAGGGAGCGGCGGGCGCGCCGAGTGTGGCCATGGCCTCCTTCTGTGTAGTGGACACGACGACCGGACAGTTGCCGCAGCAACTCAGGCTTCTAACGGACGGCGGGGGCGCAGGCGGAACTTCGTCCTTCCGGATCTTGTCGGAAAGGGCACGCATCGTGTGGCGTGACCTGTCCCGCCGAGTGCGGGGAGTCGCGGACACGTGGTGTTGGAGCGGACGGGACGGCCGACTGTACTGCGCTCCAGTGGGCGTTGAGAGTTTTGCGCACACAGTTACCTCTCCTATGCACTTACATACACATACATTTTCAATAGCCGTCAAGGTCTCACACTGTTAGACACCTTAGGTGTCGACCTTACCGACCCTGTCTTCGCGTTGTCCCGTGTTTGCAAACAAGACGACGCTCGCATACTGTTACCTGATGATGGATCTAACTCCACGATACCATTACATCCTTTACTTTTCATTCGCGTCAAGAGACACCGTGCGAAGCACGGCGACACTTGTCGATGTTAATGCTTTCCCGTAGACATTAAATACAAAGGCACAAAAACTGCATCCCTCGGATGCAAGTACTTAACATACGCCCAGCTTCATTCATCATCGTAAAGCGCCTCCGTGAATATTTCTTTTCTATCAAGAGTGACCCCAAAGCGCGTTCCGGCTCGTCCCAATGCACCTGCGGAAACATTCAGCATACCATGCAGCGTGCAACAGCAATACCACCCACAAAGTGATTGCACCCCGCCAAGCGCACGCTCTCCACTTCCCGCATCGATATCCTCGTCTCCTTCGCGGCTTGCAGCTCTTCCTCCATCTTCCACCTCGCCCACACCATTTCCCAGATCGACGCATCGCACCAGACACACCTTATCTCCACGTCCTTCCGCACGGCGCCGTTCTTGCCCGTCGGCGGCAACGCGAACGCGGCTTTGCGTAAATCCGAAAAGACGCCCGAGGCCCTCCCGCCGACCAGGAGCATCTGGTCCGACCCATCTGGATCGCTGGGGCTGGGAAAGAGCGTCGAAGCGCGCTCTTCGTCCGTAAGCGTCATGAGTGTGGGAGCCGGGCTCTTGAGTGGAGTGCGGCCCTCGAGCGTGCCCTCCGTGTCGCCGTGCCGGTAGTAGCCGCTGACCCAGAACGCGAAGTCCTCGACGGTGGCGTCCGGGTCCCAGAGGGGGTTGTATATGTTCGTTCCTGGGGGCTGGTAGCCGAGAACGTGGTACGGCCCGTCTGCGCTAGGAGTCGGTATCAAAGAACGAGGAGCATGGAGATGGTGAACCCACCCAGAATCACCACCCTACGCATATACTTGGAGAGAGGGGCGGCGACAGTCTCAAACTCGGCGACGTGCGCGAGCAGCGCAGTCATCCACACGGTGGCGAACGACCATCCGACGACGACGAGCCCGCCGGCGTTCTTCTTCGGCTGCGCCTCGCGGACGTCACCCCCCTCGATCAAGTCTGCCAGGAAGTCGTACACTTCTCGTGCTCGCGCTCGCATGAAGGCGGCGATGAGCGCGCGAGCCTTCTCCTGATCGCCGTCCTTAAGAGCAGCATTGCCGTTTCGGAGCCCTTTAAGATCGATGTCCGAGTAAGGCTGGGATCCGGGGTAGTCGCGCCGGTTGACGACAACGATCCGTGCATTGTGAGAGGGCGCCAAGGGAATGAGTTTGGCGAATATTCCTGCGTAGGTTGCAGTGAGAACGAGCCTGGACAACAACTTGACGAACGTACCCCCATGGCACGCGTAGCCGTGAAATACCACGACGGTGGTGTAAGTAGAGCTCCCAGTTGGGACCCCAGAGTCGAGGTGTATGCCCAGCACGGTCGACTTAGTCATGGAGAGGAGGGTGGTGGAGTTGGCTGGATGAGTGTGGGTTGGGTGGAAGCATCCACTTTATAGACGTGGAGACGCTGACCAACGTTTGGTGCGAGCGCGATTGGACGTGAGCAAGCTCGACATTCCGGGTGAAGGCCGCGAGCGATACGGGAATAGCATATGCAGTACCGGACCCTGAACTGAACTGGTGAAGTGGTGTCCGATTCCCAGAGACACGTAAGGAGGACTGCGGCCGGCAGCACACACGAGCATAGTTCAAGGGTCTTCTCGATCGCCACGCCGATACCTTCTGCCGATCATTCACACGATAAAGCGATAAAAGCGTGCATCGAGAGTCGAAACCCGTGGATCCTTGGGAAAACGATATATAAGCACAAATGCTACACGGACTCAGGAGAGGTCTGAGATACAGAGCGCACGATAGCAGTAGCAGACCAACAAAGCGTTCCTTGAGCAAAGCAAGTCCTTCTTCGTATGCGCGATGTTCAAGCCATAGCCTGCGGCCCGTTCACAGACGCGTCCACATATCCCCCGGCGACCTTCTCCCCAAGGACGTCTCCCTGGCCGCCAATCAGGGAAGCATCGGAGGTGGAACTGGAGTCGAGCGTCTGGCGCCTTGAGGGACCGGGCTTCCGGCCGCGCGTGAACTGCGCGCGAGTCTCCTGCGCGAGGTTGGACAGCGCCGCGCGAGGACCTTCGTCGCGCGCGCGCATAACGAAGCGAACGAAGAGGTAGGTCGTGATAACGGTAAGGGTGAGGTTGAAAGAGACGAAGAGGAAGAAGCCGAGCAAGCATGCGAGCCAGAACCCTGTGTGTCCCGCGTGCAGTTGTCAGGGGACGCGCAGCCAATTCCAATGAGGTTAAACGCACCGAAGAAGCCTACGGCGCACGCCGCCCCAACGATGGCCGTTGCAACGCCAACGAAGATGGAAGTCGCAAAAACGAAGACGGAGAAACCGCTATACAGAGAGTATGAGGCATGTATTTGGGGTGTAATCACGGTGCTCACATGAATGAGAGCACGGGGAGGACGCTGAGCGCGATGTAGACAGCAGCAAATGTCTGAAACGACATGTTTGATCTTCAAACGCGCATATAGCTTGTAAGAACGGCTTACTGAGCGGACAGGTCTCCTCCTAAATGTCGCGAGGATGTAGTTGAATACCGGACGAGCACAACCTTGCTCGAACCTGCATCACAAGTCAACCAACCTGCGTACGGCGTGGTACAAACGACCACGCATATAGCAAGCAAAGATGCTACCACTCACCTTTCAAAAGAATTCCGGACCGCCAACGCGCTTTTCTCGAAGTAGTCTGCTAGAACGTCCTCCTCTTCGCCCTCGAAAGCCTCAGTGTCGTTCGGAGCGTGCTTGACTTCAGGAGCAAATGCGGTGGTGTAGGAGTCCATCGCGGATACTATGTGTGGTTGGGGTGGTCAGTCTGAGCGAAGGAAGGAGTGCCGGTAGCAGGAGCAGCCAGGACGGGAAGCTTAAGTATGCATAAAATGTGGGGTAAGACGGGCATGATCGGGCGTCTGGCTGGGGTAGAGCATCATGGGCGCTTGTCCGGCCCAAGAAATCGCCGTGAAGTGCTGCCTTCACTCAGTTGACTCCTCCATCCCGTCGCCTTGTCTCAGACTTTCGCGCCGTCCGGCGCAATCTTGGGAAAACATCTTCTTCTTTTCCTCGGATATTCGCGCGCACAATGAGCGGGAGAAAGCTCAGTGCGCTGGAGCAGAAACTGCACCAAGCAGCACTCGCAGACTCAAAAAAAGTGAGTGTATGCGCGTGTCAGGGCTCTGCGTCACTATATTTACTGAGGTAGCCCCCTGTATAGACCATCACCCAGAAAGAATGTGATGTACTCATCCCCGATGCCGCGGCGCGCACCGGGGCGATCAACTTTCTCCTCGGAACGGTGCGCAAAACCATGGTTGTGGCGGAGGTGGGACTCATATGGTGTTGCAGGGACTGCTGAAGGCCATGAAGGACACGAAGGGCCAGCTCTCCTTCCGTGCAGTCATGAGAAAGGAGCTTGAAGTGTGCGTCTCTCTCCTTGCTCTTGTCGAGGGCAACGACCAATTGTATGCGCGTTTTGTACAGGAAGAAGGACATGAGCGGGGAGGAATCTATGATTCTGAGCCATATCCAAGCAGCGAACAACGAAGGTGAGCCCCAACGCGTCCTCTCGCGCATACAACCATATATCCCGTCTCGCCACCGAATGTGCCCCATGCAGATATCTGACTTTGCATGGGAAGGCATTTGGACGAAACACCTCAAAGCCAAGACGGAGCTGCACCAGACCGTCATTGACCGGTGCATCAAGTCATTGACTCAAAAGCAGCTTATCAAGTCCGTCAAGTCCGTCAAGGTAAGTCATCCCTGTATTTCCGGAACTCCCTCCTCAGTTGCGGCCCAGTACCCAACACGCAAGATATACATGCTCTTTCATCTTGAGCCCTCGGTAGAGATGACCGGCGGACCATGGTACACCGACAACGAACTAGATTCTGAGTTCATCAAACTCCTCTGTAGTGCTTGCCTCCGCTTCATCCGAGATCGGGTGCGTCATGCTCTCCTCTTAGTATCTTCTCGAGTCCTCATACCTATACCTCGCAGAGTACTCCTAAGCAAAAAGGAAGCGACGCCTCCTCCTCGTCCACACTGCTCTACCCGATCTCTGCTGCGCCTCAGTACCCTACCGCCCAGCAAGTCATGACTTTCCTGAGCAAGAGCCGGATCACTGAGACTCAGCTCTCCGTCGAGCACGTGGAGATGCTTCTGAACGTGCTGGTTTTGGATGGGGATGTCGAACGGGTGAGTCTTGACCGTGTCCTCTGCTTCCGCATTGCATCCCCTACCCCCTCTCGAGCCCACGCTCATGCCGGTAGCAGGTCCCCGGGTTCGGCGCTGTGATGTGGGACGCATCCGGAAAAGCCGACGCGTCCGGCGACGAGGAGCCCGACAGCGACCGGCGCGCGAAGTCCAAGGCGAAAGACAAGGAAAAGGCGAAGAAGCGCAAGCGCAAGGACCGCGGTCGCGATGACTCTGAGTCGCCCAAACGCACGCGCAAGCGCAGTCGGCGCGCGTCCTCGTCGGACGACGACAGCGACAGCGAGTCAGACTCGGACGACGGCGACCGGCGGAGGAAGAGCAGGAAGCACAAGAAGAACCGGAGCCGCGTGGTCAGCAGCGACGACGAAGGAAGCGACAGCGACCGCGAACGAAGGAAGAAGAAGGGCACTAGGAGCAAGAAGCGGAGCCGCGCGGGCAGCGGCGACGACCGCGATGCGGACGGGGACATCGCGATGGGCGATGAGGACCGAAAGGGCAAGAAGAAGCGCAAGAAGAGCAGGCGGCACGACTCGTCGGACGACGACTCGAGGTCAGAGGACAACTCGGACTCGGAATCGGACTCGGACGCAAGGTCGCGGTCACGGTCCAAGTCCAAGTCCAAATCTCGTTCGAGGAAGCACCGCTCGCCGTCGCCCGCGGAAGACGTGACGGCGGCGCTGCTGCAGGAGGCTCAGGAGATGGAGTACAGCGCGTACGTCTACCGCGCGGTTCGCCAGGAGCGCATGGCTGGGGGCGCTGGACTGACGCAGACGCCGTGCGTACGCTGCCCGACTTTCGAGTTCTGCAACGAGGGCGGGCCGGCGAATCCGAAGGAGTGCACATACTACGGCAGCTGGCTCGTTGCAGCGGACGTCGCGAAGGAGTGAAGTGAGGCAGGAAGATCCGTACGTGTTTGTGAGAGTATGTAGAGGCAATTTATGTGATATCGACGCTTCAGTCTTTGTTCGACCCATCTGCGTAGCCATTGCCTTCCGAACACGCTTGCCATCTCATGTTGGGACAGAATAAAGGCGGCGTATCTGTGCGCCCAGTCAGCCTCCAGTGACGGGCGAGAGCCCCCTTCCCTCCCGACTCAAACCCAAGGGACGGCAAGAACGAGACGAGATCATACGCGGTGACCATTGTGATCACAAGTACTGCAAGTTTGTACGGGACTAGTACAGATATAAAAATACAGGAGCAAACACAAATCCATCCACGCAGTGCACTGTTGCGGCCGCACTGCACCAAGGTCACGATAGCTTACACTTCCGTCTCGACGTCGGGCTCGCGCGACTTCATCTTGAACCGGTCCTTGATCGCATGCGCGCCGTCCTCGACGCTGTCGATGATCCATTCCGCCGTGCGCACCGGCTTCGCCTGCATCAGCCCCCGGTGGTCGCGGTGCAGCTCCTTCTCGTGCTTCCGCCATGCTTTACCTTCCCGACGACGCCCGTCTTCTCCCCGCTTCCGCGGATTCGCTATCCCGTCGTGGTCGTCGTTGCCTGGTTCGGGGCTGCCATCGGGGGACTCGATGACCTCGACGGCTTCTGGGGAGACGGTGGTATTGACCCTTCCCCTGGCAGTTGCGAGGCACCCGCCTCTCGTTTCGCGGCGCCAAGTCCTCGCCGCCTTCTCTCCTTCCCCCTCCACCCTGTGCTCTCCACCTCTTCACCCTCGCGCGCAACCCCCCTCTGGTTCCCTGACTTCCGGCTTCCCCACCTCATCCCGCATCCCGGCGTCCGCTGTCGCCCGTACTCGTCCCAGGAGCCGCGCTTCCTCGCGCCGCGCCGCCGCCCAGCACGCTGTAATGCTCCTGCGCGAGCCCGGGCCAGAACGCCAGATCGACCTCGACGTCACCCACGCGCTCCAAGTTCTCCCGATCCCCGTCCCACGCGCCCAGGTCGCCGTCGGGCGGGACGTAGTTGAACTTCAGGCGCGAGTAATCGCCGTCGCGCGCGCGCCAGAGCGCTGCCGGGACCAGTCCACGAGAGCGGTCGACGAGGTCGCGCAGCCAGACGACCGCGAAGGCGCGCCGCGTCGCCGACTTCAGCGCCGATTTCCCCGGAAGGAGAGAAGGAGCGCGGCGGCGTAGCGGTGCTTGACGGGCAAGGAGGTTGGGTGCTCGGGTGTCCAGACGATGGCCGCCCCCTGCTTTTCAGCCGCCTTGCGCGAGATCTTGTCCGCAGCGTTGGCTGTGGTGATTTTCGTGCTGACCTCGCAGTCGGAGAGATCGAGTGAGGAGGAGCGGGCAGAGATGTCGTGAATCTCGAGCTTGCCGGTGTCGAAGCCGAGGAGGTTGGGGATAGGTTGGCCTCCACAGGGCGGAAAAGGAGGGAAATGCGGATCCGGCCGCTGCCGAGGCCGTTCTCGAGGGGGTAGCAGCGGGTGATCTGGGACGCGTTGACGAAGAGGTCGGAGAGCTTGAGGAAGACGGTGCCGAGGACCGCATCGTTCTCCCGCATCCGGGAGTCCTTCACCATAACCGTGACGTGCGCCGCCCGCCAATCCCTCACGAACCTCTCCGTGCCAGCGTTGAACATGGGGGTGCTGGTGATAGGCTTGACGCGCGTCTCATAGACGAGCTCGTCATTCAGCGATCTATCACATTGTGTGAGCGTCGATGCATTCAAGCAAACATTTCCAACTCACATCGTGCAGTACGATGACGGCAGCCCCTCGCCCTCCTCCGATGTCTGTCCGGCGTCATCTTGTCCCTTCTCGCCCTCCTGCCCCCTTCCGGTGTTGTGACCTTTGCCCACCATCTTCACAGTCAGGTCTTTGATCTCGTGCACCTGAATGCTGATCAAGCCAGAAGGCCACCCCGGATCCGGAGGTGTCACTAGCACAGCCGCCTCAAGGTCATTGAGAGAGACTGCTCGTGCATCCTTGAACCCGGGGAGCTCACGGAGGTCTTCAGGAATTCCCGGGTCTGAACCATGCGTTTTTAGCTCTGGGTTCGGATGGATTGTGCCATAGTATCCAATAGTGTATTCGAGCTGCCCGGGACGGTCGCGCGAGTCGGGGCTCGAGAGTGGCGAGCTGCGTCGGACGGGCTCCCCGCGATGACAAATGAGGTCGACGATATCGACTTCCGCGAATCCCATCATGTCGTCCTATACCGGGTGATAAGTCAAGACTGATGTGGTGCATGGATGGAACTTACCACACTCATCCGATCCGAGTCCCACAGCTGGAAGCTAAGCTTCTCGCGGAGCTTGACAGTGTTGAGGTCGACAATGAGCACTGCGGTCTCCTCAAACACAGGGTTGCAGTCGCCCTTGATGATCCGCGTCGAGTAAAGCGGCTTTTCAAGCCGCGAGAACGTGAGCGTGACATAGGGATCTGCTGGCGACGCATGTGATTAGCCCCCGTATAAGAGTTGTGAACGCGGACTGACCCGAGCTGCCTGTGGTATCCATCGCCTTGACTCCAGTCGCACGGTGAATGTGCACGATGAGAACTCCGACAGCCTCAGTGTCTACGTACGATCGTCGACATCAGGATGATAAAAGGAGCCTATACTGCTGCCACGTACCCTTCTTGATATCATCACCACTGATCAATCGCTGGAGATCCAGCGTCAGACTCCTCGGTGCGACGTATTCTGCAGCGGCCGTATCGAGTGCGCTGGAGATGAAGCCGGAGATGAACGGTAGGTCCATGATATTCGGCAGTATCCTGCTCATGGGTACAACGGTGATGGTGATGCGTGGCAGTCCCATAAGCGTCACAAGGGTGGTCTTAACACTGGGTAGCAGCTCAATTTCGTGAACATGGATATATTCGGGAGGAAAACGCACAATGGAGGATCTGGAATGAGTTGGAGACGGACACGAGCCGTGCCAACGACTCCGGTGACCTCCACCCACACGGCTGATGAGAAGTCAGCGAAGCCATAGGGAGAACGAAAATTGACTCACGAACTCGGAAGCCATAGATGTTCTTGAGACCGAGGAAGAACTCGACAAAAAGACTGTTTCCGTCGATGAGATGGGCAGGACCAGACGACGGAAAGTCACTAACTGGACGTTTTGCGCCTTGCTCTGCGCAGTCTGACCACTTGGCAAGCTCTGATAGGCGAACGAAACCTCAAGGTTGACATGATCACCGTCCAAAGCGTCCTTGTCGTCCGCGCCGACAGCGTCCGAGTTGATCCCCAGCCCAGCTAGGCCGTCTCCCCCGTCATCTTCGTTCTTATGCAATCGTACGTCTGGTAGCGAGCGTATTGACGTGATGCGACCCGCATTTGAGCCTAGTCCAATGTCCGCGACTCGCACCGAGTGCTGCACGTAGGATAAGCCACCATCGTGAGCAGAACCAACATCCACCACTCACAATGAAGGTCGGAACCGACGATTGCATGATGTCCTCCAGCATATCCACCAAAGACGTGAACATATCCGTGTTGATGACTGGCCACAGGCCCCGGAGAAACGCATTCGCCCATTCCGCGCTCTCGCGCGTGCGCTCCTCATCCTCGACCGTGCCGTCGCCGTCTAGGTCGTCGCCCGCGCGCAGGCCGCGCAGGCGCTCTGCGTGCCAAACGCGTTGTGCCCACTCGCGCGTAGCGACACGGTCCGCACGGAAGAGCACGGCATAAGCGAAGAGTGCACCGGGGAGCACGGCCGTGAGGCGGGGCACGAGACGCGTGAAGAATAGGGAGAGGAGGAATGAGAGGGCGAACGCGGCGCAAAGTTGCAGGATCGCGGTGTTGGTGAGAGCGAGGACGCGTTCGTGGTGTTGCTTCCAGTCTGCCGAGCTTTCAGTGAGCATGTCTGGCTGAAGCACGAACATGATAGGCAAAGGCTCCATTTGAGACGATTTGTAGGCCAAGCGTGACCGTACATCGCAACAGACATACACCAGGCCCCCTGCGAACAAACTGCGAAAGCGACAGGATGATGCTCACCTGGAGGTGGAAACCGCTGCCGCAGCACATTTTTCCCCTTCGAGTCCGTCTTCACTTCCTCCTCGGCGTTCCGGATGTCGAGCTCCTCGCCTGTGGTGGGGTCTGTGACGTGCATCTCCCGACCCTTCGCGAGCTTGCTTGCCGTCTTCTCCGTCTGTACCTCCTCCCTCTTTGCACTCTGATCCTGCAGCTGCTGCGCCTTTGCCTCGGTCGCCTTCTCAGGGCTCACCAGCGCAGTGAGCTTCGTCGTGATCGTCGGCACCGGGTTCTTGCCCGAGTACGGCTTGTTCTGGCTTGTCATTGTGCACCTCGATAGGCGTGAGCGAGGATGGAGCGTGGTATGGGATCGTCACAGGAGATAGGGGGCGTGTGAGGTGTAGGTTGTCCGCACGCAAAGACGGTGGCTATATGTGGCCTCAGCAACACGTCGTCGATGCGGTCATAGGAGATGGGCGTGGACGCACCATACCGATGTTATGCATGCGCGCGTTCGCAGCGTCCCCACCTCGCCTTCTGGGGATAGTGTCATGGTGGAGTCAATAGGATCATGCCGTATGTTGCGCCAGTGCGCGAGAGCGCACGTTGAGCAGCTGCAACTTGGTGAGGTTCTTCTGCATCATGACCAACTATTATCCCGATGAAGGCATTTTGGGGCGAGGAAGAGAGGTAGAGGCTCGAGAGGATAAAGGACAGGTCAGGGTGTCCTCGGATGGACCCTCCTTTTTTCGCTTTCTCGCGCAATGACGTCATGGGGACTGGCGTCTATGGACACTCTTCCGACAGACTCGATCTGTGAAGCTTTGAAGCCTCGATGATCAAGTCGCTCTGGGTGACATACGGATATCATAGGATAATATGAGCCACTCGAAGTGAAACGTCTACGGAAAAAAGGCGCAACAAGACATGGATCGAACGGGAAGTAGCGATACCATACGGACAACATACGAAGCTAGCACATCTCCACGTAGCGTATGAGCGTAGAATACAAGAGCAACTCGCGAGATAATGTACAGCGCAAATACGACGTACCATATACGGCCTCCCCAGTCCAAGCTAGTTACTTCGCTTGCAAGACACAAGCCACCGTCCCATCAAAGTCAACCACCTGTGAGCAATCTGCGTGGATCAAGGACCCGCTTTCACCATCTGCGCCGGCCCGCTCGCCCGTCCCGCCCGTTCCAACGAACCGTCCACCAACTCATACGCCGGCCTGAACCTGGGCTTGCATGTGCACGCCGTTGGTGCCGCCCCCACCGCTGTCTGATGTCCGTTGACGCCATTCTTCGCCAGCGCTGGGGGGCTGGGCGACGGCCGTCCGAGCTCATCCAGCGTCGTGGGGTCCGGCACCGACACGCTCGACGTCCTCCCGTGCGCGATCTCGCACACGAACGCAGGGTCACAACGTCCTGCGGGCGGCACGAGCTCCCGAAGCGTTGACATGTCGGGGAGGGGTGCCGAGTCCGACCTAGACGCCTTCTGCTCCGTTGAGCGGGCTTCAGCGTTGGGACCCGACTGTCGCAAGGGCTTTTCTTCCTTTTCTGGGTCGCGGAGGCCGGAAGATGGCGCGATAACCTCGAGGGTGGAACGATGGGGGATGGGTGGTGGTGCGGAAACGGACTGAGGCGCATAAACCGGAGGGGAGTCTCCGCACGAGAGACCGGGCGCGACGATGTCTTCAAGGGTAGATCGATGGGGCAGGGGCTTGATCAAACTCCTCTGGTACGCGCGCGGCCCCCCAGACCCCGAACCACACCCAAGGCCGGGTTCGACCAATTCCTCCAGTGTGTCGCGGTGAGGGAGTGGCGTATATGGGACCTTCGTGCTGCTGGCGCGCGTCCCGTTCAACGTGTGCTCGGGAACTGGAGAGGAAGTTGTGGGAGACAAATTCATGGGCGTGTCATTCGCGATTGTAGGAGGAACGGCGATTCCGTTGGGTCTCGCCGCCGAGTTACCACTGCAAGTGCATGAATTCTGGTGCCGCAACGCCGGGTTGGGGAAAGTGTTGTAGGTCGATCCTAATGAAGTATACCTGCCGGACTCGTCAGTGAGGATTTATGATCGCATGAAGTGTAGAAACTTACCCTTCATCATACAGACTACAGTATGGCACGTTGAACTTCTGGAGATAGGACCAGACGTCTGCATACGACCAGTTGATGATCGGGTTCACGCGCACGAAGCGGGGCCAGTCGGCGTCGGTGGGGTTGCGGTATCCCAGTTTCGCTGTCAACTAAATTCAACATCTGTGGTCGCGGACAGATGAAAATAAAAGATGCACAGAAGCAGCCATATCTCGAAACTAGGACCGAAGTCTCTGACTCTGGAAGCCCGACGTGGAGCATATCTTCAGTCCCCCAGAAACCATCACCCGGTATATGTATGCTCATAGCGCACAAACAAAAGGATGACCGACTCTTTGAAACAATGACTTCATCCAGTTCCGAACCATGCATGTCTGGCCACCAAATGTGTTACGCCGGCGCATATAGTCGGTCTGTGCCATGAGACGCAAAGCGTGACTTCCGCGGGGATATACCATGTGGTTCTCGAAATATGGACAGAAACGCAGATACCAAAACTCACCTCCGTGCGGATCGGTCCTCCTCGTACCAATCATGATCGCTTCGACCTCTGGGAAGCGTGACTTGTACAAGCTCAAGGCTATCCTCATCCTTCTCCGCCTTTGACGTGCGTGGGCCGTTCCACAACTGGAGCCAAGTGCGCACCAGGAGTGGAACGGATTCCAGGGAAACGCGGTCCTTAGGAGACGGGCATTCGAAGAGAGAGAGGTTGTACTCCGTTGCCGCATCGTGAATGAAGTCCTCCAATTGGGGAAACGGGGATGGAACGGGAATGTAGACGGCGGTAAGGGGCTTCGGGGAGGGGGTGCGACGGCCCAAGCTTGCGGAAACGAGGTGGAGGAGGACGGTACCTGCATATGTTGTCCATGAGCTTCCATGCTTCCATGCATTAAATCAGACTATATGCGCACAATCTTTGCCGCCATTGAAGCTGAGAGAAACCCGATCTTGGCTGCATACAGCCAGATTAGGAGACAGGCAGAAAGCGACGAAGGAGAGAACGCACCCCCATGTCTGGAATGCGTCGTCTATGACGTCCAACGCCTCCTTCACGGGGCCGCTAGAGGATCTTGAGAAGTCGCTAACTTGTAGACATCCTTCGCGAGCGTGGCGTAGTCGACCCCGCGCATGATGCAGTGGGCAGTGGAGTTGTTGTCGGTGTGTATCGTAGGCTGTTCGGAGCGGAGGGAGAGAGCTAGTTAGCCGGGTTCACACGGAAAGGCGCGCCAGTATCGAAGGTGCCGGTCGAGATTACGCACTGTCTCTGGAAAGTTCGACGGTGAAGGTCTGGAGGCCCTCGCGTCTGTAGGGGAGGAGGGTCGTCGGCAACGGAGGGGGCTTGGAAGAGACAGGAGAAAGGAGTGGGACCAACTGACGCTTCGACGATGCGTTCATTCGGCATCGTTGGGCGCCTAATCACGATCATGTAACCGTCAACGCGATCCTCACGATTGTCAGAATCACGTGACTTACTGACTCAGCACGTCACGCGAAACGGCAATTGACGGCGCCGGTCTTGGCTCCCAGTCGGCTAGTGCTGCGAACGTGCTCGCAAGCGCGACTGCGCTAATTGTCATATTCTCATGCATTGGACACGGCATTGCTCCCGAATGGATGCTCCGTTATCACGAAAGCTTCGCCATTTCTTTCATTTTCAGCAAACGCTGAGTGCCTATACATATGTATCCATTTCAAGTGTCTCACTGATTCGCCTTGATTTCAGGACCAAACACTCCGCCGAAGCGCACCAATACTTTCAAAGTGAGGGCGAGGTCCCGTATTGGCTGAAGGTGTGTTCATTCTTCGACGTTCATAATCAAACAAATAGAGCGAAATCGGATTGGGACTGAGTACCTCCGTCGTCTTCTAGTACACCTGCGGCCCACATTCACCTTCATCATCTTCCATGGCTCCTCCACGTGCACTAGCCAAGCTCGCCGGAACGGTGATCAATGTCCTTCACATCCAGGACGACCTGAGCTCCGCTTCCAGGAATGACGACTCGCCCGGATAGCCATAGCTTCCTTCCATCGGTACACCGCGATCTTCCTTGGCCCCGAAAATACGGATTTCGCTTTCGCTGGTTGTACAACTGTGCTCTCACACCTCACGAAATGTTCCAGCCGGTTGTGGAGTCCGATAAAGTCGCAGACGTTCATTGAGTGCCAATTGAGCGTCTATCTCCTATTTGATTATGCTTACTAATGTCACGTCGGTCTCCATCCGCCTGTGAGCTCGTGGGTCGGCGTACGCGAAGTTCACTGCCTAGATCTTGCGCTAACCACCACTTACTACCGGCTGAGAGGTATCTAAAAAACTATTGCATCAAGTAAATACTGATTCCAATACTTCTTCATTAGCCTTCTGTTAGAAGTCGGTGGCTCAGACGAGGTCGGACGAGGGTAAAGGCAATCGATACGACGTGGTTGGTCCCTATGGGCACCGGGAGGTGAATACAGACGGACGCGGGGGAGAACGAGGTGGTGGGGAAGGGCAAACGCGTGAGGCGAGTGTGGGACGAGGGACGGCGGCTATCTACGCGATGACTAGGCGCTGGTACCGTACGACCGATATGTATGCGAGTAGATTCCAACACCTTCCAGGCTGCCCCACAAGTCCCCCCCCCTGATTCAAGACTCGGCGCAGATTACACAGTGAAATTTTCAGGTGCCTGTGGTGAAAAGCGTGCTGGAGGTCGTAGCAGGGGATCACTCTTCATAAAATATTCTCTGTGAAAGAAATTTGACTAGCAGAATTCATAGTAAATCAACCTGATCTACACATTCAAAATTCAATCGTCAGCTTCGAACTTGGACTGCACGCAGAATGCGCTGGTCTAATATCGACAGGGATTAGCGGCAATATGTGCAGCCCACAGTGGGATCCGGGGAAAGAAATCCGTGCTCTTTATAATCCTCAGTAAGTACTTACTTCTGATGACTCGGCGTCATCCAATATCGCTGATAGCGATACGGATGCTTCAGCGGAAGTTGGAAAGTCACGCGCACTCCCAGGCTGCACATGCCCTCTAGAGCCTGATGCATTCACTCTCGATGGTGCGTCTCGGAACAACCTATTGCATTCAGGTTGTCACAATGCTCTTAGAAGACTACTTCCGACCCTATGTTGTTGTCCAGCCTACGGGCTTCGCGGGGGTTTCGTGCCCGATGATTACCCGGCTGCCTGCTCAGGTGGGGCGACCACTAGATCCGCCGCTCTCCGGGACTCAGTCCATCATGTCACATCGCACATCAGTGCCCGAGGTAGAGGCATTTGCTCGGCGCGGGACGCTATAGTTCCTGCGCCCCGCGTTTTGCGGGGTGGTACAAGTAGCTGCCGCTGCACCTCGTTGACGCTTAGCGCACCCTCACCTCCCGTTGCAAGCTCCTAAATGATGCACAGAACTGTCTCTTTGCTTGGAGCGCTTTTCTTTGTCGCCGGTGCTATCGCTCAATCCACTGCACCCCAGTACGGGCAGGTGCGTTGACGGCTCTCTGGTTCCTTGCTTCTCACCCTGACTGCATGTGCAGTGCGGTGGTCAAGGCTGGGCGGGTGCTACAACCTGCCCCTCAGGCTGGTCTTGCAATTTCCTCAACCCGTTCTACTCACAATGCCTCCCCGGCGCGGCGTCCACCACTACCACCAGCACGAGCGGTAGCACCACCTCAGGCGGCGCCTCGTCCACTTCGACCACGACCGCGCCAAGCGGGACCACGACCCTCCAAGCAGGCAATTCCTTCATCCGCGCCGTCGTAAGTCCCCTCGCGTCCGCATGTTTTCGGCACCGCGCACTCCAAGTCTGACGCGCACGCGCGACGTAACTCGCTTCCAGGAGGACCCGAACTTCCACAAGTACCTCCGCTCGGAGACGATCGGGACCGCGTCCGACGCGGTGCTTGGCGACCCGGACACCGCAGCGCAGTTCCAGATCAACAACGGGCAGCTGGTGCAGCTAGTGCCTGGCGGCACGAAGCTCTACGCGGTCGTTGAGGCGCGCGCCAACTCGACGGTGACGAAGCTCAAGATGTCGTGGTCAAGCGAGCCCGCGAGTGGGAGCAACGCCGGGACGTTCATGTGGTCCGGCGACACCGTCGAGTGGTCGAGCCCAACGGTCTCCCGCCCGCAGCTCAATGTGAGTGCTCTGGAGAGGCGGCGGTGCGCGGTGTCCCTGTAACGAGAGGCTGACGCGTGAACAGGCGTGGCTCATCTGCCCCGATGCTAACGGGAACAAAGACGTGTACATCAACCTCGGGAACTACGACTACATGACTCCTGCGGGCTGCGCCGATGAGACGATCCATGCGTACACCGGCGCGACCGCGACCGCTTGAGCCAAGTGGGAACTGGGCACATTGGGCAGCGGGCGCGGAGTCGACAAAGGGGCTTGTAAAACATGCACGATGTACACCGCAGACTGCGCATTGCGTGAAGGAGTATGCGAGCGTATTTGACAATAGTTGTTGGTGCCGTTGCGTGAAGGTACTGGCAGCGACTAGTGACTTTTCCCGACAAGCTCGGAGAGTGAGATATGTAGGCGCTCATTCATACCGGGCGGTGTGATGCCGCCGAGATCGACTCCGGGCCTTGCCTCCCTTTTTAAGCTTTTCTACGACCACCACAACCCGTTTCGCCACTTTCCCCCCTGGCCGACTGGCGACGGCTACAACTGACCTACGCATATTCTACACATAAAAATTCTCAGATTCTCTGAGTAGGTGGTGTGACTACGTCCCACGTCATTTCCGGCACACTCATCTCCGTCCACTCCAGCGCATCTGCACTGTGCAGTCTTAGAATTTGTCCTGCATTTTGTTGTACTACTGGCCCCCGCCGCCCGGGGCTCTTAATCTTCGACGTATGACACTGGATGCGTCGCATGACCATGTGTACGTCTCGCATCTCCGTATACTTGCTGCGTCACTGCACATATGTATATATGCTAATGACGTGTCGACGACTCCAGCATCGATGACTCTTTTCGAGTGGTTTTGTGGCCTCCTTGGCGGGGTATATGCGCTTTCCCTGCTTCACAGACTTTTGAAACGCACGCGGGCTCCCTTTGTCACGCTCCACACTTCACCGAGATCCGCTAGATTGGCTCGGAACGCCGGAGAGTCAAATCTCTCGCTCGGGGAACTCATCGCGCAGCAGGTTCCAGAACTGACCACCGCCGCAAAGTTCGACAGAGCATGGTGGCTGCCTGGGTATGTCGTATCTAGCCAGTGCGCGAGTATGCACTGACAGTGCTTTCCGCAGCGGGCATCTTCAAACAATGTATTCCTCTCTTGGGGATTTCAGTAAGGTTGACACGGTTGTCTATGAACGGTCAGCCTTCATACTTATCACCTCGCCCATTTTTCCTAATGCTGTTGTACAGCAAATATCTCGAGCTCCCTGACGGGGGTATGAACTCTCCGTTCATGATTCCCTGACACGTCATCAGCTGATGAAGCCTCTTAGGAATTCTCGGACTGGACATTACCCCGCCATTGAGCGTTCAACCCATCTCCGAGTCGGAAAATGTGCTCCTCGTCGCTCACGGGCTCACCGGGGGCTCGCACGAATCATATGTCCGAGCTGTGCTCGCGCGCATTGCCCAGCCTGCACTGGGCGATGCTCCTCCATCGCGGCGCTTCCGGGCGGTAGTGCTCAACTTCCGCGGATGCAACGGCAGCCCAGTCGTAACTCCGCGGCTATACCACGTAAGTCGTTCATCCCGCGAATTTCACGCCCATCTGAACGGCATAATGACTTAGGCCGGCTCTTCGGACGACGTAAGGCATGTGGTGCTCTGGATATGCCACACCTTTCCGTCGTGTTCGATGTACGGGCTTGGTGGGTTCCTGTTCTGTGCGAGCTGCTCCGCGGCTCATTTATCTGTGTTCTTCAGGGTTCTCCCTGGGGGCCAACATCCTTACCAAATACGCGGGAGAAGAGGGAGAAGGCTGTCCTCTGTCAGGTCTTGTGACGCTCGCGAATCCCTGGGACTTCGTTTACGGCAGCCACTTTCTCCCGAGCACCCTCATCGGAAGGCACGTTTATCGCTGGGTCCTCGGAGGGGCACTTCGCAGATTGCTTCATTTGCACCGGCGAGCCTTCCTGGATGCTCCGGAGCTGTCTGTCCCCCACTCGGTGCTCGAAGATGTATTCAACCGTCCGAGCATCACGCTGGGGCAGTACGATACCATCGTGACCGCCCCGATGTATGGTTTTGAGGACGAACAACACTACTACAGGACCATCAGCTCGATCCGGGTCATCCCCAACATAAAGATTCCTTGCTTGTCAATCAACAGCCTGGACGATCCAATCACTGGATCCGGTGGTCTTCCCATCAAAGAGGCAAGTGAACCTCGTCGTACCGCTTCTCCCTCGACGCACTTTGACATCAGTTCCTTCCCTTCCTACATCCAGGCCGCGAACAGCCTGTACCTTGTTCTGGCCGTCACCAATGGCGGCGGCCACCTTGGCTGGTTTGAGCATGGGTGCGGCGGCCGTGGCGTTCGGCGATGGTACGTCAAGCCGGTTGAGCAATACCTCGCCGCTCTCGTCGGGGTGAGCCGCCTTCCGGCTTTCGAACCCGGCCATTGCACGCTGACAGATGACCTCTTTCTCCGCGGCGCGCTTGCCAGTATGGGCTCGCTCGCCGCCCCAAGCCGTGCGCTACAGTGCTGGGAGCCGATTTTGCGCGACAGGAGGACCGCGCGGACGTTGGGTTTAGGGAGCTCAGTCGGGAGCAGTCCGAGCTTCTTGTCAGCGGGGCAGCCGAGTCCAAACTGTTCACGGGATGGTGAAAATGGACGGAGCAGTTTGTTTCATAGACTGTACGATGGTTTCGGGACCTACTTTGCCTGGCATTAGACTCCGCGGCTATGTGTGGGCGCCGGAGCCGACGGTGAGGCATTGTCGGGTACGGACGGCTGGTCGGTTCACTGGCTTCACGTATTTCATTCGGAGAAGGCGTTGTGCTGACTCAACTACTCAACAGGCCTCGCGGCAACCTGCTGCTGATTGCGCATCTACGCGATCCTATGACGCACCCCGCTTGTGGCCCCAACGGACGCTGCGAACGGCATCGGGGCGAGGTTTCCAGTCTGGCACCTGTTGCATGGACTATCACAGGCTACCGCGCTGCTCGGAGTGGAGGCGCGACGCTCCCGGAAGGGCAAACGTTCCCACAGCCCTCGAGCCCAAGTTCCAGCGTGCCTCGTGCATCACAAGCCTTGAACGAACGCCGTTGCTGTCTGGATCGCGGAGTGGATTGAACCGAGCCAGGGAGATTGGAGACGATCAGGGTAAGATATTCCCTCGTGCTCGGCAAACATGACTCGCGACATGGCCGCGACGAATGTGTATGTAAGTGTCATTTGAGTTCGCCACGTGCCTGCGCGACTACTTCCCCCGCCCCCCAGATGCGCCGATGCAGCCGCGGCGAACGGCCGTCGTATCATCCCGTCCGCGCCTACCCACTGGGCCCCAGGGTGATGAGAGTTTTCCCAAACTTTGGTGTGACATGGCAGATGATTGTTCAAGTTGTCAACCTTCGCGACAAGGCTCGCCGCGCGACACATTGTTTTCCACCCCCAGGCCACCGGCTCCGTGCCTCGCCCCGCGCGCGCTCGCCGTCCCTGCACCTCGCCCCGCGCGACGTCGCCTGCTCTCCGGCCGCAGGGCCGTGCGTCCCGCCCGAGCGTCCCGCGCGCTCCGAGTGCGCGCGCGACCTGCGGTGCGCCCGCCAAGGCGCAAGCGGCCAGCGTCCCAGCGCAGCTGCCGTCCGGCGGCTCCCAGCCGTGCACACGTGCAAATCATCTATGGCTCGTTGAGAACCCTTCATTCGCGCGACAGCTGGGGCCCTGCGTGTCGCCGGCGATCTCGCATTTTCCAGCATAGATAAATTCTCCCGTCCCAATGCCCTGCTCCCTTCCCCCACCACCCCCTCCCGGCCCCGCCCCCCACCCGCGCCTCCGCTCGTTCTCGTCCGCGCCGCGTTCTCGGCTCCCATGTCTTCTCTCACTGACCTCCCCAGCGCCGCGGGGCACGCGGAGGTGCCGTCCGCTAAGTATTCCGACGATGACCTCCCAGAGTTCACACCCATGCCATGGTACGCACCTTTCTTCTCCCCCTTCGCGCTCTGCTCATGCGCCCACAGGAAGCTGCAGGAAATCCGCGCCGCCATTCCGGGCCATCTGTTCGTCCGCGACACCAAGCGCGGCCTCGCATGGCTCGCGGTCGACCTGCTCATGGCCGCGGCGTGTTGGACCGCTGCGCTCCGCATCGACCCGGCCTTCAGGGCACCTGCGATGGTCCAGATCTTGTCGCCCACCGGCGCGCACGCCGCGCGCTGGGCATGTTGGGCCGTCTAGTGGGTGCCGATGTGCTTCACTTCGCCCGCGTGCGTGCCTAATGCGTTCTGGCTCCTTTTAGCTGGTGGTTCCAGGGCCTGATCTTCACCGGCATTTGGGTCATCGGCCATGAGGTCAGTAGTTGGGGTGGAGTGTCTCCGCTCGCCCGCGCCCGCTAACGCCTTATAGTGCGGCCACGGCGCCTTTTCACCCAGCCAGCGTGTCTGCGACGTGATAGGCTACGTGAGTCGGGCCCAGGAATGGACTAGCCCCGGGAGCTAACCCGCGCGGTCCCGCTCAGGTTACACACACGCTGCTGTGGACGCCGTATTTCAGCTGGAAGATCTCTCACCACCGTCACCACTGCAACCACGCGTCGATGGAGCGCGACGAGGTGTATGTGCCCAAGACCCGCAGCGACCTTGGCATCCCGCCAGAGAGCGCGCACCACGAGATCGACTGGGACGAGTACTTTGGCGACACCCCTATCTACACGCTGTTCACGCTCGTGCGGCAACAACTGCTCGCGTTCCCGGCCTACCTCCGTCAGTCAGGCCCGGTTGTGATCGGTGTTTGGATTCTGGCGCTCATCGCTGTCGCGCAGTCTTCAATGTCTCGGGACAAAAAGACTACCCCAAGTGGACCAACCATTTCGACCGTGAGTCCCCGATTTTGTTTGGTACGCAGTGCCTGAAGGGGCTGACGTTACCGTCCGACCCAGCGAGCTCGATTCTTTTCACCAAGGAGCAGTGGGGAGTCGTCTGGATCTCCAACCTGGGTATCCTCACGATGATGGCTGTCATCCACTTAGCCTCTATCACTTGGGGCGCAGCGGCCGTCGTGAAGTTGTACGGCATTCCGTGGTTGTGCGTGACCCACTGGTGCGTCTCCTTATCCGCCCCGATATCTCTCGAGCTGACCCCGACTCTGCTCCTCGGGGACTTCTTCTCCCCCGTCTCGCCGCCGCCGTTCTACTCTCTGTCGTGTGTGCCCTCGTCATGGAATCAACGGCATGCGCGCCCATTGACATACGCGTCCGGGATCCCCTACGACCCCGAATGTTTCGGTGGCCCCGGCGTGCAGGTTCATCATGATTACATACCTGCACCACACCGACCCTGCGTTGCCTCACTACCGCCAGCGGGAGTGGAACTACCAGCGCGGCGCGGCCGCGACTGTGGACCGCGATATACTCGGCTGGATGGGCCGCTTTTTCCTGCACGACGTCGCCCACTACCACGTCGTCCACCACTTCTTCCCCAAGATGCCTTTCTGTGAGAATTTTTGTTTCTCTCCTTGTCGTTTGTTTCTCTCGACTCGTCATGAACTGGATCAACCGTTGATCGGCTGGATACCCGGGTTCGGACCCGTACCTGCGTGCTCCGAGGCGGCTCTCCCTGGACGAGCAAACGGCGCTTGTTCCTGCGACCCGTTCATGATATTGGCTTCGGTCAATGAGTCGGGACTCATCAGTTGCCTGGGATGCCGACGCAGCACGCGGGAGTATTACCATCGCAGGACGGAAGACCCTGGTGAACGATACTAACTATTATTGGCAATTGCAGACCACGGCGCCGAGGCCACTCAGTACCTTAGGGCGTTCATCGGCGAGCACTACCACTATTCTGAGAAACCGGTGTTCAAGGCGCTCTGGGACAACTACAACGACTGCCAGTTCGTCGAGGACGAAGGTGCGTCGTCCACCGCGTACATTTTCGTACACATGTCCCCTGACGGTGGCGTTTCTCGTGCTCTTAGGTGACGTCCTCTTCTACCGGAACAAGAAAGGCCAAGCCGTTCTCCGTCCTGCCGCAAAGTACCGCGGCACCGGTGTGGCCTCCAAAACCTCCGCGACAGCATCTTCTTGAATCCAGCTCGCAGCCCTTCATTGACCTCATGTTTTCTGAATAGACCGAGCGTACCGTAATCGTCCGCGTCTCGCACGGCGTGTCCGCTTCCCCGCATCAGTTGCACTGTCTCGCGATGGTCTCTTCTCCCGCACCTCGTGCCCACTCGCCCTTTCCGGATCGCTTTTTTCTGCTCTGCTAGTCACGCCTATTGTATTGTCAGTATGTAACACACGTACACCAGCCGCACGCTGTCCGCTTGTTTGTATCGCTGTTTCGCACCCCTGCCCTGTTCCTTGCTCTCCATCACTCGTTACCCGTTACACACTCTGTTATGTTCTCGCCACGTTTGTCTACGATTGCTCTCCGCCATGCTTCTGCTTCCATAACGACGCGCCACCGTCCTGCATCTGCATCCCCCCAAATGTATTCTTCATCTATACCACTCTTAATGACTTCACTTGCACGGCCGCCCATCTGCCCAGTCCTCCTCGAACGCATGTCCGAGTACTTTCCGAGTTCTCCGGATGTGCCCTCGTACGCGTTTCCAGCAGTCGCAGTAATAGACTTTCGCGCAGCCTGGGACGCAGCTAATTCCGGACCGTCGTCGCTCAGGCAGGCAGCGCGTTCGCCGACTCGACCCCTGGAGGTGCCTGCGGCGCGAGCGCGCGAGCGACCGTCCGTGGGTATCGCCGTCTGCTGACTCCGCCTGGTTTCTCCGCGGGCCAGCCAGCCCGACCTTTGCAAATGACAGGCTCGGGGGTAGTGTCAGCAAGTCCGGACCGAGGCCCTCGCTCCGCCATCTTCAATCTGCCGGAGAGGGCACACGGGCGGCGACGGACCGCCCCCCAAAGTCCGAACGCCGCGCTCCGCGGACGCGACTCCGCTCCGCGAACCGTGCGCGCCGTCGGCGTCGGGGCTTGGGAGGACGAGTGGCCCGCGCGGCCCTCGGCCTTCGGCGGGCGGAAGCGCGGGCTCGAGCTTCGAAGGGTCGAGCTTCGAGGCTCGCGCTTCCAGCCACGCGGCGGCCCTGCGCACGCTTCGCGCTTCACTCGCCCGTCGCGCGCGGGCCCGCTGGGTCTTTTCGGGCCCCGGACGCTCTCAGGCCCTCGGGGGGCAGGCCCTCGGGCATCGGTACGTGGGGAGCATGACGGAGGACGCCAAGCGAGCTCATAGCAAGGTTTGGAAGTCCGACGCCTTCGTGGCGCCGTGGGCTTCGCGCTGCGCACGACGCCCGCCTCGTTCCTGCGCGCGCTGGCGCGGGCCTGCGGAATGTGTCGATCTTTGCGCAGTACCTGGGGGGCGTGGGGCGGACGAAGCGTCGAGGATCCCTCGAGCGCACGGACAGGCGAAGCTGTGGTGTGGAGGCTCCCCGGCGCGCGCGCACGCGCAGGGTTTGTGTGCGCGCACGAGGCCGCGATAGGAGATGCCGACGCTGCCCTGCGCGCGATGACGGCGACGAATTGTCGTGATGCTTCGCGGCAAGGGCTTGTGGACGCACGCGCAGCTCGACTTGGTCTAGTGCGAGCCAGCGGGTGCCTGCCGATGCGTGCGCCGTGTCGACCTTCGGAGAAGCTGATGGAGGTGCAATCAAGCGCGGTTTGCGAGTGCGTGGAGGTCCGGCTAGGCAAGTGAGGGAGGCCGACCTCCCTGATGGGCTGCTAGCCTGGACGGGCTGTCGCACGAGTGCGCGTGGGAGAGAACACTGGGGCGAGGACGTGTAGGAGGCGATTGAGGGTTCGGAAGCCCGCCCAGCTGAAAAGGTGCGTCTTGTGGAAAAGGGCTCGCACGAGCCATGTGCCTGTCGTGTGAATGAGGCGCGAGGCAATCGCGTACGGGGAGCTTTCGCCGAGCCCCCTGGTGTATTGCAGGTGCGTCACACCTTCGGCGAGTACAGTTCACATGTCGGGTTTGTTGCACCGTCTTCCACGTACTGGTGTTTTGGAGATGATATACGTGTGCGGGAAACTGCGGCGGCCTCTTTTGAGGGGGTGTCCATTCGGCACATGACAACGTATCAGAACTACAGTCATCGCGATCTGGTGGCATAAGTTTTCTGCTCATCAGATATGTACTTCTCTCCAGTTAACCATATATTCTTCGTTGCGTAACTCATTGCCGGCATCACCACCTATGGTAGTAGAAGATTCGGAACATACTGTGGATAGTCCGCGGGAGAACATACTTGTGTTACGGTGGTGTGTTCGAACAACTTCAACGTACGTTGAATATGTTGTGAATGAAGGCAGCTTGTTCGCCTTCAGATGGCCACTTGTTGAAACAAATCCAGAAAAGAAAGGACCGCGTCGTAAACTGGCCAGATGGTGGGAGAGAAAAGCTGAGGGTTTGCTGGACATCCCACAAACAGAGCGCGTGAAGTCCGACAGCGTCATGAGCACGTGGTGACTCATGGCCGGCACCTACGGGCCGCCCCGCCGTGCAGTCTGGCAAAACAAGTGACAGACGCTGTCCCCCGCCCTGCCAATGGATTCTGACCATGTACTTGCATGCATCACTCCTTGCGCTGGCAGGCCACTTCCCTGAAGTTTTTGGGCGGTCCAAGATCATGCGCCGCTGACGTTGATGCCGTTGGGTTTCCTTGGAGGCATATCCTGACCGCGGTTCTTGGTATCGCACGGTCGATTCAGGCTTTTGTTTTACGCTCTACCCTAAGTGACTTTTGAGTGCTGATCTCCGAATAGCAAACTTCCGACATCAAGTAGGACTCGTTAGGCGCCGGTCCGCGATTGATATCTTTGTACTCTTGTTGTACTCTGCTTTGACTCCGCTATGAAATGACTGTCCCGGAGAATGAGCTCCGCTGAAATATTGACACTCCGACCACCACACACGCGGCGGAAAGCCTGTTTTCGATCCCGTTGTGTAGGAGTCCTCTATCGAGCCGGAGTGCTATCGCAACGTCCCGCACGCCGGTTTCTCCACGTCTCGCAGCCAGCCCTCCTCTCCCGGTCCCCTATCTCCGTGGAAGCACCTCAGACGGCTTCGCCGGCCACCCGCTTTCCCTCACCCCTTCCCCCTCCCCCTCGCGCTCGCGCTCGTCCGACGCGAACGTCGACAGCGCCGTCCGCGACGCGCTCGCGAACCTCGGCCCGTCTCCCCGGAGGGAGCGCGTGCGCAGCTCGACCTCCGACGGCGGCGCGGTGCCGGAGACGAAGCGGTCGCTTGAGACGGAGCGCGAGGAGAAGTCCGAGTCGTGCTCGGGCGCGGCGGTCGCCCACGCGAGCGTCCACCGGGTCTCCTGTTGGTGGTGGAGGGAGCCGCGGGTGTTGAGGCAGAGGCGGGCGGCCTGCCATGTGTGGCTGCGTTAGGCGAGCGACAGGGAGGGGGGAGGGGGAAGACGCACGGAGACGGCGTAGATGACCATGAGCCAGCTGTGTGTGAAAGAGAGCGGGTTGAGATCGGCGACTGAGAGAAGTGTGAGAGGTGAGGGTGGGCGCACACTGTGCCCATGGGGATGATCGCGCGCCCTGCGAAGATGAGCTCGAAGACGAGGTTGAGCAGGTTTCCGACTTCGTGCTGTCGTCAGCGGAGAGCGAGGGGAAGGAATAAAGGCGCGCACTGAAGACGAGGAAGAAGTAAAACGCCGAATCGCGAAGGAAGAGGAAGACAACCGGGCTCGCGCGGCGCATCTCCCAGAACGCAATGGCGTTCGACGATGCCGACGTCTGAGGGGAGAGACTGTAGGCGAACTTGAAAAGAATCAGGATGAAGTATACGCCTATGAGGTGCATCCAGAGGGTCAGAAGGACAACCCAAAAAAGGAGCTAGGACCTGTCCGTCGCTCACAAGTCACGCTCATGGCAACAGCCCTGTCAAAACATGCGTCAATGAGCTCAGGTAAACCGTAGCAGGATGGATGCGCCTACCATACTGCGACAGAGAGGTTCGTATATTTGGGGGAAGTGAACAAGCACCCAGGAAGGGGGAAGTTTTCTGGACGTGGAGTCACCCGCAACGACGATACGACGAGAGCAGCAGTCACAATCCCGACCTTTGAAGATTTTCTCAGCTGGTGTTTATACCTCGGAGAACATCAACAGCACGTACACTAAGTTCAGCTACACGCATGCTTCAGAAACAAGATAGGGCACGTGTAAACGAGGGACGTACTGAGGAACAAGCATGTGATAATGACCATCACTGAATCCACGTCAGCCGACGAATGCGAGCGAAGGAAGGTAGCGTACTTGTTTTTCTCCCCTCGTAAGCTGCGTACAATCTCATGACAAACATGGCTTCTCCGAACACGGCGGAAAGAAACGTCCCATTGCTGTAGAAATGACCGAAAGTTAGCATCGATGACAATCGTGAAGCCCTCAAGACACACAATCCGTTGTACCATTTCCATCGTTCGCAACTGGGCTGGTGATCAACGTTCGTTCGAGTGTAGAAAATAGGCTAAGACGTACAACTATTGAACAATGGGTAAGCTCGGCTAAGTACTTGATGCAGCAAGAAGACGACTCACCTCAGTAGACAAAGTATGGCTTGTGTTCACTGAATTTCGGTTAACGATAAGTATATATCGCCTTCACGCAAGGCTGAGGGGTTAGCGTACCAGCCAGTGTGAATCTTGGGGGTCTCAGTTAGCGAGAACGAATAGTCACTTATACTGCTCGAGACCTACAACAGTGATAGCAGGGTATAATATCGTACACAGAAGTACATCAACTTGGGCAGGTTCCATTTTGCCCTGCCACAAACAAACTCAGGGTTTGGGGAGACGCTGGTAATCAGGTGCAAGACTCACTTCCAGATGAGTGAAACCTGGTATCTGCGTCAGTGCGAGGCTAGATGCACCAGAAGATGCGAACCGTACCTCCTCTGGCAGAGTGAGGACTATGTCATAACTCAACCACGCAGACGCGGCAGCTGCGCGAACATCAGAATGCATCTCCAGTGGGGCCTACGAGCGCACCTGTGCAAATGTTTGCGATGTATGTGTCATCTATGGCCTGGAGTAGTTGCTGGGGCTCTGCGGCCGCGGAAGCGGAGGGGTCCGCCATAAGGCGCAACGGAGGGCGTTTGGGGGCGAGGACGATTCAACGTTCAACGGGCGAGCATCGACGCGTAATATGCCCACGGTTCCTCCGCGCACGAGCCATCCAGTAGGCTCCCAAGGCGGCCGCGACGAAGAGATCTCGAACAGACCTGTGGAATAGTAGCGTGGCGGGCTTTCAAGGCGTGGAATGCGACCGAGTGGGCGAGAAGCACGGTCGTGGGCGTGGGCATCGAATAGGAAGCGGAGTTGTGAAACCGCATCACACGGGTGCGGCACCAGTTCTCTCTGCCATTGAAAATTCGCTTCGGGATGGGAGGTGCTGCGGGACGAAGGTTTCCCAGACAAACCACTGTACAGAGGTGGGAGTGGGGGCCTTGGGGAAAGGCGGGCCAGTGCCACGAGGGTCGTATCGGAAGAGTGCAGGGGCTTTTAGAGTGATTACCAAGACAAGCCTTGAGCTTATGCACTGGAGTCCACGAAGATGGCTCGATCCGCGTCGGTTCGCCGATCACCTAGAACGGTGACTCATTAGTCTTCCTGTTGTATTGGACGACAAACGTTGGTCCAAGTGACAGCACTTACCCACTGTGTCCCACATCGCTGTTTTACCGAGCATGCTTCTTCGACACGACTTGCGAGATCCTCGAACGTGGTGTCCACGAGGGCGGAAGAAGAAACCGTGGGTGTCGCTTGCGGGAGAGAAGCAGTGAGACCCCAGGAGCCTTCCGGGGTCCCGCCGCAACTGAGTCTTGGTCCACGGTGACGGCGTCGGATGCCGCGGCCTACCCCCAAAGAAGTCTTCGATGCCGGAGTCATGTCGCCGCTCCGGATCTAGGAGACTAGGAAGCGAGTTTCGAATCGTGCAAGACGATGGGAAGGTCATGAGATGCCTAACTAAAACGATTCAGGACATCACGGCGGAGCTCTTTTAAAGAGAGGTTGTCATCTTTCGAGTACCCTGTGTGCAGCAGGCAAGGTAATGAGTACCCTCGGGGATTCCATTGAAGTTTTGAGGTTGGCTCTCGGAGGATGTCGTCTTCGTACTGAGCAAATGCGATCGAGCTCAAGTCTATCTAATCTCTGGCGCCTGTCTTATCTTGGTTGGGAAGCAGAATGAAGCCCAACCCGAATTTCATCTACCAGTTTGCCCTCCCTCTTCGCCCAACGCGCTCCCACAGCCGCCCCGCGCATCGTTGCAAGCATGGCGACACCCACGAAGTTGCCTCCAGGCACAGCAGCGATCAAGCCAGAGTAGGACAACCACGTTTGCCTTCGCCTTCCACCGTTGAATACTCCCGCAGGTACTTGCTCTCCGTCCAGCCCCGCGATGCCCCCGACGACGACGCAGCCGAAGGCGGCACGAGCCACGTCGCCGCGCACGGACGGCCGGACGGCGCGATCGATGCGGGCGACGACGGCGGCGGGAAGCGGTTGTCGGGCGCGCAGCGCAAGAAGCTGGCCAAGGAGGAGCGCAAGAACAAGCGGGGCGCGAACAAAGGGCGGCGGTTCCAGAAGGTGCGCGACGACGTCGAGCTCTGCTTCCGCGTTGCGAGCGGCCAGCAGTGCGACTTTGGTGCAGAGTGAGTCTCCGAGTTCTCGATCTCGCGCCCGCGGCGGGCCTTTTGAGCAACCGCCAATTTGTATTTCTGGCGGAACGGCCGCGGCTCCTGCGATGGTCCCTCCCCGCCGAGCCGGTCCCTCGGCTCATCTCTCCGACGTGCCTTGCGATGCCACAACTGGGCGTGGCGACGAGGGGCATGTGGCTGGGAAGGTCCCTCGAGGGGCAACTACCTACCGGTGGTGACGACCACCGCATATATGCGCTCATATTTCCTCTATGCCTTCTCTTATACCTCAGAGGCTCTTTCTGATCCCTGCGCAGATGTCGCTTCACGCACGACGTGTCAGCGTACCTCGCCGTCAAGCCCAGAGACATACATTTCCCCTCTTCAAGCGACCTCTCAAATGAACCACCATTCGTGCGCCTCCCAGATGTTGACATGGTTGAGAACGGGACCGCAACGTCTTCGCTTGATACGACGACGACCTGCCCCGTCTTTCAACGCACAGGCGAGTGTAAACACGGCCTCAAGTGCCGTTTCCTCGGAAATCATGTCCGGAAGCTGGAGAACGGCGAGCTGGAGTTGAGGGTAGACGAAGAGAAGAGAGCGCATGTCGCTGCTGCCGAACCGGAACAGAACTTCATCGACAGCGAGACGTTGCGCAAAATCAGGACAAAAAAGGTGAGTCTTGTGTCCCCCAGATCTCAGCGGGCCGCTATATGCACCTTCACAGTACCCCCATCCCATCTCCGACGCATATCTGGAGGAACTGAAGAATGCTGCGAACGAAGGAGAGAAGGGGAATGGAGAAACACCCGCGACAGAATCACAAGATTCGTCATCGACCCTCGTAGAAGCTACAGTTACAGAACCTCCCGCCGACGGAGTAACAGCCGTCGACCATTCGCAAGATGATACGCCAGACGTTCCCGTGCGTTTCATGGAGAAGAAGCGGTTACACTGGAAGGAGAAAACCTGTGAGTAGCTATCTGCGTCATTTTCCAATTGCTCATCCAGGCTGCAGACTTGGCCCCCCTTACCACTGTTGGAAACTTGGTACGTTATCCACTCTGATCACCGTCTGGTGGCCATGGACCAACGCCCTTCTAGCCATTCCGACGTCTATGCGTTGACTATGGTGCCGACATAACCTGTGGCGAGAGTGCGTCATTCATCTGTTCCCGATCGACGCTCTCTAATTGGTGCATATAGTGGGCCTGGCGATGTCTTTCCTGCAGGCTTCAAAAGAAGAGTGGTCGCTTGTCCGTCGGCACCCTTCAGAATCAATGTTCGGCATGCAAATCGCAGGGAGCAAGCCTCAGCTGCTGGTTCCCGCCGCGGAGATCATCGGACGGGAATGCACGGGCAGTCTAGACTTCGTCGACGTCAACTGCGGGTGTCCGATAGACCTCGTGTACAAAACCGGAAGCGGATCTGCGCGTGAGTCGTTCTGCTCTTCGGAAACGGAATCAACGGGTTGACTGGATGAGGCCGTTGTTCAGTTCTCGACGCCGCCGGACGGCTGGGTAAGATCCTCGTCGGGATGAACAAGGCACTGGGCGAGATCCCGGTGACGGTGAAGCTCCGGACGGGCGTGAAAGACGGTCGGAATACCGCCCACAAGCTGATGCCCCGTCTCAGCGGGGAGTGGGGAGCGGGTGCCATCACGGTGCGTCTCCTTTCTCGCACCGAATATGCGGTCGTACTCACGCGTGTTTCATAGCTGCACGGCCGGACACGGCAGCAACGGTACACTAAGCTCGCGGACTGGGATTATGTGAAGCAGTGTGTCGAAGCCGTCCGTGCGCGAGAGGCAGACGAAGACCGTAAATGTCTTCCCATCTGTGACGAGCATGTACCGACCTCCCCTCCCGTCGCAGTGCCGCCGGTCCCCATCTTCGGCGGCGGCGACTGCTTCTCAGCGGAAGACTACTGGCACAAGATGGACAACTACGGCGTGGACGGGATCATGATCGGCCGCGGCGCGCTCATCAAGCCCTGGGTTTTCACCGAAATCAAGGAGCGGCGGGAGTGGGACATCAGTGCCCGGGAGCGGCTCGAGCTCGTGCGCAAGTACGCCGAGTATGGGCTCAAGTGCGTCTTCTTGCGTTCCCGTCCTTTCTTTGGCTCTGACACGGGCTCTGCAGCCACTTCGGGTCCGACACGGCCGGGGTGAACACCACACGGCGGTACCTCTGCGAGGCGCTGTCGTTCCAGTACCGCTACGTCCCCATCGGTCTCTTGGAGCGAATGCCCCCCCGCATCAACGAGCGCGCTCCCGCGTTCCGTGGCCGTGACGAGCTCGGTGCGACTCGTCTCCACGTTGTGCGGCGGATGCTGTGGCTAACGGCACCATTTTTCTTGTCTGGGCTGGAACGCCGACAGAAACACTGCTCGCGAGCGGCGATAGTCGAGACTGGGTGCGGATATCCGAGATGTTCCTCGGGCCCGCGCCCGAGTCGTGGGCGTTCACGCCGAAGCACAAAAGCAACTCGTTCGGGGAGGAGAGCCAGGGATAGGGTCAGACCACTCCCCTCGGATGACTTTTCCTTCCTTCCCTCCTCCTTCATCAACATCTCTCGTCTCCGTCCAAGGACAGGTTCCCGCCTCCACTCTTGTGTACATGTGACGGACGGACGTTCACGTTGTATCCATCTCCAAAACCAACCCATGTAGTATTACAACAAGTTCGCGCTGTGCTATAGATACAATTCGTCGATTTGCTACACCGATCCACCGCATGCTTTCCCGCGCCAACACCGACCATGGTTTGATCTCGCCCTCAGGGCTCAATCCTCGATCTCCATCACCTCGGAGCCCGGCGGGCCCTCCGCGTCCGACGACAGCGCGCGGTCCGAGCCCGCCCTGGAAGGCCGCACCGACGCGGGCACGACGAACGGCGACGCGGGCGGTGAGTTCGGGTCCACGACGCGGGCGGCGACGTCCGGCGGGAGCTGGCGGAAGAACGTCATGTTGTTGTGCTTCACGTTGTCCTGTCCAACCGCCCGTCCGTCCGTCCGTGCGGCGCGTCAGCGTGCGGCGGCGCAGGAGTGGGAGCGGGAGCGGGAGGAAGGGGAGAAGGGGAAGGAGCACGCACCTTCATGTGCTGAGCCCAGTCGGTGCGTGCGTCCTCCTCTGCGGCGGGCAGCGCGCGGCTGTAGAGCAGGAAGTACGGGCCCGCGCTGAGGTGCAGGCCGGTGGGGTCGGTGAGCACGGTCTCTTCCGGAACCTACGCGACGAGGCGGGCGGTGGGTCAGAGGGCGGGAGGTGGATGGGTGGAGAGAGGGTGGTACGCGCCTGGGTGACGGTGTAGTCGACGGTCTTCCACCATACTCCTTTTGCTTGACGTACGAGTAGAGGTGACTCCGGCCGTACAGCCGTCGTGCACGAGGACAACGCGGAGGTCGTACTGCAGCAACATTAGAGTGTGTGTACCAGAGTAAAAGCAAATGCGTACGCGGTGTGTTGGAGCTCAGGACAGTCGAGCTGGCTCAGAGCCTCTTTCCGGGCGCGGTCGATGTTGATATCAAGCTCTGCGCCGAACGGATGAGCAGAGAAGGAAGGAAGAGGGCGAGGCACACACCTTTGGCCTCGGCTTTGACCTGCTCGATAATCTGGTTCAGCTTCCCGACGTTGGTCTTGATTCCTCCGTCCGCTGCGCATCGTCGGTGCTCTCTGCGACGTTCTGGTAGTAGTACAGCGCCGACTCCAGATCCGCGAGCGTGTCTTTGTCCTAAGCACGGCGGGCATCAGAACGAATCACCCCGAGAATCGGGCCACCACTCACGTTGAACCGCAACAGATTCTTCTTCCGTTCCTCCAACGCCTTCACCTCTTCCAGCAGCCTTTTCTGCTCCTCGCGCTTCTCGTTCGCGAGCGCGTACGACTCGCGCATGAACTGGTCCAGGTACACGCTCTTCGGGTACCGGAACGGCTCGCGCTCCGTCCGGCGGCCGATCGCGGCGTCGTACGTGGGCGGTGCAGCGTCCCGGTGCAGCTGGAAGGCGAGCACGTCCGCGGGCGCGTAGATGACCTGGCGCGGGCGCGAGGAGCCGGGCGGTGCGAGTTCGGTGGCGAGTGAGGAGACGAGGTCGTTCGTGTGGGGCGTGCCGCCGACCATCACGCGCACGCAAGAGAGGTTGTCCGTGTTCGGGTCGTCCTCAGGCGCGTCGTGGTAGCCGTGCTGCAGGGAGACCAGCCTGTAGAGGTGTGATTAGGGCACCGGCAAAGTTCTGGGAGATCCGTGCGTACCTTCGATGCTGGCGAGTGGGGTTGTGCGCGTTGTTGTACTGCAGCACCTGTTCCACAGCATACATGACCTTCCCGTATAACCCTGGACGTGGACATGAGGACACGATGTATACCGTCGGTGGTGAAACTTACGTCCAGAGACGTCCACAGGTCGTTCCGCGGGCGTGCTCCACGGTTCCGTGGTGAAGGCGTTCAAGGCGTCGTCCACATTCAGGTCTTTCAGACGAGCGAGGTCCATGTTGCAGAAGATCTCGAACAGCGTGTACACTTGGGCGGCTGGTCCCGTCGGAGGGCCATCTCTTCGGGATCTTGTCTAGGTGCCCATTGCGCGATGCTTTTCGGAGCTGGGGAACATGATACAGTCCGTGGATCAACAAGGCAGCATATGCTACGGCCGATAGTGTCGGCCGCAAGGCAACCGGTCTAGTCATTAGCAGGGAAATAAGCACGGGTTTTGTGAAGTCGGCGTTCAGAACTCACGTATCGCCCTCGCGCACGCGCTCCTCAAGCGGCGGCTCGAAATAGGTGTCCTCGCTGATATTGTATGACAGGCTCGCCTCGATCGCGCGGCTCATCGCTTGGTCGTCTTGCGACATCCCTCCCTGCGGCTGCCCGACCGCGACCTGCACCCAGATCAGTCGTACACCCCAGTCGCGCGAGGGAAACCAACACAAAGGGACTGTGCGCACATTGGAAGGGACCACAGCCCAGTTGGGATCCGGGGCCCTATTGCTCGGCCCGAACGTCGTCCCCGTCGTCGACCACTCCATCGAGGGCTGGATGCCTTTGCTGTCCTCCAACGACGCAGCGAGCGCGCGCGTCAGATCGTCGTCGTCGCGCGAGAGGTCGATGATCTTCTCCGGCCTCGACGCTGCGTGCGCGCCATCAGTCTCCCGCCGTACATCCCGAGCCGACTCCCTCGCCGTCTTCCCCCACACCACAACCCGCGTCCTCTCGCGCCAAACGCAAAGACCGCTCGCATACACGAAACGAAGACTCACGCGGCGGCGTCCGCGGGCCCACCTCCGGCCCATCCAGCGGCTCGAGCCCAGGCAGATCCGCAAACGCGTCCGCCATGTTGTCCGCGTCCGCGCCAGTGTCGCCCTCGAGCAGCGCGGACGCGGCCTTCTCGAGGTTGCCCCCGTGTTTGCGGAGGAGCGCGAGGGCCTGCGCTGGGTCGAGCGTGCCGCCCATCATCGCGTTCAAGGTCTCGATCTCGTCGGCCTCCTGTTGCGTCGCGGGCATCAGCCGGCGGTCGGTCGCGTGGAGGGTGAGGTTCGTCATGTTGGCAGAGGTGGGAGAGCGGGAATGGGAGATTGGGGGTCGATGTATGTGGTCTGAGTGTGGCGCAGCGTGAGCCTCGCATGGGATGGATGAAGCGGCACACAGGGCGTACGAGTGGAACCACCACTTCAAGTGCGCGACTGTACGCACGATCTTGTAGCACGTAGGCTGTGTGTCGAAGAGATAGGACCAGCAATGGAGTTTAACCGTGCAGCAGGAGACGGAAGGGAACAGGTTACAGGACTGCCTGCGGCGCGCTCGTCCGCGACTTTTAAATCACGTGAACCACAGACTTGCACCCTCAAGACAATTTCGTAGACCTCGACAGGCAGGGGCGTTTTCCTCCTTATATATTCCCCCAGTGTGTATGCAACATTATAGGCACCACCAGCCTCGTAAGCCAATAATTAGAACTCGTATGGTACGTCTACAGATAAAAAATTGCCCTCAGACGAACGTCGCACCGACGTCAGTCTCGCATCCAGCGGGGCGCAAGGAAGACTGGGGGTGGAGATAGGTCGTGTGGGCGTCGAGCGTCGTGCCCAACCAAGCAAAGCTGGGCTTATCGTCGTCGTCACCGTCGTAAAAACCGGGGGGCGGGTACCGGACGGGTACAGACAGAATCGTCCTAAGGCATCTCGTCCATGTTGACGATCTCCACCGCGCGGCTGATGATCTCCTCGACCGGCCGGCGCTCGCCCGTAGCCTGCTTAAGGTCGAGGATGTCACCGATCTCGTCGCACGCACGGAGGAGCGTGTCGACGTCCTCCTTCGTGTGCGCAGCCGAGAGGCAGAACCGGATGCGGGAGGTGATGAGGGGCGTCGCCGGGTAAGCGACGACGACGACAACGATGGGCACTTGTCGGGTGCGCATCATGCGGCTGAAGACCGCCATCTTGCCCGGATGGAACAGGAGGAGAGGAACGACTGGCGAGTCGTCGTGGCCGTAGGTGATGAAGCCGAGAAGTCGGAGGGCACGGTTGAGGTACCGTGCGTTGAACGCGAGCCGGCGGAGACGCATGACACCGTCGCTGCCGTCGATCATGGACGGTACGAGCGGCATCCACGCGGGAAGGGCGCTAGCGGGTGCGGTGCCGGGGATGATGTCGCATTCAGAGAGGGCGGGGGTAGAATCGCGCGTGCGGAGGACGGAGAGAGAGGGGAAGACGGCTTCTCAGCGGGCATGGTGATACCCATGATACTGGCCATGGACGCGATGATCTGCGTGAGCACCGGGGGCGTCATGGCTTCACAGTACGTCCCAGTGTGGCCTTGCAGACGGAGGCGGTCGATGACGTCCTTGCGACCCGCAATGTACCCGCCGGCCGCACCGAAGGACTTGGTGAAGGTGCCCATCAGAATGTCTACGTCCTTGGGGTTGATGCCGAAATAGTCCGTCATGCCCCGGCCGCGCGGGCCCATGGCGCCAACCGAATGTGCCTCGTCGATGAAAAGGTAGAACTGAAAAGGCCACAATTAGCAGGTGACCTGCCATAACAGGCGTCGGGCGTACCTTGTACTTCTTCTTGAGCTCGAGGATGGCCGGCAGGTTCGCAAGTGTGCCCTCCATCGAGTACAGACCCTCAACGATGAGCAAGATCTTCTTCCACGGCCGGTGCGTCTTGGGCTGGCCCTGGCTGATGACCTCCCGGAGCAGGCTCTCGAGCGCCTTCATGTTGTTGTGCTTGAACGTCCGTACGCTCGCCCCGCTCAGCCGCACACCGTACCGGATCGACGCGTGGTTCAACTCGTCCGAGATGACGAGGCTGCCCTTGCCCACGATACCGGGGATGATCGTCGAGTTGGTCGCGAAGCCCATCGAGCTGACGAGCGCGTCATCCGTACCGAGGAAGCGCGCGATCAGCGCCTCCGCTGGATGTGCAGGTCGAGGGAGCCAGCCTCAAGCCGCGAACCGCCCGCGGTAACACCGTACCGTTCGATGCTCGCCTCAACCGCGTCCGCGCACCCACCCCGGCCCTGCGCGAACCCGAGGTAGTTGTAGGACGAGATGTTGAGCCCCCGGGTCTTGGTGCCGGTCGGGATCATCGTCTTGTTGTAGTTGGGCGAGTAGCGGTCGAGGAGCATGATGGTGCGTCCGGGGACGCCCGTGGTGGGATGCGAGAAGCAGTCGTCGATGCGGAGCTTCAGACGACGCGTGTAGAACGAGTCGAAGTCCGAGTTCAACGCGGCATACCCCTGGTGACAACCCGTTAGTCATCGTGTGATACAGGCTGGCCCGGAGCGCGCTTGTGGGTGCTGCGAGCCAGGTACGGGGCGAGGACGGGTAGGCTGACTGACAGCACGGCCGTCACCGAACCGCGCCCACTGCCCAGTGCTCGCATTGACCTGCGGCACAGCGCATAGAGCCACCACAAGTGCGCCCATGCGTGTGCTCAGAGAGCATACAGCGAAGAAGTACTCACATCGTAGGGCAGTAAATGCCTGTAGCTCGCAGCACGGAACCGCTTGCCCAGGAAGTCCCGGACGTGGCCGAGACAGATGACGATGATGTAGCTGATGTAGGTGGTGAGGAGGATGTAGTACGGCGGGTCCTGCTCCGGGATGCTCTTGTACTCCGTCCCCGCCCGGTGCTGCGACGTGTACCGGTACTGCTCGTTCCCGCAGTGACCGAACTCGGAGTGTACGGTGGTGAAGACCTGCTCCGACGTTGGGGGCGTGAGGGGGTATGACAGCGCGTCGCCAAAGAGCTCATTGCTGTCGTTGAGCACCGTGTCCTCGGACGAAGTCGTGATGGAAGAGGACATGGAGAGCGCGGGGGTGGACATGGGGGTGTTGCCGTGCGCACGCGCGCGTGCGTCAGCCTGGGAGACGGCGGAGAGGTACGACGCGGCGGTGGACGGCGTGGAGGCTTGCTTCTTCTTTTTGAAAATGGAGGAGGTGGGCGAGGCCGAGGAGAACGCGATGGGGGACTGGCGAGAGGGCATGTCCAGGACGAGGAGGACGCGCTCGACGCTGGGGACGGCGCCGAGGGCTGTTAGCAGAATAGGGGCGACAATGGGGCGGGGGTTGGGAAGTCGTCACTCGGTAAATGCACCCGGCGCAGCTAAATATTGGGGCGCGTAAGTTGCTGGGGATCCTGCGCGTCTAAATATTGAGCGCTTGCGGGTGTTATTCATCGCTGCGACGATGGCAGCGGATCAAAACCGCCAGTAACGGCGCTCACTTCCGGGCCGCGGTCAGTCGAAGGACTGAATTTACCGAAGTCATGGTGTGATGGAAGCGCTGCCGTCGGTAGCAATGTCGTCAAGAACCTACGCATGCTGCTCGTCGGAGTCTCTGAAAACTGATTGAAATTCCTACACAGCCGGGAAGGGTCGAAGACGTCTTGCACGACAGCGAAATCAGGAGGCTGTCTTCGCTAAGGCCTTGCGGTTTTTGCTACATCAGTTGGGCTTGAAGCGATGTTCGCATTTACCTCCCGAGTCCGCATACCTACCACATCGGCGCTGTGCATGCACACGTTGTCGGCGCTGCGATCGCGACACCCGGGCTGCGCCAACACCGGCCGCTGCTGGTCCCGTCCCCAGCCGCTGCACGCATACGGACGATCCCGGGCCTTGTCTATTCCGAAAAAACAACGGTGGACGTTCTTTCCGTCCCCAACACTTTGAGCTCAGTTCAACATCGTGACGTCCGGTGTTGAGCGGTGATCCAGCCCTTTGTGCCTGCAGAACAGCAACGCAACGTCGCAGCGAGGTCACATGGGAATTTTACAAGTCTAGTTGATTACGCTGGTATCCATTTGTAAAGAAACGTACAATAACATCTTTCCTTCCATATCCCTCATGACGAGCTCGTATCAATGTTCATGTGTGAGAGACAGCTGCAAAACACCGCGCATCTACAGACGGTCGCCGCGGCCAATGACTTTGACCTAAGGAAGAACCGCGCATCAGCACCGGCATATGCAAACACGCACAGCGAGCGAGAGGACGTACCGTGAAACCGATCTTCTTGAGCTTGGCCTCGTCAAGGATCATGCGGCCGTCAAAGACGAACGCGGGCTTCGACATCTGCGCGTAGACGGCCTCCCAGTCGATCTCCTTGAACTCCTTCCACTCCGTCGCGATCACGATCGCCTCCTTCTGCTTGCACGCGTCGAGCGCGGAGTGCACGATGGTGACCTGCTTCTTGATCTGCTCGAGGGGCATCGAGGGGAGCGCCTCGGCGAGGTCCATCCACATCTGATCCTCCTCGACCTTCGGGTCGTACACGGTGACGTACGCGCGCTCGAGGAGGAAGTCGCGGATCAGCGTGATCGACGCCGACTCGCGGGTGTCGCCCGTGTCGGCCTTGAACGCGAAGCCGAGGACGGCGATGTGCTTGCCGGTGATCGTGTTGAAGAGCGTGTCGACGACGGTCTTCGAGAATCGCTTCTTCTGGTACTCGTTCATCTCGACGACCTGCCGCCAGTACTCGGCCACCTGCGGGAGGTGGAGGGACTCGGAGAGGTAGACGAGGTTGAGGATGTCCTTCTGGAAGCAGGAGCCGCCGAAGCCGACGGACGCGCGGAGGAACTTGGGGCCGATGCGCGAGTCAAAGCCGACGGCGTGCGCGACCTCGTCGATGTTCGCGCCGGTGGCCTCGCAGATCGCGGAGAGCGCGTTGACGGAGGAGATGCGCTGCGCGAGCATCGCGTTCGCGGCGAGCTTTGAGAGCTCGGATGACCAGAGGCCGACGGTGAGGATGCGCTCACGCCTGTGGTCGGATATCAGTAACGGCAAATGACCGAGGAGCCGGGCAGCCACAGAGAGGCTTCACACAGGGTGCGAGCGAACGAGCCAGGGGTAGGAGGTGGATGTATGCGCAAATCGCGAGAGATCGGGGAGGAAGAGGACTCACGGGACCCAGTTGGCATACACCGACGCCAGTGCTGCACACGCATCCTTGCCCTCCTGCGACTGAAGCGAGCCGATGAGGACACGGTCGGGGCTGAAGAGATCCGCGATGGCGGTGCCCTCCGCGAGGAACTCGGGGTTGGAGAGGATGTCAAAGCGAACGCCGTCCTTCGAGTTGGCCTCGAGAATGGTACGCATGGACTCGGCCGTCCTGCAGGGCACGGTCGACTTTTCAACGACGATTTTGGGCGAGGTCGCGACGGCGGCAATGCGGCGGGTCGCAGACTCGACATAGCTATTGGGCGCATCATGGAAGGTGGGACAAAAGAGGGTTCGTCAGTTCCGCTTTCGATCTGGACCATAAGGAGACGCACTTGAGATCAGCGGCAAATCCAGCCCCGACACCAGACTTCTTGGTGGGAGTGTTGACAGAGACGAAGATCAGGTCGGCCTCGCGGATGCCCTTGTCGACGTCGGTGGAGAAGAAGAGGTTGCGGCCGCGAGCTTGGCGGACGACGTCCTCAAGGCCAGGCTCGTAGATGGGGAGGTTGAAGTCGGGTGAGTTCCACGCGTCGACACGCGCCTGATTGAGGTCGACGATGGTGACCTGAATGTGGGGGCACTTGAGCGCGATGACCGCGCAAGTCGGGCCTCCGACGTAGCCCGCGCCGACTGCGAATACGCGAAAGGGGGCTGGGGTGAGCCGCGCAGGCAATGTGGGCTGATGGGGGACAATACGCACTGCAGCAAATCTTCTTGACCTGGACGGGGGCCATTGCGAGTCGTGAAGGGGAGGTGAGGAGGCCGAGGAGGGTTGGAGTGATAAGACGGCGATGAAGTGCTTATATGCGATGCAAGCGAGATGGGACTTGCGCGCGCCAAGACTCTGGGCTGGCCGCATCTGTGGCTCATTTTGATCGTTCCCGCTCATGGAACGCCTCCGGACCGCCTGCCCGCTGCCCTGCTCTCCTTCCATGCCTCCAGCTGCACCACAACGTCCCGGGCAACAAGCCCCTCGCTGGGGTGCCTGCGCTCGGGGAATGGGATATATCCAAGAGTGGACCCTGCGATGCGTGCGTTTTCAACCCTCGAACTGATCACTCTTCTTGATGAATGCATGGCCTCAACGCGGCGGATTAATGTGCCCGGCAGCGTGGTCGGCTGGTGTGGTTCCCTGACTGTCTGCGACCGAGCTCTGTGTGCAATTCGGCCGCACGTCTCGGGTAGAGAGTTGCGGATGCGCTGCGAGCAAATATCGTTGCCACAACGCTGGATCGCGCCACTTTGCAAGTCGCAATGATCTACACCGCTGTAGATCAATGTAACACGTGTCGGACACGCTCTGCGCTTTGTACAATCGATGACAGGAGTGCCGTTGAACGGACCGCCCAACGGACACATTCGTAACGCAAGAAGCCGAGCATGAAGTGAGATTTGAGTCATGTTGCAGCCATGCAGCTCTCCGCATGTTCGTATGCCGGCACTTCGGAGAGAAATTTAAGTACTTGCGATCTGTGTAAACCCCCTCACACCCGACGGTACTGTGCTAGCGTGAGAATGTGCTTCAAAGCATAACTAACGGTGCTGATGTGAATTCGCCACGGTAGACTGGATCGGCGGCCGCGCGTGGCTGGATATCACACGGTCCCACAGCATGGAATAGAGAGGTTTGGAAAATTGCAATTGTGCGCGATTGCAATGAGTGATGGCGCGTTGGAGTCCCATCTCCAATGTGACCGCCACCGTGACCGGGCCAGGCGAGCGCCGGGGCGAGAGATGCGACAACACGGTCCCTTACCTCCAAACTGAGCATCCAGCGACTAGTTCAACTTGCAGCCAGGACAGCATGTAACTATGAAGGCAGCCACGGGAAGCAGACGAGTGACGACGAGATGAGAGCACAAGTGCGAACCTCACCAAGGCCTGTCACGCTGCACATGGGTGACGGGCGTTTTCGAGCGGGCCGCGATGCCGTGGAGCGGTGGGTCCGTCCCAACGGATTACAATCGCGCGCAATTGCCGTTTTCCAAACCTCTCTAATGCAACTTATTCAAGCCACAGGCGAGGAGCGGGATTGATAAGCAGAGATGAAGGCGTTCATGAACGACTCCGAGCCAAAGGGAGATATCCTTGTCTCGGCCGCAGTCCAACCCACCGATAGATCTTGATTCGATTCACATCGTTCTCCCTACGCTGACTCCCGGATGATTCATGGGCTCATTAGCAATGCGGAATGTCTTCGTACATTCCCTTTGTTATTCGTAAGTTAGAGGGCTGCTAGAAGGACAGAATAGTATTTGAAGGACCAGAACAGGCGCCGTCCATGACGTCAGCTGGCGCTTGTACCGACGCTCTGTTTCCGCCGTCCGGCCCGAACGTCGAATGTCTGCTGGTTCGACTTTGCGACGATGCCTAGGTCTGCCTCAGCACCTCGCGCGTGTAAAGCGCCCTCATCCTTCACATGAATCCGCTTGGAAAGTCACCACAGACCACTCGTAAGTCGGTGCTCATTCTCACTTAGCGAAGCACAGCTGTCACCCAACGTGGTGATCTCAACATCCTATCCACTTGGTCGCCATGGATCTCCCTCAAGCCCTGGACCTCGGAATATACCCCATATGGCGCCGCTTGCCGGACCTCGTGCTCAGCTTGACAACACGCTCGAGATCACGGACTTGAATGCCGTGTCGCTTCTCTCCGTCGATCAGAGTTTCAAACTGATTTTCGACTCCATCCTCAGAATCAGCCTTACGGCGACCAGCCTTGGACCAGCCTTCAAGCTTCATCTTCCCCGCCGACCCGAACACTCGCACGCCTGGGCGGAGATGCGTGCCTAACAAGCTTATTCCCTCGACTATCCTCCGTCAGAAACGACGCAAACATGGCCGCCGGCCAACCGAGGCCAACCGCCAGCGGTTGTGGCCAGTCTATTGTTCCAGCATCAAGCTGCCTGCTTCGATCCTTCTACGACGCGGCCTCGAAGACTAAACTCGTCTCGGGAGTCGAGCACTGGGCTCCGTCGGCGTCCTGCTTCTGCAGGGCAGGCCCCCGTCGTCCGAGATCTGAGGCGACCGGCGCGCGGCGCGATATACATAAGCCTCCGTGAGGTGGACTCGCCCGCCGTCGCTGGTCGCAGTGACCCACCCCGCCCCCTCCACCGCTGACCGACCGCGACGTCCGCCATATTCGGTTATGACGCAGCCCGATCCTCTCCCAGGCTCACCTCTACCCCCGGACCTGGCAGGCGCCCTTCAACTATCATCATCAGAGTCATTCTCTGTTGTCTTGCAGGCGATTGACGACACGCGAACGGCCAACTGGTGTGCCGGTACGTCTTTTTCTCGTCCGGGATGCAGAGCACATGAAGACGGGTCGGGGTAGCTGCTGCACTCACATGGCTTGCGTATGATATTCTCATAACGATACGCGCGGAGGTGAGTCTCTGTCCTGAGCGATATAAGTTCAAATGCTAATCGCAGGGCTAGGTGCCTTTGTGGAGGTGGGCATCCTGCTTTCCACAAGTTCTCGATTAACATTGACACGTTCCAGAGCGAAGTGGTCCCTCCTGAAACTCCTGTACTTTGTTGTAAGATACTACACAGTGCTTTCACTTGGGTGCGTTTCGTTCGAGACTAGGTTTGTCTTCTCTTCATGCTGACATCCCGCCAGGCTCTTTCTAGCAGGTGCGCGCATCGCTCTTCTCTTCCTCGATTATTTCTCATCCTCGGCCTCATTCAGTCATGACGAACCATCATGTTTCGCAATCAGTGAGTCGTCAATTAGCCTTTAGAGAATTCCCACTGACGACTCACAGTTGTGAGCTCGTCGTCCTGTGAAACACCTAACCTCAGGTTAAAGGATTATCGCTTGACGCAGTTGTAGAGGATGGCTGTGGTTCTTCACGTAGTAAGTTCCATTTTCATGCTTCATACTGAACGGAAACCCACCACATATTCCGCACAAGCAATGGGACCCTGCTTACTGCCATCCTCGGCGACGGTATATTTTTAATGAGGCTGTATGCGTCATATCAACAAAACACCATCGGTGCGTCCACCCTTATGCCTTGTCGCACAAGTGCCCGTGGCTCATCAGGTTTCTAGTACTTGTCATTATATGCGCCCTCTATGCCCGTACGTACCATCCGTACGATAAATGATGTGAACTAACTTTCTGTATAGTGGAGGTTCTTGTGAGTCCCGCCGATTTTGGTCTCCGTCGCCACCAGTAACATTCCGCTGCTATCAAGGTTGGCGTCATTGCCGGCACGATAATTGTTTCCAGTGTGGAGGTCATGGAGCGCCCTGAGGGCTTTCCCATTCCAGGGTGTTTACTGAGTCGGCCGAAACATCCAAAGCTTGGCGTTGCGTCTTGGTGAGCACATCTTAGGCTGTACCTTCTATTAACCCTACTAATAGTGACTTGTTACTAGGGGTATCGCCGTCGCCGTCACGTGTGAGCCCGACCCACTCTGGAATTGACCGAGACCGCTCATAAGCCGATCTCATGCGCAGGCATCTATTTCTTGCTTATCTTGAACAAGTTCGCGCGTACCATCACGCTGTTTAAGCCATCCAACGAGGCAGTCCCGCTCACCCAGCTTCGACGCATCAGCCCTGTTATATACTATTTCCTTCGAGACAGTGTGCTGTATTTTCTTCTGTAAGTCCGGGTCGCTGAACCCTTGGTGATTACCCCTTCCTTCAGTTGTGCTGACCGCCGTGTTTCGCAGGGTTTTCTGTGAGCTGCTTTCGTCAACCAGATCTACCGAGTCTCAACAGGCTATGCAGCGGGTAACCTCATGAGCCTACTCTTCGAGATCAAACTGCAAGACCGTGCACTTCGCAACATGAGTTCAACGTAGGGATCGTCCTCCGATACCCGTATGGTGGTGTCTGACCGTCTCTCTTTCAGATGGCTCGCCGCCATTTACGCAGTCTCCGTGGGTACTTTCCCATCTACAAACATCCGCTTCCTCAATGTCTACTCGTTCCACCAGGCCTCCCGCCTGATCCTCAACACGCGCCGCTCCGTCCAGCGCCACAAGTACGGATGGGCCCTCGACCCGCAAGGCCACCCGATGACGAACGAGACGGACACGATCGAGCTCAACTCGCGCGAGACGTGGGCTGACGATGCGCCGCTGAGTCCGTGCTCGCCGCAGTTCGCGCAGACGCCCCGCTACGCGCGCGACGCGTTCGGCGTCCGCGCACTCTCGCCCTGGCGCGACAGCGTCGGCAGCGCCCTGCCCCTGCCCCCGCGCGCGTCTCCGAGCTTGAGCGGCCGCGCGCGCGGAAGCTGGTCGTCGTTTGCGATCCTCAGCCTCAAGCGCGCGATGTCGCCCGGCTCGCAGAGTGCGTGTGAGTGCCCGGTTTTCTTCACCTCGGGCGTGGTGTGCACGACTGACACACGATGCAGCACTGGCGCCTGGACCGGCACACAGCGCGTGGCCACAGGGAGGCTCGTCGGTGGACGGGCGGGGGTCGCGCATGTCGCCGTTCCCGCAGGACCTCATGTACGTCGCGCCGTGGATCATCTTCGAGCGCGAGGACGGCAAGTGAGCGCGGCGCGCACCCTTCACACCCTGGCGCCTCGACGGCCGCTTTCTCTTCCCTGTATTTTGTAGGTTGAGATCTGAATTACGCACAAGGTTAGACTTGGAATCATCATCAGTAGTAGCAGTGTACATACTTTGAACTTCGCCCCTGCAGACTCGTGCCATCGTCACTGTATTCCTCGTACCCCACCCCCACCTGCATTCGCTCCGCCCGCCCCATGCATAGACAGCCGCTCTGCGCCACTTCCGCGAATGCATCCCTTTCGTGCACGCGCCGCATCCTCAACGTTCAACTTCGAGCACGAACCCGATCCATTCCGTGCGCTAGAGATACAACGCCACGCGTACGGATGATACAGCCGCATTTCCCACCGTGGTCGCCTCGACTCGCATCCGCGCGCGCCTACGCGGACAGCTCGTACACGAACGCGAGCGCGACCTTCGCGAACTCGAGCGAGTGCGCCCACGAGAAGCCGCTGACGCTCGTCAGGTCGCCCGTGCCGTGGATGCGCTGGTTGTCCTCGCCCGTGATGGCCTCGTAGAGCATCCCGGTCGCGTACCCCTGCTTGTACCAGCTCGCGTGGTCCGAGCACGCGTACCCGCACTGTCCGCCCCCGTCAGCCGCGCCCGCGCACAGAGGGTGAAAAGACACGCACGGGCTCGTCCATCGCCCAGTCGAGCTTCGAGTACGTGTCGACGAGCTGCTGGATGAACTTGGTGACGCCCGAGTCCTCGTAGTCCGCCTCGAGCGCGATGACCTCCTTCGTGCCGGGCTGGAAGTAGCCGGTCATGTCGAGCTCCATGAACGCCTTCACGCTCGTCCCCGCGCGCTTGTAGCTCTGGGCGATCGCCTGCGAGCCGAGCAGGCCGGCCTCCTCGCCCGAGTACCAGTGGAACTCGACGGGGGTCGCGGGCTGCCAGCCCGCGGCGATGAGCGCGCGGAGGACCTCGATGAGGTTGACGGTCCCGGTGCCGTCGTCGTCCGCGCCGGGCGCGCGGCCGGAGGAGGGCGAGTTGAGGTTGATCGAGTCTTCGTGCGCGCCGACGACGGTGAGCGCGCCGGAGGACTTGCCGGCGACGTGGACGATGACGGAGAACTGCGCCCAGGAGTGCGTGAACTTGGAGACGGTGATGTCGCTGCGGCTGGCGGTGATCTGTAGGAGGTGCCGTGAGCGGTGAGAGGAAGGAGGGAAGGGGGGGGGGACGGCGAACCGAGGCAAGGGTGTCGTAGATCCACTGGGACGCTTGCTTGCCGGTGGTGCTGGTGTAGTAGCGGTTGTTGAAGGCTGTGAGGGTCGAGAGCCAGCTGTTCATGTTGGAGGTGGAAAGCGTGTTCAGGATCGGCGTGACCGCCGACGAGTGGGAGGGTGAGGGGACTATGCGCATCGTTAAACTTCGTAGTACGAGGTGTCACAGATGAAGGCGACGAACAGGTGGCCTTCTCCGCGAGCGCAGAGAGAGTGGCGTGGCTATTGTCTTCTGTGGGGTCGTACACCTCCGTCACATCGAACTATACGAGTAATGTCAGCTTGTGCGATATTATGAAGGGCACTGGCGTTTACTCACAAAGTGAATACCGGCGCGCATGAGATCGAGCTTCTCCGCCTCGGTCTTCCAGACCGGCTCAGTGTCCGGGGAGAGATCGAGGAGGCGGTAGCCCTGCGCGGCCATGTCTGACAGTTCCTGGGTGGAGATCGGGACGGCCCATACCGAGCTGAGTAAGGCTGCAACAGCAAGGAGTCCCGAGTTGATGAACATCATGGTGAGGAATGAACTCAGTCGGGGTTGAGGGCAATGGGGATGTAGAACTTGGAGCCGCTACGAGGTCCTATGGCGGGATGCTGCGGGGTTTTTGTACCTCCCGCACCACTTATCGCGGTTGATGTTGACCACGCTGGTCACCGAAGTCGGGGCGGCCGTGCATGCGGATGCCAAGCCCATTCCCCGGGCGCTCGCGTCTTTACCTCGCGCTGGAGAACGCGCCAAGACGTGGGTGCAGGTGGATCTTGTTTCTGGGCGGATTGACCACACGACCATCGAATGGGCATAGGAACGATGCGTAGGCACGATGCACGGGGCTTCATACATGGGGGTCTGAGCAGCTCTGAGCTTGGAGTCAATGGCGGGCTGCTAGAAGATGAGATAGGGCAGACTCACAAACCTCGCGCGCGGATGTATGTTCTTCTCATCGCCATATACATGCCAAGTGTTGAGCCAACATGTATAGCGCATGATTTTTATGCTTCCGAGACTTGCTTTCGACGTTGAGCTCCGCTGCTGGGCTATCATTCTTCAGTGGATATGGCTTGGTTGAATTTCTGGGTAGTTTTTGGTGGATTGCTCATAAAGTGAGCATAAGTATACTTCATAGTCGCTCGCATTTAAGCAAGCAGAAATCCAGGAGCACATCAAGAGAGTGTCGGATGATAGGAGACAGCGTTGACAGTCAGTGATTGAGAGATGAGACGCCCAAGAATGCGAGGGTCGGATTGGCGCTTATATTATTTTCACTCATTTTGCGGATCCGGCTCGCTGGCGGTCGGCACGTCTTTCCCTTCCGTCCTTGAGCTTCTTCAGTAGGTCCTTTCACTGTCTAGCCACGAAACACACCTGACATACAAATCAGCCTACCCTTGCCTCATTTCCGTCACCATTTCCTGACTCGACATGCCCGACGACCAACAAACGTTGATGTCCCACCCGCTCTTTCACCACCTCGCGCAAGCTGCCGCACGCGCGTCCCAACCGTCGGGCACATATGACACCGCACTCCACATGTACGACCAGTTCTGCGAGGCCTTCCAAATCCCTGAAGCCGACCGGTTCCCCGCGTCCTTCCCATTGCTGCACTCCTTCTGCTTGTGGGCGACCGCGGACCCGGACACCGTCGCGTCCCTAGGCCCGTCCGCAGGATCCTTTCCGCAGGAGCCCATTTCAGCCAGCAAAGCCCGCGAGTACCTTAGGGCGCTGCGCGCGTGGCACGTTGCGCAGGGGTGGCACGATCCACTGTCGAAGGGCGACGAAACTCGTATCGAGTGGTCGCTGCGCGGAGTCGCGAACATTCAAGCTGGACGGCGTTGAGTCGAGGCAGGCACCGCTCACGCTCGTTTGGATCGAGGTGCTTTATGCATCGTCAACGCGTATCTGACGCCCAAGAGCTCAGTTCAACTTGCCAGCATGCTAACACAGAGCGACCACACTAGCCAAGGTCAGGCAGCGCCTCGACCATGAACTCTGCTACGACTATGTCACTGACGTTTCTCTACCCGTGTAGCTCTTTCTGTTTATTGGTGTATGACTTTGAGCAGCTGTAATAATGTCATATCCGTTGTATGCGCTCTGAAGGAGATATTTACCGTCAACGCCAGTTTTCAGGAGTGCCTTTTCGAACATGTCACACTGACCACGCAACTGCGCTCATTAATCTAGAATAAAGCAGAATTCACGGCTGCCCCTGTACGAACAATCGACAGCCGTGCAGTGCGTATACCAAGTCCAAACGTACAGTACTTTATGCTCCACCCGGCGGCAGGTCACGGAGCCCAAGCGTTCACAGATTCATACACTCACTGCACCGCGCGGACGCCGTTGAGTTCGACACAACTCGCACGAACCAGCGACTCGCGCTCAGCCGAAGCGGGTTTGATCACACATCGGAATGGCTCAGGATACCTGACCGCTTCGTCAGCATCGAAGTAGCGATAGATGACTCATAGTGAACTCACGCTACCTGACCATCAGTCATCTTGCCTGACGGAAGAATGGGCTTTCCGTTGGCGTCGACGGGCGCAGAGATGGTTAAAGTGTGCAGCACGGAGGCGACGATCATGAACAGCGAAGTCTCGGCAAAGAGTAGCCCCGGGCAAATTCTATATGAGGAGAACGTCAGCATGGGCGAGCGGGGTCACAAAGGTAAGCAGGCGCACCGACGGCCGAATCCAAACACGAACGTGGCGGGATCAAGCACATCAGGATTGAGCTGCCCCTCCGCTGTGAGGAACCGCTCGGGCATGAATCTATCCGGATCCGGGTAGAATTTCTCGTCGAACGAAATTCCCCTGTCCGGTGCTCCTCGTTAGCAAGAACGGCATGATGCTAACGCGGTTGACGCGACCCACCCGTTGTTCGCGATCACCATCGAGCCTTTGGGGATGCGATATCCGCGATACTCGTCCTCTTCCAGCGTACAGTGGGGCAAATTGAGCGGGACGGCCGGGCGCCAACGAAGGAACTCCTTGACGAGGGCATGGACGTAGGGTAGAGAAGGCGCGTCCTCCTTCTCCGGTAGGCGGTGAGGACCGACGACGGCCATGAGTTCCGCTTGTGCTTTCTTCTGAACCTCGGGGAATAACGTCATAGCCATGAAGAACGTTTGTATGGTGGAAGCGCTCTGCAAACCGGGCGGAAGTGAGTCCGAGGAAGACGGAGGGAGTGCGGTATGGCTTACAGTGTCGGCTCCAGCCGCGTACGCGACTGCAGTCGAGTTCCGATAAATATCTTCCTCCTCAGCTGCGTCGGCATCTGGCATCTCCTCGACACTCTCCATGAGGCCCGTCGCCATTGACGGGCGCGCGGTGCCTTTGCGCTGAAGATTCATACACAAAGTCAGCGCGACGATTCAACACCGACACATGAGATGAGGAAAGCACCATCGCGTCCATCGTCGCGTTCCAGGGTACGGTGAGGAGCTTGTTGACGGTTTGAGTCCATTCCGCCCCCTCGCGTTTGAATTCAGCACCGGGCATCCACGACGGTAGGTACTTGAGCACCGGGAAGAATTCGACGAGGTACTTCCCAGCGGTAAAGGCGTCGGAGAAGACCGCAAGGGCGTCGCTGCCCATCTTGAGGTAATCCGTTTCCTCATCGTCGATTTCGATCCCGTATGTAACCCGTAACAGTGAGGACCCGAACAAACTGCGGCGCGGCGTTGTTAAGAACGACGGCAAGGAGAGGAAGGTGGCAGAGGTTCACGTACTGTCCGATATGGGAGACAAGGTCGTCCGGAGTATCTACCAAACGGCGCACGAAACGATGCGCTTCGAGCTTCTGTGATGCGGCGTACTGCGCGACGGCGGCGGGGCTGAAGTACTGATGCAGTGCGCGTCGGTGACGTCGCCACCATGAGCCGTACGGCTGCAAGGCCAACGCCCACTCGAGTCCTGCGCTGAATGTATGGCGGGGTCAGTGCGCGTTCGGAATCGGCCGCGGTCAACGCACGTACATTCTTATCATAGGCGACGGCACCCTATCCGAGTAGTTTGTCGAGCGCTTCTCGAGGAGATCGATGGCGGCCTCTTGTGAGCCCAGAACGATCAGATGTCGCCCGAGAAGGTTCAAGTACATGATGTCTCCTACGACAAACACATTGAGGACGGGGATACAAGTTGTGAGCGCTGTGGACGCACCGTAAACTGCGCTCATGTCACGCAAGGCCGCGGAGATGTCGGTCTTTGGCATGTCGAGCACATTGCCGATGAGGGGGAGGGGGCGGGGACCTGGAGGAAGAGGAAGGGTTCGGGCTTTTCGTCGCAGGGCGACGAAGACGATGAGTACCAGCCCGAGTGGGACGGTGATCGGGGATAGGGACATCGTGGGAAGGCAAGAGGACTTGAGAAGCTTGGGCTGGGCTCAGTGAGTCAGTGTGCGGGCGATACGTGTCCATGGAACATCCTATATACACCGAGACGCAAACCTCTGACGGCGCTCCCCACTCTCGAAGAGCAGGGACGATATATGGATAGTTGATGTGACTTGGGAGCCGGCGAGCCGTCGGGCTGTGCATGACATCACTTCGTGAGCTTCACCTCATTTCGGGTGCGTTGCTCGCAGATGATGAAGCGGGGAACCTGAGCCATAGATGAGCACCTCTGCATTGTTTATGGTAATTCCAGGCATATCATACCGCATAGGTGGCGCATGATTGGAGAGCCCGCCTCGGCGTCCTAGTCGAATGTTTCATCATTATCTTGACGATGACGAAAGGTCGGATGAACGCGCGTGTCATGGCAGGCTAGTGCGGTGCCGTATATTGAAGAAAAAGCGCAAGTTCAAACGGGGTGAAGCGAGGCGTTTCGGCCTTCTTATAAGCAGTTTACCCATGCAACCTTGAGGTGTGCGTGGCATGCGGCATAACCATCGGCTAAGGGAGGCCGCTGCTTTCACCACTGGGACGCGAGCGAGGAATTGAGTCGGAGAAGTTGAAGGAAGGAGTAAGATAAACAGAACTCAGCAAGGACTAGTTGAACTACCAAGCGCGCTACGTGTACTTATTTTGAATGAACGCCCGAGTTTCGGAGATATATCGGAGTTTAATATGAGCGAGGGAGCCGAGATGCCAGGTTCGGATCACGCCCGTCGGCGAACGAGATTTTGCGCTCCGCCCTTCCTTTGACCGAAGGCGCGCTAAGCAAGCGCCGGATCATGAGCTTGGACTCAGTACTCGGTAAGTACTGCTACTCATCGAAGCGGAGCGACGAGAAGTGGGCGAAGAAGTGTGTGTTCAAATAACCAGCGGGAATTACGCACGAGGGTCAGCGAGAATTCCCTGCGCGTACACGGAGTCAACAAGTTGACATATCGAGTACAACAATGACCCTTCCATTTCGTCGCATGACCACAACGTGCAGCACAAATACATCAAATATTGGAGGGACGAGATTGAGGGTATATATAGGGAATCACTAGGATATCGTCAGACTGCTGGGCTCGATGCAACTCGCACGGATGAGGGCCTCGGTTTCCGCGGAGGCCGACTGGATTGCGCATCCGAACGGCTCGGGGTACCTAGGGTGAGACATGTCGTCATCAAACAGACACCTCGGCACAAGCTTGACAAGACCCACGCTAGCAGCCCGTCGCTCATCTTGCCAGAAGCCTCGATGGGCTTCCCATCGGCGCCCAGGGGAGCAGAGATGTTCAGAGTGTGCAGGACGGTGGCGACCACCATGAACAGCGACGTTTCGGCGAAATGCATTCCGGGGCAGATTCTGAGCGGAAAGCACATCAGTGTACCAAACACATAAAGATAGAAGTTTTTGCAAGAGCACTCACCTTCGGCCGTATCCGAAGGCGATCGTCGCTGGATCGCGAACTGTGGGGTCGAGTCTCCCGTCCTTGAGGAACCGCTCGGGCATGAACCTATCCGGCTCCGGGTAGACCTTCTCGTCTTGCAAGTAAGCCCTGCAGTGGCGGTCTCGTCAACAACTTACGACCAAGGCGACTATCAGGACGGCAGGACGAACCAGACATTGGCAAACACGAGAGACCCGGCCGGGATGAAGTAACCCTTATACTCGTCGTCTTGCAGGGACCGATGAGGAATGCCGAGCGGGACGACCGGCCGCCAACGCAGACACTCCTTCGCGAGGGCTTGAATGTAATGCAGCGACGGTTCATCTTCCTTCTCAGGAAGGCGATGGGGACCGACCACGGACATGAGCTCCACGTGCGCTCGTTTCTGGACCTCGGGGTACATTGTCATGGCCAGGAAGAACGTCTCTACTGTGGAGAGCGTCTGCAAGTAAAAAGAGGCGGGGTCGGCATATGGGGTATTCCGAGATAACGGAACTCACGGTGTCTGCTCCAGCAGCGTATGCGACCGCGGCGGAATTCCGGTTGATCTCATCTTCCTCCTCCGGGTCTGCATCAGGCTTCATCTCCGAGCGCTCGATAAGTTCTGCGGCCATAGACGGTCGCGCAACCCCAGCGCGCTACAGTTCGGACGCGTCGTCAGTACGGTACCGCACGGGACTCTGCCAGCCGAGATACACACCACGGCAGCCACCGTCGCCTTCCAGGGAATCGTGATGAGCTTGTTGGCCATCTCCGTCCACATGACCCCGTCCCGCTTGAAGGCCGCACCGGGCATCCACGTCGGCACATGCCGTAGCCACGGGAGGACCTCTACGAGATACCTTCCGGGATTGAACACTACCGCGACAATCGTCATGACGTCACCCGCCATCGTGAGGTAGTCCACCGGGTCATCGTCGACCTCAATCCCGTACGTGACTCGCATGATAGAAGAGCCAAAGTAGCTGCGTGACGAGCGATAAGCAACATGTTTGAGAAGAAGGCGTTATTACATACCGCCGGATGTGTTTGAGGAAGTCCTGCGGGTTTTCAATGAGGCGTCGGACGAGGCGATGAGACTCAAGCTTCTGGAAGGCCGCGTACTTCGCGACGGCATTAGCGTTGAAGTACTGGTGCACAGCGCGGCGGTGACGGCGCCACCACGGACCATACGGCTGCACGGGCATCGCCCACGCAAAGCCGGCACTATAGACAGCATTTCCGTGAGAGAGAGGCTATGCTTGAGCTGGGCGTAGTACGCACATGTCAATCATGGGGTTCTTGGTCCTGTCCGAGTAGTTCGCCGAACGCTTCTCGAAGAGGTCCATGGCGGCCTCATGTGAACCGAGGACGATCATGGGTTTCCCGAAGATTTCTAGATGTACAATGTCCCCTGTCCAAAGTAAAATCATCGCTGTGAGACGGGAAGCGACGAAGAAAGTGACAATGAGAGGTTTACCATATTTTGCGCACAGATCACGGAACGCTACTGGCTTGCCAACCTTGGGCATGTCGAGCGCATTGCCTATGAGTGGAAGGGGGGGAGGGCCTGGTGGTAAAGGCAGGTTACTGGTCCGCTTCTTGCGGCGTAGGGCGACGAGGACGAGTGCCGCGAGAACGAGTGAGATGGCGGTCACAGAGGGGGCCATCAGGAATGCGTTGAAAGAACCAGCAAGCCGTGAGAGATATAGGTACCGAGCATCCTCCTCTCATCACGAAACCGGGGAAAATCCGACAAAGCTGATCGGTGCCGACGGAAACCGATCGGCAGCCGGTCGAGAACCGTCGGCTCAGCGCCTACGGATCGTCTTCCTCTCCAGAGATCGTTTCTGTCTGCACAAGGCTATTACGATCGACTTTCGACCGGTCGTGATCTACTCAGCACTGTACCAGATCATGGCTAGATCATGGTTGATCATTTGCACTCTGTATATTGATCGCAACCGACCGTTTCCTGACCGTGAAACCTTTGGAGCTGTCGCTTATGCTTGTTCGTGTCAAACCTTATTCGAGCTGCTATACAGCAGGTCCCCGAAAGTTTCCCGCCGGTCTACGCCTTCCTCTCTCTCCAACCCACCGCTTTACTCCCTTCGGGACATAGTCACCTCCATCATGGTTCGTATAAGGTGTTCTCTTCTGCTTTTCTTGCCATCACTGACGCACTCTTGAGCGGCGAGAATATCGTTTCCGTGCACGGACGCCAGCCATCCGACATGTCCTCCCTCAAACCGTGCTTCGGCTCCTTCGTCCTCTTCGCCTTGGATGACCCTCCCCCAGAACCCCACGTCTCGATCCTCTACCGCTAATGGCCACTTCTTGGAGCTCTCGCCCTCGCCCCACACATGAATCTCGGCCCCGACCGTGAGTCGTTCATCAACCTCGCCTCGCCCACGTACTCGCCCCGCGGCGCCGACTTTGGGCACGTCGGAACGCCACGGCCGCGCCGGGGGACAAGCGTCTGCCTCCCATCGCGAGTGGGAGGGACTCGAGCCATGGCAAGTCCTCGTCTTGTGGCTCCGGCTCGATGTTTCCCCGCTCCGGCCCCTCGTCGTCGAACAGGCCCCTACTGGAGCGTTTTGTTGCAGGGTGTCCGTCTCGCCCATCACGGCAGGCAAGGATGACGCCGTGCTGCCTCCGCCCACTCGCTTGAGCCCCCTACAGGTCCGCATGCCACTCGATGACTATCGGCTCACATCTCAGGCTTAGATTCATGCGCATATAGTCGGTGGCAGGGTAACACTGTCTATCAGCGTGCGTAATCCACTCTTCCATGTTACTCATCACCGCTGACGTTCTCTTGGTACTAGCGACGCGCTCTCGATACCCCACCCGCTTGCCCACTCCACCTTCAATTTGGTACGTACAGCCGTCCCTCCATGCATGTTGGCTTACATGCCCAGTAGCACCTCATCACGCCCCCCGCAGCCGGCCAGCGCGCATCGGCCGTGTGCCCAGGTAGGCCCAAGAGTCCAGGACGTCGACGAGCTCATTGACACGGTCTCAAGCGAGGAAGGCAAAGAGCACGAGATGGGAGATGGAAGATGTGCGCTCGCGCTCGGCGAGCCTGATGGACTCGGACGTCGACATTGAGCAGATGTGCTCTGGGATCACGAGGTAGCGTACTTTCCTCCCTCCGCTCTCCTTTGCTGACCTGTTTCCCCTTCCTCACCTATGCGCGCCCTTACCCGTCCATTCCTCCTTCGCTGTCGCGCCTCTCTCCGCTTCGCTCCTCCCTCCGACCTCGTCATTCCCGCTGGCACGCACACACAGACCCCCACGCGATAGTACGCGTAAGCCTGGCGCGCGTACACGCTCTACGGCCACGTCCACCCTTGGGACCTCATCGTTCTCCTCCGCGTCGTGGACCAGGCCGGTGGGCGGCAGCGGCGCCCTCCCCACCGTCTTCTGCGAGTACGTCGTCGACGGGCGGTCGCTCGCCGGCGGCTGGAGGCGCGTGACCGCGAGCGCGCACACGGTCCCGCTCGAGGGCACTTTCGTCGTCTCCGAGGTCGGTCCTGGCGCGGAGGCACAGATCGCTGACGGCCCAGGGCCTGGTGGGGGCAGGTTGAAGAAGATGTAGGTCCTCGCCTTTGCTTCATGCCCTCTGCTATGCCGATATCTATTCCGTGTCTCATCATGTCATATACGAGCCTGTCGCAAGTTTGATTATTCAATAATATATCATGTGTTTACAAAGCTTAATCCGGGACATTTCGAACTGGCTGTATTGGTCTGTTCTTATCCGTGCATGATCATGTAGCGCTCGGTAAATGATCTGAATCCCCTTGGGATATGATCTATTACAAGCTCACAAATGACTGGCACAGGCCATTTGCTGCTGGCGCTCCGACCGGTGCCGATCAACTCTGCGCCTGTCAACGGCCAGGCCAGATCAGACCGCCAGCGGGTATTGGCCATTGATGATCTCAAAAGACGATTCTTGGTCAGGTTTTAGCAGCAGCAGACCGATGCAGACACCTACGATCGACGCCGACAGACCTTGGCCGGCTGCGATCTTCCTCCGATCCTAGTTCCCCCGGTTTCGTGATGCTGCTCTGCATATATACCTCGACGCGAAAAGTCCAATCGGCTGCCATGCCTGTAGCGCAACATTCAAGATCCGGCGTCATCGGAAAGGCACAGTGTTCTAGTGGTTGCTTGAGTGTCAGCGTATGGGTGGGAGCGACGGTGGTGATGGGCATGATACCCACATTAGTGTCAGCGGCATGTTGATTACCGGAGATAACATCGCTGCCCGAAGCCGTTGTGCACCCTTGGCCATGGGTCGGAGTAGATACTGCACGAGGTGCGCTGCGGGAATGCAGCGCATGCCTCGGATGAGTGTTCCTCCAGCCCACACATCACTTTGGCGATGGCTCAAAAAAGCTCAGCACAGGGTCGCTACTCCTAGTGTGTAGGCTGCCGAAGAGCAGGACTGGCAGCGTGCGACTACTTTTGCGTCCGCGACGGCGTTCGCTGTGAATATCAAATTCGTCTTGAACAGATCCACGGAATTCGACATGTTGAGGATAGGAAAAACCTTCACCATTCGGATGTCGTGCCTCGTTGGCGAATGGCATCGGTGGCGGGCCGGCGGCGGACAGATCTGGACAGATCCGACCGTAGCTTGGATTTTCAAACTCCGTCGGGTCGCCGCCGCCATCGCGACCGCGACTAGCCGGGCCGCGACCACTCCTGGCGGAGCGCCTGCGACAACGGCTGTTCCACCCCATATGACCTCGAATTTGAAGCACGTACTAGTGCAGGTGCGTTCCAGTCGCAAATCGCACACTCTCTCATGAGAACCAGCCGTTCTCAAAGCGCCACAACTTCTTCCCCACGCAGATGCGGGGCCCATGCTCGCCCTGGAACATCGCCTTCAGTCAGAGGTGTCAGTCCACTGGTGTCTTTACTGAACATCGCGATCGAATTCGGCACGGCCGATCGAGACGCCCGTTACAGACTGGCTGCGTGTCTGAGTACCGTATCGGATACCTTTACACGTTCGAATCCGGTTCTTATTCATCTTCTCGGAGTGCCGGAGGCAAGGCCGCGAGAGGTGGTGACTAGTGACTCTGTCGTGCTTACTTGCTCTTCCCTCAGCACTCGCTCGAAGTTCCCGTCTGCGGATCGACAATCGGGGACGTCCCGATACAACCGTGCAAAGGCAGCCTCCCGGGTATAGAAGACCAAATCCCGGGTATGGAGGACCAATTCCATCGCCCCCAAGTCGGCACTTGGCAATGTCCGAGAGGGCGTCGCAGCGCGATGCCGATGCCCCCGGACCACCGGCACAGTAGTCCCCGAGAGACGCTCGGCGCTTTGTCCCAACTCACTCGTCACTTCCCGCGATTGAGAACGTCTGACAAGCAGCGGCGCGTTGCGCTGCGCGGCGGTGGGAGAATCGTAAACATGCCTACGCTCGGCCATCCTCTGTGATTCCGTCTCGGGGTGGATAGCCGAGGTATATATACTCGCAGCACCGTCTTCGAGATTCATCTGCTCACACTCCTCTCACGATGACCACACCTATCCCCCAACCCCCTGGTGTCCCGTTCCTCGGCAACGTCAACACCATCGATCGCGATCTGCCCATCAAGTCCTTCGAGCTCCTTACACAGCAGTATGGCGAGATCTTCCAACTCAACATTTTCGGTAAGCAGGCCTACGTCCTCTTAGGTATCATCCGTTAACGGTTAATGCCAGGCGCGCGACGCATTATCATCAACTCGTATAAACTCCAAGCCGAGATGTCGGATGAGAAGCGCTTTATCAAGAACATCAGTGCGAACTTGAAACAAGTCCGAGCTGCTGCGTCAGACGGTCTATTCACCGTGAGTTGGATAGCCTCACACGTGAGCAATGCTCATGGCTAACCGTACACTCCAGGCGTTCCCCGATGAGCCAAATTGGGGGAAAGCTCGTGCGTAACGGTCTTCGAAGGATGTGGTCACGGGCTTATCCGGGGTTCACAGATCGTCTCTTGATGCCTTGCTTCGGCACCGCCGCCATATTTGGCATGTACGATGGCATGATGGACATCATCGACCAGCTGGTCACGAAATGGGAGAGGTTCGGTCCTCATGAGGATATCGACCCTGCCGCCGATTTCACTCGGCTCACCCTCGACGCGATCGCGCTCTGTTCCATGTCCTATCGGTGAGCAGAGTCATGGGTCCGATAAGCGCCGTAACTAACACGTCATTCCGCAGCCTCAACTCGTTCTACAGAGTGCGCGATACCCGTCCATGTGCAGCACCCGAATTGACAGGTTTTTACAGGAGGAACCTCACCCTTTCGCGATCGCCATGACGGATTTTCTTCTTGAAAGCGGACGCCGTTCGGCGCGGAACGCGCTTGTTCAAGCGATAATGACCCAGACGAATGCCAAGTACGAGGCTGATATTGCCACGATGGGTCAACTCGTTAGTTCGAGTAAGCGAGCTCTCATTCTCGGTCTTCGTCCGCTCAACTGAATCGTCGTCGCAGTTCTCGAGGACCACAAGATCCGCCCTCCCGCAAAGCCTGATCTGGTCACGGTCATGCTGAACGGGGTAGATAAAGAGACGAGGGAGAAGCTTCCCGAGGAAAACATCAGGGCCAACGTACGTTGTGGTACTAGTATCATAATGCGCCGCTCACCATTGTTCGCTTGCAGCTCCTGACTTTCCTTATCGCCGGTCACGAGACGACATCGGGAATGCTCACGTTCGTTGTGTACTATCTCCTCAAGAACCCTGAAGCAATGCGCAAACTCCGCGACGAGATCGACACGAAGATCGGCGGTCGCCGGGTGACCACCAAGGATGTCAACCAGCTCCCTTATCTTCTGGGTGGGCTTTTTCGAAGATTCGAAGATCCAATCTCACCGCGATATCACAGCCGTCATGCGCGAAGCCATGCGCCTTGGTCCTACCGCTCCCGCGCGTTCAGTGACTCCCATTCACGACGACGCGGTCGTAACCGGCAACAACGGCCAATATCTTCTCCACAAAGACGAACCGTGCATCCTCGTCACTTTCAACGTGCATCGCGACCCCAAGGTGTGGGGCGACGACGTCCTGGAATTCAAGCCCGAGCGCATGCTCGATGGCAAGTTCGAGGCCCTCCCAGTGCGTCTTCGGGCCTTGCATGGTCCCCCTCTTTCCTTTCGCTGATGCACTCTATAGCCCAACGCGTGGCAGCCTTTCGGGTTCGGCCTGCGCGGCTGTATCGGCCGGCCGTTCGCGTGGCAGGAGGCGCAGCTCGCGCTCATCTCCATCTTCCAGAGATTCGACCTCGTCATGCGCGACCCGACGTACGAGCTCGAGATCAAGCAGACTCTCACGATCAAGCCCCATAACTTCTACGTCCGCGCGATCCCAAGGACCGACCGACCGCGGATGCTCCTCAACCCGTCGAGCGCGCCGATCGCAGCGCCTGGAGAGCCCGCGCAGATAGCGAGCGACGTTTCGCCTGCGAACGGGCTGAAGCCGATGTACGTGTTCTACGGCTCGAACACCGGGAACTCGGAGTCGTTTGCGCAGCGGATCGTCTCTGCGGCACCCACTCACGGTGAGTCTTGTTGCTAGAGTATCCGAGTTTCGCTGATCTAGGGGGACAGGGTTCGCCGCGACGTTGTCGACGCTCGACATGGCCGCGGAGCACCTTCCGAAGGACGGCCCTGTCCTCATCCTCACCGCCTCCTTCGAGGGCTTGCCCGCGGACAACGCGAAGCACTTCGTCGAGTGGGCCGAGAATGTCAAGGCGGCAGATGCCTTCGCTGGTATCAAGTACGGCGTCTTTGGATGCGGCAACACGGACTGGGTGTCGACCTACCAGCGCGTGCCCAAGCTGATCGACGATGCGCTCGAGGCACGTGGTGCTATCCGGCTCGTTGATCGTGGTGTTGGTGATGCGGCGAGCGCGGAGTTCTTCGATGCCTTTGACAAGTGGGAGGAGATGGTTTGGGCGAAGCTCTCCACGGTATGTCTGGCGTGTATCATAGTTACTCTGGCATTGCTGACGATCCCTGTAGGAGTACGGCGCTGTGAAGAGCGAGCAGGCGGTCGGCCTCGAGATCAAGACGGTATCTTCGAGCGTGGTGCGCGCAGAGCTCCTCCGCCAGCGCGACATGGGCTTCGGCACCGTCATTGAGAACAAGGTGCTTACCGCGGAGGGCCATCCGCCCAAGATGCACATCGAACTCGCGCTCCCAGAGGGATTCACCTACCGCGCGGGCGACTACCTTGCAATGTGAGCTCGGTTGCAGATTCGCATGATTCATATCTCACACGTATCTCTCAGCCTCCCTACAAACCCGGAACGCACCGTACGTCGCGCGATGGCTCGGCTCAACCTCGATTCAGACGCCGAGATCGAGATTTCCTCCACGGCACCCACCCACTTCCCCACCGGCAAGCCCGTTTCCGTCTTCAACCTCCTCAGCGGCTACGTCGAGCTGCAGCAGCCCGCCACGCAGCGTGACCTTGAGGCCCTCATTGCCGCCGCCCCCGAAACCGCCCAGGCCGCGCTCAAGGACCTCGTGGCGAACTATGCGGACAAAGTCTTCGCCCCTCGTCTCAGCGTGCTCGACGTCCTCGAGGAACAGCCCTCCATCCCGCTCACCCTCGGCCCGCTCCTGCACATGCTCCCCGCGATGCGCATCCGGCAGTACTCCATCTCCTCCTCCCCGCTCTGGAACCCGACGCACGCGACGCTCACGCTCGCCGTCGTCGACGCCCCCGCGCGCTCCGGCCGGACCGAGCCCTACCTCGGCGTCGCGTCCACCTACCTCGCCTCCCTCCGCGGCGGCGACAAGGTGCAGTGCGCGGTGCGGCCGAGCGCCGCCGCGTTCCACCCGCCGACGGACCCGGGCGTGCCGCTCGTGATGATCTGCGCCGGGTCCGGGCTCGCGCCGATGCGCGGCTTCCTGCAGGAGCGCGCGGAGCAGAAGCGCGCGGGGCGGGCGGTCGCGGCGAGCCTGCTGTTCTTCGGGTGCCGCGATCCGCGGGGCGACTTCTTGTACGGGGACGCGGAGCTGAAGGAGTGGGCGGAGCTCGGGGTCGTCGACGTCCGCCCGGCGTTCTCGCGGTGCGTCGGGGAGTCGGCGGGGTGCAGATACGTGCATGAGTGAGTGTCCGGTTGGCGTTCTGGGGCGGGATGGTGCTGACGGGTGTTGCAGCCGCATCGGGCATGACAAGGCGGAGGTCGTCGCGGCGTACGATGCCGGCGCGAAGGTGCGTTTTCGTGCGTGTTGTGTGTTGCCTACTTTCTGACGTAGTTGTCCAGTTCTTTGTATGTGGCTCCGGTAGAATCCTGCAAGGTGTGAAGGAGACGATCGTCGAGCTTGTGAAGGAGGTCAGAGGCATCAGCGACGAGGTCGAAGCCCAAAAGCTTCTCAACCACATCATGCAGGGTCGCTTCGCCACGGACATCTTCGAGTGAACGTCCGCGTGGAAGGTGTTCTGGTTTATCTTGTACCATAAGCTCACAGAAATGTATAGGTACGGTCGTTCTACTACTACTGTTCGTTCGGAATGTCTTGTTGGTTGTATACTAGTATATAAGCGTCCTGAAAGGGTCTGCGTTACGGTAAATGCCGAGAGCTCACGTGTACAGAGACGCTGGCACCAAAGACTCTGTCCTCTCTTGATCACCCGTCTCTTCTCACATCAAGGCTGTCTCGAAGGAGTATCTGCCAGGGCGCGCTATTATTCCTCTTTACTTGCGCCATCGCTTACTGGAGGAGAACGAATACCACGAGTACCGCTGGTACCGAATCCCGAAAGGGCGAAAGTTGATCGGGAACAATGTGTGAGTCCTAAGTACTCACACTGTGCCAAGCCTTCCTTGACCTGAATACCGTTCATTATAGAGCGTTTCCGCACGACGATAAGGTATATCATGAACTGGACCCGTTCATACCCAATCGGATCCTCACACAGGGTGCTAGGCTCGATCCTATGGTGCGTGATGATCCTGGGGTACGGTCGACGGTGGGGGTACCTTCGACGACATGATACATCGCTGATACACCCGTATCTTCATCTTCTCGGTACCAGACTTCGCTAAGACGGCCATCTTCGTGCTTGTCGCCACTGTGCTGCGCGTTACCAACAACTCGGCGCCCCTTGACGCCACTGACGCGCGTACGTCAAGCTATCCTTGGGGTCAGATGATGCGTGAGCCCGTCCTCAGCATCGGACTGAAAAGCGTGTCCGTAGACACCCAGAGCCATTTGATTACTAAATCAAATCAAGATCAGTCGAGCTCGAAATTGATCCAACGCCGAACATCCGCTCGCCTCTGCTCTGCAGTGAGATGCCAGATGTTTCCAAATTTTCCACTGTCGCTCTCATAAATTCTTCTGTGGATATGATCCATATACAGGAGCGCCTCCGCTAGCGGAGATGGCGTCTCGTTTATCGGAGTTTGTCTCGCAGAATGACAGCCGGATGGAATGCCCGATGGGCGTTAGGGACCCCTCCGCAGATTTGTACTAGGCGATGATACTATACGTAACTTCCCAGCAAGTGTCATCTCAGTGCACCAAAAGTGAGCTTCACGGGTGCGGGCCTGTTTGTTTCCCCTCCCCCTCTGCATCTCGCTGACATCGCCATGTCGGGTCCAGGAATCCTCGCTGTCTTCGCCCTCGGTGTTGCGCTCTTCTTTGCGTCCAGACCCAGTCGAAGGGGATTGCCGCTTCCTCCAGGTCCACCCAGACTCCCATTCATCGGCAACGCCCTTGACATCCCGAAGAAGGATGCGAAGTCCGTGTTCAGAGACCTGTGCGCGAAGTACGGTGTGTTCTCGTCTTCTGTATGGGTTTCTCTCGCTTGCATTCTGACCCTCTCTGTCTACAGGGGACGTGATACACTTAGATGCACTCGGTATGCCGATCATCGTGCTCGGGTCGCACGAGGCTGCCGTAGAGCTCCTCGAGAAACGCGGCGCAAACTACTGCGACACGATGCCGCTAGTCATGGTGGAATTGTAGGTTCCTCCAACGCTCCGCGATGATGGACTCTCACTCATAACCACCCGAAACAGGTGCGGCCTAGATTGGGTACTTCCACTCATGCGCTACGGCCCGTCCTGGCGCAAGCACCGGCGCGCGCTGCACGAGTTCTTCGCTCCCGCCGCGCTTGACGCCAATCGCGCATCCACGCGCGCGGACATCCACCGCTTCCTCCTCGACCTCCTGCACGAGCCAGACTCGCTCGTCTCGCATATCCGCGCGTACGCCAGCCTCTCTCCATGTCTTATCATCTGCTCACTCCGGGCGCGCGCAGTCTCTTCGGTTCGATGATCATGCGCATCTCGTACGGCTTCGAGCTCGACGCGCACACAGCGCGCTACCTCCGTCTCGCCGAGGCCGGCGTGCGCATCTTCTCCGCCGCGCTTGTCCCGGGAAAGTACCTCGTCGAGTCGCTGCCCTTCCTCCGCCACCTCCCCGCGTGGGCGCCCGGGGCGCGCTTCAAGCGCCTGGCCCGCGCGTGGCGGACGGACGTGCGCCGCGCGCTCGAGGTGCCCTTCGCAGAGACGGTGCGCCGCGCCGAAGCCGGGGACGCCACAGGCTCGATCGCACAGGTCCTGCACGAGCGCGCGCGGACGGCGGAGGACGAGGAGCTCGCGAAGAACGTCGCCGCGATCGCTTACACCGGTGCGCCCTTCCCAACCTCCCCCGCGCGCGCGCAAGCCAAATGCTTACAGACGGGTGGGCGCAGCGGGCGGTGACACGACAATGTCTTCTGCGCAGTGGTTCTTTTTCGCGATGGCCGCGCACCCCACGGCGCAGGCGCGCGCGCAGGCGGAGCTCGACGCCGTCGTCGGGCCCGTGAGGCTGCCGGAGCTCGCGGACGAGCGCGCGCTGCCGTACGTGTGCGCGCTGGTGCGGGAGTGCCTCCGCTGGCGCTCGGTGATCCCGCTCAACACGGCGCACCGCGCGCTGGAGGAAGACGAGTACCGCGGGTGTCGGATCCCGAAGGGCGCGATGGTCGTCGCGAATCTGTGGTGCGCCGTCTCGAGTCTTGCGCGATGTCGACCGGACTGACGGACGGTGCGTGGGCTCAGGGCGTTTTGTCGCGACCTGGAGGTGTACCCGGACCCGGAGACGTTTAGGCCGGAGCGGTTCTTGAAGGATGGAAGGCTTGACCCGGATGTGCGCGACCCTCGGTCGATCGTGTTTGGGTACGGACGGAGGGAGTGTCCCGGCAAAGCGTTCGCGGAGCGGTCGCTGTTCCTGCTCATGGCGACTGCGCTGCACACGCTCTCGATTACTGCGCCCGTAAGCGAGGATGGCCAGCCGGTGCCAATGGACGCTGTGATGACTGAAGGCGTGCTTTCGTGAGTTCCCCGAACGCCGCGTGGAAGTGCTGGAGTGCTTACCCTGGATGTACAGGTATCCGGAGCCTTTCAGGTGCGTCATCAAGCCACGCTCCAAGGCAGCGGAGAACCTTCTGCGCGCGAGCGGGAACAAGTCGCTCCCCTAGCATCCGCATAGTCTCTAGCGGTTCTTTCGACGTCGTATGATTAAAGGGGAACACGACTGTACTACGAACGCGGCAAATACAGCAGTGATGCACATCTCACAATCGGCACATTACAATCTGAGAAACGACAGTATCGTCCAAACCTACCAAACGCCAACTCGCATTACGCCCCCTCCTGCCCCACCCCAGTCTACCGCTGCCCCTCCTCATCCGGCAGCCTAATCGCAGGCTCGCTCCGCATCCACATCCTCGCCGGCAGGCGCTCCTGCGCCTCCGCCACCGGCGGCAGCGTCACCGCGCTCCCCGCCACGTTGCGCGACAGCTTCCGCCGATGCACGACGAGCTCCGGGCCCGGCTCCCCGTCCGCGACCAGTCCCAGTCCCAGCCCCAGTCCTCGTCTCTTCTTGTCCACGCCCTCCGCGGGCGTGGAGGTGGTGGTGGTGGTGGTGGTGACTGCGAGATCGGCGAGGTCGGCGCCGGACGAAGTGGACACGGGCGTCGCGTCGGACGTGCGCGAGCGGGAGCGCGCGCGGGTGAGGAAGGCGGGGTAGCGCCGGACGGGGACCGCGCGGCGGTCGGCGGGGTCGGAGTCGTGCACGGTCGTCACCTTGTCTTCGTGGATGTGCACGTTGACGTGGTAGGAGTTGCTAGGGAGTAGGGGAGTTAGGGGGAGGAGAGGGAGGGGAGGAGGGCGTACTTCGCTGCCACGCTTGAGGAGAGGGTTTGTCGGGAGGTTTGGGGACTGGAGAGGCGGCTGGCCATGAAGGAGCACGCGTATACTTGGAGGGGGTGGATGAGGGGAAGACGGATTGTGAAGCGTGTGTGCTCACATGCGCCTCCGAGACGGTAAAGCGTTGAGGATATGTAGGTTGTTGGTATGAAGAGGTTCTGCGGAAGACGGATGAGAAGGATTGAGCCATTACTTCACAGGTGGCTTACCGCGAAAAGCGCTATTACGGTGCAGAAACTAGAGACAGAGGTACATCAGCTTGAATGACAATCATTGGCTTATCACTGGAAGTACCGACCTTGTAAGAACGCCGGTCGTGATCGTGTAGAATATCTACGAGCAAGGATGAGCCCAATCTCAAGGATGCTAGTTGACGCACAAGTCGCTGCAACCTAGGGATGTCGTTAGCATTGCAGGTGTGCATGGTGAGGGCGGTACTCACTTCGTCCCACATGCTCCTGTTCTTCCGAGCAGAAAGATCAGGGTTGAGGTCAAGCTCACGGCGGTTAACGCGCATGTCCCGAGCGCGAACGACTGGTCGTAGACTTAACCCCCTATAAGTACGAGGGAGCTCACTGCACTTACGCGAATAGGCCTGAACGTTGTAGTCCTTATTCGGTGATGGTGACTGATGGGCGGTGAGCACGGAAGTGCACGGAACGATGTCTCTCACGCACAATACGTAAGCGGCATCTATGACTAGAATCAGCTCAAGAGGAAGGCCTCGGAGTGCGTTGCTCACAATTCCCTATCACATATGTGGCCACAATCAACAAAGTCTATATTTATGATCAGCTCCAGTGGACCTGTGGCGCTCTCAAAATACGACGTGCCAAAGGCGTAAAGATGTACCACTTATTACTAACTGTAAAGGGTGGGTTAGATCGGGGGTACAGAGGGTCGTGGAAGATAACGACGCACTCGTCCTGATTTGAAAGAGATAGTATCTGTCGATGTATCCGTGAGATGGAGACCGAAGCGCATATGTCGATTGGACGTACATCTGTACAACCAATATCATGAGAGCCTAGCTGACTTGTCAGGATCTCTTCGTCAGTTCATCATTGGCACGCACATTGACGATATTTTGTGTCTAGAATATGAGGCTTCATATTAAGACTTGGAAGCGTAAGACACACAGAATGGCGCTCACCCACTGTAGTGACCTGAAACACGCGCAACAAACAAGGATTGGTGAGGCGACATGAGAGACAGAGGAAAACCAACGCACCAAGGGAGGGCTGCGCCTGCCCCGTGGAAGGCCGTAATACCACGAACCTGTATAGTAGCATACCATGCTAGGAGACACCATCCATCTCGAAGTGCCTTCGCCGAAGTGGAATTACGACTCACTTGAACAAGCATAAACGATCACATGAAGGACATTCAAGGACGTGACCAGAACCGTCTGAACATCGATAAGAAAACGCCGCGAGTCACGAGAGACGAGACGCACCATGCTCCTGAGCAGCGTTCTGTCTTCTCGCATATAATGCGTTGCATAGAGAAGAAACTGTCCGAGTTGTACTTGCGACGTCTTCGGTCAGCTGGCAGAGGGCGGTTCATCGGTACGAGATGTCACTGACCACCGAGGAGCCTTCGAGAGTCCCGCATCCAGACCAATAAGCACTCGAGCAAGTGAGAGAGGGAAACCACTCACATGGCACTGAGCGCTAGCCCGACAAAGTTTTCTCCAATACTGCCCTAACCCGTCAGACCCAGCTTGATGCGCTACACTCACACTGACTTGTCGATGAAGAGCTCGATGCCCGTAGCGACCCGGGGAAGGAGCATGGTACCGCAAAGGATAGATGTGGAAAGGGAAGGAAAGTAGATGCCGCTGGGATGGGATGACATAGAAGCCGTCTAGGCTAATACCTGGCTCCGGTGGAGCTCAAGACGGCCAGGGAGAGACGCTGTGGGCCGCCAAGAAATTGGCGATGAATCCGATCGCACGGTGCTGGACTTCTGGGGTCCGGACAGCGGATCGACATTATGACTGCCTTGAACGGGATTGGTTTGTGCTGGCCGCGTCGGTGTCGTAAGAGCAACTGATCTAGCGTGTGTTGAAAATTCATAATTGAATGGAACTCGAGGCAAGATGTTAGGGATTGAGAGCATGAAACACTCGGGGCTGTGATAGGAGTCCGGTATTTTGAATAGGGAAAGGATGCCTGTCAAGCGATCCCTAAGATATGTCCGCCTTGAAGTGTCCCTGCTATACGAAGCCTGTTAAAAACGTTCAAGCGACTGCTATTCGAACGAGATACCGTATAGTCATTCACCTTTCTACGACGTCTTGAAATATCCCAGGATTCAGGAACAGGCAGCTCACTTAGGAAGAAAATGAACGGCGGTTGCGGTTTAGTATCGATCGAAAAGTGGGACAGAGAGGGGGTTAGGATTTGTTCCATCCTCACACCATGCAACCGGGACTTTGTATTCGCGTATAGACGGCTTACGAATCTCTCTCTCACAACGTACAACAGTATGGGGTTGGACGGGTTTGACTGAAAACAGAAGCACAAGCGAGCGTCAGGTCCACAAGACGTTAGTGAAAAGAGGGCACGTACGACGTCCATGCATGTCGAGTTTATAGATCAAGCCTCGCCCGCACATCAAGTAGCACAACGAAAGCAGATTGATCACAGATCTCTATGGTATCAGTACAGCTTACAACAAGCATACACACGCATACAATGCACGACCAGCAGCAACGCCCTCTCAGAGACCACCCACGAAAGACAAAAATACACATACCACGGTGCACTTCACGTCTGACCACCCGCCCCCTTCCCTCCTCCTCGCCTCCGGCTCCGCCGTCCACCAAAGCCCTGTCCCTGACCAGAGTCCGGGCTCGCGGAGTTGACCGGAGGCCCGCGCGGCTCCCGCGCGATCTGCACGGCCGGAGGCGCCCCACGAATCTGCGGCGGCCCACCCCCAAGCGGTGGCGATCGCGGCGCAGTCGAGGTGGAAGCTGAGCTAGGGGCCGGGCTGGTCTGGAGATTCGGGGTGGACGCCCCAGGGCTTGCGTCGCCGAAGATGCGTTCGCGGGCGGCCTGGTAGCGGGCTTCGCGCGCCGCGTACGAGTTGTCTGGTGCGGGAGAGCCTGAGGACGACGACGCGGGGGAGGGCACGGGGGACCCGGAGCCGGAGGTGGGACGTTTGAGGATGCGCAGCACGGGCTGGAAGGCAGCCGGGGGCGGGGACGCGGCGCTGGGTCCGTGGGTGCTGGAGTGGGCGATTACGAGCTCGGGCATGGGGGCGCGTTGGTTCCTGCAGCGATGGGTGTATGCGTTGCGGAGAGGGAGAGGGGGCGCGTGCGGAGCTGAGGCTTGAAGGACGCAGGAGGCAGAACGCAGGACTTACGCATCCTCCCAGAGCTTCTGTGGGTCCTCGCGCGTGTCCACCTCCTCGTGCTCGTCATCCCAGTCGTCGCGTATCGCAGTCGCGGGCTGTAGAGGGCGCCGTTGGAGAACTGTGGGGGGCGTGGAGGCCTGAAGGTAGTATGTGGGCGAACGATACTGGCGAGGACGGAGAGATGCATACGGATGGGCTGCCCCACGAGTCTGCTTGGGCTCTTGCGCTGGCCACAGACATCTTTGGACGGGAGGAGAAGGGAATGTGGTGGCAGAAAGCCAAGGAGCGCGGCCCCTTGCACTGCAGGCCTTCGGCTGCTGCTGGGTGGCGCGCGGTCCCTCGCGGTCCCGCGCGCACTGTGAGATGACGCTCGTCCTCTTCAACTCTGACCACCTCGACCACCTTCAACGTCGCGTGTATCATCTGAACTCTCAGGGATTAAGAGCTTTCATGCTTATGATCAATGTCTTCAATCTATCCGTGCGAAAGTATCAGTCACCGAGGAAGAGCTTGTGATCCGTCTGTCAAAGAGTGCGTCCAGAGCTTCATCTTACAGGTCCTGACACTGACAGGCTAAAGATGACTTCGCCACTGTTTATCGTGTTGATGGATTCATCGCGCATGCAGTGACCCATTCAACGGCCCCCGACCCGGAGACGTGGACTTCCATTTGTCCCGTCATCGAGTATAGGTGCGTTTTACAGGCAATTGAGTAATCTGACGGCACGCATGAAGCACGTACGCCCGGCACCACACTACGCCCGGCACCACACTACGCCCGGCACCACACTACGCCCGGCACCACACTGACCGGTCGACCTCGTGTATCCCGACCCCGAGAGAGGTTGGACTAGATATATATAAGCCCTCACGAGGACCGCTATCTCCCTCTCACCCAGACTAGATGACGTTCGTGCCCACCGCTGCTGCCTCCCTGCTCGCCGTCACACTCGTCTTCGCGTTCCTCACGCGGAAGAGACGCAGGAATGCGCTCCCTCTCCCGCCGGGTCCGCGTCCCCTGCCATTCATCGGCAACGCCCTCGACATGCCCTCGAAGGAAATGCGCACTGCGTTCAAGGAGATGAACCAGAAGTACGGTCAGTACTTATGGCCACCACGCGTCTGGAACTTGGACAGCGCTGATTAGACTTGCAGGCGACATTGTCTACCTAGACGCGCTCGGGCAGCCCATGATCATCGTCGGGTCACACGAGGTCGCGGTGGACCTCCTGGAGAAGCGGTCATCAAACTACTCGGACCGGGCTCCATCGGCAATGATTGACATGCACGTATTTCTTCTACCGCACCGTACTCTCGTGCTGACGACCACTCTAGTGCAGGCTTTGGGTGGGCTTTCACGGTGCACAGGTACGGACAAGAGTGGCGACGCAACCGGCGCGCGATGCACCAGTACTTCAACGCGAACGCCGTGGCACAGTACGCGGCGTCGCAGAAGCTGGAGGCGCACCGGCTAGCGCGCCGAATGATCGACGACCCAGAGCATTTCCGACAGCACATCAGGCGGTGGGTGTATCTTTCAGGCGTCCGATGCACGTAGCACTCACCTCAGGGGAACAGCTTCTTTGGGTCGTCTGCGCTGCGCATTTCGCACGGCATCGAAGTGGACGATGATCCTGTGGACTACCTGAAGATCGCAGAGGAAGCGATGGATATTTTCTCGACCGCGTTTGAGCCAGGGAAACACCTCGTCGAGGTGCTTCCTTGGCTCGCGCGCATGCCGTCCTGGTTCCCAGGAGCTGGAGTCAAGCGCGATGGGGAGGTTTGGAGACCGATCGTCTATAAGATGGTCTCGGTGCCGTGGGATGCAGCCATGGAGAACATGGTAGGGAATGACGCTTTCCGGAGCAGCAAGGAGCTGATGCTTTGGTTAGCGGCGGGGAACGGCGGTTCCGTCCATGGTTAAAGGTCTTATGGAGCGCATGCGAGAAGACGACGGACCTGACGAAGAAGAGGTCATCAAGAACGCCTCGGCGGTGACGTTCGCCGGTGGTTCGGATACAGTATGTGTTGTTTCTTGGTGGATTGGAGGTGCCGCTGAAGTTAGCTCTCCCAACAGACTTTCTCGACGATGCAGACCTTCTTCATGGCGATGACAATGTACCCCGAGGTACAGAGGAAAGCTCAAGACGAGCTCATGGCCGTCGTTGGTCCCCACCGCCTTCCGGACAAGGACGACGAACCTTCTCTTCCATATATACAAGCGATAACCAAAGAGTGCATCCGCTGGCGCTCCGTAGTTCCGCTCAGTGTGCCACACCGCTCCTTGGAAGACGACGAGTACAAGGGCTACTTCATCCCCAAGGGTTCGATTATCATCACTAACATATCGTGAGCCTATCCCTTTCACTATCATTTAATGGCTCGTGCTGACGCTGATACCCTGAAGCGCGTTCTCACATGACCCCAGAATATATCCGAACCCGGACCCCTTCAGCCCCGAGCGGTTCCTTAAGGATGGCGAGATAGACCCCACTGTCCAGGACCCCGCAGCAATAGCGTTTGGGTATGGTCGTCGGTAAGCACACGCCTCACCGCTCCAATGGTAGACTCGATCACTGATCCTCTCTGGCTCTTCTCAGGGTGTGTCCTGGAAAGCACTTTGCGGAAACATCGCTATTCATCGTGATCGCCACGGTGCTCCACACACTTAGCGTGTCCCCGGTAGTCGGACCCGACGGCCAACCAATCATGCCGTCGGGAGAGATGACGCATGGACTACTCTCGTCAGTACCTTTCTGTGGACACCGTTAGATGGTATTGATCGGCGTGCACAGATACCCTGAACCATTCCAGTGCGATATAAAGTCGCGATCCCCCGAACGTGAGGCGTTGGTTCGCTCGAGCTGCATTAAAATGCAGGGAGTTCGTGCGGTACAGTCCTGACACACTACACAAGTGATTACATACCCCCACATCCTATATCTTTTACAACGAACTCGCGGGAGGCATACAAGGCCACGTGTGCGCTCTGCGCGCACCCGTATGCACTCAAATTGAAGGACAGGTCGCTCAAGTTCACCTTTGAGCACCTCATGCGTGCGCGCACTGATCACCCGTTATACTTTGCCACTACCGAGCTCACGGGCTCTCGTTTCCTACTTCGTGGACCCGGGGCAGAGGCGGCGCCGGGGAGTGCAGGCTGCACTGGAACTTGAGGAACTCCGATGGCAGCGACTCGGAGCGCGGTGAGGCCTTCAGGGTCGTCCGCTGTCCCAGCCCAGAACGCTGTAAACGGCTGGTTTCTTGCATCCTGCCAGAGTGGTGATCACCTGGATGGTCTTCCCGTCGACGTAAACCCAACGTATGATCTTCTCGCGGGTTTCGAGGCGGAGCTGAGGAAGGCTTAATTAGGGACAAGTTCGAGTCACGCGAAGTTAGAACGTTGACAACGGCGTCAGTCACACTGGCTGTCACGGGTAAGCGCTGAAAATTGGCCGTCGTGCATGCACGGCGCACGTGCCATCTTCCAACAAGTGGCTCGCGAGTCGCCGCCGTTTTCGCGATGAACTTACAAGTTACATACCATCTCCTCGATGGCAGTGACCCAAATGGACGTTGAACCTTCCATGATCTCCGGAGTTTCCTTATGCCGCTCGCTGTACATCCTTTCCGGACTCGCTGCCGCTGCGCACCCAGCACTAGTAGCGGAATCCCTGCAAGTACCCGGATGGCCCTCCGAGGTTCTATACCCCATTCCTCACTCGCGCTCTCACACAGCCTTGCGGACTCTCACTGGCCGCATACTGTGCGATCCCACGAAGGTCATGCGGCAGCGCCCCGACGACAGGTGAAGGGAAGGCCGTCCAAGCATCACGTCTCTCCCCAGCATCGCTTCTCACCCATCTGCATCTCCTCACTAGTTGCCGCCTACCAGCGGGCAAAGCCAAGGGACACGGGTCAAATACCTCAGTGCGGACCTCCCACTCTCGCGACGCACCATGATCGACTACACGCTCGTAGACTGGGGCTTCGTCCTCGCCGCGCTCGGTGCTCTGCTCCTCATAGCCTATCGACGCCCTCGCAAGGGCCTACCACTGCCACCAGGTCCCAAGGGTCTTCCGCTCATCGGCAACGCGCTCGACATTCCGATGACGAACGGGCGGACGGTGTTCCGCGAGATGAGCGCAAAGTATGGTGCGTACTGACTCCTCTCTCGCGATACGTGCCGTCACGCGCCTGCGTCCAGGGGACGTCATGTACCTCAACGCGCTGGGACAACCCATGATCGTGTTGGGCTCGCACGAGGCGGCGGTGGACCTCCTGGAGAAGCGTGGCTCGAACTACTCGGACAGGATGTCGTTCGTCATGTCTGAACTGTGAGCCCCATCCAAGGCCGCGCATCGCACCAGCTGACGAGCGCACCAGCTGCGACATGAACTGGGTGCTCACGATGCAGCACTACGGCCCATACTGGCGCAAGCACCGCCGCGCGCTGCACGAGTTCCTCAACCCGACCGTGCTCGACAACTACCGCGCGGACTCGCGCCGCGACGCCCACCGCTTCATCCTGAACCTGATGGAAGAGCCGCACCGGCTGCTACACCACTCCCGCGGGTGAGCCCTTCCGATTAGCTCCCTCCCGCACGCGCACCCGAACTCTGAGTCCGGACCCAGCGTGTTCGGCGCGATGATCATGCGCATCTCGTACGGCATCGAGCTCACCGAGCGCAACTGGAAGTACGTCGACATCGCCGAGGCCGGCATCCACGCCTTCACCCACGCCCTCGTCCCCGGCAAGTACCTCGTCGAGTCCTTCCCCGTCCTCCGCCGCCTCCCCGCGTGGGCGCCCGGCGCCGGCTTCAAGCGCGAGGCGCGCGCGTGGCGGAAGGACGTCCGCCGCGCGCTGGAGGAGGCCTGGGACGAGACGATGGAGAAGCACGCGCGCGGGGCCGCGCCGCGCTCGCTCGCGACGGTCCTGCACGAGCGCGCCGCGCTGTTGCCGGACCCGGCGGAGAACGCGGCGGAGGAGGAGGTCGCGAAGAACGCGTCCGCGGTCACGTATGCAGGTGCGCACACCCGCGCGATATGCTGCTGTGTGCCGGCAGATGCTGACGACGGCACGCGACAGCGGGCGCGGACACCACGATCTCGACCGTGCAGTGGTTCTTCTTCGCAATGGCCGCGCACCCGGAGGCGCAGGCGCGCGCGCAGGCGGAGCTCGACGCCGTCGTCGGGCCCGGACGGCTCCCCGAGGTCGAGGACCAGGCGGAGCTGCCGTACGTGAACGCGCTGCTCAAGGAGTGCCTGCGCTTCCGCTCCGTCGTCCCGCTCGGCATCCCGCACCGGTCGCTGGAGGACGACGAGTACCGCGGGTACCTGATCCCGAAGGGGTCGATGATCATCGCGAACATCTGGTGCGTGTCCGCGCGTTCTGCGCTCGACCGTCGGAGTTGACTAGGACCCCCGAAAGCGCCTATAGAGGGACCGCCGACAAACGCCCATTTTTGCGACTTTCATGTCCGGACTATTTGAGGTCCCACGTCCGGACTTTCGGCGGTCCTCCAGCACCAGGGCGGTTGCCCGTCCGGACCGTTCGGCAGTCCTCCAGGAGCGCTTTACGAGCGCTAATCCGTGTTTTCGCCGCAAAAAGTCTTCAAACCTCGCGAAAAGCTCATCGCAGCTGCTCAGAGCAAGGTGGCATGGAATTAACAGAGAAATTTGTTGTACTTAGTGGGAATTCTCGACCTGTGTGCAAAAGTGGGCTGTTGAATCCTGATCGACGCCGGTGATGATTACTAAGTGGTGCTTTAAAGCTTTATTGACTCGCTCCAATAAGTGTTTCAACTGAGTAATAGCTTTGAATAAACCCTCCTCCCACTTCCCGCATCGGCGCCTACCTCAGGTCTTACTTGGCTGATGTCCGGGCTTCGGCAGACCCTTCTCGGCCCCTTCAAGGTCATGTCCGGACCTTCGGCAGCCATGCAGTCGGGACAAGCCCTCCGGATGTCCGGATGGCGACCGGTCCGAGAGCCAAAAATCGTCAAATCGTGTCCGGATGGTCGGCGGTCCCTCTATAGGCGCTTTCGGGGGTCCTAGTTGACTGGGTTCTGCTTAACAGGGCGTTCTCGCGCGACCCGGAGGTGTATCCGGACCCGGAGGCGTTCAGGCCCGAGCGGTTCCTGAAGAACGGGCGGCTCAATCCGGAGGTGCGCGACCCCGCGGCGATCGCGTTCGGGTACGGCCGCAGGGTGTGTCCCGGGAAGGCCTTCGCGGAGCGGTCGCTCTTCTCGATCGTCTCCACGGCGCTGCACACCCTGTCCATCAGCGCGCGGATCGGCGAAGATGGGAAGCCCGTGCCCATGGCAGGCGAGATGACCGAGGGCGTGCTCTCGTGAGTGCGCGAGTGTGCAGAAGATGTCCTGCGTGCTCACCCATCCCACAGGTATCCGGAGCCATTCGACTGCGTGATCAAACCGAGGTCAAGCGCGACGGAAAGGCTGGTGCGCGCGAGCTGCGGAGCGCATGCATGATATTGGATGCCTCGCGCGCATTGCATCTCATGCCAGCTTACTGGACCTAGATAGCAGTGACCACGATGAGGATGTCCAGGATGCATGTCCAGTGCTTCACGCTTTAATTGACCCTCCATCAATACTTGTGCGTACAAAAGCTTGTCAAACACAACGTAGCAAATCTGAGGACTTCGCAACTGAACTATGCACCACATACGATGCCCTGCAGCTCCGTGCAACTCGCTCGAATCAAGGCCTCGCGTTCGGCAGAACGCGACTTGATCTCGCACTGGAACGGCTCAGGGTACCTACGCAAATCCGTTAGCACCGTCCAACTGCGTGCACAGGGAGCACTCACGAGAGAAGCCCATGTGTCATCTCGCCCGACGGCATGATCGGCTTCCCATCAGGCCCAGTCACTGGGGATATGTCGAGCGAATGGAGCACAGAGGCAATCGCGATGAACAGCGACGCTTCCGCGAAGTGCTTCCCAGGACAGATGCTTTTCAAGTCGTCGGATTCGGTCAGTTACGTGTGTGGAACAGTAATAGGGTTGCTCACCGCCGGCCGTGCCCAAACGCGATTGTTCCGGGATCGAGGACAGCGGGGTCCATCTTGCCGTCCTTGAGGAACCGTTCGGGATGGAACGCATCCGGATTCACGTAGAGCCTGGGGTCACACGAGATTGCTCTTCGAGGCACGTCAGCATTATGCGTGGGACGAGACGGGAGGCGAACGACTGACGAGATGTTGGGGATAATGAGCGAGCCCTTGGGGATGAGGTAGCCCCTGTACTCGTCGTCTTCTAGCGACCGATGCGGCACACTCAGAGGGACGACCGAGCGCCAACGGACGCACTCCTTAGCTATCGCTTGTATGTACGGGAGAGAACGTTCGTCGTCCTTATCTGGAAGGCGGTGAGGGCCAACAACGGCCGTGAGTTCGTCTTGAGCCTTCTTCTGCACCTCAGGATGCATCGTCATCGCCATGAAGAAAGTTTGCATCGTCGAGAACGTCTGTCGGGAGACTCAACCTCAGCCGGATCTCCATCCCACGAAGAAAGCACGCCTACTGTATCAGAGCCGCCTGCGAACGTCACCGCCGCTGCGTTCTTGATCACCTCTTCTTCTTCAGGCCCGTCGTCCTCTCGCATGCGCTCCATAAGGCCTTTCACCATCGACGGGCGCGCATTTCCCTGCCGCTGAACCAGAATCAATCGGCCTCTGCGCTGAAACGAGAATAGAACCGGAGTGCTCATACCATTGCTTCCCTGGCGGCGTCCCACGGCACGGAAACCATCTTGGAGACGATCGGTCTCCACGCCTCTCCATCGCGCTTCACGCCCGCGCCCGGGAACCAGGACGGCATGCGTGCGAGCCATGGCAGGACCTCCACCATATATCTGCCAGGCTCGAACGCCATCGACCAGATCTCCATCGCTTCCGTGACCATCTTGAGGTAGTCGACCGGATCGTCGTCTACCTCTATGCCGTGCGAGATGCGCAGCGCAGACGACCCGAAGAAGCTGTTTCTCTACGGTCAACAACCCACACTTATGCTTGAGCAAATATCGTACACACCGCCTGAGGTGGTGCAGCAGGTTTTCCGGTTCGTCGTACAGCCGGCGCACGAGCCGGTGCGCCTCGAGCTTCTGCGACGTTGCGTACTGGGCGACGGCGTTCATGTTGAAGTACTGATGCATCGCGCGCCGGTTGCGTCTCCACTCTGGTCCGTACCTGTGTACCGTGAAAGCCCACCCGAAGCCTGCGCTGGAGGCGAGTCGTGGTCGTCAGCGCGGGAGTATGGTGCGTTAGAAGACACACGCACATGTCAATCATTGCCGATGGAGCCCGGTCTGAGTAATTTGATGACCGCTTCTCCAAGAGGTCCACAGCGACCTCGTGCGAACCGACGATGATCACCGGCTGCCCAAGCGCGTCCAGATAGACGATGTCACCTGCAAATCTGGTCAGCGCTCTCCGGGTTCCGGATGTATGGTCGCCATACTGACCGTACTTCTGGTTCATCTCCTTGAACGCAGTGCGCATCTCCTTTGAAGGCATGTCGAGGGCGTTGCCGATGAATGGCAGGGGACGCGGACCCGGCGGGAGAGGGAGCGCGTTCCTGCGCCTCTTGCGCGCGAGGAACGCGAAGACGAGTGCGACGATGAGCAGGGAGGCAGCGGTGGTGTACACGAACGCCATTGGGTCGGGGTCGGAGTGCTGAGAGGGAGACGGCGGTCCTTATCTATGCTGGCGCCGTCCAAACTCCCTTCTTCTCGTCACGATGCCCGAGGCCATTCCCGAGAGTGTATTGTCTACATAAATGGTACAATATGTAAGCAGATGTGTGACGGTCGGCGGCCGGGACGTTACATGAATGGCCTGCCCGAAGGTCGTGAGTGGGATTTGTAGGATATATCTGAGGAAGACCGACGAGAGGTCCACTTACGGAGTCGTAGCGGGCAAGTGAGAGCGTAGAATTCGCGAGATAGATGGCCAATGTGTCTTCGTTCCTGTATGTGCCGGACCTGGTACGAGCTGTAGAACATCTGTATGTATCCTCGAGAGCGTAAGATGCGAATCAAACAAAGAAACAGAAGATAGATGGTGTTGGTTGCTCAAAGAGCGCGCGAGCCCGGAGAAAACGGGGTGACAGCCAATCGCGCGCGCAGTCCGGATGTTTGTCCGAACAACAACTCTCGAGAGGCAACTGTGACAGCTCGCGTGACTGACGCCTTTGCGCTTTTCAATTGGTGGAGCGCGTGTGTCTCACCTTCCCAGCGGTCCTCTACGAGGCTTGTGATGGGCTGGAGCTACTTTATAGTGCCAAATTAAAGCCGAGAGAAAGGCAAGTAAGGTTTCTCTCGCCCATAGAAACCCATAGAAACGCTTTTTCTGACTGCACGTGGATTTTAAACCTTATAAACGGCTCCCAGAAAATCTCCCAGAAAAACAGTAGCCCCGTGGGCCGTCGTGTGTGATTACGACGCGCACGGGCCACCGATCCTTATAGAATATGGGGAGACCACACTGATCTCGGTTTCGAACAGAAAGGCCTTCGAAGTGGTCGAAGCCGTCAGCATCCTAGCCAGCGCTGTTGTAGTCCAGGCTATCGTCGTTAATCGGTCTGCGGTCCCCTGTGTTCAGGTTAGATATTTTTTGTCAGACAGCTGATAGCTGAATCCACGCGAGTTCGCCAACTGCATGCCCGTCGCTTGAGCAGTGCCATATCCGGGCCGGCCGGCCAAGAATGTAGAGTACCGGACCGGCATGTTTCAGCGCTAAGGCCGAACATGGGGCGCCTATGGTGTGCTCGTCGCTTTCTCCGCTTCCATGTTGCTCGGGAAACAGCCAAGCAGGTATGTGTTCTGACTGACGGCTGTATTGAGCTTATGTTGTGAAATTTACACCTTTTCAGTGCTCCAAGCTCATGTGGGTGCTGTTTAAGACCGCCGGTATATGCGAAGTACTACCACTGGCTCACATGAAGACCAGGCCGCCCACACAAAGCCTTATTTGTGCGCACCTCTGAACTCCGACATCCAGCTCGGCTGGGCCTAACACCCCAAATTATTTTTGGGTGCCGTTCAATCGTTCGACTGACCCGTCGCTTGTGTCTGCGACCAATCCGAGAAAGACGACAGCCCACGGTCCTCCTTGACCCCTGGTCACGGTGATCCCTCTGCTCGCGTTCGGTGCGTCCTGCTGTCGGCAAACTCGGCTACGAACTTCGGTTGATTGTCATCAGTTTTTAGGGGCCACGGCAGGATTCAAGGTCACCCCCGCCGCCCAAGAAGCAGCTTGGTTTCGCTTGGGCGCGGGGAAACGCAGACAACAATTGGCCAAAGAATAGTCAGGGCGGCGGCAGGGCCCCAGTATCGCGGGTCTCGACCCGGCCTTTTGCTCCTCGGGCGCGTGGCCTTGTGTTGGGCGCGACCTGGGCGCGATGCGGGCGGTGGGCCCCCGCAACTCGGGATCCGCGGTGAGGTCCACCTCCCGAGCATAAAAGCCCTGTTCCCCGGCTCGCTCACTCCCCAGACCCCCACCGCCCCACCATCCCGACCATGCACGCCCCCCACGGCGCACCCCCACCCATGCGGCACACCTATGACTCCCCAACCGCCGACCAACCCGCCCCTTCACCCATCCGTCGCCACAACGACAGCAACAACTACCTTGTGCCTATCTCCGGGTGGCGATGAGCAAAGGTATGTCTCTTCTGACAACTGATCTTGTCGTCTCCAACCTAATCTTCTGCCAGTGTCAGCCTCATAGATGCGCGTGCGGTCTGCCAACGGTGAGCTTTTTTCTTCCACGCGCGCCGCGACTTGCGCTGACTCGTCACTAGACCGGTAGCGCAACCAACTCCGAGGTCGGATCCAGTCACCCTCCTCGCCCGGCACCGAGGCCTGGCGTCGCTCGCGCTTCGCTATCCTCATCGCCGTATGGGCAGGTGGGAGACATCGTGCAGCGGATCCGCACCGCACCGCACCGCACGGGGGCCCGAGACGTATCCCTCGTCGGCGCGTGCCTCCGTGGCCGCGCTGCACAGTTTGGGATCGTCCTGACACCGATGCGCCCAGAGCCTCGCGGCGGTGGGACGAGGGCAGCTCGTGTGGTCCGGTAAGTGCGCGAAGACGGCTCTTGATCCTTCACTGGCGGCACCGGAGCGTAAGTCGTTGCTTTTCATGCGCGCAGCCCCACTTTCCCTAGAGACAAACGAGGACAAGTGCCTGAGCACCCGGACCGCGCCGGCCCCCCTCCTCAGTCGTCGCCGACGACTCTCACGAGCTGCGTGGGACGCACTTCAAACCTACCTGTGATCTGTGCGTCTTTCTCTCACTCTCAGCCAACGTCGATGCTGACTTCCGTACGGCAGCTGTATCTTCAGCGACGCAAACATATCAATGTAAGTCGCTCGCCTTGACCCGCTTTTCAAATGTGATCTGACGTTGACCCAAAGATGCCAAGGCCATACGCATGCGTAGGCTCAGTAACGGCGCGGTCGATCGCTTCCCGCTGTCCAATCCAGCGGCGAAAGTGGGCTACGGTCCCGCGCCAGGCGGCACGCACACTCCCGATGAATGCCGCTCCGACGCGAAGCTTATCGGAAAGTTTTGGCTCCGGGACAGTCGTGAGTGCCTCCCTCACGTTTTGGGTTCTCTCGATTGCTACCGCTCTCCCTCTCCTCCCCATGTTCACGCGCACAAGGACGGTGATCGTCAGGCGGCGCGCACGACCCGATGAATGCCGCTCCGTGAACCTCGCGGAATGTTTTCATGGCTCCGGGACACTCGTACGCGCCGGTCCCAGCTCGGCCCGTCCCTGTTTTTTCTTCCTATGATTATGTCTACGTATGTATCGGGCGACGGAGGTCCTTACGACCTCCGGTTAAAAATGCTTCCCGAGGTATCGGCGCAGGCCTCTCCGTGGCCCTCGGGACTAGTACCCGTCGCTCGCGCGGCGGGGAAGCCAACATGCGCCATCGATGTATTATGTAGTCGCTGCAATCAATGGTTTTCGTTGAAATTTCGTTATTAGAATTGTCGCTCGATCGCTCATGGCTATGTACAGTGTTCGAGAAACCAAGGATTGTACAGCACATGAATACCAAACAGGGACCACATCCCCCGACCCACTTCAAAATGCGATGATCTCGGTAGAATGCTAGCGAAGACCGGACGCCTCGTCGGCGAACGCCCGACGTATCCGCCCGGGCGCACCGCGACCACAGGAAGACCCGTATTTGCGTGGCTTCAGCCAGCCTTGTGGCCCTGACTCCATCCACCTTGAACTCTATGTTCGGGACCGCAGACAAGCGGCGGAGACAGTTTGTGCAGCAAGGTCTTGATCGATGTTTGCCTCGACGTACCTTGCGTCACTGCGTACGAGCGGTAAAGTGCAGGTGGCCGTGCGCCCAAGTCCCTTGCCCTTCCACTTCCTGACAGAACCGGGCGTACCGCTTCTGCTGATGTGCGCCGGGTCGGAGAAGAACAATGACGGATGGTGTGTGCTTCATCAACTCTTGCAACGAACCGTTCCCCGAGCGACGCGCAAGATGGAGCTCTAGACGGACGCACCCGATACTGCGAGGACCAACTGTTTGTCGTCATCGTTCTGTAGATCCTTCTGGCGGGTTTTCTTTCCGGAGCGTCTCAAATAGTATGCACAGGTCCTTCCGTCAAGACAAGAATGAATCTTGGCAGGTCCTGGATGGCATGGAGACGACAGTGAGAGTCGAGAATTCTCTGGGTGTTGACGCAGCAGTTGGGGGATGAGCCTTGGAAGGAGGTTGGTAGGAGGAGCACCTGAGGAGAGTGTCGACTGCGGCCGAGGCCGGCGCCGGCGAGGTCCGGCCGAGTCCTGAGCGTCTACGGCAACGCTCTCTTGTCTTCCCACCATCATGACATCGCTCTTCGCGCTCAGTTCTCGAGGTCCCAACAAACGGCGAACTCGTTTTCCACCCGCCCGCAGACGAGGCTTGACGCTAGGCGGCAGCGGCCGGCCCGAGCTGGTCGCCACTCTTGGTGCAGTGACTGGCAGACTGCAAGTCCAAGCAAGTTGCAGAGCAGTACAGGTACGAGTCTTGCAATCGTGATGTTTGGATTGTAGGCCTAGCTAACATATCACAGCGTTGTTAAATCGCAGGGCACGGCTGCGCGGGAGACTGCCTCCATTGAGAGCAGAGCTCTATGAAATTTCCCTCGCACGCTTGAATGCCTGGACAACGGACTCTGGGGCATCGGGCCCGGTGATGCTCTCCATGTTGGTTGCCGTAATCGTCGTCCACTTCGCGCTCACCTCAAACAGCTTCTCCTCCGCCTTCTTGATCGCCACCTCCCGCTCCTCCCTGCTCGCCCCCGCGTTCACCGCCTCCGCAATCGCCAGCCCCATCTCCAGCCCATCCAGCATCGACACATTCGCCCCCATCCCCGCAAACGGCGTCATCAGGTGAGCCGCGTCCCCGATGATCGTCACCCCGTCGACGTGCTCCCACCGCAGCCCCGGCGGGAGCATGTACAGCGGCCGGTGGTAGATTCCGTCGTCCGCGCCGTGCTCGATGAACTTCCGGAGCACCGGCGCCCACCCCTCGAACTTGGCCAGGAGCACCGCGCGCGCCTCCGCGGGGTCCGATGGGAGCGGCCAGTCCTCCGGGCCGCGGAACCAGGCGTATGTGCGCACGCGACCATCGCTGTTGCGCTGCGCGTTGATCATCATCCCGCCCTCCATCGCGAACGTCGTCCCGTTCCCGACCAGCGCGCGCGCGTCCGCCATATCAGCACGGTCGACGACGTCTGGCGGAATGACGACCTCCGCGCCAGTGATCCCGGAGAAGTAGCGCTGCGCGGGGGTGACGAGCGGGCGGATCCGCGACGCGGCGCCGTCCGCGCCGACGAGGACGTCGACGACGGTGGTGTGCCCGTTCGCGAAGGCGAGGGTGTGCGTGCCGTCGCCGTGCGGGGTGACGGAGCTGAGGGCGTAGCCCCACTTGACGGAGTCGGCGGGGACGGCGTCGAGGATGATCTGCCGCAGCGCGCGGCGGTCGATCTCGGGGCTGAGGGCTTCGGGACGGACGTCACGGTCGCCGATGATCTCGAGGAGGACGCGGGCGTCCTTGCCGCAGATACGGGCTTCGTCGCCTTCGGGGCGCGACACGGCCTTGAAGGCGGCCTCGAGCCCGTTCTCGTAGAGTGCGCGTTGGCCGGACTCCCAGCGGAGGTCGAGGGTGCCGCCGAGGTGTGCGCGCGCGGACGGGCTCGGCTCGCGTTCGTAGAGTGTGGAGGGGACGCCGCGCTTGACGAGGGTGAGGTGGAGGATGAGGCCGGAGGGTCCGGCGCCGATGACGGCGATGCGCGGTGGAGAGGTTGTGGGAGCCATGATGCGGGGTGCGTCTGCTGTTGTCGAATGCTGCTCGCCACATCATATATACTATCACTCCCGAGGTGTTCGGAAACCCCGCTCCAGTACCTCCACCGATAGTGATGAAAATTGATATTTAGTTGGGTTAGCTTCTCACACACCATTGTGTAAACCTTCGCGTCTCCCAAGTGCAAGCTGCGCCCGATCTCGAGTATGCACTCATCTCACTGGGAGGTCTTGGCTGCAACACCTATCCCAGCGCTCCACTTGAAATTTGAGGTGCGTCGTTCTTGCGCACTTTCAGACTCTTCCCTAAAATCTTCGAGAGGATGTGCCTTCGTGGGCGGAGTCGACAGTGCAGAATTAAGCTGTGACAAGGATCCAGCGCTTGTGAGTCACCTCTCAGCAGACGTGGCTCGGCAAAGGCTCGCTTATGACCGGATCTGACGTCGGCTGCAGCTGGGTGCCGTGCACGGACCGCGCATGTGACGACGTGCGGAGAATTATCCGAACGCTAAGGAGGGTCAGTTCACTCTCCCAACGACTATAACGCATATATCGCCCCCGAGCTTTGAAGAAGCACGAATAGAAAAAGTTAAGGTCGGTCTATCAAATTTGAAGACAATCGGTGGAGGGGGCCGACGAGGACGCGCTAAACTATCCCGGCAGGTGCTTGCCTGTCCGAACACACCGGAACCGGCCATTGGAAGTGATGATGGAGACAGAGACACAGGAGGTATCGGCATATCCTTTAGCGGGAGAAGCCCAGGCAGTCGCTTCGATGTCAACCACCTAGTCAGCATTCCCATGGGTTCCCAAGTAGGAGCTTCATAGAGTCCTGAGTAACTTGAGTCTTGACGACTCAGCGCGCAGAACGATGCGCTGTTGTCGGGCCTTGGTCTCCAAGATTGCTGACGTGGACGTGAATCACGAGTCTCGGCATTGGATTAACAAGGTTTGGAGGCCTGTCACCCATTCTTCGCCAGCGGTCTTCTCGTGAGACAAGCTCGTTCGCAATCCGTATCGCTCACCCCACTAGGGCAACATGACGCGTCCCGCGTGCCGTCGGCCTACAACCGATGCGAATTTCCATTCTATGGAGTGCCTCTTTTCGCCCGCGTCAGCTTCTGACACATACAGATGGTAGGTTCATAGCGCATAGTGGCGTTCACTGGGTCGACATATGCGCCATGAGCAACATTGAGCATAAATGTACTATTCATTATGAGATGACTACCTGGCAGGGTGTGTCTGTGGACCCGGCCATGCATTGTGAACATTTCATCTGTATGCAAACGAGTGAGAATAAACTGATCATATTGAAACCAAAGGTTCGTTAATCGACTCCACCTGCTCGAACAGTCGAAGATATTCCCACCGCCGCCTGATGTTTTCGGTCAGCGACTTCTGGCTGTCGTTGTTCTTTTGTACTTACTCATAGTATGAATAACGTACGTGGGATGTATAGTGTTCAACCGTTCAAGCTCTAGCCATGTTGCAACTGTTGCGGCGTTAATCCCAATCACCAGGCCGGGCGCACATTAATCATGCGGCGTGTCTACTACTGTTAGAGAACTTCGAAGCTAAGTGCATTGATCAAGCAACTACGAGCTAATTCTGCTGACCTTAGATTTAACCCGCTTCCAATCTAGATATACTATTAGAACGGAAACTGTCCGCGCCCGTCGTGCTCGGGTACTAAAGATTGAGCGAGGATCACACGACATCCTTACATGACCGTCTGCTAGCTCACCACGTCAGAGTAATCATGCTACTGTACCCGTGTAGAGGCGTGCTCCTTAAAATCCATCTCGTCACATATCTCACGCCGCTGCTATCTGGACCAACCTCTCCATTGCTGCGGAACGCACCGTGATCCGGCAGTCGAACGGCTCCGGGTCCCTTGATAGAAAACATGATGTCAGTCACCACCACACCCCGGAGCCGTGGAGCACGCACGAGAGGAAGTTGGTCGCGAACTTCGGCTTGGGTACCACAGGCCGTCCGCTCTCATCGAGCGGTGGCTCGACGTTGAACGCGTGCAGGACCGACGCGATCGTCACAAAGACCGCTGCCTCCCCCAGGTTGCGGCCGGGACATATCCTGGGAATCGTCAGAAGAGCCTCGGCACACATGATGCCGGTTCGAGGCACGTACCGACGCCCATATCCGAAAGCGAACGTTCGGGGGTCCATCACGTTCTTGTTGGGCTTGCCGTCAGCCGAGAAGTACCGCTCCGGGGAGAACCGCTCTGGGTCAGGGTAGTGCTTCGGGTCGCGAGAGAACGCCCTAGTACACAAAAGCACCGTCCGCGCGGTCGTCAGACACTGCGCGCTCTGTAACCGCCGGGGCCAGAGTCATACGCACCACGAGTGGGCGAGCACAGTCGTCCCAGCAGGGATGTGGTACCCCCGATACTCGTCGTCCTCGGCCGACGTGCGCGGAAGCGCGAGGGGCAGGATCGGGTGCCACCGCAGACACTCCTTGAGAACGGCGTCGACGTATGGCAGCGCCGCGCGGTCCGCGAGCGTCGGGAGGCGGTCGGGTCCCACGACCGCGTCGAGCTCCTCTTGCGCGCGCTTCTGCACCGCCGGGTACGTGGCCATTGCGAGGAAGAACATCCGGATGGTCGTCAGCGTCTGCGAAGGGAGGGCGCCGCCGCGCGCCGCAAGGTCAGCACGAGCGCACAGAATGCAGCCGTGTGAGTCACAGCAAGGGCATGGAAGACCTACCGTTTCTGCTCCCGCTACGTGCAGCGACGATGAAATCAAGCATCCTTCAGCACGCGGCAGAGACGGGTGGCAGGCGTGGGGAGTGCGCGTACCGAGATAGACCGTGCCCGCGACGTTCTGTGCGAGCACCTCGTCGTCCGGGGAGATACGCCCGTGTTCGTCTTGCGCGGACCTGACCGTGACTCCTGCGACAGACGCCGCCGCCGCTTCATCTCCGCGATGCTGTAACGGCATCTGAGCGAACTGCAAGCGAACGAAGTGTGGAGATGACGCTGACCATGTGTTCCATCGCCGCAGCGAACGGCCGCCCCGCACGGCTCTGTACGTCGCGCGCCATTCGTCCGCCTCGCGCCTGAATTTCGCGCCCGGAAACCACGCGGGGATGTGCTTGAGCACCGGGAAGGTCTCGACGAGATACTTGCCGGGGACAAAGGCCTTCATGAAGATGTCGTTCCCCTCCTGCACGAGCTTCAGGTAATCGTCGTCGTGCGTCGTCACCTTGATGCCATATGAGAGCTCCATGATCACCTTCCCGAGCGTTCTGTCGGATCTCCGTCGCACAGGCACGAACATCAGGCGGGAGAGAACTCACAGGTGCGCATCTTCGCTGTAGCGGCCAGGGTCCTTCAGCAGGGAGACAAGGTAGGTTGCGGCATGCTTTTCCAGTAAGCGTCCGTGCTGAGCGATAGCAGCGGGCTGTCCAATGAAGCGGTGGAGCTCACGGCGCTGCTTGCGCCAGTAGTCGTTGTAGTTGATCAGCGCCAAGTTCCACCCCATCTCCATACTTCCATCCGGAATGAGTATCATTGATTGTTCCTCGAGCACGAACGCACTCACAGATCCGCCATGGCTGACCCTGGTTTGTTGGAATAGTTCGTAGCCCGCTTTTCCAACAGCTCGTTCGCGGCTTCCATGGACCCCAGGAGTATCATTGAATTTCCCATGGTGTTGAGGTATACGATATCGCCTACATTTCCGGATCAACGCGTCTTCGCAATCGACGGAAAAGGACATACCATATTTCTGAGAGAGAGCGTGGTATTCGGCGGAAGACATGGTCTTGGGTATGTCGAGCATGTTGCCAATCAGTGGTAACGGCTTGGGACCAGGAGGGAGAGGAAGGCGAGAGCGGGGAGGACGCCCCTTGTAGTAGATGATGGAGATGAGGACGATGCATGCCAGAAGCGCACACGCCTGGGCGGGAAAGACAGTGTGTAAGACCCGGAGCAACCACGGCATGGATGGGGTAGAAGAGGGGTAATTCGAGGTTGGAGTCGAGGCGGATGGCGAGGGAGCACAGTTCGGTCTCGGGGGAGGTGTACTTGCAGCTTTATAGGTCTCGATGTACACTTGCCGCCGAGTCCTACGGTGAAGGTCTGTGCCTTGGGCCATGCAAGCGACCTGGTTGGACGAGCCACAGGTCCGTACAAATCTCGGACTACGTACGGGCGTGGGTTTGAACCTTCTTCATCAGCCCGCGTCGTTTCGAACTTAGGGGCGAGGGAGCCCCTTGCCGTTGTGGTTCAGTTTCCTATAATGTAGTGGAGAGGCTACGACGAATATGTCCAATTGGCAGCTTGACTTGAGGTGGTGGGTAAAATGCGACATCATGTATGGTGAAACTTCCTGGTGACTTCTATGAACATCATTTAATGGGAGCAGCTGAGTTCTGTCGTACCTGGCTGGAGATGCATGATTTGAAATGATGCTGACGCTCCCTCGAGGCTCCCATGCGCCCTGGAGCGTCAAGGCCAAGGTTCGAGTGTCCAAACGATGGATTCCATTCGGGCCGGAGCATGAGGTCTATCACGGTGGTAATGATGTCTTGAGTAGTGCCGGATGAGTCGTGAACTTTGGTGCACAGCACGTTTGTTTCAGATACTGCCCGCAACGTGAGTGCTTGATATGTGAGACTACGATGGCCGTGTCGCACCATCGATAGTTCCATGAAAGTTAGATTTCACGGGAGAGACGTATTTGTCAAAAATTGGTCACGAAAACACGACAACCGCGAGATGTCATACCTCAACGGTTTCTGTTTAGTTTCCAGTGTCTCCACGTCGGGTAACTTCGAAGACTCCGAGAAATGAAAAGAGACAGCAAGAGATGTGGGGCTTTTTCGGAATTGTGGTGCCAACGGATAAGAACCAGGGTCGAGTGCTTTTGGCCGGGGGAGCGGTTGAACAACAAGTCGTAGCCAGGGCTCGTCGACTGGCAGCTAAGCGGAAGGGATGTCGGAAGTTGCCGGGGCTTTTGATGCACGTGGCTCCCACCGGCGTTTGTGTCTTCCGGCCCGGCCTCTCCCATTACGGGAACGTCGATTACAGCGCGCGCGCTCCTTGAGCAACCAACACCATCTGTCTTCTGTTTCTTTGTCCAGTTCCCGTCTTACGCCCTCGATGATACATACAGATGTTCTGCGGTTTTTACCGGGTTTGGCGCATGCGAGGAGGAAGACACATTGGCCATCTATCTTCTGCGCTTTCACCCACCCCGCGACGACCCCGCGGAGTCCGGGCCTCTCGGCGGTCGTCCTATTCTACGACTCCCGCTCACGACCTGCGGGTAGGCTATTCATGTGACTTCCCGGCCGCAGACCGTCACACAGGTGCTTACAACGTGATGTCACAATCGCTCTCGTGAATGGCCTCGGGCATCGTGACAAGAAGAAGAGAGTTTGGACGGCGCCGGCATAGACAAGGACCGCTCTCAGCACTCCGACCCAGACCAAATGGTGTACGTCTCCACCGCTGCTGCCTCCCTACTCATTTTCGCACTCGTGTTCGCGTTCCTCGCGCGCAAGCACGCAGGAGCGCGTTCCGTCTTCCAACAGGACCGCGTCCCCTGCCGTTCACTGTAAATGCCCTCGAAACTCCCTCGAAGGAGATGCGTACTGCGTTCACCAGTACTTATGGCGACCAGACCTCCAGAACTTGGACAGCGCTGACCATCTGCTTCCAGGTGACATCGTCAATTGGCACAAGGTTGTAGTGGACCTCTTGGAGAAGCGGTCACTGAACCGCTTGGGCCGAGATCCATCGGCCATGATCTACATGTACGTGTATTCGCGCCATCGCCCCATACCCCGCGCTGACGACCACGATTCGTCTCCAGTGCAGGGTGGGCTTTCACGGTGCACATGTACGGGCCAGAGTGGAGACGTAACCGGCGCGCGATGCATCAGTATCATGAACGCCGTCGCACAGTACGCAACGTCGCAGAAGCTCGAGGCGCACCGGCTCGTGCGCCGGCTGTACGACGAACCGGAAAACCTGCTGCACCACCTCAGGCGGTGTGTACGATATCTGCTCAAACATGAGTGTGGGTTACTAACCGTAGAGAAACAGCTTCTTTTGGTCGTCTGTGCTGGGCATCTCGCACGGCATAGAGGTAGACGACGATCCGGTCGACTACCTCAAGATGGTCGCGGAAGCTATGGAGATCTGGTCGATGGCGTTCGGGTGACCAGTATTCACTGTTCGTGCGCTCGTGCCGCATATGGCGCGCGGATTTTCAAGTCGGGCTCGCGGGGTGGAAGTACGAGAGTATGATGACAGGGCGCAGCGTCCGGTTCCTGCCGCGCAAACAGCGGGACGGTTTCGACGAGCAGGCGATAAAAAGGGCGCGCGAAGATAGACGCCAAAAGGCGCCAAAGGCTCTCACACGAGCCCAGCAGGCGCTTTGCTGTCTTCTCGTTGTCCGCACCTCGCTCTGGAATATAGCCTGTATGACCGTCTCCTGAATGCAGCCTCAAAAGGTGAGTGCAGTCTTTGAGTCTCTCCCCCTCTCTTCAAGCTTACATAAGCGCCATTAACAAATCTTCCTAGTCCGGAGTCCCGTGATGAGCCAAATTTGCTCACAACTTCAACCAGGACGCCCACAAACAACCCTTCTGAGCTCCGCCGTCCGGCCGGGGCCTGACTCGAGCACCACAAATCATTCGTCGGTGCCTTTTTTCAGATGATTGTGCCCCCGCTCGGGCTCTGCGACCAATCCGCGACACACGACGGCCTGCGGTGCCCTCCTGTCCCCCAGTCGCCGCGGTCGTTCTCCGACTCTTCTCGCACTCGGCAAGTAGGCCCTTCGGCCGCTGTCGGGAATCGGCTGAGAACTTCTGTTGATTATCATCAAATTTCCAGGAACTGGTGCGAGATCCGAGGGCACCGTTCCACCCGAGAAGCACCTGGTCCTGGTTGGGCGCGGAGAGGCGCAGGAGGCGAGTGGCCAGGTGATCCTCGGGACCCCAGTATCATGCCAGCCGAGTGCGCCACCTTGTGCTCTGCGCGGGCTTGGCGCGATGCGGTCGCCACTCGAGATTCGCGCCGGGCGAGCATAAAAGCCCCCCTCCCCCGAGCGCTCTCTCCTCAGAACCCCCACCACCCCGCCACCTCGACGATGCCCTCCTCCCACGGCGCACCCCCGCACATGCGACACACCACTCCCTCGCCCCTCACCCGCCTCTGCGGTGGCGACGGCAACACGCTCACCGCCAGGTGACGATGTGAGCTATCTCTTCAGCCGTTCGCGCCGCCACCCATGATGCTGACCACTCAGTAGGACTGGCAGGTCGGCTTTCATGTCACTCTCCTCGCCCGGCACCGAGGCTCTGGCGTCGCTCGCGCCTCGCCATCCTCACCGCCAAATGGGCAGGCGAGAGACACCGTGCAGCGGCTCCGCGCCGCACCGCACGGGCACCGGGGTGCCCGAGACCTACGCCGGCATTGCAGCCCCGCGTGCTTTGAGGAATCAGAGCCCGAGGGCGTCGCCCCTGATCAACGGCTCTGTCAAGCTGCGCGATATGCACTTGAATCCTGCCTATGGTATGCGCTTCTCTCTCTTACACTCTCCGCGGACGTCGACGCTGACCCCGTACGATAGCTGTGCCTTCAGTGGTAACCCCCAACATAGTGAGTCACTGTCCTCTCCTTCGAATTCGAACGCAACCTGACTTCGACCGTTGAGCAGCGTCGACCCGGACGTATGGATAAGCTCAGCAGTAATGGCGCGGTCGATCGCTTCCCGCTGTCCAATCCAGCGGCGAAAGTAGGCTACGGTCCCGCGCCAGGCGGCACGCACACGCCCGATGAATGCCGCTCCGCGAAGCTTGTCGGAAAGTTTTGGCTCCGGGAAAGTCGTGCGTGTCGCCTGAGGTTCGAGCCGTCTTTCTTTTCTCTTGATCACCCCGCCACCCCTCTCCTCCCCATGTTCACGCGCACAAGGACGGCGATCGTCAGGCGGCGCGCACGACCCGACGAATGCCGCTCCGTGGACTCTCGCGGAATGTTTTCGAGGCTCCGGGACACCCGTGCGCGCCGGCCCCAGCTCGGCCCGTCTTTGTTTCTATTCTCGTTATCGTTTTTCTCATGTCTATGCACATGTCCACGTATGTATCGGGCGACGGAGGTCCTTACGACCTCCGGTTAAAAATGCTTCCCGAGGTATCGGCGCAGGCCTCTCCGTGGCTCTCGGGACTAGTACCCGTCGCTCGCGCGGCGGGGAAGCCAACGTGCGCCATCGATGTATTATGTAGTCGCTGCAATCAATGGTGTACGAGTACATACAGGAGGGCACATACAAATACAACGCGGACGATAGTACAGAGGGCGAGCCTTGCTCAGTATACAATGCGTCTTAATCCCAGGGTCCTTCCGTTTCCCGCTCGTTCGCTCAGACAGTGGCGGCGCCGACCTCGTACAAGTACGTGCCGAGAAGCTTGCTCTGTAAAGCGCATTAACACGTTATAAGTCCCGGAGTACGCGGCACTCACCCCTTCGATGAAGTTCGAGCGGTCGAGTTTCTCGTTCGTCGAGCTGCAAGAAGCTTAATCAACGGCTCCACGCTGTCAAAGAGAACAGATACACGTACTGCGCGCCATCATCACCACGGCCCATGGGCAGCAGGAGCACGTTGACATTCAAGGTCTCCGCGAACGTGAGCGTAACGGGAATCGACCCACCCTCGCGCGTAAGGTCGGGCGAACGTTGGTATACGGCCTCGGTCGCGCGGCGCGCGGCCTCGTAGCTCCAGTGCTTGTGATCGGCAACCCACGGTCGGCCGTCGTGGAGGTTCTCGATGGTGAGCTTGTTCTTGGAGTTCAGCTTTGCGAACTCAGCCTTCACGAATGGCAGCACACAGTCTTCGACGGCCTTCGGCGTCATTGGGGGGACGATCCTACACGCACAACGAAACAGCCTGAGGTCAGAAGGCTATGTGGGGATAAGACACAGAGAGGGAGCAATGTGTGTGAGAGCTGACGCTGGACGTACCGAATAGAGAACTTCCCAGACACGCATGCGGGAATGACAGTCTTCGCGCCAGGGGAATAGAAGGCCCCTTCAATACCGTGGAGGGAAAGCGAAGGCATGCGCATGCGGCCCATGAGAACTGTCGTCTTATCGTTGGAGAGAGTTATGGGGGCGCCAACGGCGTCTTCGACGTCCTGAATCGAGTAGTCAAGCTTGTCGTAGATCTCTCTAGAGTTCAAGTGACTTGGTGAGTACACACACAGCACGAATTCTCTATGAAGACATACTTTTCGTCAAAGTCTGCCGGGGGCACCATGTCCTCGACGCCAGGAACCAGGATGGTGCCATCGGGCGCAACCAGCTTACTCAGAAGCGTGACAAGATCGGTCATAGGTTCGTGCACCATTCGACCGAATACACCGGAGTGGAGGTCGCGTGCAGGGCCAGAGACTGTCATCTTGAAGTACACCAGACCGCGAAGACCGTAGGTGATGCAGGGGGTACGCGTATTGAGCCAGTAGTTGTCGGACTGCGCATGCAGCTTGAGCATGGGGGAGAGTACGCAGATGGCAGGAAGGGCTCACAATGCAGACACAGTCGACACCGCCGAAGAACCCATCGTTTCCCTTGGCAGTCTCGGACTTAATGAGGTCGTCGAGACCCTCACTACCGCTTTCCTCCATGCCTTCGAAGCAGAACCGGAGATTGACTGGGAGGGCGAGCCCGAGTGTCTTGTGCGCCTCGAGAACGTTGAGCCAGCCAAGAATGGGGCCCTTGTCGTCTGTGGAGCCGCGTCCGAGCATCTCTCCCGTCTTCTCGTTGAAGACCATCGTAAAAGGCTCCGTGTTCCACCCATCACTTTTCTCCGCCTAGCCACCCCAGAAGCTGATCAACGCACCGCCCTTTCCCTCTCTCCCGCGCTAGAACATGATCGGGGAACATACCGGCTGCACGTCGTAGTGGCCGTAGATGAGCACCGTCTTCTTCGCGGGATCCTCGCCGATCCGACCGAGGATCGCCGGGGGCAGGGGCAGTTCCTGGCCGTCCATAACGTGTTTGCCGAGATCGACGAGCTTGGTGGTGACGCCGAGCTGCTTCAGCTGGCCGTCGAGCCAGGCAGACATTTTGAAGACGTCGGGGCGACGTGCTCCATCGCCGCTCACACTGGGAGGGACGTACGGGATGTTACGGCACTACGTCGTGGTCGAGCGTGTGCTGCGTCGCACCTGGGAATTGCGACAGCCTCACCGAGCCGGCTAATGAACTTGGTCGCGTTGTCATCGATGAACTTGAGAAATTCCTGCGGGGCGACCATGATGGGGAGAAGCAAGCGATGGAGGAGCGAATCCAACGTTGAACTGATCAAGAGGCCCAGCGGTCTCATCTATGCGCCCATTGGGAGGGCTCTTCGAAGTCGGCGCTAACGCTATCTAATCGGCTTGCATCGCCGCTCATTTTTAGAACTCCGCTTGCCCCTGAGTCTAGACTCTGGAGGAAGCGGAGCAACTTGTTCCGAACCTATGGCCACTGACCCCCAGAATCAATGTCCTCAAGGGCAGAACTTCGCTCAGACATTTTGCGCTCTCAAAATCATCCGGTGAGCCGACGATCTCTGCCTTCCCAGTTCTAATCTGTCGACAAGTCACGGTGCGATTGGCTGCTTTGAGTCCGCTCTCACTCCTCGAAGAGGCTGCGAGCCGCAGAAGGCATCACAGACGCCTCATAAACGCCTTGAAGGCGCGCCATTCGACTTCTTGGGCCCCATGGCCTGAGACTCGTGAGACTCGATGCTGCAACAGGGTGTCGCGCGTACCGTCCAGACTAGCGGTAGATTTCGCATCCTGCAAGGCTCCCAAGGTTCATCCCGGTGCTGCTCTCCTGTCCAGTCATTGGCAATACCGGCTCCGTCTTTGAAATCTGAACCGTGAGTGAGTAGTCGGTCGGAGGCATAGAAGCGCGGTGCAGCGCGGGGTGGTCCCATGCATTGTAGCGCTCCAATCACCTGTGAGGGCAGCATTGGCGTATTTATACTCCACGAAGTCTAGACTGCCTGCAGCGCCCTCCTCAGGCATCGTCACCATGGCTCTAATCTCACTCGCACAAGCATGGCCGACACTCCCCTTCGCCATCCTGTGTTTCGTCCTCCTTGTACAAATACGATCGCGCCTCAAGAGTCGTTTACCTCTACCTCCAGGACCAAGTGGACTTCCTTTCGTCGGAAATGTACAAGAATTCCCACTCACCCCAGAGCGCATCTCCGCCTTACATGCTCAATACGGTATGTCAAGTGCACACGCATAAGTTGCTCTCCACACTAACGTTGCCTATTGAAGGGGATCTTGTACGGCTTACGATTTTTGGCGATGAGTTCATCCTTTTAGGATCCCATGAGTCCGCGGTCGCTCTTCTCGAGAAGCGTTCGTCCAATTACTCTGGAAGGAACATGTTTGAATTGGCTGATATGTACGTGGCCTCCTGACTCCGTTGGCGATTCGGGATGCTGACCGTCATTCAGGACTAATTTTGACTGGCTTTTGACGTGGATGCCTTACGGTACACACTTCCGCAAAGTTCGAGGCTGCTTCCACCGTTGCTTCAATGCGACCGCCATCCAAGCATATCGACCCATCCAGCAGGAAGAAGTCAAGCGTCATCTTCTCCGCCTTCTCGAGCACCCCCGAGATTTTTATGAACACGGGAGGAAGTAAGTCTGTTCGCTCTGTTCGCAGCGTGTCACATGAACAAGTCTCCTTTAGGTTGATAGGAACTGTGATAATCCGCATCGTCTACGGGCTCGACGTGAAGGACTCGTTGCCCGGCTGTCCGCCGAACAAGTACATCAGCATCGCCGAAGAATCAATGTCCGCGTTTTCTGTCATATTCCATCCTGGACAATACTACGCGCAGTCGTTCCCGTGGTTGCGCTACGTACCCGCTTGGTTTCCAGGTGCCAGATTCCAGCGAGATTTCGCCGCATGGCGACCGATCGTGCGGAGTATGCTCAACGTTCCGTGGAAGGCAGCAGGCAAACTTACAGTGCGTTCCGTTGCCATCCCATATTTCTGTCCTTTGACGACTCAGTGCCACCTACGGACTTCAGGAGGAAGGTAAAATGCCTCCGTGGACGTTCTACGCCAACACGATGGAGCGTATCGAAAACAATGAAGAAGATGAGTACGCCGCCAAATGCACTGCCGCGTCCGCGTACTTTGGTGGAGCCGATACCGTGCGTCTCTTTCTCTCCAAGGCAATTTTAAGCCTCACGTTTTCCCATAGACACTTTCTACGCTGCAAATATTCACGGCGGCAATGGCCTCAAGTCCGCACGTACAGAAACGCGCGCAGGAGGAGTTAGATGCCGTCGTCGGTCCAGGTCGCTTGCCGACGCTCGAGGACAAGCCGTCATTGCCCTACGTCTCTGCGGTAGCGAAGGAATGTCTTCGTTGGAGACAAGTGGTGCCTATCAACGTTCCTCACATATGCTCGGAAGAGGACGAATTCAATGGCTATCGCATCCCCAAAGAGGCGCGTGTCATCTCCAACGCAGCGTGAGGACTTTGCTTTGTGGTATGAAGACGTACTATTGACCCCTCGAGACAGCGGTTATTCAATGGATCCGAAAAACTACCAGGATCCCGAGACGTTTAATCCAGATAGGTTTCTCGTCGATGGCAAACTCTCAAGCGAGATTCTCGATCCCGCTAGCTTTGCTTTTGGGTACGGGCGAAGGTCCGTAATCAGTTTTTGTCTGATGCGACAGATGTGATATACCTGGTCCAGGATTTGCCCGGGCCGACATTTCGCGGAAGGGGCCGTGTTCCTGATGCTCTCGAATATCCTTCATACCTTCACGATCGAATCTGGCGCAGGCGAAGCCGGCAAAGCTGCTCCCTCAGATGTTTGTAAGATGACGTTGGGGGTTGTTTCGTGCGTTGTCCCCGCCTTTTCAGCTGCTCTGGCTCACTTTCTCGTGTTTCAGGTTTCCCGCACCATTCGAGTGCAACTTCAAGCCCAAATCCAGTGATGCGGAGGCGCTTATTCGAGCCAGTGCTTCCGATTTGGCGTAACTGCGAAGTAAAGGTTGAACCACTGCACATTGATTATTCCCTCCTGTGACAAGCTGTTTCTGTTTCCTGAAATGTTTTACATCGCCCATACCTTCCCCTGTACCTCGCGGAGGAATGGGGTTTCACGCCCCTGAGTAACTCGACGCCACCGATTGAGCGCAAGCGGCTCACGCTTCCAAAATGCAACGCGTCGCGGTGCCCCGGCGTGTTCCTCGCCGACCCACATGCGTCGCTCCGTCGGTCATGTCAGCACCAGCCAGCTCGGGGTTGAAGGTTCCGGCAAGTTTCGAGTCGGTGCGAGTCGGCGCTACCTCGAGGCACCGATGGTAATTTGCGACCTCGGCGTTCAGGAACGTGCGCATTTCCGTTAATTGAAGCACGACGTCGACCCTTCCCCGCACTAAGTACCGCCGCCCTGACTGTTCAATGATAGCGCCGCACCGCCGGTCAGCGCTCTACTTATCTAATATCGCGGGCGCGTGCTCGATACTAGTGTCGGCTCGGAGCGCTGCCCCTCACTCCTGTGTTCCCACTCGGAATGACTTCCGTGGATTCTCATCCATTGCAAGCAGCTGTTCCGCCGTACATACCTCAAGCTTGAGTTTCAATCATGAAGCCGGCTGGCAGCTGAGGCGGTCCTGCCATCACCCCTGCCACTGCGCCATCAGCACACCTTCAGACGTACAGAGCGCACTCACGGTCATGTGAAGGACTGGCAGACCGTGTGGGCCAAATGAAAGATGCGTCAAGCCGGCTCGTGCTTTGCCATTTGGCCTTTTCTCAATGCTCATCCGGAGGTCCATCATCCGAACAGATCAGCCGACACGCCCTCGGGTGGATGCCCCCGCCACTCGTTGTTCCGACTCGTCGTTCCGTTCGTGGACCCGGGAAATGCACCTTCCCGCGACCTTGTCCATTCACGGCATCGCATTGACATCACTCATCCGCCGCACCCACGCGCTGTATATATCCCTCCGTCCACCCGTCGGTGTCCAGCGCGTCCCCGCCCCCCTCCATCCCGCTCCCTGACCCTCGCGCGTCGGCCCATCCCCCGCTGACATCATGCGTTCCTCCCTCGTCGCCCTCGTCTCTCTCGCCGCGGCCCTCTCTGGTACGCACGCCCAGTCTCCCGCGTCCATCGCGTACGCACCCACCGTCGGCGCGTGCCCCGCCGGCACCGAGCTCGTGCGCGAGGTCGGCGCGGTCGCGAAGACACAGACGCTCAGCCACGGCGAGCTCGACTACGTCGCCGCCCGCCGCCTCGACGTCCTCCCCGCCGCCTTCGCCTCCTACCTCGCCCACGTCCGGAACGCCGTCCCCGGCACGAAGCTCCCCGCGTACGCAACCGCGATCCTCAGCGGCCACGGGCACAAGCTACCGAACGTCGGCATCGCGACGAGCGGCGGCGGGCACCGCGCCGCGATCTTTGGCGCCGGCATCCTCAACGCGCTCGACGGCCGCAACGCGACGTCGGCCCGGGCCGGCACCGGGGGCCTCCTGCAGACCGCGACGTACCTCGCGGGCCTCTCTGGGGGCTCGTGGCTCGTCGGCTCCCTCGCGCAGAACGACTTCCCGACAGTGGAGGAGATGGTGTTCGGGTCCGCGACGACGACGGGGTGGCAGACGCAGCTCGATCTGCTCACCCCGAGCGCGAACGCGACGGTGGACAGCGCGTTCACCGCCGCGCTCTTCGGCGAGATCGCGGTCAAGTACTTCGAGGGCTTCCCGGTGACCATTGCGGACGTCTGGGCGCGCGCGCTGTCGCGCCATTTCTTGAACGGGACGACGGCGGACGACCTGCTCAACGCGTCGCTCGACCACGGCGCCGGGGTGACTTTGTCGTCCATCTCCAAGCTGTGAGCGTTTTTCGGCTGGCAGTAGATCTGATGAAGCTGATCTGACGCCACGCAGTCCGTCGTTCGTGTCTCACCAGCAGCCGTTCCCCGTCGTGCTCGCGAACACGTTGACGAGCAAGGACAACGGCTCAGAGTTCATCTTCCCGGACAATATCGTGCCTTTGGGCAACCCCATCTACGAGTTCAACGTCTGTAAGTCTCGAGATGATGTGATTTGTGGTGTGCGGTCCTGATCTCAGTATTGCTCCCACCTTGGCAGACGAGATGGGCTCTTTCGATCCCACGCTCGGCGCGTTCACTCCGACAAAGTATCTCGGATCGCCCAACAGCAGCGAGTGCGTGACGGGCTTCGACCAGATGTCCTTCGTCCAGGCCATTTCATCCAACCTGTTCACGGAATTCAATGTCACGGTGCGTACACCACAGTCTCGATGTTCTTACTACCGGCTTCTCACGCTTGTGATGCTCCAGGGTGTCAACATCAACGACACGGAGATCGGGCCCATCATCCAGGCATTGGAGGCCAATTTCCCCGAGGCTGGCATCCGGCTCGACACCTCCGCCGTGCCGAACCCCTTCAAGGGCGTGTCGCCTCACACATTTGCCGACGCGGACCAGGCGGTCCTCAACCTCGTCGACGGCGGCCTCGACGGCGAGGTCACCCCCTACCAACCCCTCCTCGTGAAGGCGCGCGGGGTGGATATGATCTTCGCCATCGACGCCGTCGCGGACACTGACGAAAACTGGGCCACCGGTCTGTCCATGGTGGTAAGCCTCTCCGCCCGCCGGTCCGCCGCGCACTCTGACGCCCCATTGGCAGGCCACCCAGCAGCGCGTCGAGAAGTTCTTCAACACGACGTACTCCTTCCCGCGCGTCCCGACGAACGAGTCCACATTCCTCAACGACGGCCTCACCCTTCGCCCGACGTTCTTCGGCTGCGCGGAGCCCGCGTGGAGCGCCGCGCCGCTCATCATTTACGTCGCGAACGGCGGGCCGCCCCGCGGCGGCGCGGCGGTGACGAACACGTCGACGAGCCAGACGGCGTACCCGCTCGCGCAGGTGCAGACGATGCTCGACTCCGCGTTCCTCACCGCGACGCAGGGCATGGCGGTCGAGAAGCACGGTAGGGAGATTGACGACCCGCTGTGGCCTGCGTGCCTTGCGTGCGCGGTCGTCGACCGCACGCGCCGGGACATGGGCGTGGCGCGCTCGGGGGTGTGTGCGACGTGCATGAAGGAGTATTGCTGGAGTTAGGTGGTAACTTATTCTTACGATCGCCGCCTGGCGACATGCTATTTACGCATAGGGACAGGAAAACTTGCTTAGCAGTACATTAGTCGTAACATGTAACGAAGATGATGATATTGACCTCGATGACTGCACGTCCAGTGCGGCAATCTCCGTCCGGATAGGCTATCTTCATATCAAAACTGTCGGAGAGGTGTACTACGAGTGGCGCCAAGTACCCGTGTACCCAGCCCAAGTTCGCCAGGTGAATTCGAACTCGGGGCCGGCCCAGCGTGACCACCCAGAAATATTCGAACCGGAGTGTTCTAAATGCGCCGGGAGTATCATTACCAGAGCCCTGGAGCACTCATCTATGCCATATATGAGTGTAACGATCAAGTGCGCATCCTATTAAGCGCCCATAGGACGGTGTTCGAACTGTGGCCTTGTGATACGTGACTGACCCCAGAAATTTCGAACTTTCGAAGGGGTTGTGCGTGTTACGTTCAAATATATCGAAAAATTACAGTAGTAGATGAGCCAGGGGACTTCAAGGGCCAGGCTGCTTACCTGGAAGCTGCACTGAAGTGACTCGATGGTATTGAGCGGCGCTCAATATCTGGTGAGGGCCGCGGAACCCGAAGGACGCGCGCCGTCGAGGGGAGCGTGGGTTCGCGAGGGAGTGACCACCTGCATCGCGGCTACCTGTGGAAATACTGGGAACGTACGGTCAGGTCCGCACTCATTTGGTCGGGCTCAGCTCGACCTTGGCTCGACGGAGCCGCTGTGCGGGCGATTCCATTTTTTGAACCCCGAAACATGTAACCAAGATAATGTCCATAAAAAGTGTATGAATTACGCATCCAGTGCCGCCACGCCGTGCGCACGAGTGCCTCTGCGGAGGGGGAGCGCGGCTTGATGACACATTCCAATCCATCGGATACACAAGTGTAGTGTCTGTGCACTTCGGTTCCGGCTTGGGTCCTGGCGGGAGCGATATCGACAGCGTGTGGAGGACGCTCGAGATCACCGTGAAGATCTGCATCTCCGCAAAGTGCATCCCGGGGCAAATCCTGCACCAAACCGGGCGGAGAAGTCAGCTCAACGCGGAACCACTGGTGCAACGTGTTTGCGAACCTTCGCCCGTAGCCGAAGATGTATGAAACCGGATCGAGCACATCGGGGTTCAGCTTGCCGTCCTTCAGGAACCGTTCGGGCGGAAGACTTCGGGTTCGGGGTACATGTCAGCATCGCGCGTGAATGCGCTGGATTCCCATGTCAGCTGTTGGAGGGTCGCATGTGACGGGGATTCGACGCACTAGACGTTCCACAAGACCGCGCATTCGTTGGGGATGCGGTAGCCGTTGTATCGTTCGCCTCTGTTGAGCGATGAGCAACACCCAGAGGGACCACGGCTTCCATCGCATGACCTCTTGAGCAGGCGGAAACGTATGGCAGCTGCTCGCGGTCCGTCGACGAAGGAAAGCGATCGGGGCCGATGACGGCGTCGAGCTCGCTTGCGCGCGCTCCTGCGCCTCGACGTTGTGCGCCATTGCCATAAAGAACATCTGCAGCGTCGCGAGAGTCTGGAGGAGCAGCGTCAGTCTGGAAACAGCTCGACGCGGGACGCGCATACCGTCTCTGAACCCCCGGCGTAGGCAGACGCAGCCGCGCCCTTTGCGTACACCTCGTCGTCCGGCTCCTCAAAACGCGCCGTCAAGGTGGTCATCATGGACTCCGTCACCTTTCCCTCTTCCTGCACACCTGATCAGCCTCCGCGCGAGCGAGCGATAGGGGCATGCACACTGACCATCGCCGCCTTCGCGGCATCCCACGCGACGTCCCGCTGAGCGTGCGCTCGCGCGCGCCACTGGTCCGCTTGTACTTGAAGCCGCCCCGGGGAGCCACGCGGGCAGGAAGCGGAGCCAGGGGAGCATCGCGACGGGGTGGTTCCCGAACCGGAACGCGTCGTCGAACGACTGCTGCGCGTCCGCGGCGATGCGCACGTACTTGTCGTTCCCCGGCGCGTGCACGTCGAGCCCGTAGGCGACGCGGATGATCGACGCGCTGAACATGCTGGAGGGTGCGCGGAGGCGCGATCAATGGCGGTGGGGAGGGGAGGAAGGGTGCGCGTACTGGCGGGCGTGGTCTTTCCACTCGGACGGGTCCTCGAGCAGGCGGTGGAGGTATCGCCGCACCTCGCGTTCCTGGATGGGGCGGTAGGGTTCGACTGCGCGGCCGTGCATGCATTCGTGGAACATGCGGCGGGCGCGGCGCCAGGCGGGGCCGTAGGGGTTCGTGGCGAAGAACCAAGTGAACCCTGCGCTGCAGCAACCTTCAGAGTCGATTTACTGGGACTAGAGTAACAGGGACGTACAGCTCGGCTATGGTCGAGATACGGCGGTCGGCGTAGATACGAGAGCGCTTATCGAGGAGGTCAACTGCGACAGAGTGCGAGCCAAGGATGAGGAGGTGGTTGCCGAACATATTGAGGTAGAGCAGAGGCCCTGTGAGACATATGAGCTTCTTTTGGAAGAAGAGTGCCAATGAGAGTGTACCGTATTCTGCGTTGAAGCGGGTCAACACCTCCACGCGGTTCTTCTGAGGCATGTCCTTCGTGTTACCAAAGATAAAACGTCCTGGAGGCCCTGGAGGAAGCGGAAGCTTGCTACTCTGTCTTCGCCTGTACAAGATCATACCACCAAGCTGGCCGCCAGGGCACCTACCGGTAGCTGAAGGTCCTCCAGGCGCATAGTGGTGGATGTTGCGGAGAGAGCCAGGGAACCAGGCGCTTGTGACGGTCTGCGGAGATTTCACTAGCAGGCGTCTGTTTGATGTCCTGTCAGACTCACAAGGCACCGCGCGGGCTGACAGTGTGACTCGCAGTGGAACATCAAAGCGGCATTTGTCGTGCCTGCCGCTCATGGTGGACCATGTGGCATATGGGCGAGGTTGATGAAGTTGACTGGGAGAGCGACGGTAATCACGATTACGGCATAACACCCCACGGCGCCCGGCCTGACTCCGAGATTTAAGTTGAACCGGTAAACAAAAAGCACAGAAGCAAACCCAGTGCGTATAGATATGAGTATTGACATGTCTGACGCATTGGGTATGAACAGAGGATGAGGATTGGGGGTCGTGGGATCTAGTAGGCTGGCCCAATATACCAACTATCAACGCTGGCGATGTGGACTGGGTCGGGCGAGAGAGAATCACTGGACAGCCCGTACTCCATTGAGTTCGATGCAGCTCGCGCGGATGAGAGCCTCACGCTCGGCGGAGGTGGACTTGATCTCGCATCCGAACGGCTCGGGATACCTAGGTCGTAAGAATGACGTCAACACTCCGACGAGAGGTTTGAAAAGGAGGGCGCTCACGCTAACACCCCTTGAGTCATCTTTCCAGAGGGGAAGACGGGCATGCCATTGGCATCTATGGGAGCGGTGATATTCAGAGTGTGCAGGACGGTCGCAACGACCATGAAGAGCGACGTCTCTGCGAAGTGCATGCCAGGGCAGATGCTGCGTGTGATGAAGCTTGTAAGAGCAAAGTTATGAGGGGGTCGTCGGATTCCTCACCGCCGGCCGTACCCAAACGCAATCGTGGAGGGATCGCGCACGCTGGGGTCCAGCTTCCCGTCCTTCAAGAACCGCTCTGGCATGAACCGCTCCGGGTCGGGGTAGACCTTCTCATCGCGTGAGTAGGCCCTAGGTAGGGATCAGCAAGAGTGCTGTCAAAAGCGCAGACTCTTACCAGATATTGGCGATGATGAGAGCGCCCTTCGGGATGAAGTACCGCGGTATTCGTCGTCTTCTAGGGAACGATGGGGGACTCCGAGGGGGACAACAGAGCGCCAGCGCAGACACTCCTTGATCACTGCCTGGATGTAGGGCAGCGACGGCCCGTCTTCCTTCTCGGGTAGGCGGTGGGGGCCCACGACGGACATGAGTTCCGCCTGCGCCTTCTTCTGTACCTCGGGGTATAACGTCATCGCCATGAAGAAAGCCTGAACGGTGGACAACGTCTGGCGACGGAGAGGATAGTGAGCAGCTGAAGGTACAGGCCCGACTGAAGGGGCTCACAGTGTCCGCTCCTGCAGCGTATGCAACCGCGGATGCGTTCCGGCCAACTTCCTCCTCCGCGGCGTCAGGGGACGGCATGTTGTTCATGCGTTCCATGAGTCCCATCGCCATAGATGGACGTGCCGTGCCTTTGCGCTGTGTACGGAGGTAACATATTTTTAGGCAACAGTGACATGCACGGACCATCGCATCTTTCGTTGCTTCCCAAGGAACGGTGAAAAGCTGTTCGACGGCCTTGGTCCAGACGCCCCATCTCGCTTGAACCCGGCACCAGGCATCCATGACGGCAGGTGCCGAAGCACCGGGAAAACCTCCACGAGGTACTTGCCGGGCTTGAAGACAGACGAGAATATGGCGACGACGTTTTCCGCCATCGTGAGATAGTCGGTCTCGTCCTCGTCGACTTCAATACCGTACGTCACTCGCATCACCGAGGACCCAAAATAACTGTGTGCCGTCAGATGGTGCTTGACACAAGCCAGCGACTAAGTAACGTACTGTCTGATGTGGTGGAGGAAGTCCTCCGGGGTATCGATCAGACGGCGGGCGAAGCGGTGCGCCTCAAGCTTCTGGGAGGCCGCGTACTGCGCCACGGCGTTCGGATTGAAGTACTGGTGCATGGCACGACGGTGACGGCGCCACCAAGGACCGTACCCCTGCACGGTCAATGTCCCGGAAAACCAGCGCTGTCTAAGGAGAAGACGTCAAAGCATGGTCGCAGGTTTGAAGTGGTGCGCGTACATTTGCACCATTGGCGACGGCGACCTGTCCGAATAGTTCGCCGAACGCTTCTCTAGCAAGTCGACGGCGGCCTCGTGAGAGCCGAGGATGATCATGGGCTGTCCAAGGACATCCAAATGCACGACATCGCCTGGACATCACGGTCAGTTCTAGCACGAAGACTGGCTGACAGATGATGTACACTCACCGTATTTCATGCACATGTCGCGAAACGTCTCGGGCATCTCCGACTTGGGCATGTCGAGGGCGTTGCCTATGAGCGGAAGTGGACGAGGTCCAGGGGGTAGAGGAAGGGAGATAGAGCGTTTCTTGCGTTGGAGAGCAGCGACGACCAATGCCGCAAGTACAAGTGAAATGGCGAGTGGAATTGGGAGAGACATCGCGTGCAGTGAAGAGGCTACCGAGTTGGATGGTGGGCCATAGTGCTCAGAGTTCATATATGCAGCCCAAAGCGAGTCTCCGCCGCGTAGGAGGTCGGCGATTAAAACCCCGTAGAAGCTGCGTTGCATTGACAGCAACCATGAGAATGCACTTCCGCTGTCAGAAAGATTTGAGCATGCTTATAATTTCCCATACGGACATTCACGGTGCCTTTACGGAGAAGTTCAGTGTGTTATGAGCACTGCTTATTGCGCAGAGATCCGAGTTGTACCCTCAGATACTAACTCTGTCTGTACGGGTATGGGACACATATTTGAGTAAGAAACCGATACTGGCTGCTGGCAGCATCGAGATGATGGAGAGGCTTACTTTGGTTTTGTTACATGCCGGTGCCGCTTGGACTATCTGCCATACCGTTCAGAAACGGAGACATTCGGGAAACTCGGATGTTCCTCGTCTGTGGAATGTCTAAACTTCTTCCCGGAGATATCACACCCGACACGTACCTCAAACTTCACAAGACAGTACTGTGTCAGTTTGAAACAATACGAGAAACGCAAGGACGCGTCTAGGTCGACCTCCGAGTGTTGTCGGTTGAACGGACGTAGCAGGTGAATAGGTGAACCTCCTACCATTCGTCTGATTACGGAGAACTTCCAATGGAGCGTCATTCTTGGAGGGGCCTCGCAACATGGCTTGAAAATGGAAGAAATCCCGGTCGAGTCGGAGGTTCAGATTCTGTATTTCGAAGCCGGCCTAGCGGACACCTGATTAGTCAAGTCGGCGACAAGAAAACAGAAGATATACCACTTCTATTTAAAGCCAGAATGTCATCCTGTAAAGGGTTCGGCGCGAGCCCGCACGAGAAAGAACCCTTGCGCCGGTACAGGTCGGAGTTGTGGGAGACTCAATAGTGCTGTCTACCATTCGATACCGACAAGGACGCGTGCAACGTCGTAGGCGTCGACGACTGGGTCGCTCCGACGCATGCTGTCGGAGTGCGGCTCGCGGCTCGCCGTCGACGTCGCGCATGGAGGCACCTACGATGAAGAGAGAGAGAGAGATAGCGAAAGTTGCTGCGATTCCGAGCATCTCATGACGGTGCCGGGAGAAGCCGGGCCGGAAGAAAGTTGAAACAGACGCCCAGAGGCGTGAGCCGCGTGCAATCAGGACCCCGGCAACTTCCGACGATGTCTTCACGGCGACTTGTCGTTCAACTGCCGCTCCTCAGGCCTAAGTCACCCGTCCCTGGTCCTCATCCATCTCGCACCATGATTGTACACATGCCGTAAATATCTCTTTTCGGAATCTTCAAGAAATTGCCCTAAGTGGAAACAGAAATAAAACAGAAACCGAGGCTGAGGTCTAACTTTTCACAGCTGTCGCATGTTCGTGTCCCATTCACAACCATCACGTCTCTCTCATGAGATATAAGTTCAGGCAACTATCAATGGTACGACCCGCTCTTCACATATCGAGCGCTCACCTTGCTAGCAGTACTTATCCGGACTCGACGCTGGGGGGCTCACGAGCTTCAAAAGTGACTGTGGCCCTTGACTGCAGTGGCAGGAGTCCGCGTCAGCACCATTACAAATTCGCGCAGCAATCGTCGCAAGGACCCTTCTCGTCCCTGAGTTCGAAACGACGCGGGCCGATGACGTACGTGATCGTACCTACCGACTGGTGGCTCGGTACCGACTGGCTGTCGCTTGCACGGGCCAAGTCAAAGTGTAGCACTCGGCACTTCGTACACGGCGAGGGGGTGTCCAGGCATATAAAGCTTGTATAAAGCTGCAGGTATGCCTCCTCCGAGATTGAACAGTACTCCCTCGCCATCCGCCTCGACTCCAACCTCGAATTACCACATCAGCAAAATAGGTGCACACACGACAGGGCTCTATAGTACACTGTAGTATGTCAGAGGGCGCTATCATTGTTTGTAGTTCAGATGAACAATGATCCGATAGTATCCATGTTTGGTAGATTAACAGCGGTGACGATCGGCATTCATCTGCATCTGTCGGACAAGACACCGTCCGATCGGGCATGATCAGACGCCAGTGAACGTCAGATCGAATCCCAGTGTGTGTATGATCATTAGCTGGCCCATGTATGATACAACATTATCTGTGCAGCCGCTATACTACAGTGCATGATTGACCCAACAAATAACTGTCGAGTGCGAACAGACACAGGTGTTGACGTCCATTATGGACCATACAACAGGTCATAGGTTACAGAATGCCTGGTGCGTTACAATCGACCGACGTCATGCACACACTTATAACAGACATGCGGCACAAACCATTGTATTACTAGTTTATATCGAGTAAGGTACACATCAGAAAGAGCGGCAGGAACGCGGCCGTTGGGCTGATAGTGCGTAGGTGATAGAAATGAGGGATCATAGTAGACTCGTGACGGCATCCGAACTGGCCCGAGAAGTTGACGACGTGCTGGTCGGGCGCCCTCTGTGCGCGCGCCGGGGCAATGCAATGTGCTGCAGGGACCAGTCGTCAGTAATGATATAATGCGAGCAGATAGTAGTAGACGTCACATGCTGGATGCCATATCTAGGCTTGAAGCTGCTCGTCCTCGTCAGACAAGTGAACTGAGCTTGAGCGGCGGCTGTTCGACGGTTCATCGTGGTCCGAGTGGTCCGATTCCTCGGGCCCGTCGAGAATTTGCATGAATGCCGTATTCCTGTACGCCACCGAGTTGGAGCGATCTTCACCAAATATCTTCCTGGAAGATTGTGTTGTGTAAACTATGTGAGTTTGCGTATGAAAACGAGACCTCCAAAGTCACTTACGGCAGCCACCACTTCTTGAGATCTGCCAACCACCGCTTCTTGAAGCGGGCGGTGACGAGCATAGCAGCGACGAACTCTTGAACATCCCAGTCCCCATGCGTCATCACCCACTCCGGTTCGTCAGTGAGGCAGAAGCGAACCTGGAGATGGAGAATGTTAGCATGCGGCAACGAAGCGGAAATGAATCCGGCACGAACAAGAGAGGCGATCCAAACAATCGAATAGAACGTGAAATCACAACGTGTGAGATTGTACTGCCGCATCAGAGGCAGCTGCCCCCGGCCGGGCTGTTCATGGCCAGCTGCGACGTTGGCGTTGCGGGGGCTGCAATACACTGACCTGTAGGCCTTGATTCCAGTGAGATTTGGCGTAATGAGCACAAGCACGACACTGAACGGTGCCTACCTTGACGAGCAGAGTGCTTCGCATCAGTCCGGGAAGTGGCTCACCGGGCTGAGCCTCTCGAAGGTCGTAAAACGCAGTGATGAAGTCAGGCCCGAGAGGAAGAAAGTCGCCACTAGCACCGTCCGTACAGAATCTGGATCGCATCACTGGGCATCAGCATAGCGTCAGGGGATGGGCTGCAAGATGTCAGCTCACTGATCGGGATCTCTGTCGAACTCGTCGAGCATCAAGTACGGCGTAAGGAGACGCCCTGTGTCGTAATTTTTGAAGCCCCGGAGTCTCTTGTTAGCGGTGAGTTTATCACTCCCATCTGGTATGCCGGCGAGCTTGATGATGAGGGGCTTGAGACGCATCAAATCATCGCTGCGAGCCTTGCCCTCAACCTTTGTGAGCTGGAACGGAGAGTGTTATTAGAACCCGGGACAATTATGTCAAATTCAGAGCTTACATAGTCCGCAATGCGATCGAGAAGCTCTGGGTGTTCGTGAAGCAGGTCGATGTTGTCTTTAAATCCAGGGAAAATGCTGTAAACGTGAGCGAAGACATCTCCCTCGTACTGATAAAGAGGCGATTCGCGATCGTCGGACCTAGGAGATATTCAGACAATGAACGAAGAAGAGATGAACACCGATCTACATACATGGATTCCTCCCCAGTGACGAACGAAGCGAGTCCGATGGGCAGGAGAACGGAGTACGGAACGCATGGGCCGACAAGCCGTGGTATCAAACGAGCCATCTTATAGATATTCTCGTAGCCGTTGGCCACACGTGTGGGACGTCTGAGAAATATCCAGGGAATGTGCTCAACACGGGGTGGCGAGAACATGACAGGAGGCGAACTTACCCGGCACGAGAATCGAGAAGCCTGATAGTACGAGCCCACGGACCAAGGTCTTCGGTTTCGGGACCGGCGGGATCTACAGATGGTGGGTGAGGAGCGTTGCCGGCGGTCGGCGTTGCCGGCGGTGGGGTAGACGGTGTGGAGGCCTGCTCGGATGGTCTGGTACGTGTTGCGGCAGGAGTGTTCCCAGTCTGAGCGAAATTATATCCTGCGGGGGACGACCGCCGTCCTCCGTGCTCCCCTTCGGCGCGTCGTTTACGGGAGGTAGAAGGAGCGGACGGGGCAGGGGTCTGCGGCTGAGAATGACCCCTCCCGGGACCGGGGTGTGATTGGTGATATGGGCGAATCATGTCGGAATTGAGTGCTCACCTGAGAAGCCACCCTCCCGCTCCCCATAGAACGGTTCAGCGCCAGCGCTGCACCTGTTGTCTGTCGAAGATTGGAGAATCCTGCCATGAGAGGGGAAACAAAGAGAGGGAAAAGGATGTGTACTGCCGCAGAGCACGCACCATTGGTATAAATTCCTGAGTTCAGCCAAAGCCTGGGCCCATGCTCATGTTGGCTAGGGCACTGTTGCTAGACGGGATGACACTGTTTAACGCGCTTGAACCTGCGGGGGGCAACGAAAGCGTGCATGTCTGCCAGATCATCTCGTCGGCGGTTGGTCAGAGTTACCCGCTGTCAGATAGGCAGCAACACCAGACGGCTTCAAGAGTCTTGTCAGCAATATGAACTGTCAGAAATTTTCGGACTCACTGGTGCATGACTGAACAGGCCGGACAGCGATCCGGCGAACACTTTGTCCTCCACCACCATATCCCTTCCGCCGCTGTCCCTCTCAATCGCCTAGAAGCAATATCCAACATGAGCTCGCGGCGCAAACACAAGTGCAGGTATGCGGGATGCACTTACGAGCATGAGAACTGGTCCAGTGTTCGTGTTCATGAAGGTCGATGGTGCACATTCCAGGCGACATCGAGCACACACATTCTGGAGGAACAGACGAAGGATCTTGAGGAGAGGGCTAGAAAGCGTGTGCGCGTGGAGCAGGAGGCATCAGAGCAGGCCGCGAGAGCAGAGAATGTGCGTACTACCCAGTCTTCTGTGTGGTGGATGATTGGAGTTGACGAGATAACCGGTGCAGTTCTGGACGCCTCTCGCTGACCTAGGAGCCGCCAGCACTGATATCCCACCTACATCTCGCTCGGGACGCCGAATTCGAGCCCCGCGCGCTCTTGCTGACTTTGTGCCCTCATCCAACAGTCTCTTGCCATCCCAATACGACTCCCTCCTCCCTCCTCCCTCTCCTCCCTCTATCGAAACCTCAAGCGCTCCTCTCAATCCTCCTTCTACCTCCCCTGCTGAACGAGATGAATTCACCGTGGATCTCAACGGCTACGGTGTGTATCGCGTCTACTTCGTGCGCCCACACGAAGATCCCGAGGCGGAGCTCTCCCTCGAAGACCGCTGCGACGCCCCTGGACTCTCCTCAAACTTGGACGCCTCTACTTCCCCGGCCGGGACAGCTCCGCACATCAAGATACCTGCTGCCAAAACCGTACAGTGGGTCGTCAAGTATCTTCAGCGCGTATTCGGAGACCAGTCTCTTCCCCCCGATGAAGAGACTGGCAACGTCCATGTCCCCCTCAGTGACGAAGAGGAGCGTGCTCGCTACGCACCCTTCATGAACCGAGGCCAAGCGCGACTCGCCTACTGGTGGAAAGCTTCTTCGGGCACAAAATCAAACGAAGATTTCAACGACCTTATCCATGTCCTATCATCCACCGGTTTTGACGATCGACCGATCACCGAGGGTGGTTTCTCTGCAGAGAAGGTCAATCGTGCGCTCGACTCCTATGAGGATGCGACTGGCATCTTCTCTGGCGACGACGGGTGGAATGAGAAGTGCCTGGAGACGCCGCTCCCGAAAACACACACCCCTTTCCGTGACGAGGCATCTCATCCGACTTTCCCTGTCCCCGGCTTTCGCTTTCGCCGACTTCTTTCTCTCCTCAAAGCCGCGGTCATGGACGAGACCACAGAGTATGTCAATCAACACCACTGGATCCCGCACGAACTATACTGGCGTCCTGATCACGTCGCTTCTACCCCCGCTGGTGAGTGTTCAAGTAAGAGTCCCCCCAGAATGTTTCGCTTTTCTCATGCGCTGTGTAGACCCTCAACCACCACCCATCCGGATCTTCACAGACATCTTCAACTCTGATGAGATGTTGAAGGAGGCGGAGACGCTCCGCACTATGGCTCGCAATCCAGCGGATCCTGCCGACCTTGAGTACGCCGTTCTCCCGCTGCTCATCTGGTCCGACGCCACGCAACTCTCAAATTTTGGGTCCGCATCCCTGTGGCCCATTTACGTGTACCTCGGCAATGTTTCCAAGTACGTCCGTGCCCGCCCTACCTCCTTCGCCGCGCACCACCTTGCATACATTCCCGATGTACGTGATTCCTTTCCCAGTGGGATGCTGTCATCTGCTGACACGGGCCACGCCGCCATACCACCTTAGCTTCCCGACTCCTTCAAGGAATATTACACGAACCTGTATGGCAGGCCGCCATCTTCGGATGTCCTAAAGTTCTGCAAACGCGAGCTGTTCCAACAAGTCTGGCTGGCGCTCATGGATGATGACTTCATGACGGCGTATGAGCATGGGTTTGTGGTCACCTGCGGGGACGGCGTGACCCGTCGTATGTTCCCCCGGTTTCTCACGTATTCCGCTGATTATCCTGAGAAGTAAGCAGTACTCCACATTGCCGCCCGCGCCCATTCTCACACACGACACAGGATTCTCGGAACTGCATTGCGACCACTAGCCAAATGTCCATGCACGCGATGCCTCGTCTGCAAAGAGGACATCGCTGATTCAGGCCTTCCGACCGACATGTCCAACCGCGAGACCAAGAAGCGGGTAGATGATAGCAACGTTCAAGATGCAATCGCAGCGGCAAGACGCGCCGTTTTCAAAGGACGATCGCTCGCAGGCAAGTACGTCAAGGTTCACCTTGATGACCGCTCTCTCAATCCTATCCGTGTAAGTACTACCTGCTGTACAATTAACTGCTCGAGCACCGGCTCATTTCAGTTCATACAGAGTGCGTTCTCAGAGCGGCTCGCAAGCTTTGGGTTCAATGTCTATGACTTGTTCGCCCCAGACCTCATGCATGAATTCGAACTCGGGGTATGGAAGGGCACGTTTCAACACCTCATGCGGCTCCTTGACAGCGACACCCGAGGAGGTGATTCACTCGCGTCATTCAACAGCCGGTATGTGCGCTATTCTCCGCTATCAGTGCCGTTTCTGATCTCTTAATTCAGGATGCGTTTGATGCCGACCTTCGGCAGTGGTCGTATCCGACGATTCTGGCACGATGCATCCAGTCGAAAGCGCCTGGCCGCGCGTGATTACGAAGCGTACCTGCTGGTGAGCTGGGTTCTGGCCCCACTTGATGTACTTAGCCTAACCGTCCGGTGTTTATGTTCCAGACTATCATGCCTGCGTTTGATGGCTTGCTTGCTGATAATAACGATAATCATATCGTCAGCAACATGCTTTTTGAGTTAGCCAACTGGCACGCATTGGCAAAGCTACGCCTACAAACTGACATCACGATCGACATCATGGCGACATCGACACTGCATATGTACGCGTCGGTACGCAAGTTTGCAGACACCACATGCACCCGACATACTACCTATGAGACCGGTGCTGAAGCGGAGACTCGGGTCCGCCGGGAGACCGCCCAGCCGCATCGGAAGTCTCGCCCAGCGGATACAAGACGGAAACGGAAGGACTTCAGCGTAAATAAGACATACAAGTACCACGCACTCGGGCATTGCGTGGCCTACATTCGCCGACGTGGACCGTTGGACGTCTACAGCACCCAAACAGTATGTTCCGGCTCATGTTCAACGCTTTCAGCTCTCACTAATCATATGCTTATAGGGCGAGTTGGAACATCGACACGTCAAGAGGTTCTATTCACGCACTAATAAGGTTCGCTACATACCGCAACTCGCCAGCCAAACTCGCCGCGCCGCGCTGCTGCAGAAGATCAAGCACCGCGATGTCGGCTTTGTCCCTCGCCGCGAGCTCGCATACCATCAAAAAAGGGCTGCAACCATGCTTCAAGAGTCGTCCGAGAGGCTATCTACCGCACCCATGCACGGTGTGAACGGATCTGTTCCGGAGGGAGATAACGACGCAACGGACTCTGTCGGCTGTGACCCGCATGCCAAGTACAACGTCGGCCAGTCCCGCAACGACTCGGTGAAGATTTTCAACTGGCTTGCATCAAACCGCACCGATCCTGCGATTGTGGTGAGTACTCGGAGATACATAGCGCACGGGCAGAACCACTGGTCTCACGTTGTTTCTAGGATTTCCTTCCAGCTTTGCGTCGGCATTGCTTTGCACGTTTGTTTTCCAGTGACAGGACGGCTTTAGAAGAGCGCCCTTTGAACCCGGCAGAGACCATTGGCCTCCACATCCACGACACACGCATCTACAGGCACAAAGTGATTCGGTTCAACTACTCGACGTACGACATGCGCCGAGACCAGGATTCAGTCAATCCACGCACCCATTCGGACGTCATGGTCTGGGCACCTGACACAGACGCGATCGTGGCGGACACCCCTCATCTTCAGTACAGCTACGCCCGAGTCATCGACATCTTCCATGTGTATGTCTCCTACGTTGGCCCAGGATCCACCGCCTACACACAACGCTCCCATCGTCTGGACGTTCTCAGAGTCAGATGGTTTGAACACGACCCAACATATCAGTCAGGCTTCGCCCACCGCCGCCTTCCCCGTGTCAAGTTCGTTCCACATGAAGACCCGACTGCGTTTGGATTCTTGGACCCGGCGTGCGTCATCCGCGCATCATACCTCCTTCCCGCGTTCGATATGGGTCGTACACAAGAGCTACTTCCACCGAGTCCTCTCGCGCGTGTGACTTCCGGAGATAAGGATGACGAAGACTTCGCCGGGTTTCATGTATGCATGTAAGTGTCTTCCCCAGGCTGCGTGCGCATTTTCTCATCGACTTTCAGGTTCGTTGACAGAGATATGTATATGCGTTATCTCGGTGGTGGGGTTGGTCACAGGGAGGAGTTCATCACGGTAGAGCAATCACGCATGCATGCCTTGCGCGCCGAGGCCGATCACGACAAGGACATCGGTGGTACGCTCACCGTTCACGATTTGCCACCTATATCACACCATCTCATTCTCCTTTCCTCCCCCCAGATGCCGCACTGAGCCCCGCCTCAGCCGACGGCCATCCACCGCCCCCGGATGCTGTAGGCCTTGACCCCACTTCAGTCGTCGGAGGTAGTGAACACATAAGGCTTGATGAAGACGACGATGCATGTGATGAAGAAGACGAGGAGATGGAGTGCTCTGATGAGTCGCACAGTGATGAAGAATACGACCTGGAAGACCTGGACGATGCTGACGATGACGACGAAAACCATATGCTCGAAGATCTCGACGATTATGAGGACAACGTGTATGAAATCGAAGGTTTTGCTCGGCCCTAGGACCACTCCCCATGCAACTCCTGGCGCAGTGCTCGCACCACCCTCCTCCTCCCCTGCCTCATCCTCAACCGGATGGACCCCGCGCTCACCTACCACCCTAGGCTCCTAGCGTGGATCGTCGTCGCGCGCGGGCGCCCAAACGCGAACGCGCTCCCGCTCCTCCTCCTCTAGGCGCTCGCTCGTCGAGGGCTCCACCGCGATGTCGTCCAACTTCATCCAGCCGTTCATCTACGTCTCGAACCGCCACGCGAAAGCGAACGCACCGGACCCGGGCGGAGACGCAATCGCCATCTTCGCTGTCGAGCCCGAGCTGAAGCTCGTCAAGCACGTCTTCACCAGCCTGAGCCAGGTCCGCGGCATGGAATTCTCCGGGTCCGCGTGTGACAGCGAGTTCCTCGCTGCCACCTGGGTTGTGGGCAACGCAGGCGTCGTCGTGTTGCGCCGCACCGCGGGCGAGGCCGACCTCAAGATCGTGGCGAGCAACAAGGACGTGCCGACGCGCTCGGCCGTCCGCGTCGCCCTCGTACGCTTCATCCCTCAGGCTCCCACGTATGGAAGACCCGCAACTGACGGGCACAAACACAGCGGCGCAAGCTCCAATCCGTCCACTGGCACTGGCCATTCCCTCCCCCCCTCTCTGGTCGCACGCTCGAAGAGACCGCCGCGCTCTTCAACGGCGAGCAGCAGCCGCACAAGCTCGATCAGATTGGCGACGCGGCCACGCGCGGGCCCGAGATCTGGACCGAGCAGGAGAAGAAGTCTGCCAGCGACCCGCATGACCGACACTCCGCTTTCGCGCCCGTCGAGGGGTGGCAGCACCTCGCGAGAATCAGTCTGAGCTGGTGTCCTCACCGGGGCAGTCCGCCGCGGGGGGCCGCATGGAACTCCACGTGCTCCTCCGTGGAGTCAGGGGGTGTACACGAGTCGTGGACGGTCTCTGTCTGTCACCGGTGAGTCTCCGTCTGCCGCTTAGGCGTACTACGAGACGCAGGATACGAGTGCCAATTCCTTTCTACGTAGTTTGTGGATCGCAGGGGATGCCGCGAGACTGCCGCACGGTGCTCGCGATCGCGCTCACCGGCGGCCCCAGGGCTCAGCGTCATCCTGAACGTTGAGCCGTTCTGGAAAACATGACTCGCCTAATTTCGGTACAGCAGACGGTGCTCGGCGCGAGGGAGAGACCTTGGGTACGGATAGGCCTAGTTACATATTCCCGCAACTTGCCAACAATGTATATGATATTTCTTCGTGATCTACCTTGATGCCTGCAAGATAGTCGGACCTCTGCTCTTCATTCCTCCCATACTGCCCATCCCTCCTCCGACTCATGTAGATGCTCCAGATGCTCCGTCAGCACCAACCAGCCGCTCGACAAATGAACTTCAACGGCATTCTAGCTCCTTAGCTTGAACCCTGCACAACAGCTTGTATCTATCATAGTACATATGGCTCCCTAGTGCTCCATCAATCAATGTCTTACCAGATTATCATCGCTCGAGCAGAGCCCTACAAGACGCACGCCGATCGTGTCCGATCATTGGACATCTGGTCTGACGATGTCTGGCGTCTGCTGAGCTGACATCATCTGCGTTCGCCAGGCGCTATAGCGCTCGTTCGGCCACCCCTCGTTTTGCTGATGCACTCTTCTAGGGCCCCATCGATGCCGTCGTTGCTCCAGGTCTTACACACTGTCTCGCCCGCCCAGGCGTATGTGCTTCTGGCATGCATCGTCCTCGTCTCCATCATCTACTACAAGAGTCGTCCTCCCCGCTCTCGCCTTCCTCTCCCTCCTGGCCCCAAGCCGTTACCGCTGATTGGCAACATGCTCGACATACCCAAGACCATGTCTTCCGCCGAATATTATGCTCTCTCTCGGAAATATGGTATGTACCTTTTCCGTCGATTGCGAAGACGCGTTGATCCGGAAATGTAGGCGATATTGTATATCTCAACGCCATGGGAAATTCAATGATACTCCTGGGGTCCATGGAAGCTGCGAACGAGCTGTTGGAAAAGCGGGCTACGAACTACTCTAACAAACCAGGGTCAGCCATGGCGAATCTGTGAGTGATTTCGTGCTCGAGGAACGATCAAGCTCATTCTGGATGGAAGTATGGAGATGGGGTGGAACCTGGCGCTGATAAACTACAACGACTACTGGCGCAAGCAGCGCCGTGAGCTCCACCGCTTCACTGGACAGCCCGCTGCCATCGCTCAGCACGGGCGCGTACTAGAGAAGCATGCCGCAACGTACCTCGTCTCCCTGCTGAAGAACCCTGGCCGCTACAGCGAAGATGCGCACCTGTGAGTTCTCTCCCGCCTGATGTTCGTGCCTGTGCGACGGATATCCGACAGAACCCTCGGGAAGGTGATCATGGAGCTCTCATACGGCATCAAGGTGAAGACATACGACGACGACTACCTGAAGCTCGTGCAGGAGGGAAACGACATTTTCCAGAAGGCCTTCGTCCCCGGCAAGTATCTCGTCGAGACTTTCCCGGTGCTCAAGCACATCCCCGCGTGGTTTCCGGGCGCGACATTCAGGCGCGAGGCGGCCGGGTGGCGCGCGACGTACGGAGCCGTGCGGGAGCGGCCGTTCGCTGCGGCGATGGAGCACATGGTCAGCATCATCCCCACACTTCGCTCGCCTGCAGTTCGCTCAGATGCCGTTACAGCATCGCGGAGATGAGGCGGCGGCGGCGTCTGTCGCAGGAGTCATGGTCAGGTCCGCCCAAGACGAGAACGGGCGTATCTCCCCGGACGACGAGGTGCTCGCGCAGAACGTCGCGAGCACGGTCTATGTCGGTGCGCGCATTTCCCGCGTCTGCCATCCGTCCCTCCAGCGTGTTGACGGATGCTTGATCTCATTGTGCCGCACACAGCGGGAGCCGAAACAGTGCGTCTCGCATGACCTTGCTGCATGCTGTGCGCTCGTGCTGACCTTGCGGCGCGCGCCGGCTCCCTCCCTTCGCAGACGCTGACGACCATTCGAATGTTCTTCCTCGCAATGGCCACGTACCCGGCGGTGCAGAAGCGCGCGCAAGAGGAGCTCGACGCGGTCATGGGGCCCGACCGCCTCCCCACGCTCGCGGACCGCGCGGCGCTGCCGTACGTCGACGCCGTTCTCAAGGAGTGTCTGCGGTGGCACCCGATCCTGCCCCTCGCGCTTCCGCGAACATCGGCCGAGGACGACGAGTATCGGGGGTATCACATCCCTGCTGGGACGACTGTGCTCGCCCACTCGTGGTGCGTATGGCTCCGGCTCCGGCGGTTGCAGAGCGCGCAGTAACTGAAGACCGCACGGACGGTGCTTTGTGCAGGGCGTTCTCCCGCGACCCGAAGTACTACCCTGACCCAGAGCGGTTCTCCCCGGAGCGGTACTTCACGGCTGACGGAAAGCCCAACAAGAACGTGATGGACCCCCGAACATTCGCTTTCGGATATGGGCGTCGGTAGGTGCCGAAACGGCCACACGTATACTGAGGCTCTTCTGATGATTCCCAGTATATGTCCCGGCCGCAACCTGGGAGAGGCGGCGGTATTTGTGACGATCGCGTCGGTCCTGCACGCGTTCAACGTCGAGCCACCGCTCGATGAGAGCGGACGACCTGTGGTGCCCAAGCCGAAGTTCGCGGCCAACTTCCTCTCGTGCGTGCTCCACGGCTCCGGGGTGTGGTGGTGACTGAAATCATGTTTACTATCAAGGGACCCGGAACCGTTTGACTGTCGGATCACAGTGCGTTCTGCAACAATGGGGAGGTTGGTCCAGACGGCGGCGAGAAACATGCGACCAGAGGTGGATTCTAGAGAGCATTGCTTCTACACGGCGATGATGGGCACGGTTATTCCAGCATAGTGAGCGATTTTCGCTCCGTCACCTCTAGTACCAGGAGTACGACGGGCGTGGACAGCTTTAGTCTAATTGCCGTCACCCATGCCTACGTTCGCGGCGAATTCGTCGATCAGGGCTCTGTTATTTCAATACTGGGACCCGTGGTCCACGCATGGGTAAAATGTCCAATCTGGATACGAACTGAGACTCACGACGACGACCGGAAGCTTTGCGTTAAGTTTTGCATTAGCGGACATGTTGGGTTATTTCGGATGGGGACTGGGGATGGAAGATTGTTGGACATTGCGCCCCCTCCCTGCCGGCTTTTATCTGCACCTTGGTAGGACTTGCTCTTCCCGACATAGGTTGGGTTGCGGTAGAGCAGCAGTCGACTCCACACGTGGCCAGGTCGACAGTGTGCCCCCGACGCAAACGGATGCGAGAATTTTCCGGTACACCATCTTCGACTCTTGCAACTATCTGAAACACAGCAAGTTCACGAGTCGCGGCCTGCGGGTAGGCCTGCTGGCTTATGTAACTATTGAATGATGAGTGGTCAACGCTGAGCAGTGCGCCACTTTGCCTGACCACACACCGGATTGGCAACGCAAAAATCCCCGATATGAGCGCATCAGTGTCTTTGTCAATGTCTTGCTAATCGCGTTCTCCGTGGTCTTGTCAATGCGGGTTGCGGATTCCGCATCTGAAGGTCGGACATGCTACGTGAGTGATATTGGGAAGTGCGCGAGGGTCGGACGACATCAACTCACCTTTTTGGCGCTCTTCTGTGGTAAGATGGTGGGCCCGACGTTCAGCGAGAAGAAAACGAGCGGAGGTCGGAATGATTGTCTCGTCGGGCGCCCGGACTTTTCCGAGGCACACGTGGCATGCGGGAGCGCGCTTATGGTCGTCCAACCTCTTGCTGCCAACCAGTCACCACACGCCGGGGCGACCATCTTTCTAGTGCCGCATTAAAGCCGAGAGAAAGACAAGCAAGGTTTTATTTTGCCCATAGAAGCTCATTTAAATGCTTTTTCTGACTGCGCGTGGATCCGATTAAGCCTGATACAAGGCTCCCAGTTGAAAAGCTCCCAGAAAATGACGTGCCAGTGATGCTCTACAACACGGGCATCTATCTCCTGTCGCTGCTAGATATGAGAAGTCTGCGCGGTGTTTCGGCTCCAGTGACAGTACCTACGGCGTCTTTTGGCTGTAAGTTCAGTCATGTCGACGTAGAATTCAGCGATATTGAACCATACGCGACAGACGGAAACTAGATCCAGCATGAAGCTCGCGCTGATACTGGTCACGAGCCGCAGTCCTTGGGCACGCGACGCTCCTCGCTCTCCGTACGCCGAGGCTGACTAGAATCTGGTCAGCTCATCCGAGCGGTTCTCGTCCTGCAATACACTAACAGGACCTTGCCGGTTAGCAAGCGCGCCGATGTCGTTGAAAGTGGCGCAACTTAACAGATCTCGGGTTGCAACCTTGCCCTCGCGAGCGCGTCCGATTGCATATATATCAAGCTAGCAAGCGATACTCCACCCCCCGAAATCGTGGTCTGACATCGGGTAAGCGACATCGCCTCCCAGTGAAAACACGCCTGCGTGCCGACTGACTTGCTTTCCCCCCCTTTCCCCCTTCCATCTCCACTCTCTTCGGATTTAATGGGATCAATACCGGGCAGGAGCCTTTGGGGGAAGGAACTGTTGGCCATTATCCATTCATGGAATTCTGCGGGTCTCATCTGGGGCTCGTTCTCGCAATCGCACTCGCCCCCATCCTGCTTTTGGCGCTGTCCCGACGCCTACGTGGCACGCGCCTCGAGACTCCGCCGGGACCCCCTCCCCTTCCTATCCTGGGGAATGTCTTCGACATCCCGAAGTCCTTCTCCGCACTGGAGTACCGGCAGCTCTCTGAAAAATATGGTGCGCCGGTTGTCGATCTTGTCTCTAATATCGTGAAGACCCACGTCGTTTGGAACGCGAAAACAGGGGACGTTGTTCATCTTAACGCGGTAGGACAGTCCATGATCGTGCTCGGTTCCCTTGAGGCCGCGACAGAACTTCTTGAGAAGCGTTCAGCTAAGTACTCGGGGAAACCAACGTCCGTCATGGCGAAGCTGTGAGTTTATGTTGCTCCTGACGGGATGAGCACTTATCCTTTGACATGAAAGGTGCGGTTTCGACTGGACGATGGCGCTTCTCGGTACCGAAAGCGAGTCTTGGCGACGACAGCGCCGAGAAACTCATCGCTTCATCAGTCCTACCACGGTCTCTCGATACTATCAATTATTGGAGAACCAGGCGTACACGATGCTCAAAAAGATCATGGACGACCCTGCATGCTACTCTGAGCACATTCATCAGTATGTATTACTTCCACTGCGAGGCGTTCCTTTCAGGGAAGCTGACAACAACCTAGTACCCTCGGTCTCATTATCTCGCAAGCAACGTACGGCATCGACGACGACGAGCATCTTGGTCTCCTAGAAGAAGGCCACGAGATATTCATCAAGGCATTTGTGCCAGGAAAATATCTTGCGGAATCACTGCCGTTCCTGCAATATGTACCGGATTGGTTTCCGGGTGCCCAGTTCAAGAGGGACGCCAAAACCTGGAAAGCGCGCTTCAACGCTATCAAGAGAGAGCCATTCGATGCAGCGATGAAAGCTATGGTGCGAATGGAGATTTCACGTTCGCCGCCCTTCCTCATCCCTTCCTCATCGTAGAATCAAGGCGGAGTCGGAGACTTGTCGATCGCGGCAGCAATGATCGAGGGACAAGATCCAAGCGCCGTCTCTCCGGAAGACAAGGAGCTGGCAGAGATGGTCTGCAGCGCAGTGTATCTGGGTGCGACTGAATACAGCTCTGTTCCCATATCGCTGACTAACGGGGTTCGATTCTTAGGTGGTGCCGAAACGGTTTGCTCCGTCTCTTCCCCTCATTCCAATGCTGATGCCTACTGGATACACCGCAGACGCTCACGACGCTCCGCGTCTTCATCCTCCTCATGGCCACGCACCCCCAGGCGCAGGCTCGCGCCCAGGCAGAGCTCGATGCCGTCGTTGGCCCCGACCGCCTGCCATCGGTCTCGGACCGCGGCGCGCTCCCGTACGTCGACGCGGTGCTCAAAGAGTGCCTACGGTGGCACCCGATCCTCCCGCTCGCGCTCCTGCGCACCGCAACCGCGGAGGACGAGTACCGGGGCTGGCGCATCCCCAAGGGCGCGATCGTGATGGCGAACTCCTGGTACGTGTCTGAGGCTTCGACCGACATCTGTTTCCGCATCAGCGGAGGACAGCCAGAGACAGAGACATTGACAGTGGGCGTGCGCGAGCCGCCGACGCCGGGCCCGGCGACCGCATCCTCGGCTTCGTGGACCGCATTCCGTCGCTCGCGTGATGCCTGCTCCGCTGCTCCTTCTCCCGGGCCAAGTGCTTCTGCTGACCGTGCCTGATCCACAGGGCCTTCGCGCGCGACCCGACGCTCTTCCCGAACCCCGATCAGTTCTCCCCAGAGCGCTTCCTCGACGCGGACGGACGGCCCGACAAGAACGCGCTCGACCCGCGCACCTTCACCTTTGGCTACGGGCGGCGGTGAGCGTCGACGTCTCCGTGTGTGTCCTCGTCTCGTCTCCCGCTCACGCGCGTCGCTCCGCAGGGTCTGCCCGGGGCGGCACTTCGCCGAGGCGACGCTCTTCGCGGTCATGGCGTCCCTCCTCCACGTCTTCAACCTGGCTCCGCCCGTCGACGGCGACGGGCGCCCGGTGCCGCTCGAGCCGAAGTTCACGCCCGACTTGCTTTCGTGAGTGGGCCTGCGCATCGCCGGGCGGACTTGTGCTGACCGATGCTTTCCGCGCGCCGGCAGGAGCCCGGAGCCGTTTGGTTGCCAGATCACGGTCCGATCGGACGCTGCGAAGGCGCTGGTCGTCGCTGCAGGCCAAGTATAACGAATGTTGAAGCTGAAGGGAGATGTTTGATGTAAAATAAATAGCTTATGCGCCGCGATGTGTCTTCAGTGTACTGGGATATGACAAGAGTGCAAATGTTTCCTAAGAGCGCGATAGGTAAGTCCGCATCCAAAGGAGAGGTGCGTACATATGCTGTGGCAGATAATTATACGTGAGTATGGTACCCGAAGGTGAATGCTACAACTACGTGAGAGTCGTGGAGGATCGTGTTCGTAGTCGTGTTGAGTGGCGGCGTGTAAACAGAGTACAAAAAGGATACAAGCGAACGCCGCCAGCGCCATTGCAATCGTCAAGGTCGTAAGCGTATGCTAGTCGGCAGATCGGACTAGGAGGGACCAAAAGCAACCACCGACCCATTACCCATAAGACAAGAGAAGGAAGCAGGCGCGCGCGGACACGTAGAACTACGCCTTGTGCTCTCCCTCGCTCTCGCTGCTCAGCGAGCGACCCGCGTCCGTCGCGAGCCCGTACGTGTCGTCCATGCCCGTAGAGAGCGGCACCTCGCGCAGCAGGAGCACGCTGAGTGCCCCCAGGGCGGCGAAGCCGACCATCGCGACCCACACGCGCGCCATGCTCGCGGCGAACGCGGCGCGCACGGCGGCGCGCAGCGGCTCCGGGAGCGTCTTGACGAGCGGGACGGCGGCGACGGCGATCTCGACGCCCCCCGGGAACTCGGCGAGGAACGCGGCGGGGAGGCGGGCCTTGAGCTCGTTCTGGACGATGTTCGCGGAGATGGTGACGCCCCAGGTCTGGGCGAAGGCGCGGCAGAACTGGAAGAAGGCGAGCGCGCGGGCACTGCGGGCGACGGGGATGGGGGCGAGGATGGGGAAGACGACGGAGACCCACTAGGAGAGAGGAGAAGATCAGCACACAGGTGGGGGATTGAGAACCAAGTGGCGTACGATGATACCGAGTCCAGCCGCGACGATGATGGTGAAGCCGATCCACTGCCCTGGCGAAGCGTCCTCCTTAAAGGTGGTATAGAGGCCGAGGCCGATGAGAATCAGAGCCCATCCGATATAATTCATGATGCGGTATTTGCTCATGCTCTTGATAACGGCACCGCTGACGACCGCTAGGAACGGGCAGACGAACGTGAAAGCAAAAAACATGGTGCTTGACCGCACGGGGCTGGCGCTTTGACATGCTTGGAAGAAGATGGGCAGGTAGTCTAGCAACGAGGACGTGTCAGCGTAGCTCATAATCATGCACACTCCTGTACTGACAGATTACAGAGATGCTGATAATGCCGTGAAAGAACGTTGCGATATACCTGACAAGAATGCAGTCAGCCGATGGTGCAGAAAGGCGAAAATTTTTAGCACGACTCACCCTCCGACGCTGGTGCGGTTGGTAAGGATGTCGACAGGCAACGTAGGCTCTGTGTGCTCCAGGAACGGAATGCGCTTCTCCTGGAGGAGGTACTCGAAGGGGAAGAAGAGGCCGATGATCAGGATGCCGAGGACCAAAGGCGCGACAACGTGCGCGTCGGACCATGAGTAGCGGATGCCTCCCCACGTCAGAGCGAGCAACACGAGCGTCGTCCCAATCACGATGATCGCATTCCCACTTGAGAACACTAGATCAGTACAATCGCACCACCAATATCGCACCAGAGGCACGTACACAAAGTCGATCTTGCGCAGCTTGTCCATCATCGCTCCGGGTGGCGTGCGCACCTTCAGGAACACAATGACGAGCGCCATCGCCACCCCGGCGAGCGGCAGGTTCACATCTAGAGACGGCTGCGTGAGTGGCGCACTCTCACGGACGACAAGCGGAGTGCCGTACAGAATATCCACCGCCAGCTGGTGTGCTCCGTCAACGCCGCCCCCTAATAGAACACCGACGTCGTCGATCAGCTATGAAACAGTCTGGGGCACCGATCGAATAACGCACAATGAGAGGACCGATCGCCGCAGCCAGAGCCCAGGTGAGGGATAACAGGGCCTGGTAAACACCGCGTTCCGCGAGAAAGACGAGGTCGGAGATGATGATTGACGAGAGGCCCACGATTCCGCCGGCGCCAATGCCTTGGAGAGCTGCATAGTCGTCGTTAGTGTTCTGTCGCCGGTTCGGACCACACGCCCATCGTGAAGATGGACGATGGTGCACTGAAATGGACCATAGTGCTCACTGCGCGCGCCGATGAGCCACGACATGTCCCTCGCCGCACCGCAGAGCGCGCTGCCGATGAAAAAAAGCGTGACTGCGACGAACATCACAGGGCGGCGGCCAAAGACGTCGGCAAGCTGGCCGCACAAGGGGAGGATCGTCGCGGACGCGAGGTTGTACGCGGCGGAGACCCACACGAAGTTGTCTGAGCCGTCGAGGTCGGAGATGATGGTCGGAAGTGCGGTGGAGATGACAGAAAAGTCGAGGGCAGCGAGGAAGGTGCAGACGAGGACGGCGACGATGGTGAGCCAGAAGGCGGAGCCCTTGCTTGAACCGGGGGGAGCGCTGTGTGCGGGGAAATCCCCCTTGGACGGCAATTCATCGCCGGCCACAGTATGAGAATCGACGGAGAGTGTGGTAGCGGCGGAGAGAAAGGGTGGAGCACATAGAGAGGGCGCGGGGGCAATTGAATGAGGCATGATGAAAGAAAAGGAATCGAAGCCCAGAAGAAGAGAAGAAAGGGAGAGGAAAAGGAGGCAGGCGAAGAAATTTCAGAGGGAGGAACACGAGTCGAATGGTGTTTTATTTTCGCTCCAGCGTCCTGCACAAACGCGACGACGCTCGCGCGTATTTTGTGCGGCCTCGGATGATGCTTCGCCGGCGATGATGGTCCATTGGTCCTCCCGGAGCGCGCTCGTGGCGGGCCCGAATCTTGCGCGCCTAATTGTCGCCCATGCTCCGCCTCGCGCGCGGGGGTGCTCTCCATCGCGGTGGTTGGGGCGCGACCACTTGAGATGCCAGTCGTCCCGGATCCGAATCCGCAGCGAGTCTCAGCCATGCCTCGGTATGCGTAGCCCCCGCGCAATTCCATCGCCGGGTAGCTAGTACAATTTCACATGGGTATGAGCAACAGGAGACGATGGGTGCGACACAACACGATACACACAAAAACGAAACGGCATACATCTCGTGGGCTCTGCATAATTGTCCAATCTACTGAGATGAATCAGTGTGTGCACGCGTGTCTTACAACGCCATGCTCACCTTGTTCCTCCAATAGAAGCCTCCGCGGATTAGTCTGCTACCTCATGCCAGAAGTCATACGGTTGTTGAAAATGCCCTCATTAATTGTTCTATTACCCAACGGTCTGGCCGAACATCCATGGGTGGTATACGTTGCGACGCATACCCATATCCTGCCCGAGGCGCAGAGAGGTCGTCAGCGGTGTCCAGACAAAACGTGGAGAAGAGAATGGACCGCAGGTGCGGTACCCATGCGACCGAGCGGCGAGACCCCGGAAGTCATCGGAGACCGGACAAATTCCGTGCCGCGTCTGAAGAGGCCGCCAGCTGGACAGCGCGCGGCGACGTCGGTAAGTCGCCACAGGGCGCGCGGAACCACAATTCATCTGCGCGAGATTGGCAGTGGTTTGCAGGTGCACCGCCGGGTAGCGCTCGTCCACCGGCGCTCCACGTCGACAAATAACACCAGCATCGATGCGAGATGCAATAAAGGGGATGGAGCGGAATCGATGAGAGAGGAAGTGACTCACGATTGATAACAGGGCCACGTCCAACACTCAGTTGGTACCAAATTAAGGTTAATTCGAAATTGAGTGTTGGCCTGAAAGCGGACGACTGTCGGTGCCCAGAGCTGAAGATAGGGAACCGTGTAACTGTGGGGAGGACTGCTGTGTCGCCGATTCAGGACGTGTTGGGTGAAATTGTCTCGTTGGTGGCAGCCTGATTAACAACGGCTTGCGAGCGGTGGATGCGAGACCTGCCTGGACACCCGACTTCGCGTTCGATGTCGGACTATATGGTGGCCGCGGCAGCCGAAGACCAGACGTCGATACGTGGCGGGCTGTTCCAAGAGGCGGTGCGGCAGCGACTTCTTTGTCGGGCGTCGCGGGTACCGGGGGGATCGAGGCCAGCGGCGGAAGGTCTAGACGAGGGATGTGGGTACCGGTCGCTCCGGACCGTGTGCTTGTCAGAAAAGCACCAAATAGTGGCGAGGGAGAGGGAAGAAATAGAGGGGTGAGGGCAGATAAATCGGATAGAGTGTCGGTGTCTGGCTGGTTCGCATGCGAGTGTGGAGGGTTTAGCGCATAAGACCGCTTGACTGTGCGTACTGAGGGGACGACGACTTCTGGAACCATGGTCCGCTTTCTTCTAATAGTGCCTCTCGCGCCGAAACCTCTCTTTGAGGGCTGCAGACCTCCATCAAAGCGCTTCGAGGTCTGCAGAGACGACGCCGTACATTAAAAACGGTTCATGAGTCGGTAGTATCGTGGTCCACTCACCGAAACAGGTCGTCTCCGACTCGGCCCAAGTTGAGACTTCCCTCGTCGTCAACTTCCGTCGCTGTACGGAGAACACTGGTGCTGGCTTTCTCTGGGGATGGAGGCGACCTGATGCCTGCAGTTGATGTGGAGCCCTGTACATAGTCACTCATTAGATCGTCTCATGCCAATAAGCCAACGAAAGACCGTCCATCATGGGACGTGGGAGAAGGTGAGCGTACAAGACATCATATTCAACTCCGAGCGCCACAATCAGCCAGTCTTCAGAGGCATCCCAGAACCAGATTCTGAGGTACGGAGCTGGGAACCGTCCAACCCGATGATGCGGCCTCAACGCCGCGCTCCGCCCACTGGGCTCCGCAGCAACAACCGCGAGGCCACCAGCACCCTCGGCAATCCACTTCTCGCTTCATGTACGCAAAATCGGATCATGTACTCGCCTGAGAAACAGTTGCAGAGTGGCCACTGCACACGGCGCAGGAGGCAGGTGTGGATCGGGTTCGTATTAGTTGATCTTCGAGGCATTGCACCTGGACTTCCAAGTCCACGATCTTGACTGCTTGCTGGTGACAAAGAGCCTTGTAGCGCGCGAGCTCAAGAGCATCTCGCGATGGCTCAGGGTCTGCCATCGTGAACAGACGTGAGGGGTGTGAGGGGGAGATGGGGAGGGACTGGGCGAACAGAGCTCAGCGCATGGTGAGCACCTGGCATGTACGTAATCCGGGCCACGGTCACTGGACGTGTGCTGCAGGTTGCGGCCACCGCACAGTGAGGCTGCAGCAACTCACGATGGTTGGACTTGAGTGGTTGACGAGACGAGGCGTGCATGCATGTCTGTATATGTACGTGGGCATGTGGGAGAAGAGGAAGCGGCGTGACGGTGGACTTCCTTCTCCAGTCCTCGCTTGTCCGCAACTCCCGGGACCCAGCCGCCCAGAGCAACAACTTCGTTCCGAACCACCACATCCCTTCCTTTCCGAGTCGCGCGATGGCCGAACCTACGCCTGCCCAACGTTTCGCTGCTTACCTCTTTGACTCCGACGCCGACTATCAGGTGTAGCCCGCCCTTCCTCGCGCCTCCACTCCGAAGACTCATGCCTTGCGCCAACCCAAGCAAGGTCTCCAAGGGATCGTAGCGGGAGGAGCACTGGAGGGGCGGTCAGAGGAGGAGAAACGCGAGCTGCTCTTGCGTTCGGAAGTGTTCTACTTCAACCAGTACGTCGTGCGCTCCTTTCGCGTGGCATCCCGTTTGAACATGAGTTCCACAGTAAGACTGGACTCACCGTCGACCTCGACGAGGCGCGCGCTGCGCGTAATGGTTCCAGCAACGTCGACGCCCCTGTGACCACAAGCGTGCATCCACCGGCTTCGGATGTTGCGACGGACGCAGAGCCTCCTACGCTCACCTTCGCCCAACTCAAAGCCCTAATCGAGCAAGGGAAGACGGACGAGATCCCGAACAACAAGACCATCCCGAATGTGTTGAGTGTATGTCTTTCTTTCTGGTCTCTCTGAATTGTATACCGACCCCCATGCCTCTTCAGACGGATGCTCCAAGCGAATCGAGAGCAGCGATCCGCAAGAAACCATGGGAAGTCGACGCTGCGGCATGAAGCGGCCTGGACACAAATGTATTTGCGGCTTAATATGTATATGTAGGACCATGGAGTGTACGAATGTCAGAGTGTCCCTGTGCCCTTGTGCACTCTATTTCATTTTTCGGAGTGTCTCAGTGCTGTCCAAGATTGGGAGGCGCAGAGCGCATGGACGAAGGCGCTGCGCGCCTTCCTTTAGAGAGTGATGTCGAAGGATCCAGACCCGCACATGGCTTGGCTGTGATGCAGTTATATGCGTATAGATGGGATGACAGACGAGGGAATTATAGACTTGGCCAGACAGAGTATGGTCGGTAAAATCTCAAAATCTAGTCGCTATCGCTGAGTTCGATCTGGAAGGAAGGCAGTGAGCATAAAGAGACAAGACCAAGAGATGACAACTCACCGCCACCTTCTTCCTCGCCTTCGAGGCAGCCGCGCGCGTCCCTGTCGACCGCCCAGATGGCGCAAAGTTGAGCGTTGCCTGGGTCGGCTTGCTGGTCCCGGCTTTGGCGGCGGTCTTCTTCGCCGGTGCCTTCTTCGTCGACTGGCTGTTCTCACGTCAGTGTGCGCCCACCAGTCTGAGAGAGACGGGGAAGACTCACCTGAGCACCGCAGCACGATTCGTCCTCTTCGCAGGCTGCGGTGGAGGCTCGTCTTCGTCTTCGATCTCTTCCACGTCGTCGTCTGAAGGTGTGACAGATTTGGCCTTGGCTTTCCCTCTGGCGGGAGCTTTCTTCGCGGGGGCCTTCTTCGCGGGGGCCTTCTTAGGCGCGGCTTTCGCTCTGCCTTTGGGTTTGGGCGGCGGGTCGGAGAGCGCGTCAAAGTCGGAGCCGGCATCGACGTCCATCACCATCGAGTCCACAGAGGCTTTGTCGTCCTCGTCGTCCTCCGCCTTTCCCTTGCCCTGCAACAGGCTATGAGCATACATAAGAGCACGGATATCGACAGACGCACTTTTGCGGACTTGTGTTCTCGTTTCTCGAGGTATTGCTTATCGTGTACTTCGCGTACCCGCTCGACCTGCGAAAGCACCGTCAAAAAGTATCCGGTATTGAGAGAGAGAAGGAAGAGGCGTACGATCTCGTCCAGGTTATCTTCGTCGATGTCGCCCTCTTCAGCCTGCACCCCGCCCATAAGAGACTTCATTGCCCGCTGGACATGGCTGCAAAGCAAGCTCAACATCGTAGGTGCAAGAAAAGGAAGAACGCATATGCTCACCCCTCGATCGCGTGGATGTCGTCCTTGTCCACGTACTTCTCAATCGCGTCCGACATCCCACCCTCGCCGAGCAACTGCAACTCCTGCGCGCCCAGATACTCCCTCACGAGCGTCTGGACCCGCACCCGCGACAGCTTCTCCGACACGCTCAGGTCCGGGTCGTCGATACTCAGCACTGGAGTGTCCGCAACGACCTTCGCGCCGCCGCGCGCCGCGGTCCGGCGCGCGCGGTGGAACGTGAGCACATCGCGCGGGTTCGCAACCCGGCCTTGGAACTCCTGCCCGAAACGGACGGGGTTCGCCATCTCGCCCACACCGGTGGTGTCGACCTTGAGGCGTATGAGGGGGAGCGGACGGGGCAAGGGGGCCTCGCCCTCGTCGACGGCGCGCTCGTTACGCGAGTCCCACTCGGAATTTGCGCGGTCGATGAGGAGATTGACCTTTGGGGGCGGTTAGTGGAGAGAGAAGGTGAGGGAGGGAGAGGGACGCACCTGGCCCTTGAGGTACTCGCCGACTGCAATCTTATCAAAGATATCGAAGCCCTCGGTGTCAGCGGCTTCAGTGAGGTCGACGTCGTCGATTACGAAGGGACGGACGCTCCGCAGAGGGATTGGCGTGAGCTCAAAGTCCTTGTGTTGGATCTTCAGTAGCGCAACATGTCTGGATAGGAGATGAGACGGGAGTTTTTGGAGGAAGCAGAAAAGCTCTCACTTTTCGATCGCCTCTCCGTCTGCCAGAGACGTCGCAATGGAGGAACCTGGTTGAGTGATGTAGTACCGCTTGCCAGCGACTGGTTCGGGGGTGATGCGGCAATCGTGTTCGTGCCCCCAGACGACGAGGTCGATGTTGTCGTCAAACAAGCCCTCTGGTACAGAGTTCTGTGGGCCGTGTGCGACCCGATTCTGGTGCAAGAGTAGGATATTGAACCAGTTCTCTTTGTCCTTGGGCATGTACATCCGCACGCGGTTGCTGCGGAGCTCGAAATGCATGCGCTGGTCCTTGACGTTGCCGATACCGTAGAGTCCGAGATAAGTGCCGCCCTTGCGAAGTAATACGGGCTTGATGGCTATGCCACTGTTTTGAGCCTCAGAGTCGTTCATGGGAAGGTCGATCTTCCCCATATAGTTGACCAGTCCTGCGACTGAGAGCATATCCAAAGCACAGAGAGCGCCTTCCTGACCGTTCATTGTGAGCAAAAAAGCATGCATGCACGACAATCACTCACGGGGCCCGAGCCTTGGGGGTCGTCATGATTGCCGTGAATGGAGAAGAGAGGTATTGACACATTGAGATTCGGGTCCTCGTAATTAACTGCTGGGAAACTGAGAGCGTCATTATTAATCCGGGTCAGAGCAAGAGAAGGCAACCAGGTGAAATGCGCGGATACAATTCGGAGAAGTCGGCATTGGACAAAGCAGTCTAGAAGACGAGCTGTTCCGTAAATGAAGGATGGGCTGCGACTGCGGTCTCACTGCGCATGCATACACGCACGATGCGAAAGCACGACTTCCCCACGGGCTGCGAACGGGCGCAATCATTCGACTGATATGTTCCCACCTCGCTTGAGAGAAAGATGACCTGAAGGAGCTATCCATTTGGACGCCCAGAATGGACATGGAGACGGATACGCGATCATATCCAAGAAAATGAAGAACGACGGCATATGAAACAACACGCACGAGTAACCCGCGGCCTTTCCTTCGTCGGGGTCGCTCAGAAGCTCGACCTGGATAGGCCGGTCTCCGAGCGTGTATTCTCGGAGTAAAGCCATGACTTGAAACAGGCACTCCCTTGACGGGCGGTTTTCGTGGAAGAGGTCTCCAGCGAGAAGAATGAGGTCGACCTGCTCACATATGAAGATGAACACTGGTTATACGCGCTCCTGGAAGCCAGTACGGACTTCATGCTTCACCGCTAACTGCAAGACCTCCTTGAACGCGTTGATGGAGTCCTGGCCACGGATCGGGTCACGCTCCATGTACCCGATGTGGTTGTCCGTCGCCAGCATGATCTTTATGGTGTCTTCCGGGGCTGTAATTAAACGTTCGTTAGGGGTGGCTGTGGCTCACAATACAGGGAGCGATTCCGTACAAGGTTGCCGGATTGTGGGCGGGGGAATGCCCTCGTTGTCGTCTGCCGAGTGGTCGCTCATCGTTGAAGGAGACGAAGGGAGGGTCAATGTTGGGGAAATCAACTCCGGGACGCGCGGGGGAGAAGCCAATAAGGCGGGGCCCCCACGCGTCGCGACGCGTCTGAAGGGCGCCTGCGATGTGCGCTCAATGCGGCCCGCGGCCAATTCCAGCCGCTCTGCCGAGGGCTGAACAGCGCACAACCTTCCTCCGCAGCTCTTCTGGCCGCTTCAAAGACGACGACGACGACGGTTTCCCCCCTTACGCCTCCGCACGGCCCTCTTCGCTCCTTGCTCCCATCTCCCACCCTGGCATGGCCCCTTCTCAGCAGCAGCAGCCCGCATCAAGGGCCCTGGTGGTGAGTCCAAGTAGCATCACACGACGGCGAGAGGGGATGTCTGACCCATGCATATAGGCGGGCACCGTGACCTTCTATCTGATCGCTGCCTTGGCTGTACGTCCAATACGTTGTTGATTATGAGCAGCTCACATAACTTGAGCTTTGGCTTAGATGGTCATGGCGTGAGTATTGTCCTGTTCTATACGCGTTCTTTCCCCCCCTCGCTCGTGCAAATCCGCTGCTCAGAGGGTGCGACCCTTTGCGCCTCATGCTATTCTATGGACCACATCATAAGCACCCGTGTTCCAACGCATACTGCTTTGGGAGTATGTCCATACGAACCGTGCTGAATCATGGTTGATTCCCAACATGATGTTAATCAAATATCTGTCCTCAGAAACAAATGGGTACTCAACTCCACAGACACCCCCCTTTTCTTCTTGGGCACCCAGCTCGTCATCGCCGTCATTCTCTTCCTGGTCGCGCACATGGCCGGTTTACTCCAGCTCCCGCTCACGTTGGACATGCAAGTGGTGAAGGGACTTGTCCCCATGGTCGGACTGAGTGTCATCGGTCTTAGGTATGGATTCTCCCCCCTCGCAACCGTCGTCGCCTTACACCCGCACTCGCACCCAGTTTCAGCAACTACACCCTCAAATACGTCGATGCCTCCTTCTACCAGGTTGCCCGTGGAATGGTCCTCCCTTTCACTGTCGGCACGTCCTTCTTCCTCCTCCATGCCCGCCCCTCTCTCCACATCCTCATGGCCTGCCTTGTCGTCACTATGGGCTTCTTCGTCGGCGTCTTCCTCGACGGTACCTCTGTTTCCCTCGTTGGCATATCCTTCGGGGTCGTCAGTTCCATGATCACCGCCCTTCACTCTGTCGTCATCAAGAAGAGTCTCGACGTCGTCCACGGTTCCGCCCTTCATTTGTCGTGGTACACCAACCTCCTCTCCTGCGTCGTCCTCGCACCCATAATCATCCTCGCTGGTGAGCTTCCCGGTGTCATGGCTCTTCTCTTCGGCCCGGACCTCAGCGCCCCCGGCGAGTTGAGCACGCTGTCCAAGTTCATCTACGGCTCCCTCATTACGGTACTTTCCTCCCCTGTGCAACCGCGTATATGCGCTCATGGTCTTATTTGATAGGGTGTTTTCGGCTTCCTCATGAGCGTCGCCAGTCTCATGTCGATCAAGGTCACCTCTCCCATCACCCACATGGTCTCTTCCGCTGTTCGCGGAGTCGCGGCGTACGCGCTCAGCGTCTGGCTATTCAGCGATGCCGTCACTCAGTGCGTTCTCTTACTCTGAATGCATGCGCTCTCCTCACCTTTGGACCGCGCCCACCCTTCAGAGGACGTGTCTCGTCTGTTGCGATTATCCTCCTCGGCTCCATCTGGTACACCTGGATCAAGCACCTTGAGTCGCAGCAGGCGCCGCCGAAAGGCAACTACGACCCGGTCGCTATAGAGGAGATGGAGCAGGGCAAGACGAAGCGGGGCTCGCGCGACGCTCGGGATTGAGGTTCCACGAAATGAGCTCCCTTTCCCTCCTCCCCTCCTCTTTCTCTTGGGTTTCGCGCTTTCCTCCCCACCGCACTCACCCGAGTCCGTGCGCCATAGTGACACGCGATAAGGTATTATTGACTCATAGAAAGTAGAGTATAATTGGAATAGATCTATCGAACCCTTGGATCCTTCGTGCGGACATGATTACCCCCCGCGTTTTGAGGAACCCCACTATGCGGAAGCGCACGCTGACGGCTTTCGGCTGGAGGCTGCCGAACCATCCTTCGCCAGTCGTCAGGCAGGTTTGTGATGCCCAGTGCCCTGATCATCGAAGTCCGCAGCTCATCCTCTCGTTCAGGTACCTCTTTGGCAGCGGGGTAGTAATTTTTGTGGCCGATCTTGAGCTGTTCCAGGTCGAGTTCCGCCACATTTTTCAGACACACGATATCGACATTGAACTGACACGGTGTATTGTCAAGGTGCGTTCTTTCTAGAGCACGAGCCAAGGATGTGCTCACCCCTGGCCATTCGAACGGATACCTTCCGTTTGCTGCAGGAACACGGCACAATATCCCGTGCAAGTTACCATGGACTCGTCGCCTGTTGATCTCCTAAAGACATATGGTCTCATGATCCTCTGACACGAAACTTGCCGTAGACTGGAGGCTCACCTGGAACACAAATATCCACACGGGCAAGTCCCGACGTCGCTGTGCTTCCAACTCTCGCCGGTTCGCTTCCTGTTGCCCGTTCAACAGGCTGATCACCAGCGCCTTGGAGGCCTTCGTCTCCTGTTGTTCCTCCAGTTTCGTCAGTTCCGCCGACAGCCGCTTATCCTGCTCCGCCCTAGACTCAGCCTCCTCTTTTAACGCCTTCACCTCCTCCCGGGACTCCCTCAGTCTACCCTCGACCGCCTCAAGTCGCGCCTCCATCTCGGCGATCCTGGCAAACATGCGGTCGACGAGCCTCCCCGCCTCCCCGAACACCGCAGACCCCGCTGCGGCATCGTCAGCCGGCGCGGCGCCCTCATCGTCGCCCGCGCCGGTGCCGACGCGCCTCCGCTTGCGGGACGCGAGCAGCGGTGGGGGAGTCGGCGTCGGCGACGCTTCCTCCTGGATGGAGTCCTGCCGCTGGACGATCCGGTTTTCGCTCCGGCTGCGGCTCAACGTCGCGGCGCCCCCGGCGGTTCGTGGGGCGTTCGGTCCAGCGGGCCCGGTGAAGCTGGGCTCTTTCTTGATGGGCGCTGGTACTTCCTCTGCCTCTTCGGTGCCCTCGCGGCTCGGCGCTGCAGCATCGGGTGCGTCGGGTGCAGGCGGGGATGGGCTGGAAGGCAGGAAGAGGGGGAGCTTGTCACGCGCCATGGTGTTGCAATGTAGACGGGGGAAGAAAGAAGCAGAGGAGGCAGGAGAACGGAAGGGATGTGAGGTGAATAGGCATAACTGAGGTATCGCGCTACTTATACTGGCTCCTCGATGCATCGCGCTTTGGTGCGCGAGTCGTGTTCGCTCAAACGGAGTGCGACGACGAGGATGAATGGTGGGTGTGAGAGGTCGGACAAAGGACTTCGTTGTTCGTCGCTGCGATTCATGCCCACATTGACTGGCAAGAAGGTTAGAGCTCAGGCACTAAAGCAAAGTTGAAGGGATACGAAAGGTGGGGCGATGTGTAAGGCTTCATTGGACTTCGCGCGTTGAAGACGCCTTGGCTGAGTGCCACCCAGACTATAGAAGAAACAATGCGCTCTATGGGGGCCAACAAATGTTTGCCAGTTGCAATGCGAAACTCAACAAAGACCTCAGTCCAGACTCGAACAACAAATTCCGGATCCACAACGCAAACATAATGTCATTCGAACCATTCAACACGTCCTTGCGGGCAATAGATACAGGAGACTCGTACCCGTCTTTGCGGGCATTACAGACGCGAAACTCGTACAAGGGATCCTTCTAGAAACCATGTGCCAGAAACGATGGCGACCTTTGCGAGCTACCGAGAAGTCCTAATGAAACTGCGCATGGGCGTGTGTGATGAGCTCCACCAAGACTACGTAGCAACTCTGCGTCCATTGGTACGTATCTGGGCTGCCTATTTCGTCTGCTTGCTCAGCCTAAGCCGTGCGCAGGACGTCGTCGACCAAGTCGACCAAGTCGGTGCCACCCATCTTGACTTCGAGCACGATCCGAGGGGGGAGGAGCGCAGGGTTGACCGCCGGCCCGCGACCTTGGAAAGAGACCTCCACGACACGAACAGCGTCGTCCCCGGCAGTCCTGAAGCTGAGACGGGCCGGCGTGATGTGATCGGTGGCGCAGTCGTGGATGGTCGGCGAAGCCCCAGCCTCGTCACCGTCGAAGTAGACCTTGGCCCAGCGCGCGGAGAAGCCGGCCTGGTTGATGGGAGCGCCGGCTGGGGTGACCACGCCCTGAAAGCAGGTGCCGACGATGACGTGGAAGCGGCGGTCCGTGTGCTCCCAGTGCTCAAACTCGAGCGCTACGGGGAACGGGGAGTCCTCGTTGCCGGAGATCGGCCTCGCGACGACTTTCCACCCGAGATTGGTGAGGCGATGGAGGATCCAGGAGGAGAAGAAAAACGGAAATGGGTACACCGGTTGGTGAAGAACCTCGTGGATGGTCGCGGACGGCCGGAGCTGCGCACGCTTGAGCGCGGGCATGCGGTCGACGACGAAGAGCGTCTCCCAGTTGACCTGGAGCGCGGTCCATCTAGTCCCGACATGGAGATCGTTTAAATTGTTGCCGAGAGTGACCAGACGAGCCCAGCCCCGCTCTGCGCCGACGCAGGGCCAACCGACGCGGAAGCGCGGCCGCGTAGGGTCTTCGCCGGCGTCCGGGGACTCATGCAAGAGGAGACCAAGATGCTGACCGTTGGACTCGCATAGAAGGACAGCAATGGTTGCGTCTTGAATCCTGATCACCGGGAAACGAAATTTGACGCCTTCAGTGGTCATAGAGAAGCGCGGAATCGCACGCTCTCCGAAAGGCCCATTTACAGGGACCTCTGCATCCTTCGGCTGAAAGATGGTCAGCGTCGCGTTTTTCATTAAAATAAACATGACTCACAAATTGGCCGGGGAGATACGGATCGATGGGAACCGTCAAGTCAGGCGTGAACACCGCATTGTTGAAAAGCCGAAAGTCCTTGGGCGAGGTGGCCAAAAGGTAAGCGCTATCGTCGACGACCCGGTCGCGTATGTTGGCCACTGCCGCGTCAAAATCGACCACGGTCGCGTCCAGAAGGGGTCCCCACGCGAAGAGACTAGCATCGCCCGTTTGCTTCATAATCTCCTGTTGAAGACGATGGAATGCGCGCGAGCCTTCGCCGTAGATGGTAGGCATGGTTACATTGAGAAGGCCCATGAGCGAGTATGCGACATCTTCGGGGCGGGTAAGCTGGCGACCCGCGGCCCATGACATACGCTGGGCGACGGAAAACGTGGAGTAGTGGGCCGTGTGGCGTAGAACTGCGGAGGGAATGCCTGAGATCTCTTCTAGAACCTCGTGAAGATCGTGCTTTGTTCCCAGAAGGCTCCAGTCCTTGGCGTAGAAGTAGACTTCGAACGGAGCAATGCCCTCTTGAAGAGTCCACCCGCGGTTGTGCCAGCGCGCCTTACGAAAAGCAGAGTCGGGAGACCCAGGTTCGTCGTCGCCAGGAACATCCGCCAGGTAGGCGATACACACCTCCGCCGAGGCGTACCAGCGGAACATCGAGCTGATGGCTTCGGAAAGCTCGGCACTGTTGGCCTTGTTGATGCAGCAGGAGTCGATCCAGATCCAGTCGAGGCCATGCTCCTGGGCGACGAGACAGGCCTGCCGGATCTTCTCGGAGACAAAATCGCGAGGGTTGTCGCCAGAGATGTAGCACTCATCCCCGATCGCAACGATCTCCTGATAGGTCTGCTCTTTGACTTCCGTGTCCCACGTGTGCGAGAGGATAGCATAGCCCCCAACGACGTCCTCGGGAGAGGCGAAAGTACGGAGCTCCGCGCGGTCGGTGCTCAGGAGCTGGATAGACGTGGTCTGGTGAGGGTGGTCAGTCATCGAACGTGCATAAAGTGGCTACATGCGTACGGATCGGTCGGCCATCCGTGCTGCGGCGATGACTGGGAGGTAGACTGCAGAGGGTACGAGTAGGCAGAAGATACAGCGAGTGGCTGGAGAGTGCTCGTGGTGGGGAGGCTTGGGGATGGTCCTTCGTCTCACACGCCGTTTTTAAGGAGGGCTGAGGTCGCTGTTCGAATTCCTGAACAGCAGCATGTGACGACAATGCAAACCAAGCGTGTTCGCACAATGCGGTGACAGCCGCGTCTCGGCCCGTCAAGGGAAAAAAAGCTCGGCACTAACCGCTCGCTACGGTACGTGGGGCCGGCGACGGTGCAATTCCACGTGTCGCACTTGAGCATAATGGCGGACAATGGAGCACGCCTGTGCCGAGGCCACGCGGGCCCTGTTTCTGTGTCTGAAAGTGTCTCAGTATCAATGCGCCACGATAAGAGCCAAAAGGCCACACAAGTGCTATGTCAGGGACGCAGTTGCGGCCACCACGCAGTCCTTTGTTGAGCGACTGTAAATGAAATAATAGCTCAGCAGAGTTCATGAATGTGAAGAACATATTCATCTCACCATAGCACATCATAACCCCGTGTTCTGTCCACATGGAAGGACGGTCTTGGGATGGTCGTGTTATGATCCTCGGGGTGGTTGGGGAGCGGTTGAAGTTACACAACAAAACTGGCGCCTGGGTAATTCGTGTCACGTGTCCAATCCCACCCTTGCTCAAACCTGAGGGCGCCTGCAGCAGATTTCAAATTCACTCGTCCACCACAATGAGCAGCCTCATCTGCGCAATTCGATCATGATATGGGCTCCGTCGGTCTCCGTCAGGTACCGACGGGCGGCATGTGGAGACCTCTTTGTTCTCCCCAAATCGTGCCCACACTTTTCAAAAGTTTTCATCTCCATCAGGAAAAACCCAAATCCATAATGAGATGTTACTGAGGCTTGTGAGGGCTAATGAGCCAGATTATCGTGTTATTCTGAAGTATTGTTTTTCGCTTACCCATCTGCTAATGAGAGACCATTACACGGAGAAGGAAACATTAGTCGCGAGAGCAGGCCCTCACCAGGCGTATTTAGTCTCACTCATGTCCGTAGATCACTTATTCAAGCACAGGATATCGAACAATAGCACTGATCATACATCATAGCGCAAACATGAACATTGATTCAATATCTAAGGTGTGTGCACAGGGAGAACGGAAGATGGAGAAGCTATGTACCAACGAGGGCGCTAGACCCGGCGCGTGCGCACGAGCGACAGAGCACGTATACGAACGCCGCATCCCGAAGCACGCGCGGGAAGAGCAGATACAGTACAACGGGGGAGCGGTGGAGATCGTAAACGACAAGAATGGGATGGGAGTAGAGGGAAGAGGGTGTGGTTATACGTAGTCCGATCGGGGAGGTCCCGGCGCACGCGTTCCTAGCGGAGGTACTCCCCATTGCAAGGGCGCGTGGACCTCCTTCGCGAGGTATGACCAGTCGAGCCCGAGCGCAAATACAGTGTGCACGCGCACGGGCGCCCTTCTCGAGCTCTTCACGCACCGTCCATCTGCCGGTCCTCTCGCGGACCGCATCAAGTGCGCCACCCTCGACGGCGCACGAACGTGCCCTCCCCTCATGCACGAGGCCTGAGGCCTTGGGGATGTCCTTCCGCACCTTGCCCTTCTTCGAGCCGCCGCCGCCGCACTGCCCACGCCCCGGCCCGTCAGCCGCCTGCATCCGGACCCGCCCCGTCCTCGCTCTTGCGCTAGAGACAGCAGCGGGCGGGTCGTCGACCTTAGAGACGACGAACAGCGGGACCGTGTGCGAAGTCGCGGCGGTCGTGTGCTGTCAGGCGCCGACAAGTGTGTGCGCGCCGAAGACGTGCAGCGGAAGACGGCGGGAAGGACGCTGGCGCTCGTGCTGTCGCCGCCGCCGCCCGCTGGCCTGTGAGACCGGGATATGGACGAGGACGAGGCCGTCACCGGGGTGGGGGCGGGGGCGGAGCGCGTACGTACGCCAGGCCTGTGCGTATCGCTCGGGGGTCTGTGCGTGCGTGTAGGGGGATGCAGGGGAGGAGTAAAGCGGGAAGAGAGATGATATAGGCTTACAGCGAAGGAGGAGGGGTCAGGGCACACATGGGGGAAAAACAGGTCAGCAGAGGAGAACCAATGAGTAAAGTACACTACCTCACCGGTGACGAAGATATTTGTGATCCCAGAGCACGTCCACTCGATGTCGATGTCCGGGTCAGTGGGGCTTGCCGCGCAAGAGTGCGCGTTGTTTGACTTGTACTCTTCGTCATCCTCGTTCAAGACGGAAATCGATAAAAGAACTCGATCCGTCCCTCGCGCTCTTCAGTACAGAGCAAGCCCTGCCCATCTGAACCTTTGCTGGGCACGAAATGACCCCCAGACAAAAGTGGACACGCGCCGCTGGCTGCGCCCTCCACATGCGGCGGCAGTAAGCACAAGCGCGGTGAGCAGGGGCACAGGCAGGAGATCGCGACGGGGGCACTCACAGATTCCCGAGATAGAGGAACGGGAGACGGATGGACCGTGTGGGACACGTTGACCTCAGGTGGAGGGGTGGACGTCGACAGCAGCGTGATCTTGGAGACTAACCTGGCAAATTAGTGGCCCAAGGGAGCCCACGGAAGCGCGGGACGTACCTGCGGCGCCACGCGGCGGCGAAGGAAGAGTTCTGGGGCTCATTGTTGCCCTCAAGGCCGTGGAGGGAAGGGACGAGGATGTAGTCCAGGGCGCGGCTGGTGAGGCGGGCGAGGTGGAGAACTGAGCGAGGTGGAGAACTGAGCGGCAGAGAAAACAACGATAGGGAGTTTGACTGAGGAGGATGGAGGAGGGGGAAGGGGAGAGGGGAAGGTGGGGGGCGGCGGTAGTGTAACGGTCTATCGCTCAAGCTCGGTAGCTCACGCGTCTTAAGATGCGTGGGTTCGAGCCCGCCCGGACTCAGCCGTCCAAAAACCGTTACGGGGGTTTTAGTGGGTATGGCCGGCCGATCATGCCGGAGGAGTCCCACACTACTTCCAGAGCCGGCTGCACCCGGGCTCTGGTCGTGTGCGTAAACGCATTTCCTCCCTGGGTGGGCTCAAAATTACGGGGTTTAAACTCCCTGTGCCCCTGGCTGCTTAGGGTATATCCCTGAAATGCCAGTTTAGCTAGGACGTACCAATAAAAGCTTGACGAGCCTGTAGCGGACGAAAGCTAAGGTACTATCCGAAAATGCTCCACCAAAAAAAAAAAAAAAAAAAAAAAAAAAAAAAAAAAAAAAAAAAAGAGGGGAAGGTGGAGAAGGTGGAGGTGGTGGAGACTGCACGGAGCGGGATGCAGGCCTGGGGACGCGCGTCGCGCGTTGAGCATGGGCGCTAGTCTGCGTCCCGTGGTCGCGTCCTCGGCGCGTTCACCGCTCTAAGTAGATGAAGTTCACGTTGTCTTCTCGCCTCCTCCGAGCTCCCTGCCGCACCTCGTTCCCAGCATACCGTCCTCGACTGTTCCTCTAAACTCTCCAAGCTTCCGCGTGTTATTGCGCACTTTGACTGCCACGACCACCATCTAGCTTCGTCCCCTCTGCCTCTCCATGGCTGCCGTCTCTGGTCCCACTCGTTGTTCAAAGCCTGCAGTCCGGCCCTCTGGCTCGAGCTCGCACTAGGTGGCCGTGAGTCCCCATTGCTATCCTCATTGCCTACACACCCAATGAACATGACTGCATACCTGCATCACCTTCGCCACCCTCTACCTCCTTCGACGACCAAAAGCCCGCTTCCCCGCGTGCGAGGGTGGTCAGGTCGTCGCTCATTTATCACCTCCTTCATTACAGAAATCAACTGCGATGACACCCATTCCAATAATCGGTGGGCCATCGTCGGCCAGGGCATGTTCGCACTTCGTGAGATCAACCAGATAGAAAGGGAAATGCGCTCCTACCTCCAGTGGCTGCTCAACATCGAGCCCTCAGCCCTCAAGGAGTTCGAGCCCAAGCCCCGACGCGACTTCAAGGGCTCCGGGCCGTATCCCACGTACGTTCTTCCATCACCCGCGCCATCATCAAGGGATTCTACTACCCCCTACATTGTCGCGTCTGCGCCACCACACGCATCCACAAACAAGACGAAGCAACCGCCTACCACTTCGTCGCCCAAACCCATTTCCCCTCCCGTTTCCGTCCACGCTCATACCCCGCCGTAACGCGCGAGCTCCTCGCCTGGCTCACATGGTGTGCCCGGCACCCCGGACGCCCCAGAGTCGTCGATGTCGATGTCGAAATCCCCGGCGTTGAGTAAATCACTGCCGGGTCCATGTCCCTCGAGATTCTCTACTACCAGATGCTGGACGCGATGTAGTCATCGACTCGCGGGCGCGCCTGGGCGAGCGCGACGCCTGCTTCCGCCTCGATCCGATCGTCGTCGGCTGTGACGCCACGTTCAACACCTACACCCAGCTCGCCCCGGGTGCGGTCATCCCCAACAGCGCGACTTAAGGCCCATACATGTCCTTGCACGCCGACCCGTCCCCTGACCGCCACGCGCAGCACAACTGCGCGGTGCTCCCACTGAGCGTTTCTGCGCGAACTGTATCCGTCCAACACGCGCTGCGCACGCATTCCACGAGCAACGTCGTGATCACTGCGCCTGATTCGCCGAACTACGTGTTGCTGATTCCGCACCGGCAGGTCTACCCGTCGGGCTGCAACGCCCCCGCCTCGTTGCCCACCGCACCTAGCCCACGACCGTGTTCGTCGCACAAGGCACGGTTGTCGCAGTACTTAGACCCGTGAAGCGATACTAGTGTTCTGTATGATCTATGTGTGCTGTTGTGTGAACAGCGGACCGGAAGTCATGCATCATGCACCGTCGCTGCTACTCGTCAGGATCCAGCCGAAAGTATTATTATGGTCTAACTACATGTACAGATATCCACTACACTCACTCAAACACGTTAAATTATACCTCATCCACCATATAATCGACCAGAAGGAAGGTGATAGTGTCTGTAAACTGCGGTGAGTTGGAACAGCGGCAGTATTTTGGCGTATATCGGCTTACCAATATTTTACCTCTCAATAGGGATTTGGGTTTTTCCTGATGTCCAAGGGAGGGCCCCTAGGCTCGGCCCTCATTGTCCACAGACCATGCCGGACACGCCCGTTGTTTCAGGCCACAGGCGAGGCATTTCTCCTCTTCCTATCCTGCGCGGCTGCCCAGCTTTCGCAGATCTGATTGTCGTCACAATGGTGGCCGCACAGTGAATGACCCATCAAAGCCAGGGACAAGAAGGAGTCGACCACAGTAAGTACTCTCCGTCACATCACCAGCTGCAACGTTGATAGTACTTGCTTGGTAAACATGGATCTCGGCTTCGCATACCGCTCCAGACCTGCTCGACTCGTGCCACATTGGCAAGCATCCCATCGCCTCTGAAATCTGAGGTCCTTCGAGTTGCCAGCACTCGTTACCCGAACGCCGTCGCGACCGGCCCGTTGGACGTCGCCGTCGCCTCCCAGAACACCGACCTGCTGCGCTGGCACTCTAAGCTCGACACCAACCACCTCCGGAATCCCATTGTCAAAGCCGAGCGCGGTATCGGAGGGCTGAGCGAGGGGGCGAAGGCGGAAACGACTCACGAGCCCGGTGCGGAGGTGCATGCCTGCAACCGCGCGTGCGAGGCACCTGAGCCGTTCGACGCCGAAGGCAAGGCGAGCCCGCTCTTCGCGCCCGTCAAGCCTTGCGCGCACGTCATTTTAGTGTCGCGCGCTGGCGGCGCGGGAGTGACGTGGACGCGATCGAGGACAGCCAGGCTGGCAAGTCGTCGTCAATCGGTTGGTCTGTGGTCCCGAACGTCAAAGTCAGGCTGGTTGGGCCGCGCGTACGGGTCTTTTGGTGGTCGCGGTGCATCCTTACACCGGGGCGTTCGCGTGCAAAGCGTGCGGTCTTTGGCACGACTATTTCGCCAAGATCATGGCGCTTTGAAGTGGGTGGCGGACATATATTGATATACTGTACAGTCGTCGACCTCTCAAACAGCATACATAACCGTCGATCAGCCATGCTAATAATGAATTTGTAACGAATAGGATTCACTGCAGCGACTAAATAATACATCAATGACGCATGTTAGCTTCCCCGCCGCGCGAGCGACGGGTACTGGTCCCGAGGGCCACGGAGAGGCCTGCGCCGATACCTCGGGAAACATTTTTCAACGGTCGTAAGGACCTTCATCGCCCGACACATAGGTAGACATGAGCATAGAGGGGAGAGGGAGAGAAATCAAGGACGGGCCGAGCTGGGGCCGGCACGCACGAGTATCCCGGAGCCTCGAAAACATTCCGTGAGGTTCACGGAGCGGCATTCATCGGATTGTGCGCGCCGCCTGACGATCGCCGTCCTTGTGAACATGGGGAAGGGAGCGATGGAGAGCAGTAACAATCGAGAGAAGAGAAAGACGGCTCGAATCTGAGGGCGGCACGCACGAGTTGCCCGGAGCCAAAACTTTCCGATGGGCTGAGCGGAGCGGCATTCATCGGGTTCGTGCGTGCCGCCTGGCGCGGGACCGTAGCCTACTTTCGCCGCTGGATTCGACAGCAGGAAGCGATCGACCGCGCCCTCACTGAGCCTGTACATATGTATGGCCTGGGAATCTTGGGGCCAACGTCAGATCACGTTCGAAGATGGGAAGGCCAGCGACTCACAATGATGTGTTTGTGTCGTGAAGACAGCTGCTGTGCGGAAGTCAGCGTCGACCTTGGCTCAAAGAGAGAAAAACGCACAAGGTACAGGCGGCTTTGAAGTGCGTCTTGGAGGAGGGAGGTGATCCGGGGTGCGCCGCTCAGGCTCTGATCCCCGTGTGCCTCGAGGCAAGTGGAGCTGCGTGCACGAGAAGCGACGACTTACGCCCCGGCGCCGCCATGGAGGGATCAAGAGCCGTCTGCGTGCACTCACCGGACCGCACGAGCTGCCCTCGTCCTACTGCCGTGAGGCTCAGGGCCCATCGGACGACCTCATGCAAGACCACTCCCGCCCGGTGTCAGGACGAGCCCAGACTGTGCAGCGCGGCCGCGGAGGCACGCGCTGACGATGGGTGTGCGTCTCGGGCACCCCGTGCGTTGCAGTGTGGAGCCGCTGCACGGTGTCCCCTGCCTGCCCATCTGGCGATGAGGATAGCGAAGCGCGAGCGACGCAAGAGCCTCGATGCCGGGCGAGGAGGGTGACTGGAGCCGACCTCGTCGGTTGCACCACGGTCTAGTGAGTAGTCAGCGTAAGTCGCGGGGCGCGTTGAACAAAACAGCTCACCGTTGGAAGACCGCAGGCGCATCTGTGAGGCTGACACTGCGAGAGGATTAGCTTGGAGGCGACAAGGGCAGTTGCCAGAAGAGACGTGCCTTTTCTCATCGCCACCCGGACGTAGGAATGAGGTAGCTGTTGCCGTCGCTGGGGTGGCGGATGGGTGAAGGGGCGGGGTGTTGTGCGGCTGAGGAGCCTTGGGTGTGCCGCATGGGTAGGAGTGCGCCGCGGGGGGAGAGCATCGCCGAGGTGGCGGGGTGGTGGTAGGGATTCTGAGGAGGGAGAGCGCGGGGCAGGAGGGCTTTTATGATCGCGCGGTGGACCCCACCGCGAATCCCGAGCGGCGACCGCATCGCGCGACTTCCGCGCACCGCGCACCCTCGGCTGACACAAGGCCGCATCGAGACCCGCGATATTGGGTGCTGAGTATGACCTGGCCAATCGCCAGCTGCATCTCTCCGCGCCCAAGCAAGACCAGGTGCTTCTCGAGCGGCGATGTGGTCTCGGGTCCCTTGAGGACTGATGATAATCAGCCGAGGTTCTTAGCCGGGTTTACCGACGAAAGGACGTGCGAAGGGTTGTACGGAAAGGTCACGGCGACCAGGGGTCGAGGGCCGTTGTCTGTGCGGAGTGGCCGCCGTCGGAGACAAGCGGCGGCACAGGCATCTAAGAAAACAGTGTCAGTAGTTGATCTAGGGTGCTGGGTGTGGGAGTCTCGGCCCGTCTGGATGGCGCAGTTCAGAGATGTGCATAGACAAGGTCTGTTTGGCGGTGTGGGCGGCCTGGTCTTGGGCGCTTGATCCGTGAACATGGGGGACGTCGTAATTATTGAGTGCTTGCCCGTATTTCAAGCAAAGTAGTCTCAAAAGCCAATCTCCACACCGAAATTTGAGCTCTTTGTCCGTCTTTTGCTTGTGGAACGTGCCAGCAAACATGGAGTCTGAGCAGTTACTACTGACCTCGGTGCACCAACGTGAACTTGGAGAGTTAAGAAAAGGTGTGGAGAACTCTTACTTAATTATTATGGAGCTTTCAAGTCTGCTTTCAGGACACATATCTTCCTGAGCGGGGTGAACGAGGGATAGATGTTGATAGTTGAGTAGAAAATACTACATTTAGGCGCCCGTGACGTACCGGTTGCTCGAATCCCTGGACACGGGTTCGAATCCCGGTCCTGCCACATCTCGGTTCCCAGCCTCGACCCGATAATTGGCAACTTCAACTTTTTGAATAAGGATTTAAACATGCAACAGAGTACATACACGTGCGGAACCCCCTTGCATCTCGCCAGAATCAGACACAACCAGCGCGGGACGTCCGTCTCCCAAACGCCTTCCCCTCGCCCTTGCGCGCCCGTTCGAACGCCTGCTCCGCCAGACTCGCGTCCGTGTCCCGCTGTTTGCACGACAGGAAACCACCGCGGAGCCTCGCCGGACGTGGTCTGTCGCGCGGTCGCGCGCGCCGAGCGGTGGCGGCGGCGTGCCACTGTTGGCGACGCTCTGGAAGACCGCGACCGCCCAGCCTGCGCGGCGCGCGCGACCCCGCTGGGGACGCAGGGTCCGATCTCAGATCACGCTGTGGTGCCGGTGCTTGGCGCAGGGGCAGGGTGACAGGTGTCGAAGTGGAGGACGCGTTCACGATGTCTTTGAAGCCCTGCTCGGCCCGCGGTGCGCTCTTTATGGTCGTGTTGGTGTTTGGTGCGAGCCACAGCATGGTGAGGTGGTTGACGATCCAGAGCCGGAACCGGAACGGGGGCGCGGGGGGGGGCGTGGAGGGGGCGACCGGGTCCAGCCTGCGGCACTCGGGGAAGGGGTCCATGATGCACGTACATGTCGCGCCAGACGGGCTCACAGGCTCGCTGAGGAACGGGAGGTTGTACCAGTTGTTGCCCATATTGACCGCGACCGTATGTCAGGGAACATGAAAGTGCTCACAACACATAAAGAGCACAGTTACTCACCACAGAAAGCTTGAACTCAACCCTTCGCACCGTCATTCTCCGATGCGTCCTTGGGACTCCGGATTCGCCAACTTCTCCTCTTCAGTGCAGTGGCCTTGAGGCGTGTTGAGGTATGAAGAAAACCGAGACATGAGGCTTTTCCTGAACGGTCTTGGTTCGCATTTGAGTCGCATATTGACCATCTTCCCAACTAAGTCAAACGAGGCGGGTGAGAGAAAGTCGGTGGGAGGAAAGAAGAGGTCGCGCTAATTGGCTCATGGAAGCGCATCACGTGTTTAATCCCGCGTCATGAACGCGCAGCTGGCCGGCTTCAACTTCACTCATCCACCACAATGAGCAAAGTACAATCATTATGTGGACTCCTTCAGTCCCCTACAGGGACGGACAGACGGTACGCGGGGGCTTCGAGTTTCTTCTACGAAAATTGTGTTCACACTTCTCATCTCCGAGGGATCAGCGCTTGGCACTCATTGGCATCCCGCCCCACACTCCATGCTAGAGGTCTAGAAGACTGGCCTCGGGGAGACTAGAGGCTTAGTGCTCTGACGAATGTGCTGATATCCCTCTTCCCATCCCGCACAGTCACTATACTTCCGTAGATCATCTTGGTTGACCCATCGAAGGTGGCGACACAGTTCCTTCACGTTCCTGGACGCGACATTGATTCTGATTGTCAGGCCACCAGGTGATTGTCTTTCAAGATTTGCATCGGCTGCCTCGCAAAGAACGACAAGAACGAGTCACATCCTCGCCAAGATTTGGAGGTCACCATCCTGGCCTCCACTTACTGTTTTAGGTGAGTCGGACTGGTTTTCTGGCACTCGGTCCCCTTCTGATTTCCGACGGAAATTTTCGTTTTCTTCCCTCAGTTTCCGCGGCCTCCGGCCTCCTCCGGCTCGTTCAAGAGCCGATCTCATCACCCTCCCGCGCTAGCCCCTTCACGAGGACTCGTTTGCACGCATTCCGATATCATTCCGGCGCCCCCCTGGCTGCTGCAAAGTCTGGTCCCCCTTTTCCTGCCCTACATCCACAACTGGGGCGCAACCCCAGAATCCGCATGCGACTCGGTCCATCCACGCGTACCCTTTCCGTCGGCGCGATGTTCCGTCCACACAATTCATCTCCGTCGGGCTAGCGCCGCTCACTCCGCTGCCCAAGTCGCGTTCAAGTCGATCCCGTCCAGCGCTCCGGCCGGAGACCCGTCACGATTGAGGTATCCTATTCCCGAATCCACCCCGGGAGCAGAGCGTCGACCGCGAGGACGCGCGCGCTCGGTACCAGGCCTGCACTCGGAACCTCATTTCCACATCGTGCGAACGCCGTGCCAATCTGCGCCCGCAGCCCGACGGCGTGACACAGGACCTGCGGTGCGGTGCCGCCCAAGACACCCGCATGCGGGCATATGAGCTTCCCACTTGGCAGATTTTCCAGTCCTCGGCGCGCGCACGCGGAACAGACACGATTGTTGGCCTCTCGAAGACTTGACAGCTCAAGCGCTCACGGCCCCCGCTCGCAAGTCGGGCCCTGCACGCCCGCGCTCCGTCTCTGCCTGCACTTGTCGCCGTCGGCGCCCAAAACTTCCACCCTCCGTGCGCAGCAGCGACGGCGGCGGCGGCCCCCCGCGTCCCCGGCGCCGCGCGCACAGGCCACCTGACCGGCGGGACGCGGAGCCCGCGGCGCTCCGCGCAGGCACTCCGCTCACGCACTTCCAGCGTGCGCGGCCCCCTGCCACGCCTTCCCCGGCAGCGGCACGCCATCCCTGTCACGGCGGCTGTGCCGCGCGCGCGCGTTGTGGGGCCCTGGGGGTTCGTGTGCGCGCCCACCGTCCCCGCGCTGTACTTACGGCGATGACAGGGATTCCCGTCGCGTGCGCCGCCAACCGCGGCGGCGCCCGCGACGAGCCTACCTGACGAGCCGCTGTCGCGCGCCCCCCGCCCAGCCCCGAGCCTCTGGTGCTGGGTCGTCGGTCGACGTCGCCCCGGCGCACCGGCCCCGCCGCTTCCACGCTATTACGACAGCAATTCATCCGCGGGCTCTCAAGATCTCACACCCTCGGCTGTCGCGCGTTGATGACCGGGGGGGCGCGTCCGCCCGTTCCCGGCCTCACGCCCCGCGCCCTCCACCCTCTACCGTCCAGGGCCGCTCGGGGGAGGTCCGAGGCTGATGTGCGGTACAGCCACGGCACTGATATCTAGCGCGGCGCGCTGATATGTCGGTGGATTGAATCCCCCATCGACATCGCGCATCTCGACGGGCATCTCGACGGGCATCGAGCATCTCGACGAGCATCGAACATCGAGCATCGAACATCGTCCGTGCGGACTAGCTGTGATTCATCGGGGCCCCGCACTCCCGCGCAGGGTCGCGCCGTGGCCAGTCGCCGCGCCCGCGAGTGCGATGCGTACGTACGCGGCGCCGGTGCTAGCCCCGCGGATGGACGTTCGCGCAGAAGATCACTCGCCCGGGGCGCCGATCTGGTGGGCGGGGTTTTGTCGCTGTCGTCGCCTGCGTGGACGGTGGACGCATGGGTGCGCCTGGGTGATGGCCACACAGTGCGATGGATCGAGGTCCGACCGCGCGGGTCCATTCAGCGGGGAGGGGAGGGAGGTGTGGGGACGTACCTACGCTAAACAGCAAGTGCACCCGCTCACTGCGAACACAACACGACGCCCGCCGAGAAGGCGCCGAAAGGGAACGGAAACGGGCGCGGGCGCGCTGGGATGGAAGCAAGATTCCGTGCGGGACGGAGATTACATTGAGATCGCGTTCGGAGGGTATGGTTAGTGGGACTAAAGGTGGCTGTTCGGAGTAGGCGGGCGGGTAAGTGTTCAGGCGCGAGACGGGAGCGGACGAGGGTGAGCGAAGCAAGAACAGCAGCTACGGGATACAACAGAAGGCACATGAAGCGACGACAGCTATTACAGTGACGAACAGGCGCGGGCGTGGGTGTAAGGTGTAGGTAGGGAGGCACTAGCGTAGTTGTGCGATCGAGGACTGGGAGACGAGACTATACAAAGCATTTAGATTTCACCCGGCGACCCCCAGAAAGACTGACCAAGACCGGAGCATTCATCACTGGCTCGACGGCGGCATGGACCCTGCGAAAAGATCAAACACCCGGTCAGCATTGCCCTCCGGAACACTCGACGCAAAACGAAGCCGACTCACCGAACATCGAGTACTGGTCCGACACATACATCCCATGGTTCTGCGCGCTCCCATGATGCCCATGCGCCGGCTGGTGCCCGTGCCCGTGCGCCCCATGACCGTGCCCGTGCACGAGCCCCGCCGAGTCCCCGAGCACCGGCATCCCGTACGTGGTCTCCATCTGCGGGAGCGCAGAGTAGTCGTTCCAGTACCGCGGGTTGCGGCCGTCGCCCCCCGCGCCCGCGCGGTCCAGAGCGCCGCCCATCCCGCGCTCGTCGACGAGCCCCGTCGAGTACTGCGGCGGGAGGACCGACGTCGAGATGCTGCTCCCAAAGCCGCCCAGCGCGCTCGCGTCCGACGGTGCCCCCAGCGGTCGTACGATGCCTGCATGTAGTTCGACCCGCCCTGGAGGTCCATCGAGAGCGAGGAGAAGCCGGACTGCTGTTGTTGATGGGGTTGGGGATGCGCCTGCTGCTGCGGCTGCGGCTGGCTGGGGACGATGTAGCTCGTCTGTGCGCGGTAGGCCTCCTGCGAGAGCGACCGTCCGGGTCCGGGCGTGACAGCCCCCTCCAGGTCCCCTGCATCGTCCTCTGCGCGGCGCTTCAAGCGGGGCTCGGACGCGACGCTCCGGAGCCAGGGCGTGCTCGTGAGCTGCGACTTGGCGCCGGTGAGTAGCTCGAGCGCACGGTATGCGGAGGGCCAGATGATGCTCATCCGCTGCAGGATTTCCATGCACTTGTCGAGCCCCCGGGACGCCTGGGGATCGTCGGGGTATGTGCGAACTACGTTGTCAGGCAGGTGAGTGGGGATGTCTGACCGGGGCGGAGAGATGAGACTCACGCGACGCGACGTGCATGATGGCCGCAGTGAAGACGTAGTAGCAGAGGAAGACGGGTGCACGCTTGGGGCAGCGGTACTCGCAGTAGATGGTGACTAACAAGGCGTGTTAGCATCACGGGTGTCGGGGACGCCGGGGAAGTGCGTACCGATGGACGTGATGTGGTTCGCAGCTTGCACACACATGTCGTAGTGCTTGCGAGAGTTGGCGCGGACCTCGGCCTCCTTGGCAGACGTGGCGGAGGGCGATAGTCTGGGGGCAACTCATCAGGAGACGCACTCAGTCGATTCGTAAGGTCACTTACGCCTTGGAGTCCTCAATGTGGCGGATGCTGTGAGAGCATGAGAACGCGTGCTTGAAGGGATAACAAGAGAGCGTACGTACAAGGGGCGACGGAGAAGGAGCACTGTGCACCAGTACTGCATGTGGAGCGTGAAGATGTTCGGTGGCGGTGGCGGGTTCCTGGGCGACGCGGGGTCAAACCGGAGGTGTTCCGGGAGCTCGAGCGACCACTTCGTCAGCTGGCTGTCGAGGCGTGCGAGCTCCGCGGGGCGGCTCGCGGCGGGCTTGATGGCGTAGATGGACTGGCAGATCTCGCTCAGGATGACAGCTGTAAAACACATCGCGACATAAGCGTCTCATCCGTGAGAGGCAAAAACCATGGAAGGGACTCACAGAGCTTGGCGGATTCGATGAAGCACGAAAGGATCCGTCCGGGCACGGGCGCGACCTCGCGCTGAAGTACGTCGTTGGGGCCGTCCAACACCTGCGGGCTCACGTGTGGCGCCCAGAGCTCCATCTCCTCCCCTTCCTCGATGTCGGGCAGGCACGTGTCGAAGTCGCGCTCGTAGATCGCGACGGGCCGGCCAATGTACGTGCAGACGTACTTGTCCATGATCACGCACCCGTACCAAATCCGTCGACGCTCCTGCAGCTCCGCCGAGGAAAAGAGCTCGCCGTGACCGTTCGTCCACTGGTCCGCGCTCTTATGCAGCCCTAGGTCCTGCGCCATCCGCACGGCCATGCCGATGTAGAGCCAGGCCTGTGCCATCGCGCCGATGCCGATCTCGCGGAAGCCGAGCAGGAGGAGCGACTGACATGTAGACGGGCGGCTCGCGGCGTAAGTGCGGTCGAGGATGATCTTCGCGTCCTCCATGTAGGCGTCACCCGCGGTCCACATCGACCCGTCGTCAGGAGGCGGCACATCGGCAGCTTGCGCCGAGAAACGCGCCGCAAGAGCGAACATGGTGAGGAGCAGGAGCGTGGGCACGCGGCGGCGACATCCCGGCGCTCCAGAGGAGAGTGGCGACGCAGCGTCAGAGTAGCTTGATTCGCCCGAGTACGGAGAGTCGGTGGAAAGGTTCCTGTGAAAGGTCACTATTTTAGCCACATAGAAACGTACGTAACTAAGCGCGCTCACCCGTTCCGGAAGTCCTCTAGGAAACTCTGCTTGTGCACGATGGGCAGGAGTGGGTGCACGTACTTGAAATACAGGTCGAGAAGGAGCTCCTGTTTGGCCAGATCAGGTAACGGGGAAACGAATTCGTCTGACTGCGGGCGTCGGCGGCTCTGAATGGTCGATGGCAACGGGGGCCAGACTCGCGCCTTGGGGAATCGCCTGAGGACACGTACGGCTCGGTCAGCACCCCGGAACGCGCCAAGTCTAGACAGCGCAGCACACGCACCATATACCACCCTCGCCCCGCCCGTCCTGCCGCTCCTTGACGCCGAGGAGGTGCAAGCCGCTCATCTTCCCATGGAAACGGACCTGCTCGTCTTCGTTCAGACTCAGCTGACCGAGCGCGATCGCCATCTCGTCCTCCCCGCTCTCGTCAGAGTCCTCCATGCTCTCCTCCTCCGCAGGCACCGTACGACGTATCGGCGAGCGTGAGGACGCGGAGGAATGTGACCTGTTCGGGTCATCATGCTCGGCGTCGTCCAGGCGCCGACGCTGCCGGCGCGCGTCGCTTGTTGACGCCTGCGACCGAGGCGCGGAGGCTGGGCGCGCCTCTGCCGGGGAGCCCGATGGTGAGCCGTCGTCATCGTCGTCACCCTCGTCGACACCGGATACGACCTGCCCTTCAGGGAGTAGCGCGTTTCTTGACGCCGCAGCAGCGTTGAGACGCTTGATTACTTGATCTTGCCATTCGTTTGACGGACTACGCGGCGGTCAATCACGGGCCAAATGAATGATCAAAGCGCAACATACTGTGTCGCGTGGACCGTGTTTCGATCGTCGTCCCGCTGGTCGGGCGGCGGTCTCGATCTGCTTGAGGGTGCCTCGGCACCTCGACTGCGGCCTTTGTACCCGTAGGGGGAGTTGTCCACGCGCGAAATGATCTCCTTCGCCAACGGGTCCTGAGGGTGGGAGCCATGAGCACGTCACGAGGCAAAAATGGGACCCATGCAAAGTCGCGTGCGGACGTAGGTGGTTGTATGCGCGACAATATCAAGGGAAATGTGGGCGTGACCAATACCGGCCCGACATGACCGGTGATAACCAACCGAGCATTGAAGAGGATATGCTGACTCACCTCTGAGAGGTCTTCCAACACACTTCGTGCCCTGCTATCCTTGCTGCTCAGCAGGATGCCAATCAAGGCCTCGGTTTGGTGCAGACGGGCTTCAATGGCGTCGATGTATCCTTTCGGTGGTCCACGCTTGCGGGACGGTCCGAGAAAGGTGCAAGCTGGCAACGCGGGCGGTCAGCACGGTCGCCAGCGGCAAGAACGGGCGAGGAGATCGGTGTGCCGCCCAGTGGCGGTGGGCGCCCGAGGGAAGGGGAAAGAGGGAGCGGGGAACGCAGGACGGGGGAACAAAGAAACTCACGGGTGTTCAGCATGACGCAGTTCCGGCAGGGATCCTGCGGGCTGCTCCTCTCACACTTGCACTTGCTCTTCCGGCACTGGTCGCAGGCCTTGCTGCTCCGCCGCCGGATCTGCTTCTCCTGACCCTTGCCGCCTGCGCCACCGTACGCACTCATGCCCATGCCACCAAGTCCTGCGCTCGGGAGGTCGCCCAGGTCGTCGCCCGCCTCGTCCTCGTAGTCATCCACGAGATTGAGCGGGTGGGTGTGGTTCTGGCCGTTCACGGGAGAGGCGGAGGAAGGAATGGGATAGCGGTCGGCGACAGCGTAGCCGGACTGGTGGTGGGGGAAGGAGGTAGACGTGGAGGAGGAGGAGGGCCAGGAGCCGTGCGACATAAATGTGAAGGAGGATGGGCTGGTGGGGGACGAGCTTGAGGAGATGTCGGCGCCGAAGCGGAAGACGGGGAGAGAGGAAGAGGAAGACTTTACGTGACGGTGGTCGTAGCCGCCGGTGAGGGCAGAGACGGGCGGGAGGTCGGCGGACTCTTCGACTTTGATTGGGATCTGGGAGTGGAGGTGAGGGTTGTGCGGATAGGAAGGCTTGGGGTAGTGTGGCGGGGGTGTTGGGAGGAGGAGTGGGCGGGGTGCTGCGAGGATTGGTGGTTCTGGAAGCCGTAGCGGAGAGGGTAGGAGGAGTAGGAGCCGTGCGGGGGAGAGTATGTCATGGCCCGGAGCGGATGGGGACAGGAATTAGGCGGGGTAGGTGGGGCAGAACGAAGGGCAGGGGAAGAGGGAGGAAGAGGCGAGCAGGCGGTCAGATTTGAATCCACGGCGAGAGATCGAGGCGACGTACCGACGGTAGTGCGATGTCGATGGCGCACTGCGAGGAGCGGATGTTCGAAATTTTACGGAGACCGGGGTCTGGTCCGGCGGGTGACGGGAGTAAGGGGCTGGGCGGCACTCCCCGCACTCCTCCTCCTCCTCCTCCTGTCACGCCCGCCAGTGGCAGGGGGCGCGTCACCGTCACGCCATGCGCACTTCGGCTCCGATCCCTCCCAATCGCGATCCGATCACTCCCACGCCCGTCGGCTCGTGCGGCCCTCGCTGTGCTCCCCCGTCGCCCGCTCCTCCCGCTGCGCGAGCCCGGGCCCCGTCCAGCGCCCAACCACGGAGGCCTGTCATCGTCGCCATCATGGGCGGTCACGTGCCTCCCCATACACGGCATCTCTTTCGCAGCGTCCCCTTAAGCTTTCCGGCGTCTCCGGCCCCCGGCACAGCCGTCGCAGTCCCCATCCCTGGCCACCGACGCACGCCGTCCTCCTCCGCCGGACCCAGCACCGGCGTCGTTGCGTCGCAGCAGCCTTCCGCGACCTGTCGCACATCCACCGATGACGCCAACGCCGCTAGCGGCCGTAGTCCCGATCCCCCCCAGATCGCGATATACTACTTATCACGCTGCACGCGTCTGCACCACGCGCATGCTCACAGCTCCTTGAAACCCCTCTCACCCACGAAGCGGCCCTCATTAGGCCGTTGCCGCGGCGATTGGGCGCTCGACCTCCCAGCCATTCCTTCGGTCACCGATTGACATCCTCCAAACCGACCGCGTCGCCAGCGCGCTCTCCCCTGGGTCCGATCACTCCTTGGCCGGTCCGCGCATCCGCACCCCTCTGAGAGCAACTGGCAGGTTGCAACTGCGCAATGTGTGGCACAGCAGCACGACCAGCCCTCCTCGAGCCAAGTGCTACCAAGTCTGCTTCCTCCTCCAATCCACACCTGAACTCCCAGGGTTACACCGATCTTACGTTCCCTTCGCAATCTCCCACCTCTCAAACTCCACTCCCGTTCGGCGACCGCACCTCTTCCCATCTTTCAATTGTCCTCACTATCGCGTCTACACGGTCCAGCACAATGCTTACCGCCCGCTCGGACCCCCGCCCCCATCCCGGGCCTGCCGGCGGTATTTCCATTTTTGTACACTCCACCGTCTCCACCCAATCCCTGGCAGACCACGGACCTCGCGCGCTGCGGACGCGGGTCTCGGGCACCGCCGCCGGCGGCCCCCCCCGCGCGTCTCCTCCACTCTCCGCGCAGGCAGGCACCCTCGATTTCACAGGATTCCACCCGCTGCTTTTGCCCCCGGAAGGCCCGCCAGGGTCCCCATCGCCGCGATGGGCCTGGGGTGGGGACTCGGGAGCCGCCTGACGGCTGCAAGCAAGTACGCCGTGCGGGCCGCACCCGCCCTCGTGCCACCTTCGCTTAGCACGACGCTACGACGCACCGTCCCAGCCCTCCGGGCGCCCGCGCCCCCTGCTGCGCGGGCGGCGAGGCTAGCCAGGCTGGGCCGCGGTGGTGCGCTCGCGCCCGCCCGCCGCTCGAAAAGGGCATCTCGACGATTGGCCACGGGGCGGCCGGACGAGACAAGATCGACGGCCCTGAGTGCGTAGCGGTCTAGTCTCATCTTTTCAGTGCTACGCTCTCCGCCCACATCCAGTCACATTAATTCAGTCAATCATCCCAGACTCGCGGCGCTCGCACGCGCCGGTCGTCCCCGCCTCCGTGCTTCCCTTATAAAGACATGGACCACCCACAGGGGACATGGTGCCCGCGTGCCCGGCCGCGCAACCTACACATGGATCCCGCCAAGGCGGTTGACGTCACGGCCTTCCGCAACAGACCTCCTGCTGCTCACAGTCGCACAGCCCACAACGTAAAGGAAGCCCTAGCCTTTGATGAACTCGGTGAGGGAGCACGCGCGACTCCAGGCCGTCGTCTCAGAAGGCCACCGCCAACTGGGAAGCCCGCGAGTCACGGGGCGGGCGCGGCGCGCGAGGCGAACGCGACGAGCGCGTGATTGGAGATATGGGGACGCGGGCCACACGCATGGCATGCACATCGCGGTCCGCGCGCACCATCTGTGTCTCAGCAAAATTAGAAACCCGCACGAGCTGATGCGGAGTCGTATTTAAATCTCGTCGTCGTTCGCAATTGATTTGCTACCCCAACACGATTGCGTTTGAAGGTGTCGCCCCGGCGGACGATCCTCCGGCTGTTTTTGGTGGTTCTGAAGACTGTCCAGCGCGGCCATACAACGGGGACACATTGAGAAACGGGGACTTACACGCGGCGGCATCCCGAGCCCGGACGGGGCGATGGCGGCGAGGAAGCGTGTCGAAAACAGGGCGACTTAAGTACGCCTTGCGCCGCTCGGGAGAGGGCGGTTGAGCGAAGACGTATGCTCGCCGTGCATTGAATGGCGTCTTTTCGCGGATTTCTGGAAGGTCGTCGAGAGACCATGGAATGAGTGGCACCGGACTCGCATTTATCCTCCCGCAGTTGCGGACCCGAGACTGAGCGAAACCGAAAGAAAACGGATCTTCTGGATGTGGGAAAGACTATCAAAGTTTGTCTTTGAGGGTCCTGATGCTGCTTCTTTTGGGACCATAGGGAGGACGAGAGTGTCGGAAGGATGACTCGCAGCGGCCCCGTCGAACATGTGCGAAACAAGACGCCAGTGCGCGTCTTAGTCCATTCCCACACGATTCCACGCTTTCCGTCTTCCCTGTCCTCCACTCACCCGTTCTGACACGTTGCTGACACGTCTATATGCTCAGGGAGGCGTCTCCGATCGAGCCCCTTCAATTTGTATTAGAGCAGACGGCTTATGAATCTTTCTTTCTATGAACTTAAACGGAGCCATCTACTCGTCTTCGCAGCACAGACTCCGCAGTCGCCGCAGACGACGGCGGCGGAGGGGGTGGACAGCACTCGGAGGAGGGCCAGGCCCAGGGCCGTTGCCGAGCGGGCGATAATTGAGATTCGGAGTCGATCGCCACGTGTGATTTGAGACGAACTCAGTCTGAGTTTGATTCGATTGAGCGCCGACGCAGATCCGATCGTGCGCCCCCGCAGCCAGACGACAGGCGCCCCAAGGTTCCGGCTGACGCTCGAGCTTAGGACCGCCGACCGTCGACTGCTGTGCGCCGGCAGCCCATCATCGCGGCTGCTCTCTGGCCTGCTTCTGGCACGAGTCGTGCTCCACGTTCCATCGCGACGGCGAGGGTGCAGAGCGGGAGAAGGCCCATCTTCAAACTTCAGCTCGGTCGGCGGTCGGCGGCCGCACGTCGAAACCAACGCGCGGCGCACGCAGGTTCGCGCAGGTCGTACGGCATTGCCTCTCAAGTCGTCCGAACAGCGGCAGGCCCTGGGGCCTCAGGCGCGCCCGAGAAGAGCACGGCCAAGCCGCAACCGCAATGCCCAGGGGATCCGGCGTCGGCGACTCGCAGACGGCGAGGAGCGGTGCAGAGAATCCTCGCAGGCGCCCCCGCCAGCAGACCGTCAAAGTCCACCCCGCTTGATACATTCGTCCGGGACTTGCGAAGCTGGCTTCGAGCAGAGAATGCGAGGCCCCGAGGAGCGACTTCGCCACGCGAGCCCACAAGCAGGGTGCAAAGGCGGTGCAGCGACGCCGTGACGTGCGGAAGGGGGATCCGAGGGAGACTTGACGAGAACGCGAGCGGGCGAGGGACGGGCTTCGGGAGCTGACGTGCTGACGAGGCGGGCACGCGGTTCGGACGGCACGTCCAAACCGGCGCCGGTGGTTTACGCGCCGGGGCTTGGACGCTGCAGCGGTTGCGATGCGACCGACGTTGCCTCGTCCACCGCGGGCAGGCTGCTGCGTGCTACGGACGGCGGTGCGCACTGCGCGCAGCGCGGGGAGGCCTTTGGATTGGGTTCGAACCGGATTGAGTTCGGAGGGTGCGTCCAGGATTTGAACGTGGGGGCGCGCGAGACAAGTGGGGCGCTTGGCGCGGGTGGGGCTGGCGCTCAGGGCAGGGACGTGGGCTCCTGAAAAGTCGGCGGCGATGGGGGTGTTTTCCACTGTCTCGAGGCTGGAAATAGAACCCCAGAAGCCGCGGGCTTTCAACTTCAAACCTTTGTGCTATGTCCTCGCCATCCTAGTGAATAGCGCTGGCCTGGAAGCCCGTCCCTTGTACTATAGACCTGGTCCTATGATCCGCTACACCTTGTCAAAGTCACAGGCACGTCTCGCTGACGCACACTGCGATAATCCGTGCTGACGCATCATGCAGTCACGGCGGCCGCTACCCCTAACCGAGTAAGAGTCCGAGCTAGGCGCGCGCAAGGGTTGCTAACGTTGTGTCACCCAGACTCCAGACGGACCCATGTCGGGATGAGGCCGTCGTGACGTACACCACGAGGTCGAGCCCAGGGGATGCTGTCGTTCAAACTACCAATTCGTTTGTCTGTGGGCGCTGGAGAACTACGCCGGCGGCTAACCCGAACGTTAACATACCCGAACGTGTCGACATCGCCAGAGGGTCGGGGGGATACGGACATAGGAGTGGAGTCGCAGAAATGCATCCATTTGTGCGACTCGCAATCGTGCTCCGTCGACGGGCCCTCCCCAGCGGAGAAAGACTCCTTACCGCCGGCACGCCTCCCATAGGAAGATTGGGACGACCAGACCCCTTCCGGTGTGCCCCATTCTTGCCTACAGTGGGCGCGCAGGGTTGAAATTTGAAACGCGGCCAAGGGCCCAGGGCTCACCGGTCCACGGGCCACGAGGTCGCCCTCCTCGCCATGGCCTGCGGTGTTGCCATTGCGGGGTGCGCGGGTGTAGACGTTGTCAGGAAGGGCGGGTGGGGCGACCGCCGACCAGACTCTCCAGAGTCTGGCAACGGCGGTGGTTGGCCGCGCGCCGGATATGGGCATGGAACTTGAGGCTAGCACCCGGTTGTGGTCGTGATCGGGATCATCGATGGGCTCCCTTCGCGTCCTGCGTTAGGGGCGTCAAATTCGCCTCCACGGGGATGAATCATGTCGGCCCTGGAAGCATCCCAGCATCTCGTGGGCCAATGATCGGTTCAATTTGTGGGGTTGTATCCCAAGCGAGATACGGATGCGACGCAGCCGATAAGTACGGTTGCGGATAGAGATGCTCGTCGGACACGAGGCTACGACTTCGTGTTCTTGCCCGTGCTCGACGAGAACTCAGAAGTCAGAACCGACATCGATTCTGCGACCGCGGCACTGCATATCGGATAATCAGTACCCGGACGTTCGAAATTCGCTGGCCATGGAGATACGGACCGACATCTCCCCCGACCTATCCGACCCTAACACATCCGTGCGGCGGCACTCCGTAGGACTCCATCCGTGCTCGAGGGTGAACGCTGTCGGCGACTATCCGCCGTCCGGGACGTGCCCGCCCCAGCGAGCGCCACACCGGGCCTGGTGGCGGTCGTCGGATGTCGGGAACTGTCGGGACCTCCGTTCCCTGCGTTGGCACGTTGTGCTCCGACGCGTGTGACCTCTGGATCCGCTGCGTCGCGCGTCGCGGTCATGGCCCGGAGCACGACTGCGTGTGTGGGCTGCGGAGGACGTACTACGTACGAAAGCGACTTGCGCGATCGTAAGCACTGAGGCGGGCGGGCGCCGAGATCAGACACGCGCCCGTTCTTCCAGACACCCCTCGCCGGCTCCTGGTCGTGATTCGCACTGGAAGAGGGTGGTGAATTTGATCAGAGGCCGAGCGACCGCCGCTGGCTTCGAGGCTGGGATCGCCTGCCCGCTCGCTCTAACCGCTCTTAACCCCGCGTTCTGCAGCCCGTGGGGGGAGAGAGAGGCGTTCGCGGGTCGGAGCTGTGTTCTCCCCGGGCCCAGCCATGATCGCTCTCGACGACTGTCGAGCCTCGAACGACAGTCCGAGGAACACGGGATGCCCGAGTGTCACTCTCGCCCTGCGTCACCGCACTGCTAGCAAGGCGACTCGAGCCCGAGGACTGTCGGCGGCGATGTCGGGGAGCCTCCGGACAGGTCCCCGCCGTAGCGTGCATCGGGCGCCCGTGAGGTGGCTAGGACCGCGTTACGGCATGCGCGGCTCCAGGGGGCGTTGGGGGACCGGGGTCGCCGCAGAGAGTGACAGGGCCAGGGAACGATGGGTGCCGCCCGCCGAGCCCGCCGCCTGCCGCGCATCGCGTCGCTGCTGACGCACTCTGCTGCACATGCTGCTGGGGCTTCGGGAAGCGTCGCAGGCGCGGTGGGCGTGTGGTCGGCGTACGCTCGCCGCACACTGCAGGGACCCCCTGTGCAGCGTGCTGCGTCGCCCCGGAGGTCGGGCTGAGCGGATGCTAGGTTTGACAGGTCGATGGTGGGGCTAGCGCATTGTCCACAGGAAGCCGTCGGTGGGTAGCCTCGGCGGAGAAGCGGGACGAGCCTGCAACTGGTCCCGAGCGATAGTGCTGAACCGTGAACGTGTTACGGCGTGAACGTGTTACGGCTGACGCCAAGCGGGAGATGCGTAGTGCGGGGTGATATGAGGTTATTTTTGAAAGGGGCAGGTGGAGTTCTCAACCGGCGACTCGGATGCCCGGGACGAGCGCGAAAACACAGCCGCAAGCTGGGTCGGAGAGTCACGACTGTCGATTTGTGGACGGGACAGCAGATAATGGCCGCTGATGAGGACGTGGGTGCACGTAAAAGAAGTTTGGTAAATGCAGCCGCGCCGTTCCTCTTTTCATAGTGCGGGATTCGGTCGACGGAGAGGCCCCCAACAGAGTTGCTGGCGTTGAGCGTAGCTTACATAGAGTTTGGCGAATCTTTGATGATCGACCGAGGAGTGACAGTCGTGAATAGGAGTAACGGTAGTTGCGGGGTCCTGTCGGTCATCGCTGACGACTAAGATCCAAGCGAGAGAAGAGATGGCCATGGGAAGAGTCGATCGGCGGCTTTCAGGGTTTGCAGATAGCTCGGCGTCTTCCGTGCCCCTTGAACGGATCTTTGGCTCACCACTTCGCGAGCGGCATGATTGTGTCGAGCATCGAGCGAGCTGTGCATGTGGTCGGTGGCTCGCGGCGTTAGCTACCTGGTTGTAGCACCAGTGGGTAAAACGGGATAAAGGAGACATCGATGAGACCCACCCAGCACAGTAGTGGAGCTTGGTCGGGGCATTAGTGACCCAAGATAGAGGATGGAGGGTAGGTTTGAACGTCTCCGACTCACTGGGGGAGAGGTTGTGCCTTGAAGTCGCACTCCACCAGAACAGAGACGGGTGGTATCCCCAAAACTCGCATGGCCGCTACCACGCGTATTTGATCGGCTTGGGGTTGGGAATGTCGCTGCGTTCGGTCATTGGGGTTGTGGACTGTCGTAGAGCTGAGCATTCTCGGAGTCAATCAGCCGTGACGCACAGAACAATCGAGTCGCTGTTGGCCACCTGAACGCCTTGCGTCCAGACTCAGGTCTATCCACGATCGCCCCCGGGCCATTCTGGGAGTTGCGCCCCTCGACTCCAACGCGCAGCAGCCGGTGCACGCCGGAGCATCGATTGCAAGCCGATGAAAACTGCGAACATGAAAGAGCTCGGACTCACTCTGAGAGACAGAGGGTGGGGTGATGCCAGTGAAGGTCGGCAGAAGGCTAGTGGACGCGGTTGAACTGCAGCTTGCAGGAATCAGGGCACCAAGCGCACGTGACTGACGCGCTTGCTTGGGCGCCTGCTGTTGATTGAGCAACTCCAACGCGACGCGCTTTGTTTGAACGCTACGGCTCTGCTTCATTTGCAAACGCTACCGCCTCCCCCTCCTCTCTACTGCTGCCCTGTGTCAAAACTTTCCTCAGTATTATGGCAAAATCTGTTCTGGACTTCTTCAAGCCAATGCGTGGCGAGGCGATCGCACGACTACGAACCAACTCTATCGGGCTCGTCAGCCTCTCGATCCTGGCCCACCTCCTCCCGGTGCCAACACCATGGCGCGCGTTTGATACGGTATGGAAGCAACGGCCGGCGAGTGCGCCTTACTACTACACATGTGCTGCTGGTGCGTCTTTTTGTCCGTCGGTTCCCAAGCGAGTCCTCAAGGCACGAGACGCAGAGCTGCTCGTGTTCGGATTGCTAGCTCTGAACGTGCTGCAAGCACTCTTTGCACTCAAGTACCCCCGTGCACCCCTCCCGCCGCCTCCATCTGCGCCTGCTACCCCTGTCAAATCCCCGCTTCAGTCGACGCCAGCGCGCCAGTGGCGTTTGCAAAGCAGCACTCCGAATGTATGTTGGTTGTTCTACTTCATAACGTGTTGATGATACTGATTCTGTTACACATTAGGCGAGCCCACAACGTCAAAAAGCTTTCTCGACCTACGTCCCATCTCCCGTTTCCACCCCGTCGCGAACCCTCAGCTACACCATCCCCCTTCTGCGTCTTCCCAAGCCGAGGTTTCATTCACGTCCTCTGTGTCGTCTGTGCCAGGGTCACCAGCCTCGCCCCTTGCAGCCTACAGGGGCCGCCACCAACCCTCCGTCGGTAGTATGTACACGTTCCCACCGCTGCACATCGGCGCATTCACTTACTTTGTTCCAACAGGAGCCTTTGATGGATCGCTGCTTAGTCGGCTGGCAAGAGAGGATTCAGATGACGAAGACTCTTAGAGTATGGCTATGCGACTGCTTGTATCGTTCGCTATGCTGGGATGTCTTACGGCTTTTACGACTTCTCCTTGCGGCTTCGTTTCGATGAGATGCCGAGTGTCAGAGCATTGCGTTCGGTCGCTAGGGAGCATGCGGGAGGTGGAACAATTGCGCATGGATTCCCCAATGCTCTGTTTACGAGAACTGTCACAAGCGTGTCGTGAAAGCCGTTCGAGCGTGGTGTCAGCGTGTCGTCGCGGAGGCGGCGTGGTCTTGGCGACTCGGTCACCTGACTAACGCGACGCGGTCTAAATGGGCACGTCGGGCGCCTGAGCTTCGCGTTCTGGTTGACCTTGGTTTCGAACCGCCATCACCCTTCATCTTATCCTTCGACGCATCTCTACGATACCCACATCATGGAACGAATGTGAGTATCACTATCCATGATTCTTGGCGCGAGTCTTCGGGGAAGGTGTATGCTGGGTATTCCCTCAGTTACAGTACTTCTTTTGAGAGGTTGATCCGACTGCTCGCTTCACGAGGTGCTAACCGATATTTCCTGCAGGCGTCAAAGGTTCGCCCAAGACGAACATGTGTATCCAAACTTGGTGCCTCTGGGCAAGAATGCCGACAGACAGCCCCCGAAGCACGTTCCCCAGAGCGGAGTCATTGTATGTCGCATGTTCATTTGATCTGAGAAACGACTCTAAGAGAACGAATCAGAGCGTTGCATCGACGGCGTCCTCGCCAGAGCCCGTCGGGCGCATCCACAAAGGCCGCTCTGGAGGCCCCATTGAGATATCCGATTCCGAGGATGGCGGAAGACCGAGGTAAGATCCACACGTTTTCTACGGCATATATCTGGCCTGACAGGCTGCGGGAAAAGCCCCCCTCCCCTCCGCTCACAGCCTCTAAACGGTGCCCGCCCATCCCAACCTGCTGGTTTCTCGAAACCGCCGACCCGGATCGTTACCCCCGCGAACCGCCCGCCTCCAGTCACTTCGTACCCCACAAAGCCACCGATGGACGAAGGCGAGACGTTCGATGTCCATAATGTAGGAGGATACGCGGACGACATGATGATGACTCAGGCCGACACCGAGAAGGCGCTCCGCGACTTCGTGGCCGACACCTACAACCATGATGATGCAGAGTACACCGTCGAGGACGCAATGGTCGACGGCTTTCGCGAAGGCGTGATGCTGCTCCCGCACCAAGTCAAGGCGCGGCAGTTCATGAAGGAGCGAGAGACGGGCAAGGCCAGTGGCGGGATCTTGGCCGACGACATGGGGTGAGTCTTACCGCAGCTGCACATGTTCGAGATCGGGTTGCTTAGACACCTCACAGTCTCGGGAAGACCATCTCCACTGTCACCCGTATCCTTGACGGTAGAGCCACCAAGAAGGACAAGGAGGCCGGATGGAGCGGTTCTACTTTGTAAGTCCCTCCGTGCGGTGAGGGCATGCGGAGACTTAGACGCCGTACAGGGTTGTTTGCCCGGTCGCCCTCGTCTCGCAATGGGAGAATGAGGTCAAGAAGTACGCACCCTCTCTTCGCGTCGTCCAACACCATGGCCCCAGCCGTACTTCAGGTCCGTTGTTTGGTGATTGCTTCCGTGACATTCTCTCACTCTTGAGCCAGACCCCAGGGAGCTCGAGCGCGCCCACATTGTCGTAACATCATATTCAGTCGTGACGTCCGAGTTTGGGGCATACGCCCCGGCCAAGGACGAGTCTAAAGGCAAGAAGAAGAAGGGAAAGGGTGACTTTGACTCCGGTGATGACGACGATTCCGACTCGGATGATGCGGCATTCCGAAAGAAGACGAAGGCTGCATCGAAGCGTGGGGCCAAGAAAGACGCGCTCTTCCGCGTCAAGTGGTTGCGAGTAGTTCTCGGTGAGTTACCTTGCTATCTGCGGGGTTGAGACGCCGACTCACTCGTGCATAGATGAGGCGCATAACATCAAGAACCGCAGCACCAAGGCCGCAACGTCATGTTGTGCGCTCGAAGCGAAGTTCCGATGGTGTTTGACCGGTACTCCCATGTAAGCCTTTCTGGCCGTTCGGACGGCATGCGTCTGCTGACCAATCGACAGGCAAAACAGCGTCGAAGAACTCTATTCTTTGATCAAGTTCTTGCGCGTCAGGCCGCTCAATGACTGGCAGACCTTCAACTCGCAAATCGCCAAGCCTGTGAAATCAGGCAAGCCCGCTCGCCCACTGAAGAGGCTGCAGGTGAGCTTTGCCACGCTTATGCGTGCCGTGGAGCTCGACTCAGAACGCTTTCGCTAGGTCGTTCTTCGTGTCATCATGCTTCGCAGGACGAAGACGACGATCATCAACGGCAAGCCCATCCTAGACCTCCCCGCACGTAACGTCCACGTTGTGGAATGTGAGTTCGACACCGCAGAGCGCGCGTTCTACAACTCGGTCGAGCAAATGGTCCAGACCAGTCTCGAGAAGCTGCAGCAGGGCAACATCAACAAGTCGTACACCTCAGTCCTCGTCCTTCTCTTGCGCCTCCGTCAAGGTTCGACTTTTCTTCTAAGCCTGAACGATGATATACTGATGCTCATCGTTGTGTAGCGTGCAATCATAGGGGCCTGATCTCGAAGGACTACGCGACGGATCAAGAGGCCGTCGAGCCCAAGAGCGCCAGCCAGACCAGTGAGGATGCCGACGATCCTGCCGACGAGCTTGCTGCCATGCTTGGTGGTCTCGGAATCTCCCGCAAGCCGTGCCAGCTGTGCCAAAAGCCGCTCACGTCGTCGAACACCTGGAAGAACGACGTCTGTGTCGACTGCGAGGACGTCTACAAGGACGCGCTCGAGGCAGCGGCGTCACCGACCGGTCTCCCGCCGCATTCAAGCAAGACGCGGATGATCGTGAAGATCCTGCGCGAGGCGGAGGAGCGCGGGGAGGGCGAGAAGACGATCATCTTCTCGCAGTTCACGAGTATGCTCGACCTCATCGAGCCGTTCCTCCGGGCGGAGGGGATGAAGTTCGTTCGCTGTGAGTGGCTCGTCGTTCCGTCAAATCTGGCGGGCTAACCAGTTTCGTTAGACGACGGGTCTATGGACAAGATGTCACGCGACAAGTCGATTGAGGACATCACCAAGGTGAAGTCGACGAAGATCATCCTGATCTCGTTCAAGGCTGGAAGCACTGGCCTGAACTTGACCTGCTGTAACAACGTCATCCTGGTCGACCCGTGGTGGAACCCAGCACTTGAGGTACGTCGTTATCCACCCAGGGATTCTTGCAGGTGCTCATTCGTCTCTCTCAGGACCAAGCGTTCGACCGTGCGCATCGCTTTGGGCAGACGCGGGCGGTTAACATCCACAAGCTATCCGTCAAAGAGAGCGTCGAGCAACGAATCTTGGAGCTGCAGGAGAAGAAGCGCGCCCTTGCCGCAGCCGCGCTCGCGGGAGACAAGCTCAAGAACATGCGTCTGGGCATGGACGAGCTTGTCGCGTTGTTCCGCTCCTCTGGCCACGATGACGACGATGATGACTAGATGGATGACTTCGATGAGAATCTGTTTTAGCATCTATGATTGGATTCCGCATACACATATACACTGGACTAATATACCATGGCCTGTCCTGTACACATTTCGCTTGTCTTTACAACGCTGCGACGTGTAATCAACCGCAGCGAAGTGGGCCGAGGGTTTGTACGTCGAAGTGGGACTTTACACATCTCGAGGCTCGAGGAGGCTCGTGACGTCGGGCGGCAATTTGACGCCCATGTACGCCGCGTCGCGGCTGATTCTACGCGCTTACCTTCGGCCTCTCCTCTCTCCTCTCCATCCCCTTGTCCCGCATACACCGCGGCGAGACCCCACACAATGATCCACGAGCCCGTATAGTCACTGACATGTCAGAAGAAGCATCACAACTCCTCCGGTATGTTCTACCGCAGTGCAATTTGCGCCCTGTATGCTCAATCACCGTAGGGAGGCGAAAACCCTCCAACAGACACTCAAAGAATCGCTCAAGTCGAAGGACCCATGGGAGAGGGAGACCGATTTCACCAGGAAACAGTGCGTATACTCGCTATATGCGCTCCCCTCCCCAGTTCTCAGCGAGTGGCGTGCAGATTGCGGCGGAACTGCCTGCGCCTCCTCCTCCTCCATCCATACGAGCCTGAGTCCAAGGATGCAGAGAACATGCTCTGGATGTCGACATCGTACAACTTCATTGCAGTCTTCAAGCAGCGCATCGCCGCCCTCGACCGTGTCATGCACTCCGGGCCCCGGCAGCAGGGTCAGGGCCAAGGGCAGGGTCAGCAGCCGCACGGGGGGCGCAACTCGCACGTCGTCGAGCACCGCAAGCTCCTCCAACGCTTCCGCCAGTTCCTCGCCGATGAAGAGAAGTTCTGGATCCAGCTTATCGTCCGCATTCGGCGAATCTTCGCACTCGACGACGCGCACACCGTCCTCGCCGAGCTTGGCATCTTCGCAGACGAACCCGACCCCGCAACGACCAACGATGGACCTCCGAAACGCAACCACTTCCAGTTCCCGCCCGACGTCGACATTGCGGCCGCGGCGCCCGCCCTCACCCCAGCTTCACGCGAGCAGCGCGACGGCCGGATGGCGAGCCTGAGCAAGGCGCTCGTTTGCCTGGGAGACATCGAGCGGTACAAGGAGCAGTACAACGAGTCTGGGGGGCGTCCGCGCGCCGGGCACGAGGACGGGCCCCCAGCGGCTGGCGCGAACGGTGGACAGAAAAGTGGCCGGGGCAGGAAGGGCGGCGCCCCCTCGGGGGGTGTCCAGGCGCCAGTCATGCCGCGGATGCGCAACTACGACAAGGCGCAGCAATGTTACCAGCAAGCGCGGCTGCTCTTGCCGCAGGACGGGAACCCGGCGCACCAGATGGCGATCCTCGCGACCTACCAGAAGGACGCGTTCGGGTCGCTCGTGCACTACTACCGCGCGCTCTGTGTCCGGACCCCATTCGACACTGCGGCGGAGAACCTCGGGACGGTGCTGTCGAAAGCGCTCGTGCAGTGGAAGATCAGGGGGGCGAAGAAGGACCGTGATAAGGGGAATGAGATCGCGCGCGGAGACGGGCCGCCAATGGCACCAAGACTAAGGGTGGAAGCTTTCAAGGAGAAGTTGATTGTGCTCCATGGGCTGTGGCGGATACCTCCAGAAGAGTGAGTATCTGCCTCGTTTCTTCTCCTTCGTGCATTTAAGAAGATGTTGTAGGGCCAACGTGCTCTCCCCCGACCTCGCATACAAGCTTGCGGAAGACTTCCGGTCACTCATCTCCGACCGAGTCCTTCCTCTTGACATTATTCTCAAGGTCATCGTCCTCTCTCAAAGCGCTCTCTGGAAGCATCGCATGTTCCGCTCCAGCTCCAGCGGTCCGAAGAAAGGTCCTACCGTCGCCTCACCTGCTTCTGCGGAATCTGCCATCGCATCGCACCTTCTTCTCATGCATCGCATTCTTCTGGAAGTGGGACTTGTCCAACTTGCCGAAGCACCCCCAGAGGATGTGGGCGAAGACCTCGCACAACGAATCACCGCCGCTTTCCGACGGACCCTCCCTGCGCTCCGCATGGCCGGCAAGTGGCTCCGCGCCAACCTCCGCTACCTCACCACTCAGCTTGGGCAATACGATGGCAACAACTCGAAGCAGAGACGTGAACGACGACGCAACAACGAGCGACGATCGTCAAGCGTGGCTGGCATTGTCGTGATTCCTGGCCTGGCAGAGTTCTGGCGTGCATACGCTCAGTTCTCGACTGCGTTGATGCACGCCTTCCCTGCGGACCAGCTTCCTGCACTTGCTACGACTCTGGAAGAGGACGTGGAGCTGGCGGGGTTCGTACCACTGAAGAGGTTTGTGCCTCGGAAGTGGTGGGTCTACAAGCAAGGAAGGAGCGAGGGACGGACCGGTTGCCACGAACGGGATGGGACCCTCGATGGTACCTCTTGAGCAGGTACATCCAAATGAGGAGCAGCTCATGCGCATATCGGACCTGCTAGCGGACGCTCAGGCGATTGCGGAAGATGAGGTAAGCACCTTTCGTTCAATGTCCTCTTATTACGACTGACATTTCTGCAGCTCTCTCCCTTATTCCTTGTTGAGGGACAGTTCATCACGAGGAATCTTCCCGAGACGTCTCTACCACCCCACCGGAAGCCCAAGTGCCACCTCCCGCAAGACGAGCGAAGAGCTCCAATCCCTCGCAACAGTCTACCACAATACCGACACGGATCCCTCATCAGGCGCCCCCGATCGAGACAGACGAGGACAACATGACGGACATCACCCGCACAGAGGACGATCCTGTCGAAGCAGCGTTCCGAACAGTGCTGAACGCGTCTGATGACGATGACGATGAGATCATCTGGAATCCTGGGTCGGTCTAATAGTTTCATGTTCGCCTGGGTTTGCTGACATTGCTCGCAGCGCGGACGAAGCGTATGACCTGAGCCCAGTCATGGGTGCTGATGTAGCGTCACCTACATCACCTCCTCGCCATCTGGTTGCCAGTCCAGTTACTGTCCCTCCCAATCTCAGCAGTCCTGAGCCCATCTCCCCCAAATACGCGCCAAAATTCCCCGAGCATCTGCCGCTTGCGCCACCACCTGTCATTTCTCCTCCGACCATCACCACCGCGCAAGATATCCTCGCCAGTGTTCTGCATCGAAGCCCGCCCCGACTAGACGCCGGACGCGCGACACACATACGCCAAGTTTCCGCTCCTCATGTTCCGCAGACGCACATGCTGTTCGGCTCTAGCGCGTTGGGCACTGGGCCGTCCATATGGTCCTCGAATGCCAATGAGACGGCTGCCCTCCACCTCAACCAAGGTTTCTCGGGCAGCACTCAATATCAACCTCAGCCTCAATCCCCACCACAGCTCCAGTACTCCTCGCACAACGCGGCACCCCCTCATTCCGCACACACCTCTCTGGGTCTTGGCCACGGCATGGCTGGTCTTGGGTCTATGCAACAATTTGGGGGCTCACCGTACGGCCACCAACGCGTCCAATCACTCTCTACCTCTCGCTCGCCTTTCTCCCAGGGACAACTTGGCTCCTCTCACACCCAGTCTCACTCTTCGCAGCTGTCAGACCCCTTTGGGTCCTATCCCGTACTCACGGACCACGCGCCAGTGGGATACAACTCTGGCGTCCCCGGTTCATACGCAGACCCGGTGTACACCAGGAAGCTCGACCCGCCTTCGCAATTTCGGCAGACCGCGCCGGGCATACCTTCTCCCCCGAGTCGCTCCGTGCCGTACCACTTCGACCCGCGACCCCCGGCGGGGAACCAGGAGTACGCACCTCTGTCCTCGATGGCGCAGCTGTGGAACAATTCGGGGTGAAGCGGTCGAAAATATCGATGTTGTGAAGCCCCTCGTTTCTCAACTAGACTCTTGAAGCGGAGGAAAAATGCATCGAGTACGACTCCGCACGGATCTCAATAGCACCCGGCGCTACGTCCACCGTCACCACCTCCGCGACATTCACGAGCCTTGATGACCTCCGCACCGCGACGACCTCATCCCGGTTTGCGCGCGACTTCGCACGGACACGGTACGCAACCGCCTAACAGAGCCTAGCATGCGCTCTACGAGTTCCGGATGTATCACGCCGTTGTCCCGGATTCTTACCTCGTGTGGGGTGTCGTCTTGCACCGGCTCAAAGGCCCGCCATGTTCCGTTGTAGTTCCTCCTATGTACGAGCTCTTTCTGCTTCTTTTTCTCGCTCTCCCCCGGCGACGCGTGCCGTCCGCTCTGAGGTGGAGGTGCTGGCTCTGATTCGATTGAAGACCTTCGTGTCGCCTCGTGTCGCCTCGTGTTATGTATGTGTCTGTTGTACGAAGCGGATGATGCGTCTTCGTGTGTACTCGAGTACAAGCCTCTATGTCCCGCCTTCCCGTAGCTACTTCTTGCGCCCAGGTGGGCATCCCAGAATATGCAATGCGCTCCAGAGCAACACCAATTCCATGTACACTACAGCGCGGCAATTGAACGTAAACCAAGAACCGTCAATCCAGCCGTAGCCATCTCGTCGTCTTCTCCACAGCACTTGTCCGCCGCTCCCCGCTGTACCGCCGGCCGCTAGTGTCAGCCCAAGCCGACGCTGCTCGTGTGCTCGAGCACTTGCTTGCTCTGCCGACGCCACCATGCACTCCGCCCTGTGGTCTGCTGGCCGGACGACGTCCGCCGACGAGCGAGGCCTCGAGGGGCTGTGGAGCACGGCTTCGTAGGGGCTGCCGCCGACGGGCGCACGACGATGTTCGAGATCGCAGAGGTCCCGACAAGTTTGCTCGCACCCAGCCACGCCGGACCACTGACCGGGTCGCTCGTGATGGGGTCGCTCGCGGTGCTGGAAGCTGCAGGCGAAACGGCGGTCGCACCGCGCCGCGTCACCCCAGCACCCCGACGTCGTCGCCGTTGTCGCCGCCCTCGATCCGCTCGGTCCGCTTCTCGCAGACGACGACGCGCTGGACCCGCGCGCGCGCGGCGTCCCGCTGCGCGTCCGTCAGCCCGCCGACGGCGTCGAGCGCGTCCACGACGTCGCGCAGGCGGATGCGGGGGCCCCAGATGCTGTGGCGGTACGTGTCGACGAGGCGGATGCGCTCCAGCGCCGTCCCCCCACCACCTGCGCCGTCGCCGTCGTCGTCGTCGGTGTTCCCAGCGCCGTCCCTTGCGCCGGGGTCGAGACACGACGGCGGCGCGGGGCAGACGAGCATCGCGGCGACGGCGGAGGGGGCAGGAGCGTCGCCTTGCCGAGGAGCACGGTGCGGAGGCGGGGGAGCGCGCGCACGGGGAGGAGCGGCGCGGAGGGCGTCCAGGGCGTGTGCAGCCCGAGCTCGTCCGAGGGGAAGGTGAGGTTCGTGAGCGTGATGTGCTCCACGGCGGCCCAGGTGCCGATCGCGCGGATGAGGTGGTGCGTCGCCCAGGGCACGATCTGCGGAGGGAGGGGGTGCACGGTGAGTCGGACCCCGTGCGCGCGCGAGGTGGGGGAGGGGAGGGGGCACTCACCGCGATGGAGAAGTGGTGCTCTGGGTCGGGGCCTTTCCAGATGAACGTCCGTGGACTGCGTGCGCGGCGCTGGGTGAGAACTGGGCTGGAGGAGAGTAGACGGGGGTGCGTACTTTGCTAGGGAGAGAGCCTTGTATATGTGGTCAAGATGCGGATTGCTGGAGTGCGAATGCAAGCTCAGGGAGAGCAGATCCAACGGCACTTGCGCATGGCTGTCGGACGTCGGAGGATGGCCAGGGGACGGTGGAGACTTGAGCTTGAGGCATCGCCGAAACACGACTTCCAGGTGCCGAAGACTTCGAAGATGGCAGAGCCGCCCGCGAGGGAGACCCGGAGGGTGCGAGGGGAATACGGCGGGGTGCTGGACATTCGGAAAAGAGGACGAGTTGGTGGAGGGAAGTGAAGCGCAGGTGGGAGTGCACGAGGGGGGCGCTGACCGCGTGAAAGGTGCTGTTGACGCACAAGATGTTGCTCGGTGAGCGGGTGTCGTCGAGCGCGTATGCGAGGATGTCGACGAGGAGCTCGAGCGGGACGCAGGACAGCGACATGGCGTTCCAAGCTCGAGCGGCGAGAGCTCGCGATAACAGGCAATCTCGACTTAATCTCGGGACGTCCCGCGGTCCCACCCAGCTCAACACCGCGGCGGACCTCCGCACAAGTGAATGAAGGTGAGATGTATTATCGCAATAAGTCAGGGACAGATAGTGTGTGCACGAGAGCGTCCTCAGAGCGTCCGATAGCATGTTTCCGATCCCAACCACCTTCCGTCCTCTCTCCAGAGTGCCCGTCGACCTGCTCACATCCGTCCCGGGCCCCACGACTGCTGTTGGCCCATGAATCCCGTTGGCTGCTGCATCTGCGGCTGCTGCCACCCCATCGCCCCAAACGGATTCGTTTGCTGCTGCCCAAACATCTGCTGCTGTTGTGGCTGTTGTTGTGGCTGCTGCTGTCCGGGTGGCATGAACATGCTCGGCGACGGCGACGCGAACGGCTGCTGGGGCTGGAAACCGGTCATGACCGGCTGCTGCTGCTGCTGCTGTATCTGCATCTGCATCTGCATTTGCATCTGCTGTTGCTGTTGCTGCATATGCTGCTGCTGCTGCTGCTGCTGCATGTTCATAAACGGGTTCGAGCCCTGCTGCCCGAGCTGCTGCGACGGGAACATAGGTGAACCCTGCATCTGTCCAAGCTGTTGCGGTGGGAACATGGGCGAGCTTTGCATCTGTCCCAGGGGCTGAGAGGGGAACATGGGCGAGCCTTGCGGCATAGGCGACGTAGAGTGCATCGGCGACGCCGACATCATGGAGGGCCCGGCTTGACCGAACGACGAGGGAACGCCCCCGAATGCCTGCTGCTGTTGCTGCTGCTGTTGTTGATACTGCTGCTGATGCATAGACATGCCGGGGGAGATGGACTGGGCGAACGGCGGTTGTGGGCTCGAACTCAAGCTCTGTTGCAGGAAACCAGAGCTGAGAGAGGGCGCCGCGGGCTGGGGCTGCAGCATGCCCATCGAGCCGGAAGGGACGTACTGGGCATCACGCTCGCGCCGACGCCCAGAGTGTTCCCCCCGACGCCGTTCATCCCGTTCATCGTGAGGCCAGTATTGAGGCTCATGCTCCGTGGTGGGAACATGCCCGTCTGCTGCTGCATGAGCATCGACGGGAACGGGTTGCTGGGGCTCGCGGAGAGCCCGGTGAACTGCTGAGCCGGCACCGAAAGGCCGGTGTTCTGGATGCTCATGGGAGCGGACATGGTAGGGGTGCGGCGTACTGCAGGGGAGGGAGGAGTTCGTCGCCTGATTTTGAAGCTGCGCAAGATCTCCCCACAGAGGATTCGAGGTTGCGTAGGAGGCGCGGCTTGCTGCGGGGGTGGCTGGGGTGCCGCGGGGGCGGGAGGGGCGACGGGTTGTGACGCAGCGCGAACGGGAGGTAATGGCTTATGTTGTGAAGGGCTGGGAGTTCGTGCTACCGCGTGCGCAGCGGAGAGATAAGAAGTGGGTGGAGCCGAAGCGGATGATGAAGGGGGCATGGTTTGGGAACGAGTGGCAGTCGGCGCGGCTGACGAGAGTCGACTCGATGCTGACCTCGAGGGACCGAGTAGCGCCGTTGCCGCAGACTTCTTGGTGACAAACGACTTGTACTGGTATTTGGCTGTCTCCGCATCGGCAGGGCGTTCGCGCATAGAGCAAGCAATAACTCACATCGGATGTACTTCTCCAGGTCACTGTCCCGCTCTTGGTCGATCATGTTGGTGGGCGGAGGGTTCTTGATCTCGTCCGGGTTGTAGTAAGCATTCGACTTGAGGTTCCCGTTCTCCTTCATCGTCTCGACCTGCTCCTTCGACCACTGATCCATCGTCAGGCTCTTCCTGCGTAGCGAGGTGAGCACGTCTACTTGGTCATGCACCGAATGCATACCTACACCTTAGATATATGCGTCCCCATTTTTCGGTGGATGCCCGCACAGCTCACGCTGCCAAGAATGGTGAACGGGGCGAAGTGCTAGAGGTGCTGTCGTTACTCACCAGATGAATATCCCGATGTTATGAGATGCCCACCGGGGGTTACGTGCCTTGCAGTCGGCACAGACGTCTGTTCCGTTGAGTCGGACATGAGTGACCGCTCGGAAGTTGATGCATTGACTAGCACGCACCATTCCCCGGCTGAATCGCAAGGTCCATGACGATGCGCTGATTGCGCTCGGCGGTCATCTTGTTCATCCCGGACGACATCGTGTCGGCGAGAGCTCAAGGGAGTTCGGAGGAGCTGAGAAGATCGCAGTGCAAGCGGCTTGAGATGAGCAGAGTCGGATGAAGGTGCGAACGAGCGAGGTGTGCAGGACGTGGCGGAAGGAGACGCAAAGGCACAGGCTGATCGCTGCCCAGGGGGCCCCTGTTCTCCGTCATCTCGGGCTCACGCGGGCCGGGCTATGTCGCGGTCACATGACGTGTTTGGATAAGTCTCTCCGAACTGGTCTGTACAAAGTTCGCTATGTTTCATCGGTGCGCTCTACCTCGAGGACCTCGTCACGCTCCTCCTCGTTCACACCCTTCGTCGCGTCTTCATCGGCAAGGGTCATGTTCTCAGCTCGCTCAACGAGCCCGTCCTCCTCCACCCGGCTCTCCGCCTCACGCGTATCCTCCTCGCGCAAGGCCTCCCCGTGGGCTTCCTCTTCACCGGCTGGCTCACGAGAAACCGCCACCCCCTGCTCCGCCAAGATCGCATCCACCTCCGCCTGCGGCCGCGGCGGGAACCGCACGTTCCGCGCCGCCATCATCTGCTCGTACTTCCCCCCGCGAGCTCGAGGTGGAACACGCGCGTGCTCTCCGGCGCGAACGGCGAGCGCAGGAACGACAGCCGCACGACCCGCGCCCCTTCCTCGTCCACGAACTCGCGCGCCCACCCCGGCCAGCCGTCCACGTGGTCCGTCGCGCAGTCGTGCCCGATCGGCGGCGGCGTCGTCCGCCAGTTGGCCGCGTGCATCGGCTGCGCCGTCGCCCAGTGCACCTCCGGGCCGCGCGCGGGCTCGCCTGGGTTCCCGTCCTGGTCCTCCGCCGTGTCGGCGCCCTGGCCGGGCCCTGCTGGAGCGGGCGGGGGGAGGAGGGGAAAGCACGTCCCGAAGCGGAGGCGGATGCCTTCGGTCTGCGCGACGCTGTCGAACGACATCTGCACGACGAGCGGTGTCCCGGGTCCGTCCTTCTGCGAACTTTTGATCATCGGCTTGTTGCTCGCCTCGAAGTCGAGCAGGAGGAGCCGGTTGATGAGCCAGTGCGGTATCCGGAAGGGCGACGCGGGGAGCAGGGTGTGCAGTGGGTAGGCGAGTGTGACGCGGTCGACCTTGCGGTACTCCGGGAAGGTGTCCATGATGTGGATGTCGCGCCAGACGGGCTTGACGGGTTCTCCGAGGAACGAGAGGTTGTACCAGTCCTTGCCCATGTGCACCAGGCGCACGAATGAGCGCCGGTTATCGGACAGGTCGAAGCCCCAGCCGACACTGTACCTCACGCGAGACGGGTCCGTGAGATTGTCGTTCGTCGGGTTCAGAAGGAGCCCAAAGTGCTCGCGGGCGTTGTCCGTCATCAGCATCGCGACGGTGACGCCCTTGACTTCGAAGACGGGGAAGCGACACTTCATGCCGTAGTTGGTATTCTGGAACTGGGGAAGCTCGAGGGCTCCGAACGGGCCAACCGTCCGCTTCTCGCCGTCCTCGGGCTCGTTCTGAGCGCGTGTCAGGAAGCTGAGGTGTCACGACCGAAAGCAACAACGCACATGTATCGGTTTCCATTGATACGGGAGATAAGGTTGCAGGGGGTATGTCGCGTTGGGAGAGTAGCGGAGACCTCTTGAATTTGCGAAGGCCTTCACAGACTGAGAAAGAAGGAAAAAGTGGTCGAGGGAGGGGGCGTGGAAGATGTTGTAGGTGACATTTCTCGCCATGGGCACCGCCTGGCTGTTGTGTGAGATCCAGCGTCCCCAAGCGAAGAGACTGGTGTCGAAGGACTGGCGCATGATCCCCTGCTGAAGCCGCTGGAACGCGTGCTTCCCTTCGCCATAGATGGTCGGCATGTTGACGTTGAAGAGGCCCATAAGGCAGTACGCCTCATCCTCGACGCGCGTCGTCTGGCGGTGAGCCGCCCACGAGATGCGCGAGGCGACCCCGACGGTGGAGTACGAAGCCTGGTTCGTGAGCACCAGGTCCAGTATCCCCGTGATGCTGTTCAGCAATTTACCCAGCTCGAGCTTGTTCCCGATGATCTTCCAGTCTCGAGATACGAAGAGGACGAGAAGGGGGGCGATCAGCTCTTGCAGCGTCCACCCGCGCGTGTGCCAGCGCGCTTTCAGGAAGGCCGAGCCGGGGGCGTCAACCACGTCATCGCTGGGCACGTCCGCGAGGTAGGCGAAGCATACCTCCGAGGCCGCGTACCAGCGAAACATCGAGTTGATCGCCTCGGAGAGCTCGGTGCTGCTCGTCTTGTCGATGCAGCAGGTGTCGACCCAGACCCAGTCGAAAGAGTACCGCTTTGCGAGGAGACACGTCTGCCGGATCTTAGAAGAGACCATGTCGCGTGGGTTCTTGCCAGAGGCCTTGCACCGCTCTTGGAGCCCTCGGATTTCCTGGTAGGTCTGCTCATGGTCATCCTCCCACGTGTGCGAGAGGATGGCATAGCCCCCGGTGACGGCCGCTGGAGTAGAGAAGAAATGGAGCTCTGCGCGGTCGGTACTGAGCAACCACATCTGCCATCGATCGTCAATCATTAAGGACGATGTCGTGGCATATCGCGCCACGTACCGTTTGGATTGTTGCTACACTGTGGCTATGAATGCAGCCCGCGGTGGTTTAGGGCATATAGGAGTCGTGCTGGTGGAGGAGGAGGCGGGTGATTTCTGCTCACGAGGCCGCCTCCGTAGCGGTTGTCGTGGTAGAGTTTGAGTGGTACGCCGTCGTCAGTGCGACGGCGACAGGTATATGATATGGAAGTAACCACGTGCGCTCTGAGCGCCCGGGATATCGTTATGTTCTGGCTTCTGGACATCTAGCCTGCGAATGAGAAGGCCAGCACGATCTATGACCAGACTATCATCAACGTCCGGTTGAAGCGGAGAAGTTTCTCACTCACTCGAGATCTGGCCGCGAGACGAGTGAAAGCGGCTAAGCCCACAATTGCACCACCCAGACTTCAGGGATCGGATCTGCGTAATCGCCCTAGGTATGCCTACTACTTAACTACAACTTGGCTTTCATAACCCCCTCCCGCTCGCGCCTCGCTTCCAACGCTTTGCCAACCCGACTAGCATTGGGCTTGTTTAGAGCCTTGGAGATCCAAGATCCGACTTCGGCGAGAGCTTCCAAATTACCTGGAACGTCGAAGCGCGTTCCGCGAAGGGCATACAGGACGTCTTCGGTGGCAACGTTGCCCGTCGCGCCCGGCGAGTAGGGGCAACCACCCAAGCCACCCACAGACGAGTCGAACGTGCGGAGCCCGTGGTCAAGTGCGGTAAAGATGTTTGCCACGGCCATCCCGTACGTGTCATGGAAGTGGCCCTATAAAGATGCTTAAAGGGGGGATTAACTCGAGAAGAACGAGAAGAGACGTACAGCTAGCTTCTCCGGGGGTATTCCCGTCTTGTCAAGCATTGTGTGAAGTAGTTCGTTGACCGTGGTGGGGTTGCCGGTCCCCACTGTGTCGCCAAGACTGACTTCGTAGCAGCCCATGTCGAACAAAGCTTGTGTTACGGGCTTCACGGCGGCCGGGTCGACATGCCCGGAGTATGGGCAGTCAATTACGACGCTCACGTATCTGTAGAAACATGAAGAGAAGCGCGAAGAGGAAAACGCGGAGTTCTTACCCTCGCACCCTGAGACCTGCATCCAAAGCTTTCTCCGCAACAGGCTTCAACCTCTCCAGCGATTCGGCGATCGTACAGTTTGTGTTCGCCTTACAGAACGCGTCTGTTGCAGCGGTGAAGACGGCTACTTCATTCGCAAGAGGCACTTCGTCCTTGGGCTGCTTGGCGAGGAGATCGAGGAGAAGTTCGAGACCCTTCATGTTCGGGACGAGAACAGGGTAGTACAGGTCGGGTTTCCGGTCCATCATCTTGAGAACTTCCGCTGTTCCTGCCATCTGTGTATGCGTGAGTATGCATACATAGCTGGTGATTACGCCGCGGGCCAAGGCTCTGTCCGCCAATGATCGCATTTATTCCTTGCAGGGACAGCGTTCCACATGTGACATTTCGAAAGGCATGTATCGACCAACCCTCCTCACTATGTGCGCATATGCATGTGAACGAAGCTCACCTGCGGGACCCACTTGGGGCTCACGAAGCTTCCCGCTTCGATTATCTCCGTCCCCGCAGCGGTGAGACGGTTGATAAGCTCGGCCTTCATGCTGGGTGGGATGACACCCTTCTCATTTTGCAGCCCATCTCGAGGTCCTACTTCGACGATACGAACGCGTTCACGAGGCTTTGACGCGGTGGTCAAAGTGCGGCGGAGAGAGGCTGCTGCGGGGCGAGTGAAGCGGGCAAGCATCTTGCAGGATTGGCGGTGCTCCGAGCATTCAAGTGCAGATGATGAGCATTAAGTAGAAGAAACGAGAGCCAGCGTAGTGGAAGTCATGTGCAGGGATTGTGGCAACCGTGATGGCGTTGGATCCAAATGGGGCAGAGTTCGTCGGTCTCTTCGTCCGACTCCGACCCAGTCCGACAGCCTCCACCACAACCGCCTCGACATGCTTGTACAGCGCACGACTCACAAGACTCAAGGCAACGCACGCCCATGGATAATCAAGAACAATAAAGCCCGCGCCTTGGTCGCGGTTCGCATTTGATAAACTCCCTTCAAAGGCCACGTTTTGAACCGGATCAGGGCTTCTGAACTTTGTACCCATTTACGTGGGCGCGAATCCAAGCTCTTTCTCCTTCTGCCACATTGCACGACCAGGTAAGTCTCGTCCACACTTTTGCTACGTAGGTACTGACAGCTCCGACAGGATGCCACCATGGAAGATTCTCATCAAACGAGACCCGCCAACAGCCCCCCTTGATGATTCAGATCTGAATCTCGACATCTCTGGTGTGGTTGGCTTTTTCGGGGGCGATGTCGCTGTCTCTGCCATGGCCACCGTCCATATCTACGAGGCACGCAAATACTTGGGCTGGTACAACACCCCCGGCAGCTACGAAGTCGCCAAGCGATACGGCCAAGTCGCAAAGTCACGCTTCTGGGACGGTCTCTATCCCGGAATCAACCATGACCCTGCAGTCCTCTTCGAGCTCGACGGCTCTGACGGCCCGAGGTACCGCGGCGTTCAATCGGGCACCGTCATGCGCAAGACCGGCCATCTGGGAAACCTCTTCCTTGCTGAATGCAAGGCTTGCCCCTCCGAAGGGTGGAAGGCACCCCCCGACGCTCGTGTTACCTCCCCCTCGCATGTCATCATCGCGCACTGCCTCCACGCCGTTTCGCAGTCAAAGCGCCCCCGGCTCACCAAGGCGAAGCGCGTCAAGACCTCGCTCTTTGCCCTCATCCCCATCCTTTCCTCCATCGCCACTGCGGGGATATGCGCCTGGTTCGAAGACTGGATCTCCTTCTCGGTGATTGTCCTCGGCATGGTCACCAGTGGCATCTCGTGTTACATCATCGGGACGGGGAAGCTGGATTTCACCCGCCCCGAACCAGGGAAGGGCTCGTCGCCGGCGCACGGTATCCTCGACGAGCGCGACCACGTCGTCATCCTCAAGGGGCCGAAGACGGCTATCAATACCATCACTCGTGGCCGATTCACGCTCGAGTACGAGGGCAGCAAGCGGTTCGCCCGCCTCGGCATCAGCTCGTCCCTCCTCACGATTCAGTTCCTCGCCCAGCTCCTCGCGATCCCACAGGCTACGAATTTCGGCCAGGTCATGTTCCTCGCTTCGCTTGGGGTCTCTTGGATATACAACTCGTACTTGTCTTCCATTGACCGCGAGAAGCTCCAGCGCCACATCCTTATGAAGAAAGTCCTCCGTCGACCCCTCCTCCGCAAGTACACCTTCGGCACGCGCACCGCGATGGTCGTCTTCACCCTCCTCGTTCTCGCGCTCGATGTCCCAGAAAACCCATCCTCTCCGAAAGCAAAGTCTCCGAGGAAGGCTCGGCGAGCGGCCACGACACCGGCGCCAACTTACGGCGCCACCCCCGAGCAGGCGACAGCGCACGGGCGCTCTATGAGCGAGGAGCTCATGGTCATGGACAAGCAGAAGGCCGAGGAGATTTTGAGCGACGCTAACGACGATGAAAGCGATGAGGAGCTGTACAACGAAGAACTCCACTCCACCGCCCTGGCAGACTCTGACGCCTTGCGGACGGTGCTTGATGACCTCCTTCCCAACGACACTCCGGCTTGGCGTTTCTGGAAGACGACCATCGTGAATGACATCCCGACCATGCTCCGCGGACAATCAGTCTATCGGATACCCGCCTTACACGTTGTACCCCCGAATCAGAAGAAGCTGTTGGTACAGCTCTACAAGGACGCGGACATGGCGCTTGCTGCGTTCGATGTATACAAACGGTAAGTTGACGTGGCTGCGATACCGTGACTCTGTGCTGACTTTCCTCCTCAGTTCCGTGTCATGACTGTATAACATAATGATCATGTAGTCACGAGTCGCGTAGGGTCCAACGGTCACACATTTCCTGTGGCTTCCCTTCTTGCGGCTATGAGGGCCACGCGCCTTGTGGCTTTGGGTTTGGCGTCTGAAGACGCCATGTGCTGGGCGACATCCTGCCCGTCCCACACGTCATGCGCTCGGCTCTGCTTTGTCTTATCGAGGCTCAAGATTCCTAACTTCGGCTCTTTTGTCGGCGCTGGTGTTGCAAGCAGATCTTCGAAGCACCGCACGCACCAATACCTCGTGCTGTCGGTGGACACGAACACCTGGCCACGACGCAACTGGATGTCGAGAACCTGATGTCGACGGCCTATCTTTGGCAGGTCAGCGCTATTGTCCGCCGCCCTAAATACACGATTTCCCAGGGTGTTGGCGCGGTCTTTCCTCTTCCCACACTTCTCCAACGGCCCTTTCCATCGCCCACCAGTGATCACGAGTGATTCTGACCTCTGGCGTAGGTCATACCTTCCTCGTCCGCACCAATTGGGCACTGATTGTTCGGAACTTTGACCAGGACCATTCAAAAGCCCGCTATCCAGTCCGCATCTGAGTGAGCCCTTCCTTTTTGTCCCCCGCTGCCGCCCTAATACCCGATTGCCACAGAGATGGCACCTATTTGTCCCCGTGACCTCCTCGATCCTTCCATTAACAATCATATGGATCTCAACCTCGACATCTCCGGAGTCGCCGGTTTCTTCGGAGGTGATGTTGCGGTGTCTGCGATGACCACCGTGCACATATACGAGGGAAGGATGTACCTCGGCTGGTACAACACTCCAGGAAGCTACGAGATCGCCCGACGCTATGGGCAGCTCGCGCGTTCCCGGTTTTGGAACGGCCTCTATCCTGGGGACAACGAGGAGGCGGCCACGCTCTTCAAGCTCGACGGCTCTGAAGGACCCAAGTTCCGCGGTGTGCAGTCTGGCACCATCATGCGCAAGACGTCCCATCCCGCCCGCCTCTTCTTCCGCGATTGTGCCCATATGAAGGCGGAACGATGGACGGCGCCAAAGGACCACCGCAAGACGAATCCCTCGCACGTGACCGTAGCCCATCTCCGCCACGTCCCCCAAGAAGTCGAGCACCTATGCTTGACCAAGGACGGCAGCGCGCTCAAGACGACGGCGCTCGCGCTCTGCGCGATCCTCGCGTCCGCCGCCACCGCGGTCCTCTGCGCGCTCGGGGGCGACTGGATCTGCTTCGGGACTATCGTGCTCGGGATGGTCTCCTCCGGGATCTCGTGCTGGATCATCGGCACCGGCACGTTCCGCTTCACGCACCCGCGCCCGCCCAGTCGTCCCCGCCCGGGCACGGCATCCTGGACGAGAACAACGCGATCGTGGTGCTCAAGGGCCCCGAGGCCGCGGTGAGCGCGATCACCCGCGGCCGGTTCTCGCTCGACTTCGCGGAGAGCCGGCACTTCCACCGGCTCGGCTTCAGCTCGCTGCTGCTCACCGTCCAGTTCCTCGTCCAGCTGCTCGCGGTCCCGCAGGGACGACTTCGGGCAGATCATGTTCCTCGCGTCCCTCGGGGTCTCGTGGGCGTACAACTCGTACCTCGCCTCGCTCGACCGCGAGAAGCTGCAGTGCAAGGTGCTCCGCAAGAACGTGCTCCGGCTCGACGCGAAGCGCGGCGACCTCCGCCGGTACGAGTTCGGGACGCGCACGGCCATGGTCGTCTTCGCCCTCCTCGTCCTCGCGTCCGAGCACGACGCGCCGCTCCCCGTGGAGGGCGTGCGCGCCTCCGAGGATGACGCGCCTGCTCCTGGCCCCAGCGAGCAGGCGCAAGGCGTGTTGGAAGAAGCGGTCTCTCTCGCGGAGAAGGCGGTGGCGGAGGGGGGAGGAGGAGGGTGCTGCGCGAACGCCCCCTCCTCCGACAACTCCACGCCCGTTTGCGGGAGTCCGGCCGCCTGCGGCGGATTCGAAGGCGCTGAGGGAGGCGCTCAATGACCTCATGCCCAACGACACGCACGCGTGGGTGTGCTGGAAGGAGGCGGTACTGGAGCAGATCCCGCGGGTCGTCGACGGGGAAGCCTTCTACCAGGTGCACGGCACGTGCAGCAAGGAGGAGCAGGGGTTGCTGAAAGACCTGTACAAGGATGCGGAGGCGGCAGCGGTGGCGTACAGAGAATATTCAAGGTGAGTAGACATTTTGACTCTTGTATAGACCTCCTGACCGCCTCGTAGAATCTCGAAGGCGCTTCGCATGGATTCCCTCAACTGCGGTTCGTAGATTCGGAGTTTGGCAGCTATGTTTTTACGCGTCGGTTGGTACGCGAACAAGAATCATGGTTGTGGTTGGTGGCGGTAGCAACAAAACATCTTTGACGCGCGGCAGCGTCGTTCAAGGCGCGTTAAACGAGCTCCCAAAAAGGCATGTGTGCAGCGTGTCCGCCGCCGGTGCCTACCAACGCATTGTTTCCATTGTCCTTCGCTTGTGGGAGAACAAACAACGGTGTGGTATAGCGCTTCTTAAACGTGCTGAGCGCTGCGATCTCGTTCCTTACACTCACGTCCATCCGCGGCTGACCACCATGACCAAGTTCGGCAGCGCCACACTTGCAGCGGGTATGTCTCCCGAGATGGTTTTGAAACACCTTTCGCTCATCGTTCTCTTTCAGAAGGGACTGTAACCTCTATTGCGGTCCCCGTCCCGTTACCCGTCGACGTGGACCCTGACTTCTGCATTGACATCTTCGACAAGAACTCGTGCCGAGGCATCAACTTCGGTTCGATGGGCATGTGCTTCAGCCCATGGTTTGAACGGAAGAAAGAACAGCAGGGTCCACCCTTCGTCAGACAGTACGGCAGGGTCGAAAGGAGCTTCGTCCCTCTCTATTACCCGGAGCAGGACATATATGTCAGGCTCACGCAGCTTATCCACCCTGACCACACTACAGGAGGGTACAAGGAGATGCTGGGCGAGCTGAACTACATCACCTGTTGCTGGGTGGGTGTTTCTTTTTCAACTGGGGTCGGGTGGTTGACGCATACTGCACGAAGATCCCAGGATTGTGTTGGCTGGGTTCGCCTCTTGAGTACAGCAGCGTGGAGACCGCCGCGGATCTGTTGGCGCTCATGATCAAGACCATGTTCGATTGGTGGATTAACTTGGTGCGTCACGTTTGCTTCTCTCTGGACGATGCTCACGTACGGTTCCCAGCGAAACTCCCCCGACTGCGTCATGGACATTGCGCCCTGGTCGCTCGACGCGCAAGATGACGATGGCACGTTGTGGTGGAGAACCATAGAAGCGCTTTCAAGGGGCGATCTCTCCATAGTCGCGATTCGTAGGCTGACTGACACGAAATCTGGGCACAGAGTATATTTCCCTGAGATTGTCATCAACGTCCGAGAACGAGATATGACCCCATGATACTCTCATTCCTAGTCTTGTACTATTATCATTTGCACTCCCTTGTAGCCGTGATCCGCGCACCTCATATACATTACTCGAGCCTTATTACCGGCATAAACCACAGTTACTAGCCTTCGCGGGGCACGACATAGCTCGCTGTGTTGACATAGAGACAACCCAGGCAAGACTGGCGATTTTGGGAATAGACGCTGTGCTGCTGAATTTGTACTTGTTGTGCTCCCCGCTCACACCCTACACACTTTTAATTGCTCGCTTGGCTCGCAATCATTCCCATACGATCGGCGCAGTGTACTCGACCCTGCAAGCCCTCAGCCCCCGCTAGATCTGGCCCGCCGTCCTTCCAACCATGACTCGGAATTCTATTCGTCGTCCCAGCGCTGTGGGGAGCCTTGCGGTCGCGTTGCACTGCGCAGACGCGTCCGGGCCCGTGGTGTTGCTAATTACCCTGGAACAGACTTCATCATTTATTGTCTCGAGGGGTTGAACGTTGAACGTGGAACGCGGAATGTCGTTCACGTCGGAGGACAAGCGCCTAGCAACAGCGACAGATCAGGCTGACAAATCTTTCGGCCCCGGTTTCCGGACGCGTCCACACGTGGCAACGAGACCTTTCCCGCACCCTGCACCCTCTGCTGGGGCTTTCGTCGACCGTACCCTGCCTTTCACCTCGTTAGTCCTGCTTGTGCTCGTGCGCGATGACCATTAAATCCAGCTGCAGCCGAAGCCAATCGGAGCAACCCATGATAGCACCAACTTCAAGTCAACCTGCAAGCCGACATCCGGGAACAAGTTCATGATACGCGTGAACGGAGCCTAGACCGGCTGGTACGCTTTGGGACATCTGATGGCCAGGGACTCTGGGAGGATCACCCAAGACCAGGTTGAATGTGTGCATCCGCGATGGCGTGGGTGCGTGGATCGTTCTTTCGCGGCTGCATCTCCCCGGCCGCCGCCTACCGTTACTACGCGGTCTTCCAATCCTCTCTTCCGTTTGGTGCTCCCGTGTGGCGGGCCTGCAGAATATTCGCTCACGCGCCGTCCCCCACCCCCGCAGTAGCCCCGCGGCCAGGTCAGATCCGCCCCTGCCGTCACCGTTTCCTGACAGCAGGCGGCTGGCCTTTCTAGGCATGCTCAAGGCGGGACAGAACAGAACCTCTCACCCGCGCCCTGCAGGTGCCTTCCCCCGGGCCCTCCGCTCCGGGCTGCCGCTGTGTGCGGCTGGCCCGTCCGGCTGGTCGCGCGCGGCTGGCGGGCACACACCTCACCCTGCGCCACTCAACACTCTCCAAGCGCACTCTCACCCGCTGCCGCTGCGCTTGCCCATGAGCATGTTTGGTACGTACTCCGTCGTCTCCTCCGTGCTTTCAACGTGGCTGAGTACACCCAAGGCGCCCGGCATCTCTTCACCTCCTTGCTCCCATCATGAGCTCGACAACGACACACGACGGTACGCTCTGTGCGCCACGGCCCGCCTCCTTTGATGCTTCAATGCTAGTGCTAATGCATTGATGGAATGCCGTCGTAGACGCCACCGGGGACAAGCCTCGCATCATCGTCCACATTCCTCTGCCCATGAATGTTGACCCGACCTTCATTGTCCCCATCACGAACAAAGACGGCGCGATAGGCCTCCAGATGTCCAAGCTCATGCCCTGCTGGGAGCCCTACTGGGAGCGGCGGCGCGAGCGCGCCGGCCTCCAGCGGTTCGTCAAGCCCTTCCCGCCGGGCAGGACATCCACCAGACGCTCTCCGCGCTCGTGCACCCCGATCACGTGTCGACGATGCTCTCCGCGCTCTGTGGCGGCGAGCTCATCTTCGTCGACTGCTGTCCGGTGCGTACCGCCTCCCCCGCACGCACGCACGCACGCCGTGCGGCCGACGCTCACAGCTGCGGCGCGTGCAGATCATGGGCGAGAAGTGGGGCGTGTACGGCGAGCAGAGCAGCGCGTCGACCGCCGCCGATCTCCTCGCGCTCATCGTCCCCGCGATGTTCAACTGGTACGACAACCTGGTGCGTTCCTTGATCGATCCAGTCCGGCTGAACTCTGAACCGGACCGGTCTGCTCGCGCGCGCCGCCGCGACTCCCAGCGAAACTATCCGGCGACGGTCGCGGGCTGGCGGATCTTGGAGAGTCGGCGCGACTGGACCGAGTGGATGCAACGGCCCAACCTGAGCGACGTGAGGATCGTCGCCATTCGACGGACATTGCCCGAGGGCGGAGTCAGATATTTTCCGGAGATCGTGATATACCCACCTTGTACGTGATTGTTGTATTATTGCTTCAGGATACCACTTGGATTTTTCGCCGCCCGTATCCTGCGTGTCGTGCGCTGGTTGGTGCGGCTTTTGGGCGGTGTGCGTGGCCGATATCGGTATGTCTTGCTTTATGGATTCTATGACGTCGTCTGACCCGATGAGATATCCAGGTCTTGCGTTTTCAATGGTCGTTATATGACATGGCTAGTTGACTATTCAAGGAACTTCAGATGGAATGCTCATGGTTTAATGTTTAATTGCTTCGCGCCGATCGGTTTGAAGTTCAGGGAAGCTATCCAGACGAGCTGCGAAGTCATCCATGTGCTCGGAGGCTTCATAATCGTCGACGTTGTGCACAAGTTTTTCGTTTGGGATATCCACCAACAATTTTCTTGCTGAGCGAACGCTGATCTTATAAAGCGAGTCGATGTGAGCTCACCGCTGTATTCACTGGCCTTCGAGTATTTGTACCCCTCCCCCTCCCTCTCCAAGCGTCGAGTCACTCCCCAAAAGCCTCGAAAAAATGAGCCGGCGTACGCACGACTCTTCTCTTGTCCGCTAACGGCATGCTGAAGCCCCTCGCTTAGCGATCACACTCATCCACTCCGTTTCCTACAAGGTCCCTCTCCCCCCCGACGTCGACCCGAATTGGGAAATCCCCATTGATCAGGAGCTAAAATACGGTCTGCACATGAAGGAGCTCAAATGCTGCAAGCGTCCGTACTTGGCGAGGCTCAACGGGGAGGTTGTGGGTCCCGCACCCGACATCCACCAGACCGTGCAGCGTGCCGTGCACACCGCCCACTTCCACAACATTCTCCGCGACCTGGCACATGGTCACCTCATCTTCGTCGGACCATGCGAGGTGAGTACTCCAGCGCGTCGGAAGCGCAGCGCTGACGACGTCCCGTCGACTGTCCGCCAGATTCCCGGGGACTGGTTGTGCCGTCGCAGCGGCCAGACGACAAGTGCGCAGACCGCCGTCGACCTCCTCGCGTTGATCGTGCAGGCGAGCTTTAGGTGGCAGGAGGCGTTGGTGAGTCCTGCAGCGTCAGGGTTGCGCGGCGTGTCCGGTCGTCTCATATTCGCCGAACAGGACCTTGATCGCCAGGGGATCACCCAGAAATGGTGCTGCGACTTCCTTCCTGCAGATTTCGCGCAATGGCTGAAGGACCACGGCGACGTCTTCCTCATGCGCCTCGTCGCCATCAGGCGTTCCAAACCTAATCGGGGGGAACCTGTGAGGTACTTCCCTGAGGTCTTCATTGACTTTACCCCTTGACGGGACAGAAGTTGAGGTGTTTGTCGCGACTGGCTCGCGGTTTTCTTCCGTCTGCTATCAGATTCGTTATTGTACGCGCAGTCGCTGATATAGCGCCAGGCGCCTCTGGAATTGACGCTGCTGTGTCGTCATTGCCTCGTTGTCTCCGCGAGTCGACTGCATGATTTACGTGCTCCGCTGTCTCGCCGCTCTCATTGTACTCTAATGCTGTCTCCTCGAATTCCGTCGCTCTCTACATTGCTCGTCACACTGCACAGCTCTCATATTTGCACCTGATCTCGCCGTTCTGTATCGTGGTGTTTTGTCCTGTATACTCACCCTCCGTTATGACGACCGTTATGTATACCACGTGTGTCTCAGCCCCCTCGATTAATTAATTTCTGGCGAGCTCTAACTGCGCAATACTCCCCGATCAGGCTTTGCAGCCACAGTTGTATGAGTCGGGACAGCCGGCTACACGCATGTCACACCGGAAAGCTAAGCGGTTGCCGACCGGTTCGGGCACGGCTTTGACGAGGAGACGGGTCGTAGTACAGTTGATCGGGAGTCATAGATGGATAGTTATTGGCATGCACGGCCTTGCAATTGAACACCGCCAGGTTTCGGCACGGATCTTTCGGAGGCAGGTGTCAACGGGTGAGGGACGGAGGCCGAGCGTTGCGCTTGCAGGTGGATCTGTCGCGACGGCGTACGTGAGGTTTCTTCTCTTAGCGTGTTTCGGCGGTAACTCTCGGATGTGGGTAGACTCGGAGGAAAGGACATGGAAAGAAGCAAGCTGTTTGGCTTCAGCCTGTGTTCTGTTCCGTGGTCATTGACTCCTGGAGCATATACTTGTCTTCGGGGAGGGCGCAGATGTCGAGCACGTAAACAAGGAATTCGGTATGTCGATCGAAAGGCGTTCTAATCGTGAGAAGCTTTGTCAGCGGTTCCCACTCCTTGTACATACGCCCATCGCCTCTGGCAGTGACAACCAACAGTATCCCGAACGTCTTCGCCTCACCGTAATGCACGCTCCATTCTTCTATCTCTAACGCGTATCGTCTTTTAGGTCATGCTTACTGAACCTACAATTCCATCGCTGCGCACCCCGCGTACGTGGCCGACACCGGCCTCGACAACAAGACCCCACGCCAACGATCTCCGGAGGCTCTGCTGTCCTCGAGAGCAGCACCAGGTCTGCTACGGCAACCTCGGGTGCGGGCACGAGTGATATCAGCTCGAACACTCCCTCTTCGGGGACTAGCGACGTAAATGGTACTTCGTCTTTGGCTCGTGGGTATACCGCTGGGATCGGAACTGTGGTCTTCGTTGTGCTCACATGGATGCGACTGACAGATTCTCATCATTCCCTACGTCTGAATATCTTGAGCTGAAAAGTTGTTGCGCTACAAGGGCGGGGCTTCATTGCATCATCGGCGTGTACGCCTCCAGAAGCTATCGTCTGTCTTTACAGTGTCATTCTACGATAGGATCCAGGAGCTTCCGACCACAGTCACTGGTCATGAGTCCACCCAAACACAGAAAAATCGATCTCCCTCGGAGTGCTGAATTTCAGTTTTCTCGAGTCGCCTCGTCCCGTCGAGAATGGGGAATTTCTGAAAGTGGCAGGAAACGGATTCGAACTCCCGGTTCGGCAGCTCCAGTGAGCGCGCATGACTGTCGAGTCATCAGCGCTTAGTATGGCGTCGTCCGATTCCCGGTTTGTTTGAGAAGGAAATGACGAAGACAAGTATGCCTCCTGCGCACTTCTCCACACATAGCGCTGACGATTTGAACACCGGCGGCACTTCCGGTACCATCAGAGAGGGGAGGGCTCGTGCTATCCTCCTGGCCGACTCGTCCACCAAGCCCGTCAAGCCCGAGGGGCCCGACATCTCCATCACGATTCACGGACGCCTCCCCGAGCACCACAGGTCGACCCCGGCGTACTCGGCTATCCAATACGCACCCTCCTCCCTGTGCCTCCGTTCCGGTTCCGGTCTGAACCGGCTCGCCACCGAGACGGAGGTGAAAACTCCCCTGACGACCCCGGTACTATTCTGGTGCAGATGCTCTGCGCGGACGTCGTCCAGCAGGAGGGCATCGGATTCCACTTCGGCACCTGCATCCCCGCAGGCGCACCTTCCGTGGCCGATGCGGAGCTGGTGCATTGGGCGACGGTGCATCCGCGGGACCCCGCCGGCTGGCCGGGCACGGCGACACAACTGGAGGGCCACGACTGCACGACGGAGCCCGTTCGCGACTGGCCCGGGTGGGTGTGCGAGTTCCAGTTCGAAGACCGGGGCGGGCAGGACGGATCACGCGTCGTGCGCCCCTCCTTTGTGCGCTCGCCGTGCTCCACGTCAAGCTCGCGGGGTGGAAGATGATGGTGGCGCGCAACCTCTGATTCTTTCCACGCAGACAGCGGTACGTGGAGGTAAATTCCGAGGAGCAGGCGATCGAAAGAGCCCGCAAAGACGATGCACAAGCGTAGATGATTGAAAGAGACAAAAGTGGCAAGTGGTGGATTCGAACCCTTGCTCAGAGACATCAGCGCCAAACGCTCCCAAACTCCGCAGGCGCTTCGCCAGTCTCGCTCTGGAACTCAGTCCGCAAATCCGTTTCCTGAATACAGCCCCAAAGGAGTGAGACGTGAGTGTCATTTTGGGCTCTTCAAGCTTACATCGGCGTCATTAAGCAATCTTCTCAGTCTCCAGTCTCGTGACCCAAATTGGGCCACGACTTCGACCAAGGACGCCCACACCAAACACTGCTTGTTTGGTCACACTTCTGATCTCCGCCGTCTAGTCGGGGCCTCACTCGAGCACCCCAGATTATTCGGGGTGCTTCTCTCGGAGCCTGGACCCCCGCTTGGGCTCTGCAACCGATCCGCAACACACGACGGCCTGCGGTGCCCTCCTGCGCCCTGGTCACCGTGATCTTCTCCAGTTCTCTCGCGCTCGGTGAGTAGGCCCTTCTGTCGGGACTCGGCTGAGAGCTTCTGTTGATTAAAATCAATTTCCAGGGACTGCTGTGTGATCCGAGAGCATCTTCTCGCCCGAGAAGCACCTGGTCTTGCTTGGGCGCGGAGAAGTGCAGGAGACGATTGGCCAGGTGACCCCCAGTTCGGCCAGCCGAGTGCGCGACCTTGTGCTCTGCGTGGGCTTCGGGATTCGCGGTGGGGTCCGCCGGACGAGATAAAAGCCCCCTCCCCCGCTCTCTCTCTTCCTCAGAACCCCCCACCTCACCACCTCGGCGATGCTCTCTCCCCGCGACGCACACCTGCTCATGCGCACACGACACCCTCACCTCTCGCCCGCCTCCGGACGACGGCAACATGCTACCTCCGGGTGAGGCATGCCGGTTCCGACTCACAACTACCCTCCGATCGAGTGTCGGCCTCACCAAACGCGTACGGCACCTCGAAGGTGAGTTGGCTTCGTCATCGCGTGCGCCACTATCGCTGACCGATCTCAGACTCGGCCATGTCGCTCTCCTCGCCCGGCACCGAGGCTCTGGCGTCGCTCGCGCGTCGCGATCCTCACCGCCACATGGCAGGCGAGAGACAGCGTGCAGTGGTTTCCCGCCGCACCGCACGTGAAGCTGAGGACGAGGCCGTATGCATACGGACCACCCCTCATGGTCCTCGCCGGCCACGAGCTGCGCGAGATGCACCTCAAACCCGCCTGTGGTCTGGCGTATTTCCTCGCTCTCTCCGCCGACGTGACGCTGACTTCCACACAGCAGCTGCGCCTTCAATGGCAATCCCCCAACATAGTAAGTCACTTGTTTTCCATTAGTTTCGAATGTGATCTGACTTTGACCGCGCAGCGACCGCCTTCGAGGCCAGTCGTATGTACAGGCTCAGTAAGGGCGGGTAGATCGCTTCCCGCTGTCCAATCCAGCGGCGAAAGTAGGGTATGGTCCCGCGCCAGGCGGCACGCCACTCCCGATGGTTGCCACTCCGCGAAGCCTGTCGGAAAGATCTGGCTCCGGGAACGTCGTGCGTGTCACCCCCAGTTTTCGATTCGCTTTTCTTTTCTCTCTTTTTTCTCTCGATCACTCTCCCTCTCTCATTCTCTCATGCCTACGAGGACGGCGATCGTCAGGCGGCGCGTACGACCCGATGAATGCCGCTCCGCGAACCCCGCGGAATGTTTTCCAGGCTCCGAGACACTCGTACGCGCCGGCCCCAGCTCGGCCCGTCCTTGATTCCTCTCCCTCATCTCTATGCGTATGTCCATCCATGTTACTGGCGACGGGTCCTTACGACCTCTGTTTATTTTCTTCCGAGGTATCGGTGCAGGCCTCTCCGTGGCCCTCGGGACTAGTACCCGTCGCTCGCGCGGCGGGGAAGCCAACATGCACCATTCATGTTTTATGTAGTCTCTCCAATCGATATATTCGCTTACATGTCCGTATGAGTGCACACTCAACAGAGCTCGCCCCACAAGGGGTGGCCAGCCGGTAAGTCTCTAAGATCTCTGAATCTCACGTCTCTGGCTCATCTCACAGGAGAATTTCAGACGCTGAGAGGTGAGCAGATGTCTCGGCAAATGCAGATGGGAAACAAATTTATTATAACTAGCTACAGTATTCTACACAACAGACGGCAGTATGCGTGCGTGGCGGGTACAGTGCTCCCACTGAGACACGGGCGCGGTGCGGCGCCGGCACGCGTTCTCAGAGTACCTCTAGCTGAGCACCGCGCAGCGTCGTGGACGAGTAGCTTTCCACGCGGCTTAGTGGCAGGGTGCGAGCACATGTCGGGCTCAGCCAGGACGAGCAGGACGAATGAGACCATAAACCTACAGTAGCTAATCGATGGGAGCATCCGTTCTGACAGCTTATCAGCGGGGTGCGAATGCATCCGTCGCCCCCGCAGCATCGGTTGCTACCGCTGTCGCACAGCTTCCCCAGGTGGGCGCCATCACGATACACGGGCGCGCCGCACGACGTCCCCCGCCTCTTGATGGGTTCCCATCACACTTTACTAGTGTATTATTAGAGATGAAAATATATTAATTGTATGCTACTACAAGACAAGGCGGAGGCAGGCGAGACGAGGGCAATGCGGAGGGCCAGAAAACGGTGGAGGGCCGGAGGGTGATGTGGGCGCAGGGGAGGACGATGCGGAGGAGGAGAGCGACACGGGCGGAGGAGGTGGGCGACACGGAGAAGGCGGGCGGTGCGGAGGCGGGCAGCGTCAGTGGAGGAGGCGGACGGTGGAGGGCAGCGGGGAGGCGGGCGACGCACGCAGAGGTGGGCGACGGGGATGCGGGCCGCACAAAGGGGGGCGTGTGGGCGGAGAAGGTCGGGCAGGCCGAGGAGGGTAGCGCAGAGACGGGCGTGCGGGCCTGGACGAGGCGGAGGAGGAGGAGGGCGAAGCGGCGGGCTGGACGCGGGTGGAGGTGCGCGACGCGCGAGAGGGCCACGACACGGTGGAGGCGGAGGCGGGTAACGCGGAGGCGGACGGTGACGCAGAGGGCCGGGGCAACGCGGAGGACGAGGAGGGCAACTTGGAGGGCCGGCACGAGGCGGAGGAGGGGGCGAAGCGGAGGGCTGGACGTGGGTGAAGGTGCGCGACGCGGCGGAGGAGGGCTGCGCGGGCGGAGGAGGAGGCATGCGGCGTGCGCGGAAGAGGCAGATGACGAGGGTAGAGGAGGGCAGCGCGGAGGAGGCGGGCGACGTGGAGGCGGTTAACACGGAGGAGAGCGAGGAGGAGGGGAGCGAGGGGCCGATGCGGTGGGCAGCGCGGAGGTGAGCGATGCGCGCGGAAGTGGATGACGCGGAGGCGGGCGAGACGGAGGAGACGAGCAACGCGGAGGGCGACGCGCGCAGAGGCAGGCGATGCGTGTGGACGCCGTGTGGAAGGGGACAACCGGCGGAGGAGGGGGAGAGCGACGCGCGTAGATGCGGGCGACCGGGAGGGCGGCACGGACGCAGGGGCGGGTGATGTGGAGCAAGGTGACGCGGAGGTGGGTGATGCGCGCGGAGGGCGACATGGAGGTGAGGGAGACAGGGAGGGTGTGCGGGCCGTGGGCGCGGACAGGCGTGCAGGCGCAGGCGGGCGAGGCGCAGGTGGGCAGCGCGAAGGCGGGAGGAGAGGGGGGCGACGCAGAGGGGGGCACAAGGTGGACGAGGTCGGCGTGGAGGTCGAGGTCGGCGGCAGGCCGGATGGGCGAAGCAGGAGAGGTGAGGTGAGCGTTGGGAGTGCAGAAGGTCGGAGCAGGGGACTCACCAAAACAAGGACCCACATGGTACGTCGCCGCGACCCCCAGATTCTGGTATCCATCCTGAGGACGTCCATCCGGACGTCCTCATGCAGTGCGGATGTTGTGAGTGCAGCTGGGCAGATGGGGGAGGTCGAGGTCGAGGCGAGGTCGAGGCGAGGTCGAGGGAGGTCGAGGTCGAGGTCGAGGTCGAGGTCGAGGGAGGGTAGTTGAACGGTGTCACCAGGTGACACCGGAGCCCAATAGCAGACGAAGGACGACTGTATAGTCGCTATCGTCTGCCTGGGCGGCGGTGGTGGCAGAGCAGGAGGAGGAAGAGGAGGCAGGGGAGGTGGCTGGAGGTGGAGGAGAGCAAGGACAGCGGGAGTGACGCGACGACGCGTGGCGTGCATCACAGCCACGCGTCGATGCGCGCCACGCGTCCTTGCCGCCCACCGAGGCGCGTCTCCACGGGCGCGCATCACGGATCACCGGATGCATCCGCACCCTGCTGATAGGCTGTCGCAACGGATGCTCCTGGCGATTAGCAGCTGCTCCATAAACGCGCTGATGTGCGGCGCGAGCGCGGTGCGGTTCGCGCCGGACGGCAGAGCGGGGGACGCCGCCGCCGACGGTGGCTACGCCTGCATGCGCACGGGCGCAGCGATGTTTGTCGCAAAGTACATCACGGAGTGGTCCCCGGGCGCGACGAGGAGCGAGCGAGCGATGACGACAGCTCGACGTTCACGCTGACGTTCGAGCCGTCCTACGAGGACACTGCCACGACACGCCCTCGTGTCCCTTGCAACGTCGTTCAACGATGCCCTCCGCGCCCACCTAAGAGAGTCAGCACACGGCGTTGACGGGAAAACTCCCGGGTTCGGCGAAGCGCGGACGACTTACGCGGGGCACGCCGACGAAGACGCAGCTCTTGGGTGCCGGTTCGCGCATCATCGCAGGTTTCTCCAGAGAGGCGGACCTCGAGTTGACGCGTTTTCTGGGTCTGTGCCTGTCGTGACGTGGTGCAATCGTCCCACCATAGGGCGCGCGTTAGCGGTGAGCCATCTGTTGATAGTGGTGCGAGTAATCAGCGCATTGGTCGCATGGGCCCGTAGAATGAAAGGAAGCTAATGACCGCGAGCATGGCCTGTACTTCCTGGGGAGTGTTGCGAAGGATGACGTCGAGTCTGGAAGACGGTGGCGTTGGTCATGGGCGAGGATTATGGAGCGCGAGAGGCTGCTTGATGACTTGAGGCAAGTGTTTGACCATAGTGACGCTGGTACGTAGCTCACAAGCACGCTTTCGAGGTAGGAGCCTTGGAGCGGGGCTGGATTAAGGCATAGCCCGAAAAATGGTAGAGGGGTGTACCGTTGTCTGGGGACACGGCGATGTCGTAGAGGTGCATGCACTGAGAGGACCCACGGTAACTCACCATTTGTTGGTGCCCGAAATCTCAAAATCTAAAACAGCATTGATGATACTGTCGCAGTTTTCGTTATCCTGGGTCTTAGTGATGTCGCGGGGTCGCGGGGCTTTGCGTCGTCGCGATGTTGGGGAGGGACAGGGATAGATCCCAGTGAAAAGTCCGGCGAGCTAGATCGAGTCAGAATGAATCCGCGCGAACGAAACGAGTAGATACGAACCAAAATGATTCAGAGTGCACGTCAGGCACTTTTTGGATGTGTCTGGCCGTGATTCGGACCTTGCCCTGTTCCCACGAGTGATGTCTGTCTTATCCCTGTCGGCGTCTCGTGTGTTCGCGCCATGCTCGCGCACGCACGCTCTCGGCGTCTCGCGTGTTCGCGCGGCGCGATGTGTGCACGCACGCATGCTCTTGGCGTCTATCTCGAGAACGCGCGGCCGTTCGCTCTTGGGAGTGCGCGTCGCCGGCCATTTGGTCTCATTCTGCGCGCCGCTGGTCCATGCAATCGACCACACTCTCTTTGCACGTCTTCCAACTAGCTTCAAATGGCCTCTTGCTGGTGTGAAGATTGTCAGGGTGTACATCGCTCGCAAAAGACCATCCATAAACATCGCAATCGGCCTCGTGCCGCACACCGACCAGACACACCTCCTCTCCCCATATTGCCCCCACTTCCCTCTGCCTCAAGGTCACGGAAGCGCGGTCGAAGACAATCTGACGATCCTCCGGGGGGGCCATCTAGCAGAGGCGAAGGCAGCACAGAGACCGCGGACGAGCCTCCGAAGCGCCCTCGGGTGCCGAGAGAGTTGGACGAGCTCGAGGTCGAGATGGACGGCCTGGTGAGTTGTGTGTTGCTTCTGCCATGTAATTGCGTATTTAATCCGTGTAATCTATGTCTAGAATCCATTCTCTGAGCACGAAGGTGGCCTACCTCTCCCATACTACCACTCCGACATCATAGACGACATTCCACAAGTTGAACCCCGCACCCCGTCTCCCGATGTGCCCACACCCTTCGAGAGTAGACCCCCCTCCCCCATTCCTGACCCAGCTGCTTTACCTCCCAATGATGACCACAATGAAGAGTCTCCTGATTCTCTCGGACTACCCGCTACTGCGGCATGGCACGACTTGCAAGTCGCCCTCGATTTCGTCAAAGCGATCGAGAATGCGACTCTGGAGAACGACGGCCTGGACCCAGAGACACTCCATAGACTCAGGAATCCCCTCACAACCCCGCTCCGAGACGACCCGTCATTCGAAGATCCTCTGTTTGAATTCGCTCTACGAGTGTTCCTCGACACCCATACCTCCGCAGATAGTGTCTACACGAGCGTTATCAGGAACTACGAGCTCACCCATCCTGGCACCAAGCTTCTCACCCACTGGCAGATGAAGAAAAAGGTCACTGAGCTCACTGGTATCGTCCCCCTCACACGCGACATGTGTGTGAACTCGTGCGTGGGCTTTACGGGGCCGTTCTCTGAACTCGATTCCTGTCCCCTCCCTACATGCAATGAACCTCGCTACGACCAGAGTGTTCTTTGCTCATCCCGGGGGAAGAAGAAGAAACCACGACGCACCTTCGACACCATTCCAGTCGGTCCACAACTCGCCGTTCAGCTTCGGGATGAAACAAATGCGGAAAGGATGCGTTTTCGAGAGAAGACCACCACTATCATCCTCGACCAGCTGAAGAAGGACCGTCATATCACGATCTTCGATGACTATCTCAAAGGCAAGGACTACCTGTTTCGAGCGTATTCGGGAACAATCAAGCCTGGTGACACCGTCCTCATGTTCTCGATAGACGGTGCACAGCTCTACCGCAACAAGCAGTCTGACTGTTGGATGTACATCTGGGTCATCCTCAATCTCGGTCCCGATCACCGATACAAGATCCGGTATATCCTCCCAGGTGGCTTCATTCCTGGACCGAACAAGCCGAAGAACGTCGACTCCTTCCTTTTCCCTGGGTTCCACCACTTTGCTGCTCTAGCCAAGGAAGGTCTCCACGTGTGGGATGCTTCGCAGGATACCACTTTTATCAGTGACCTCTTCCTTGCCCTCGTCACTGCAGACGGCCCAGGCATGACCTACCTCAACGGGTTTGTCGGCCACCAAGGTGCACATGGTTGCCGGCTGTACTGTCCTCTTCGTGGTCGTCACAAGAAGGGCGGAACCACATACTATCCAGCACTTCTCAAACCGGACAACTATGCTGTAGCCGGATGTGATCATGAAGACTACGTACTCCTCTCGCAGGCATCAAACATCGAGTCTGCCTCTGAACGTTATCGGAAGAACCTCCGTGAACTTTTGACAGCTCAAAACAAGACTCAGTATGAGAAGCTTCGCCTGAAGACCGGGATCGCAAAGCCAAGTATCCTGCTGGGATTGCCCGAGAAGTCGTACTTGGGTATTCCTGCATGTTTCCCTGCAGACCAGATGCATCTCGTTTCTCTCAACATCACCGACCTCCTCATCTCCCTCTTCCGTGGTACCCTGCAGTGCGAGAAGACAGACAACAGGGCAGACTGGGATTGGGCCGTTTTTAGCGATGACAAGGTGTGGAAAGCACATGGGGCTCACGTCGAAGCTTGCACTCGCTACCTTCCTGGTTCGTTCGATCGGCCGCCTCGCAACCCAGCTCTCAAAATCAAGAGTGGTTACAAAGCATGGGAATTTCTCATATATGTCTTCGGCCTCGGTCCAGCTCTCCTCTATGCCACCCCTCTTCCCATCAAATACTTCCGAAACTTCTGCCGACTTGTTTACGCTATCCGGATCACACTAGCATATGAGATTCACCGAGACGCCCTCAAAGACGCCAACGACCATCTCTTCGCATTCACAACCGAGTTTGAAGAGCTCTATTACCAGCGCAGAGAAGATCGCTTGCACTTCATTCGACAAAGCATTCATGCACTCTCCCACATCTGCGAAGAGTGTGAGCGCCTCGGGCCGCAGGCGTATTACACCCAGTGGGTCATGGAGCGTGTTATAGGTTCCTTCGTACAAGAGCTCCGCAATCACGTCGATCCATATGCAAACCTCGCCCATCGAGGTCTGCGACGCGCTCAAAAGATCGCCCTCACAGCAATGCTCCCGGAGCTTGAGCACAGCAAGTATGCCACAGGAGACCTTCCCGAGGGAGCGAAGCAGGTCGGCTCCGGCTATGTGCTTCTCCGTGCTGTGGAAGCTGCCACTCCTGTTACACCTGCAGAATCCGAGGCCCTTCGAGCGTACTGGGAGCAACACACTACACATGAGATACCCCAAGACTACACCTTCAGTGTTGCCCGTTGGGCTCGGTTGCTCCTTCCGAGCGGACAGGTGGCTCGATCACTCTGGAAAGAGTCAATGAAGAATGAGTCCAAATTGCGTATCTCACGGAATGTGAAGGTAAAGTTCAGAGCCCCATATCCGATAAACATCATCTCACACCGTCACTACAGATCCAGCACAACGAAGTTGTCTCATATGGCGAGATCCGCTACTTCTTCGAGTTCAAGCTCCCAGGTGGAACGGAGCCTCACACAGTCGCGATGGTCTCCATGTGGGGAACCCCAGAGCCGAAGATCCTCGAGTTGTCCTATGGGGCCATTCAGTCATGTCTTCCAGGTGGTGACGACGCACTCACCGTCCTCCCGGTTCATCACATCAAGTCTGTTGTGGCGATGGTTCCCCACCCGCAACCAATCGAGCACCGAGACGAACAGATTGACCTCACCGGTCGCTTTTTTGTCGTTGAGAAGCCTGGTCTCGGAGTCGCACATCTTGGCGGCGTGGTTGAGGGGCTCGGAGAGGGAGAGGGTGCTGCTGCCGGTTCAGGTGGAGGTGATGGCGAAGGCGGACTGAGTTAAAACAGTAGATCAGTGACTCATTGCATCGTGACGGGACAGAGATGAGTCCGGCGAGCACCAATGCAACGTTCCCATTACCGTGCCCATCTCGTCGAACCGCTTCGGCTCATAGTTCCACATCGCATACAGCCGCGCGTCGGGCACCAACCATCAGCCTGTGTTCTCTCTCGGAGCAGAGCAGCCCTGCACCCACGCAAGAACAAACACGCTGGACTCACCGAAAGAACGTGCCGCACCAGCTGAGGGATCCGCGATTCCTGCCGTGCAATCGACGGCACCACCCGGTCCTGCACCGCAGTCGTCTGCGCCTGCGCCCCAGGCAGCATCCGGTTCCCCTCCTCCCTGTCCACCTTGGCCGCGAGGGGAGGTGCCGCGTGGTGAGGACGGCGAGCGAGGACTGGTCGTGCAGGACGACCGCATGGTAGTCCACGGTCGAGGTCGCAGTCGGCATCTGCACCTACAACGGGGGTGTCGCGGAGCGTTCCCGCTTGACCGCGTCGTTTGGCAGCTGCAGCCTGTGCGCCCTCGGTCAACGGTGGACTAGCCACTCTCCGCGTGTCGGCTGGGCGTGGATGAGGCATTGGGCGTGGTGATGGACACGGCGGCGGGTTTGAACGCAGCTGCGCGCCCTCGGTCGGCGGCGGACTCGCCACTCTCTGCGCGTTGACGGCGAGGAATGAGGGCAGAGAGAGAGAGCACGAGAAGAGGAGACACACCATTGATTTCGGCCAGCTCCTCGACGTGTCTGGTGGAATGGACAGCGTAGCGGGCTATGTCGCGCAGCCCTCAACGGCGCAGTACTCCCTGAGCGCGTCCATGTTGGTGCCCAGTTCGCCAAAGGCTTCTATCGCGTCGCGCGCCACGATGGACTTGCAGCCGGCATGTTCGGCATACTTTGCGACGGTGGCGGAGAGATTGGCGAGGGAGCGGGAGAGGAGGGAAGCCGTGGGCGAGGAGAGTTTTGATGGTCGCGGTGTCGACGTCGTCGGGGCGAGGAGGATGTGTCCTTGGAGAAGGGGGAGCACACAGTTGCAAGTGTATGGAATGCGCAAATGGAGTGTAAAACATACCTAATGATACATAGCCTGGTCCAAGCACATAGCGGGAGCTCTTGGGGATGGGCAGAAAGGCCGTGGTGGTGGCAGAGTCTATAGGACCGGCACATCTGGGCAAGAAATGGTTAGTTATAGCTATAGTGCTGCATTCTAAGTGGTGGAATAGGAGACTCACTGTAGATATATGTCAGCATCTCCCGGTAGTGAGCAGATGAGAAGGCAGCAGACAGATCTAAGTTGAACTCGAGGCAGGCAGCGCGCGCGATTGCGGGGACGCGCATTGTCACGTGCCGTTATTATCCCACGGCTGGTGGCGCGGCGCGCTTGTGCGAGCCTGTGCCGCCAACCGCCAGCTTCTGCGCCGCCAACCACCAGCTCCTGCGCCGCCAACCGCCAGGTCTTGCTCCCTGCAACCGCCAAACATCATCTCAGACACTCAATCTAGAGTCATCATTCCAGTGAGTCTTGTTTCTTCCCCATACGCAGCATGTAGTATACGCTGCCCTAGACTGCCGATGTGCTGTCCACTGCTCACCATTTCATATCATTTTCGCAGCTCTGGAGTTGCTCTGGGCCTCTCTCCCTGTCTCGAACGACAAGGGCAGAGCCTCCAAGTGTTTCTGTTCCTGTCCCTGCCCCAGTAAGCGACCCGCGTATTTTAGTTCGTGCAGTTGAGCTAAAAACCAGATTGCCGTAGTTTGACCCTGCCCGGAGCAACCACGCAACAACCACGAGATCACTGGGATGGAACGCGACCCTTTCAGAACAGCAATGAACGACTAGTGGGTGTGCACGGGGTCCACACACTAAGGAGGATATAAGGCATGGATTTGTGAGGAGGTATGTTCGCCTCTCTCACTCTCCTTTCTTTTTATACTGCAATCCCCTGCATTCTCGTCCCGTTGCGGCCCTACCACCGTTTGTTCCACACTCTCTCTACCTTGATAATCTACTCCTCGCCCGTTTCGCTATGGATTCGGACGACTCTATCTTGCACTTCACCGGCAGTAGCGACCCTATTGGCGGCTCTGACGACTTGTCCTCACAGTTGTTCTTTCAAAGTCACACTTCATCAACGAGATACTCCTCGCCTTATCACTACCGCGAAGAAGACCTTCAAGAACCGGTGTTCCGTTCAGAACATGTGAGTATTCTCTTTGAAATCCAGTCACATTGCACAACGTGGCGGTCCTGGGTCCTACAGTGCGTCGCCTGCCCACTGATACATCTTCATCCCCACAGGTGCGGTATCAGACACCTCCCCCTCAACGCTCCGGCTACAGCCAGATCCCTCCCCGTCCACTTGGGGCTGCGCAACAGCTCTCTCATTTGCAACACCGCTATCAGGTGCTGCGAAAGCAATTCGACATCCTTCAGGCGGAGCATCAGCGAATGGAAGTCGAGTTGGATACCACCAAGTGAGTTCTCCGCTTTGCCATCCTTCGCACTCTCTGAACGATTTTTCCGCCCTAGGACAAACTACACGGGTCTGCTAGACGCGCTTCGGGCGGGCGGCGTGGTCACGGCCGGGGGTGGCGCTGGGTCACGGCCAGTTACTCGGCCTCCACTCAAGGACAGCGACTTTCCTGAAGTCACGACATGGTACCCCCACCAGTGGCACAAGATCCGCAAGACTCTCTCCACCGTCACGGACCCCCTTGCCGACCTTGCTGTCGACGCCACCAGCCCGAGTCAAGGTGACTCCGTCAAGTCAAAACGAGGCGGTGCACGCGCTGCGAAGGGAATCAACGTCACAATGAGGTTCGTGCAAGATAGTGACGGCGAGGTTGTCGATGGGTATCGGGCAAAGGCCATGCGCAACCGCGCTCGTGCAATCTGGTCGCGCTTTCGCGAAGGCGGTCGCACTATGCCTGCCACATGGGGTGGAGCCCGTGCCACTGTCAGGACCGACTACGCCAATGAGATGGAAGAGGCGTTCCCGGAGCTCCGATACGGGGCTGACCAGTGGAAAGCACACGCAATCGCGACTCTCACATATCCCAACTGGCACAAGCGCGGCGATGTCGATTCAGATGACGAAGATTCCGACGATGAGCAAGAGACGACCGCCTCGCGCAAACGACGTGCCCCTCAGCCGAAGCCCGCACGTCCCTCCAAGATTAGTCGCAAGAAGCCGTCGACTCCCCCATCCGGAACAGATGCGCAGACCATAGATCTTACTCGGACGCCTGCCCCGGCTCCCAGATCTCCCCTCATCATTGAGAGTGCACTTGGGTGAGGTTTCTATTGGATGTACTTGTGCATGCTTCACTGACAGGTCTTGGTTGTATACAGAGCCAATCTATTTGAACGCTGTATACGTATGAGCACACCACCGTCGCCTAATGTACCAGCCTCCACGTCCATCCCTGATGCCCTCTTCGGTGGCTCGTCCAGCATGCCAGGCGTCGCGGGGGCTGCTTCTGGACTGCACGGATCGTCTTCATATACGCCACCTACTGACCCATCAGCCATGCAAGCACCTTCCACGGCCGAGCCTGACACGTCCGAACCGGCATCCGTGCGCAGGCAACACCCCCACCAACCTCGGTGCCCAGCGTTGGTACGTCACCCATACTCTCACAGTCCATGCCACATGGCTGACTCGTCATCTGCGCTCTCGCTCATGCTGCCTGCGACGACAGCGACTCTGCAGACCACATCAACAGGCACCGCGCTCCCAGTTGGCGCACCCGAAATGGATCGAGTCTCCCCGCTTCCATGTCATCGGTCTCACGGCCCGCCGCACCCTCAGATTCGTCCCCGAGCTCCCTCTCCGCCTTGCGTTCTGTGAACTGCGCAACCCCGAGTGGGGCTGTTCCAGTATCCGACTCACTAGTATCACCCCGTCGATGTCTGTGCTCTCAGCTGAAGGACACCAGTCCATCACAGAGTCGGCTAGCAACGAGCCCCCTACGTCGCCGCCATCGCTCTTGGGTTCCATGCCTCCGCTTTTCAACTTTGCGGCGTCCGCACCCATCGCTCCACAGGGTGGCGCATCGGGGCACCTCCCTCCTACGTTTGGCACGTTGCACCCCTCACTACAGTCCCTTTCCACGGCGGCGCAAATCGCAATGTATGTCGTTAGTTTCAAGTTCATTTTGTCAGTCTACTCACGCTTTCATGGCAATGCCAAAACTGTCACTCGAAGGATGGTTCTCAGCCACTTGACAGCTCGGTGACGACTTCGAAGGCTATAACCTCACCGGCCTCTGGGGCCGTCATTTCGAAGAAGAAAGTGAAGATGTCCGCCCCTCTCGTCATTGATGACCATCTCGTCACTGCCCGGTAAGTACTGTGCACCGTGTATGCAGGTGTAACACCAAAGTTGACATCCTCTTGCACAGCGCCCTTTGCGCGAGGGAGTGGTTGTCGAAGAATCCTGGCGGGTCGAAGGAGGCTTTTGATAGCCATTGGAAGTCTGTGAAGGCGTCCAACGAAATCAAGGTGAGCCCTGTCATCCAGCAAAGTGGGTCCGGAAATACGTCATTGACTTCTTTGGTATCACAGAGATACAATGCCGACGTCAAGGAGTTGGTAAGCTCGTCTTCATCTGTTGTTGCTCTCGAAACCGACCATTTGTTTAGAAGAAGAAACAGGCGTCAAAGTAGGCTCGATATGCGTCTGGGGTGCGCGACGGGGGTGCTGGATGCGGTTGGCAAGAATACTTTAGAGTCCGTTTTAATTGTACCGGGTTAGATTTTTGCCAGCAAAGCAATCAAGTCTATTCTAGGTCATTCAAATCCGCTTCAAACCTGTTCAATCTCGTCCAAATGGCATTCGAGCTCGTTCGAGCATCGTTCAGCATCGTTCCATTTCGTTCACGATCGTTCCGTTTCGTTCACGCGGCATTCATTCGCACTCAAACGTGTGCGAGGCACCATTCTATCAATTTCATACCCATTTGATCAGATCACGATGGCGTTCAATCTCGTTCAAACCCCGTTTGAATCAAAATGAGCACGCGGGCATATACAGATATATTTTGAACTCTCGCTTGCGGATTCAATTCCGCTCGATCCAGCTCGCCGGACTTTTCACTGGGTCGAACCACTCGGACCTTCCCCTCATCCCAAGCCCAGTCCTAGGCGTCATCCCTTGTTTTAGCTGATGAGAACTTGGCAGCGCGGGAGAAGCTGACAAGATTCGAGATGGCCACCCGGCGGCTGTCGGGTTGCGATCACCGACCACATCTCAAGGGCGAACAACTCCTCCGGCTTCTGGGCGCCGAAGGGCTCCCCGACGGACTTTGCACTCAACCCCGGAGCGTCTCCGCCATCGAGCCTGGTGGCTCTGGTCGCCTGCGGAGAAGCCTGCAGGCGGCGCATCTCCCGCCATCCATTCCCCCGCCACGCCTACCGCCCTCGCGATGTCACACCCGAACTACTCCAGGCCGTGGTGCTCCCAAGCGACGCACCAGGACATATATCACACATCTATTGCCAAACAGACGTCGAAACGCTGCTCCAAACTGCCGCCTGCGGCCCCGCGTGCGCCAATCGCCGTGGACACCGTATTGCGCATCGCGCCCTTCCAGCGCTACTTGGTGTTCGTGGCTGTGGAAGCCCGTCCCGACGAGATGATGAACGCCGGCGAACCGTGCCGTCTGTCCCGCGCATTCGGGCCGGCAGCAGGATACGGACGTCACGACGTCGTCGAGGCCTATGGCGACCGTGATCCCGAGGCGGGAGCCCCACTCCCGGCCCCGGGTCAAGAGGACGACGTCGTGCTCGCCTCGCCTCGCCCGGAGCGCCGAGGACATACGGGCTGGCTCTAGTGCCCGCCTCGACGCCGACGTCGACCGCGCGCGGGGCGGTGTCGATCCCGACCATGGCACGACATCGAGCATTGAACGGGGACCACACGGGCACGCGCGGCGCGGCGCGTCATCCTCATCCACGACACGTCGCCGACAAGACGACGCCTACGGTGCTGCATCAGCTCACCCGATTTGTCCAGGTCGCGCGGGTGGGATGCGCTGCGTGTCGGCGGCCAGCGCCCATCGGTGGGACCGCAGCGCACGTCGCCACGCGATCGCGAGTCCCCTCGGAGCTCGCGCCTGCCCTGCCTGGGCGCATGTGCGCGAGGGTGGCGCGCGCACATCCTGGGACGCTCTGCGATCATGGCGCGGGTCGGCTCAGCGCGCGAAGATAACTGAGCGCGAAGGCGGCTTGGGAGCCGGTGGTGCGTCGACTTCCCAGGCCTCTTGCGCAAGGCGGGGCGGGTGCGCGTCAGGATCAATCTGTGGTCCCCGGGAAGTCGGCGGTCGCAGTGCAGTGCGGCCTGGGGAGTCCAGTGTTTTGCAGGATGGAGAGTCGCTATCAATACCATCGTCTCTCGTGGTAGCGCTTCAATAGGGACTGGGTTTGATTGCACGGTGCGTTCGTGATCGTCTCTGTTCATTTGTATTCGGCGGTGTTATCTAAAGTGCTTTCCTCCACGGTCGCGCGTGGATCACAGGTTTATGGACTGTGTTCAATACACGCTCGCATGCGCGCCAGCACTTATTGGGCTCGCAGGTCAACACTGCGACTGCGCCGCACGTCGGAGGAAGTGAAAGCTGATCAGATTCGGAACCAATGCTACATCTTTTCCCGACCGTCCTCGCACTGAGTGGCAGTTGGCCGCACCTACAAGCACCGCTCGGAGGCTCGACGAGCACAGTGTAGAATGGCGCTGACCTGGCACGGTCCCAGGCGGCGTCCTGAGCGGCGCACTGAAGGGAGTGTGGTTCCCTTCTCAGCAAATAGCTCGCCGCGCGGCCTGGAAAGAAGCGGTACGGCATCCCGTCCCTTAGTCGCCCAGCAGGCTCAGTCTCGCAGCGCGCGTGCGCTGCTGCCCGACGCACCGTTCACAGCGGTGGCTGCAATGAACTGTCATGACGAGCGCGCCCTCGCCCATCACTCTCCTTGGTCTTTGCTTGCACCTGCTCATCTTCTGGATGTCCTATTTGTCGGCGCCCCCGGCGTCGCGCACCTGTCCCGGGGAGCTGTGTGCTGTGTGCGCTAGCATCTCCAGTCCCGCCCGATCGATGGCGCCGCTACAAATGCTTAGCTTCACGCCACCGCTGTGAAGTGCACAGGTGCGGTCTACACAGTCGTGCTCGACATTCACATCTCATCATTTTGTTCCAGGATTGCTTCTGGTTCTCGCCATGTGTCTCAGACCCGGAAGGACGGGTGTACCGCTGGCGTGCAGGTGGCCACTGAGGAGAGGCTGAGGCAGTCGGCAATCGAGGACCATGGGTACGAGGAACAGTGGCTATCCTTTGTGCTCTTCTCAATCAACGTGTTACGTTGTATTCAGCAATCAAGTGAGGAGGTTCTACCCCTGGGGGCGATGGCCGGTTCATCCGCAGATGAGCACTGGTCTCGGTATGGTTAGCCACTCGGACATCGAGCAGAGTCGGCCTCCTATCCCATGCCTACCATGGTCGTGGTGAAGTGCAGCCCTGCCCAAATTCACGTTGAGGTACATGGGCTGTTGGTTGTGTCTCTCTGCGTGGGAGGCCGCCCCCAGTGCCATCGATGCCACACTGGGGTAGGGACTAACCGCTTGTCTTCCCGGGTTCGATGGATGTAGTTTGAGTGGCAGCGCGGTGGGTAGGATGTGTGAGGGCGTACGCGGGTATGTCCCAAGTGCGAGCACATATAATAGTGCTGTGTCCGCACGCACGCACCTACAGTGGTGATTCACCAGGTGCATCCATTGCGATAGCCTATCGGCAGGCGCGGATGCATCTGGTGCCGGCCGGCCCGGTTGCGCTCCACACCGCCTTCCCCGAGCGCGCACGGATCCCGAGATGTCCGGACACCGGCACCTCGGGCCCTGCCACCTGAGCTCGCCGTCTCCAACGGTGAGCTCGTCTCCCTCTTTGATTCACACCACATCTTGCATATGATCAGTGATCGAAATATATTTATTAGTAAACTACTACATAAGTGGGCTAGTAAGTAACCCACAGCCCACGACAACGCGGAAGCAGAGGCGGAGGCGGGTGAGAAGGACGAGGCGGAGAGCCAGGAGAGGAGGAGGCGGAGGGACTAAGAGGAGGTGGAGGGCGATGTAGAGGACAAGGCGGAGGAGGGCGACGTGAATGCGGGAGACGCGGACGCGGGCGACGCAAAGGCGAGCGAGGCGGAGGTGAGGGACGCGAAGGCGGAGGAGAGCGAGGTGGAGGGCTCGCGGGGGACGCGGAGGGCCGGGACGAGGCGGAGAAGGTGGTGGGCGACGCGGGCGGGGGCGCGCCATGCGAAGGGGGAGGAGGCGCAGAGCAAAGAGGGCGGGCGACGCGGGCAGAGGAGGCGGCGCAGGCGGAGGAGGTGATGTGGGCCGGGACGACGCGGAGGGCGGCGCGGGCAGGAGGTGCGGGGAGGAGGCAGGTGACGAGGGTGGAGGAGGGCAACGCGGAGAAGGGCAGAGGCGGAGGAAGGTGACGCGGAGGAGCGCGGTGACGCGGGAGGAGAAGGGTGATGCGGAGGCGGTTGACACGGGCAGAGGAGGGCGGCGCGAAGGAGGCGGCAGGCATGGGCGGCGCAGGGTGAGGAGGAGGGCGACGCAGAGGCGGATGGCGCAGGTGGGCGACGCGGACGGAGGAGAGCGGGTGGAGGAGAGCGGTTCGGAGGAGGAGGACGTCCAAGGGTGGACGTCCTCAGTCTGTCATAGGCAAGGGGCATGGGTGGGCATCGGGAGTGCAGAAGGACCGAGCGGAGGACTCACCAACGAGCGCCGCGGTGCATCGCCGCGGCCCCCTATTCCAATCTCCATACTGTGGACGTCCGAATGGACGTCCTCGTGCGGTGTGTTTGTTTTGAGTGCGGTCGGGAAGGTGGGTATAGGGTGGGATCGAGGTCGAGGGAGGAGGTCGAGGTCGAGGTCGGTCGGAGAAGGGAAGGTCGGTGTCGCGCTCGCGGTCCAATCGGGCCGGTGGTGCGACACGGGGGAAGAGGTCACGAAGGGGAAGACAGGGATAAGGTCTGTTATCTTCGGAACACTGGGGCTTTCGCCCTACACCTGTACTACTATATATACGTAGGGTAGTCCGAGTCAATGATACGAGGGGAGACGTGGAGGATACAGCGGGACCGAGACGAGGAGACGGAAGAGGAAGGGGAGTCGTGGCGATCAGGTGACCGGCGCCAACGCGCACGGGGACTGATCTAGCCGATCCGGAAGAGCGCACGTCTCATACGCCCTCCGACTATCGTAAGCATCGTCGAGCGATAGTCTACTACGACGGCTATCAAGAGCGAACACGAGAAGGAGACAGGAAACTCGAGAATGGTAAGCAAATCATCTAAACGTCAGAGTAGTCCGTGATGGGGCTAATGGTGAGGTCGTCGAAGACACCGGTGCACTTGTCCGTAGACACGAACGTGCTACCAGCGATCGCGACGCCTTCAGTAGCGGGTGTACCCGCTAGAGCCGTATGAAGCACCCCCGAACCCGAAGTGTTGGCCTCGCCCGAGGCCACGCCGGGTCGTGCTACGTCCGCGCTGTCCGGCGCCTCGGGAGGCCCGCCGACGAGGACGACCGCGCTGCGACTCGGGACCGGGCTCGCGATCAACAGGCTCGGGTTGATCGTAGTCACCACCCTCAACGAAGACCTCTC